ATTTAAATTCAAATTAATTAAAATAGAATTTCTAATATTTTCAATAAATGGTAATTTTTCTTTTAATGATTTTTGTCTACACTTATTCAAATAAGCAAGATAATTAAATTTTAAATTTGTTTTCATTACTAAAAATTTAGCTGTTGGAGATTCAACAACTTCAATATCATCATAATCTAAAGTTAAAGAATTATCAAATTTCATATTATTCCAACAAGCAGCAGCTAAAAATGGATAACTTGATAAATTACCTCCAGACATTTCAAAATTAACATCTTTAATAACAATAACAATACCACCATAAGCAATATATTCAACTACCGAACTTTCAAAAAAAGCTTGGAATAATTCATTCTTCTTGATCGATAATCTTTTAATTTCATCTTCATCACCATCTTCTTCAGTATAATTAATTTTTGTATTTAAAATATAATTAACAAAAGGATCTTTATTGAAAGATAAAGTTAAAGTTTTAGCAACTCTTTTATAATCTTTTAAACCGATTTTTTCAATACTAATTTCTAAATTTCCAATTTTAAGTCTCTGATTAGGAAATTCATTTGACTTTCTTCTACTATCAGTTGAACTGATAGATGATGAACTACTAATCAGAGACTTTTTCAGTCGTGGTTTATCTTTATTAGGACTTTCAAACTCTTCTACGAATGACATTATACATGAAAATTTGAGTAATTAAAAAATTTAGTTGTTTTGATTCAAAAAAATATAACAGAAATCTGTTTGGGGGAAATCAAAGTTTTTTTCCTTCCTATTTATATTTTTTCTTTTGATAAGGGATGATTGACGTGGATTGACACACGCACGACTTTCACCGTATTGGTTTAAACAATTGAGTGATCATATTTCGCACCCCCGTTTAGGAAACTGGAAGAGGTATTTATGGATGGAGTTTTCCGTGGGCCTTGTTTTGCATGGCCTTGGTCTGGCTTACCTAACTTTTGACCAGTTACCCGAATATACGTCACATGACATAGCGGCGTTAAGATAGTTACACCTGGCTTTTGTGTAATTCAAGATTCCAAATCCTTTTTACTTTAACGTGTCTTAGAATACTCAAGATAGATACTTACAAAGATGAGATCGTAACAATCTCATATCTTAACAATTAGATCTCTAATCTTGAGTTATGAAAATGAAAATTTGCTATGATAAAATAAAAATATGACCTGACCCCTTTTTCTCTTATCGTTCACTAATGATTATAACCATGACCAGTAAGTTCATGCTATTATCAGTCCATTACCATAGTTTAAATGAAGAAAAATCTCAGATAATGCCGGTTGAAACACGACCGAGTCTAGTCTCCAAAAAAATGAGCATTGGGAAGGGCGGTGAATAAATAGCTAATAGTACTATAATAATCAATTTAAATTAATCATTCTTTCAATTGATTTTATATTGCAAAACTTTCAAATCATTAAATACAATTAATTCTTTATATTACATTTCGTTTTTGTGAATTAATTAAAGGATTTGGGTTTTTTTTAACAAACAGGTGTTTAGAACTTAAGAACTTTTACTTTAACTAAACTACATAAGATTAAAAATAAAGCATAAATTGAATAATGGGTAATACGCCTTCAAAAGATGGATTACCATTATCCAGGTCCAATACTAATCAATCAGTTAAATCCAATAAATCGTCACGAAGCATAAGATCTAAAAAAAATGATAGTTCCACCAATTTAAAGAAAGTATCACGTAAGAACTCATCAGTATCCATGACATCACAAAATAACTCACAGAATCAATTAAATAATAGTGATAATGGTTATACAAATGATGATAATGAAATATCTGAACTAGATACTATACCGACAGATTTACAAAATTTATCCATATCAAATAATTTACCACCTTCAATGGTTCAAGTGGAACCAAAACAACCTATCTTGATAAGAAGGAATACTGATATGTCTATTGATTTATCTAATTTACAAAGTCCTGATAAATCTCCTGTGGTTACACCATTTGATGAAAATGTTACCGGATTAACAATCGAAAATGGTACTAATAATAATAATAATGGTAATAATGATTTTGATGATGATAAATTATCAAGAACTTCAACTAATCATTCTATTGCTTCAAATGATGATGATTTAAAATCATTATCAAAAAGTAGATCAAATTCATCATTTCTGTCATCAAGATTACTCAAATCTAATAGTAATATTTTAACAAGAGCAAGCACATCAAATTCTTCCACAACTTTCGATATTGAAAATTTAATTCAAAGATTATTGGATTCAGGTTATAGTGGTAAAAGAACTAAAAATGTTTGTTTGAAGAATAATGAAATCCAAATGATTTGTGCTAGAAGTCGAGAAATTTTCTTATCTCAACCCTCATTATTGGAATTAAATCCTCCAGTTAATGTTGTGGGAGATGTTCATGGACAATATGGTGATTTAATAAGAATATTTACAAAATGTGGATTCCCTCCAAGTGCAAATTATTTATTCTTGGGAGATTATGTCGATAGAGGTAAACAAAGTTTAGAAACTATATTATTGTTATTATGTTATAAAATCAAATACCCAGAAAATTTCTTCTTATTAAGAGGTAATCATGAATGTGCCAATGTTACAAGAGTTTATGGATTCTATGATGAATGTAAAAGAAGATGTAATATCAAGACTTGGAAATTATTCATTGATACATTTAATACTTTACCAATAGCTGCTATAGTTGCAGGTAAGATATTCTGTGTTCATGGAGGTTTAAGTCCCGTGTTATCATCCTTAGATGATATTAGAAATATCGCTAGACCAACAGATGTACCCGATTTTGGACTTTTAAATGATTTACTATGGAGTGATCCTGCTGATATAATGAATGAATGGGAAGATAACGAAAGAGGGGTTTCTTATGTATTTTCAAAAGTGGCTATTAATAAATTTCTATCGAAATTTGGATTTGATTTGGTTTGTAGAGCTCATATGGTTGTTGAAGATGGTTACGAATTTTTTAATGATCAAACTTTAGTAACAGTATTCCTGGCCCCAAATTATTGTGGAGAATTTGATAATTGGGGTGCAGTTATGTGTGTTTCTGAAGAATTATTATGTTCCTTCGATTTACTTGATCCTTTAGATTCAATAGCATTAAAACAAGTAATGAAAAAGGGTAAACAAGAAAGGAAAATAGCTCAGGTTAGATCTTAATTTATGTCTTATGTTCACTCTTCCCCATGTAATCGCGAACTATCACCATGTCCAATTTTTTACTTCTGATTGAAAATGTAAACCCCTTGATTGATTTGATCAAACAAGTGGATGATAGTGTTACTAATAATCATGAAGTTATTAAAAGTCTACCGGACTTATCATTAAACTTTGAAACTGAGAAAATCGATGATTTACATAATCATATATATAACAAATATGATCTATCAAATATCCCCACTGATTTCCATACATCTAATTCCCGATTAAATACATTACTTGAAGACAACTATCGATTAATAATACACAAACAAAGGATACAGAGGCGAAATTATGAATTATTCAAAATTTTAAAAGAATATCAGGAATTCATTATAAAAGAGTTGTTACCACAACTTAGATTTCATCATGTAACCCAATCAACCAAAGTTTTGAAGGATATTAAGACTCTCAATCTTGAGAAACTTAAAGCTGACAATCAACTATGGGAGAAATATCAAGGATATATTGAAAAAATAGGTAAAATAATGGAAGTATCGGAATATTTAAATACAAGTCTAGAGGATCTCGATAATCTAGACATAGAGGTTAAATTGGAATCAATAGATAGATTAATAAAAGATTTAGGTTATAGTTTATAGAAATACATTATATAATTATTTAACATCATTAGGAAAATTAGCATCATGATATGGACTCAAAAGATTATTTATCGTGGGTTTCTTATCATTATTATTTGTATCATTGAGATTTTCATTAATGGCAGTGGGGATATTAGTGGGGATATTAGTGGAAATGGTTTTCTTTTTCAAATTACTCTCTTCATTCAAGACTCCTCGAAGCCAATCTTTAGTACTATCTTTCTTCAAAGGTGTCGTTGAAGCGGTATCGATATCTAATGAATTAGATACTTTATGCATTGGTGGCAAGGATATGGAGTTTGTGGAATTGATTGAATTGAATGAATTATTGGAAGTGTTGGAATTGTTGGAAATATTAGAAATATTTGAAACTGAGCTATTTGATGTTTTATGATTTAATTTGGGTAAATTTGGTTGATGTTGAGGATACTGATATTGTGGATGTTGATGAAATAATGGTGATAATGGGGATATTATTGGAGTTTCACCTTTAGGATTTAAAAATTTATAAGGTCTTAAAGGTTGATTCATTTGTTGAGCAAATGAAAATATTGGTACTGGGGGTGCAGATTTTAATTCTGTATAAATTGGTTGATGAGAATAAGTTGGAGTAGCTGATGATGATAATGACGATAATGGGGATTCTGTATGGAATGAATGATGAAGGGAAAGTGGTCTTGGTCTTCTTTTTGGTTTAAATTCATGATTGGGTAATTTGAGGGAATCATCATGATGATCAGATTCTAAAGGAACTGATTGGGATTGTGGAACATGAGGGTTTTGATTATTATTTGGTCCTTGAGCTTGACCATTTGGTGTTTGAACATTTACACCCCCGTGGCCGTTACTTTGACCGTTTTGATTTTGAGCATTTTGAAGATTTTCCTGAGACACTTGATAGTTATGACCGACTCGATTTGTTTGTAGATGCAGCATTTGATTTTGTAATGGTGGTTGACCTTGACCTTGAATTTGATTCTGATTCGGTATATGACCTTGTCCCTGTATTTGACTCTGTCCCTGTATTTGACTATAATTAACACCAACCATTGGATGTTGCATCATATTTAAAGGTAATGGTGGTAATGGACTATTTGAATATTGGAAATATGGGTAGTTTTGATGTGGACTATTAGAATTTGGTGGTGATATGAAATAACTCTCTTCGGCTTTTAAATTATCAATTTTTTTAGGAGTATCAGGTTGGTCTTTGTTGGATAAATAATTCTCGTAAGCATGAACAGTTGATTTATGTTGTCTTAAATTGTCCAAACGGGAAAAGTTCTTAGAACAGAATGGACATGTGAATGGTCTTTCCCCTGTGTGTTTCCTTTTGTGTCTAGCTAAATGTTCAGACCTTGTGAATGCCATATTACACCCTGGGAACCCTGTACATTGGAATACTCTCCCCTTATTTGATCGTTTCTTTTTCTTGTCGTCTTTTACTGATATCATTATATTGATGGTTTGGTCTTTAGGTTGACAGTATTAGAAAATAACTTGGTTGATTTTGGGATCTGGTGCCTTAGATGATTTTTTTGGTGAACCAGTAATTTTTTTTTTCAAAAAGCAATTTCACGATACGAACTAAAATTTCTACTATGAAAAAGACAGATTGCAACTTCTAATATTCTTAATATATCGAAATCTTATATCCTGGTATAAATCTTAGACTTATAAAATGGATAAATTCAATAAATTATTCGTCCACTGCAATCCTTAAAAATTTTTAATCCTCGAATTCTCAATCCCCTTAATTATTTTACACGACTTTACTTAAGATCCCTTCCGCTCAAAATGATTATATAAGTGATATAGATATTAGATGGTAGTAATATAAGAGATGAAACTAGAACCTGGAAGGGTCTTCATAATTCTTACTTGAAACGTGAAAAATGTTGAACTTGCTAAAAGAAATCTAGCCGAATAATCATTCATCGTTAAAGTTACTAAATAAACTATTTTATCTCAGATTGACGCCCTTTAAAGGGGTAATATTTTTTTGGGAGTTTTTCATGACAACAAGACATTCTGGGTTGATGAGAAGGATTTATCAGATGATGGAACAATTTCTTGATGATTATCGTCGTAAGATTTATCGTTGCTTTTCTATTCGTAAACTACGATTGACATTGCATTGTGCATGATGTTTTAAATTTTTTGGGTATTAGAGATGTCGCGTCCTATAGAAATGGGTTATCGAATCTAAGCGATGTCGCCGTGGCCGTGTCGCGGAGGGTAGTTACAAAATTTCATAGTTGATCAGGGGTGGCATCATTCCAGGAACAAACTAAAACTACCAGGGGTACGGCATTGATTTTGACAAACGGGATAGTGCTGTTCAAAGAAGCATTACGTTATTTGGGAAATAATGTCTCACATGATTCTCAAATGTTGGTGTGTCCTTTAGATGTCCTTTAAATTTAAAATCCAGATGTCTCCGGATGTATGTCCAAAATTAAGACATGGGCAAAAGTTGTGGTTATGGTTAAAGTTTTAGATTCGTATGAATGAATGAATTTTTACTACTTACTTTATATAGGTAATATGAGTGGCATAATTAACAACAACTGGATTCTTGAGGTTTGTTATCAATGTTAATATCAATGGTTTCGGGTTGAACTTCATCTTGTTTAAAATCAGGTAAACTCTTAGCTATTTTCTTGAATAACAATTTAACATTATGATTAATCTTGGTTGAAGTTTCTAAATAGATTTCAACTTTGTTCTTATTACTCAATTCTTGTAATTCTTCAAATTTAACTTGTCGTTTATTATTCAAATCAGATTTATTACCAACGATAACAATTATCACATCTTCTCCTCTTTCTAATTTGACTTCGTTGATCCATTTCTCTAAGTTTTCAAATGATTTCTTACTGGTTATATCATAACAGATGATTGCAACATTACTATCTCTGATATAACTTGGTATTAATGATCGAAATCTTTCTTGTCCTGCTGTATCCCATAATTGTAATCTGATGGTCTTATTATCTTCTAAATACATGGTTTTACTTAAGAAATCTATTCCAATAGTTGCTTGATATTGATCATCAAATGTATCATACATGAATCTGGTAATCAATGATGTTTTACCCACTTTGATTGTTAGTAATAATCTTTGTCAATGATATTGAATCCATTCAACGTTACTTCCACCCCTTAATGATGGTCCATCCATAGTTGACTTAACATACCCCCTTGGTCTCCCAAAAATACTATCTTGTATTTCTTCAACACTTTATCACTCATGGCAATGATTTTTTCTCACTGAGATTTGTTATGGAGATCACATCCCTCATGAGATTTTCCTGATCTTGATTATTAGAGAGCTTCAATGTGATCTGTGATGGATATGCAAGTGTATTTGTAGTGAACAGTATCACTGGAAGTATTTTGTCTGGCAGAATTCGAGAGAAGGTGGTCATTAATCACCCCTAGCCGTACCTACGTTGCCGAAAAATGGCTTTTTGATTGATTTCACGGCAAAATTCTTCAAGTTTTTGAAATGAAAGTAAGAGGAGTTCGAGAAACTCCAACTTGTCTCCACTTTGATACTATGGTTGGGTATTTACCCCACCGATTGATCCTTTACATCCAAAAAATGTCATTCTTACTGCTATTGAACCTTCTACTAGAGCAATTCTTGTCTCCAACCTAAATTCCGAAGCCCAGAATTTAAAACTTACTATTCCTTCTAAGTAACAATTTCTTTTATCAAACCCTCTCTTTTACGAATGGTTCGTAGGTCCACCCGTACACCCACAATAATATGCAACCTTGAATCGAGAAGTCGCATTCAATTACATTACCCGTTTAGGAATTTGAAACATTCTAATCATGGGTTTCAAGACAGCACTAAATAGTTTGGTAACTCCTACTATAACTAATCCACAAATGTCTGGAATACCTGACCTATTAAAAAATGATATAATCATCAACGAAGAGATCCCAGAAATCCTTATTCCCAGGGGTTTGCCTGAAATGAACTTCGAACCAAGGCTTCTTAATCAACCATATGGTTTTGATGGTCAAACTGACTTATTGAGCCCAGAAATTAAAGCTTCAAATACTAGAGAAAACAAAAGAAAGGGAAAAGCGAAGATGAAGATGAGTGAGTTGCCTGATATGAAATATGATTCTACTAATCCATTTGAGATAACTAGCAATGGTCAAGTTAAAAGAAAAGAAATCAAGAAAGTTAATGAGTTGGATGCCTTAAAGCTTTCTATCACCAACGGAGTTGAAGGAAGTTCTAAAGACCTACAAAATAACGACAGAAGGGACAGGAGAAGAAGATCGACCGATCGGGAAAGAAATGAAAGAAATGAAAGAAAAGAAAGGAAAGAACGTAGAGAAAAACGTGAAAGAAAACAAAAGAGTGAACAGTTAAGAATCCAAAGGAATGAAGATGCTCAGAAGGATCAAGTGGCTTTGGAAGCTGAGGAACAGGCTATCAGAGAAAAAGAAGATCAAGGAAGAGTCGATAAAGAGAAGAGAGAAAGAAGAGAAAGAAAACGATTAGCTAAAATTAAACATGAGAAAGCAAAAGCTGAAAGAAAGAGGATTGAACAGGAAAGATTGGAACAGGAGAGATTGGAACTTGAAAGGTTAGAAAGAGAACGAATCGAGAGGGAGAGGTTAGAAAGAGAAAGAATCGAAAGGGAAATAATCGAGAGAGAAAGAGTCGAAAGAGAGAGACTTGAACAGGAGCGACTTGAACAAGAAAGACTTGACAGACAAAGAATCAAACGAGAAAGAAGGGAAAGAAGAAAAAGACAAAGACAGCGGGAAATTGAATCAGCAAGACTTGAAGAACTCAGAATCCAACAGGAAAGATTGGAAGCGGAGAGAATTACCCTTGAAAGATTAGAATTACAAAGGCAAGAAGAAGAAAGAGATTCGAGACGAAGAGAAAGAAGAAGATTAAGAGAAAGACAACAACAAATCAATGAATTGCCTTCGTATAAACCAACACTTCATAAAGATCTTGATCTTTTATCCTTTGATTCTCGATTCAAACCAGTAATCAGATTCAACAACACCATAACGAATGATGACCTACCCAAACTTATGAACCAATTCAATGAATTGGCTGCCTTCCCCCACAACATCAACCTATCAGAATTAAACATAATTGATGATCAGTATTTCGATGACATCATCCCTGATTTACTCGATGAAGATAATCCACCTCCATTTTCAAGAGGAGGATCAAGAATAATCCGTGATAGAACCAGTAGAATTAATGATAATTTAATTCTTCATGATATCAATAATTATCAACATTCTGATCAATTATTAGTTCATGGAGTTCAGTATAACTCCAGAATACAATTACCTAATGTTTCATGATTTTTTTTAACGATTTTTAAAATATATATGCTAGGACCCTTATCGTCTTATCTCTAAGGTTTTGTCGCACCAGCTTATCACTAAATGGGGAGGGAGAAGATTTGATGATGTTGGCGAAAATGTCAGTGCGCATTTCTCAAATCTCACACATCAGGAAGTGAACGATGACAGAACCAAACGGATTTACACAAGTTACCGAAGGTATTGGAGCTAACAGTACTTCACAAGCTAATCCTTATGGACCAAATCCTTCTGATTATTTATCCAATGTTAATAGTTTCCAATTAATCGAAAGTACATTAAGAGAAGGTGAACAATTTGCAAATGCTTTCTTTGATACCGAAAAGAAAATCGAAATAGCTAAAGCTTTAGATGATTTTGGTGTTGATTATATTGAATTAACTTCACCTGTAGCTTCAGAACAAAGTAGAAAAGATTGTGAAGCTATCTGTAAATTAGGTTTAAAAGCTAAAATTTTAACTCACATTAGATGTCACATGGATGATGCTAAAGTCGCCGTTGAAACTGGGGTTGATGGTGTTGATGTTGTTATTGGTACCTCTCAATATTTAAGACAATACAGTCATGGTAAAGATATGAATTATATCGCTAAAAGTGCTATTGAAGTTATTGAATTTGTTAAATCTAAAGGTATCGAAATTAGATTTTCATCCGAAGATTCTTTCAGATCAGATTTGGTTGATTTATTAAACATCTATCGTACTGTTGATAAAATTGGTGTTAACAGAGTTGGTATTGCTGATACTGTTGGATGTGCTAATCCAAGACAAGTTTATGAATTAGTTCGTACTTTAAAATCCGTAGTTAATTGTGAAATTGAATGTCATTTCCATAATGATACTGGTTGTGCCATTGCTAATGCTTATACTGCATTAGAAGGAGGTGCCAAATTAATCGATGTTTCCGTTTTAGGTATTGGTGAAAGAAATGGTATTACTCCATTAGGTGGTTTAATGGCAAGAATGATTGCTGCTGACAGAGATTATGTGTTATCAAAATATAAATTACATAAATTAAGAGATTTAGAAAATTTGGTAGCTGAAGCCATTCAAGTTAATGTTCCATTCAATAATCCAATTACCGGATTTTGTGCTTTCACTCATAAAGCTGGTATTCATGCTAAAGCTATTTTAGCTAACCCATCAACATATGAAATTTTGAATCCTTCAGATTTCGGTTTGACTAGATATATACATTTCGCCAACAGATTAACTGGTTGGAATGCTATTAAATCAAGAGTTGATCAATTGAATTTAGATTTGAGTGATGAACAATGTAAAGAAGTTACCAATAAAATCAAAAAATTAGGTGATGTAAGACAATTAAATATTGATGATGTTGATTCTATCATCAAAGATTTCCACGCTAACATGGGTACTCCTTTATTAAAACCTGTCGATGGACCTGAAGTTAAAAAACAAAAAACCTTGTAACCCTTTTGAATAATTTATTTGTTTTGTAGAGATGTTTGTGATTTATATATATTAATTTATTAATACTCTTCGTCATTATCCTTATCTTCATCATCGGAATCTTCTTCAATATCAACATTCTTCTTTCTTTGGAAATCCTTAATATGAGCTTTATTCAAAGCATCAGAAATATATGCCAATGTGCTTTTCCTTCTGGTTAATTGACTCTTAATACTTGGTGTACCAATTTGAGATTCAGAATCAATCGATTCAGTTGCGGGTCTTCTCAAAGATGTTGTGACAACTTCAACACTTTCTAAATCGTTGATAGAATCAATGTTTTGGTATTTCAAAAGTACTAATTTCTTAATGGCTCTTTCAACTTTGGACGAAACAGCATAAGGTAAAGGACTATCTCTTGAAGCTCTAAATAAAATGACATTAGTGCAATGTTCATTCTCCATCCTGAATAATACCCAAATAATTCTTCTGATCAATTCAGCTAATGCTATTAAGAAACTGGTAGCTGCCAGTTGTTGAATTTGGTTAGTGAAGAAAGCATAAAAGATCCATTGGAATCTTAGAATCACATCAACAACCATTGCTACATAATAATAAATAGGATTCTTGTAAAATAAGTTGTCTCTTAATAAAGGGTATTTGGAATTGGATTGTAATAGTGACCAATCCATGATAATGTCCCACAAAGAACAATAAATGGAATTGATTGATGCCATTACAATGAAGGCAATCCTATGAGAATTGGATTTGTCAATTCTATAAACACTTAAAAGACAATAATAAATGGCTCCAATTCCATACTTTAACATATTAGCCAAATGAGGAAACCAATCACCAGTATCAGCATAACGTCTTACACATTGTAAAAATCTCCATATACTTGGTAAGGCTGCGAAAAATCCCATTGAACGAGATTTTGAAGATCCACATTGTATGTTTCCACCAACGTTAGTTCCCGACCAATGAGTGGCATATAAACAAAAGAAGAACGAAATATTTCCTAAAGTATAGGTTAATGAACATAACAAATCACCAATGAAGAAATCTCTAAATTCAACAGGATAAAATCCACTCCATAAAATTCTCCATAAAGCGAAAAGTAGCCACCTCCTACTTGATCTATAGAAATAGTTGAAGGGCCAGAACATGATAATTAGACAAATACCTAAAAATATCCATGGCCAATCTCTCCCTGGGAAATTTTCAGGGAAGAAATTATTGAAACTGAACCACATAAGTATCGATAATAAAAACAACGATACACTGGGTAATAACCAAAATTGTTTATAATCTAAAGCTGTCCCAATATCAAACTCAAAAATGAACTTATAATTGATCTTGAAATGTTCAAATATCGCCATGTTGAATCCAAATAATACAAAAAGTAAGTTAACGAGAAAAAACCCTCCATAAATCTGTAGAATGTACAATGCTTCAGGGAAGGTATGAGAATAAAGTTGATGTAATGCAAGGTAAAGACTCATGGCCAACAAAGGTACTGCCAATCCTAGAAACAACCCTGAAGTGAAAAATTCAGTATAATATGAAGTTAATCTGATCTCATTATGATTCAAGGCATAAGCAATACTTTTAAATTTTTCGAGACTTCTTTTTCTATCCATTGATTCGGGATCGAAAAACGATATATAAAGTTCTTCGATTTGGAATACTAACTTATCTATAATGTCACTGGTAAGGAAATAAGATGATTTATCGATTTTCTCCATGAAAGCCTTTGAAATGGAAAGATTATTAGCCTTATCAAATTTTTTGGTGATCTTCCTAAAAGCTGTACGATTTAATTCTTTGTACGATCTTAAAATCATCAAACTACGATAAAATTCCAAACATGCATCTTTTAACTGTTTCCTAGCTAAGAGATACGGTACACCAAAATGTTTTTTTGTTTCATAATCTCTTCTCTTTTTTTTCCTGATTTGTTCGTCATTAAGGGAATTTCTCGATGTGGATATTTGCATTTGATCACCAACAGAATGAGAACTATGAATAGATTCACTGTCTATTGAAGATAAATCCAAGGATTCACCGTTTCTTATTCTATTCTCAAAATAATTCACATCGAATTCTCCCATATCAGTATTTTTCATTGCAATATCATCATCAACTTTCTTCCTTCTCCATTTACTCAAGAATTTCGTTGAAGGTAATGAAGGAAGATCATAACCTTTCAAAGTGAACAACGCCAGTCTTGTATGATAAGCCAACTCCCCAACTCTTTTATATACTTCTATTGTTGATTCACCTTGAGGATGAGAATGTCTCGATGTAAGGTTATGTTTTCTTAACGATATTTGTTTGTGATCTTTCAATTGATATAGTTGGTCTTCTAAGATAAGAAATCTCTCATAAACATCTTGTTCACGTTCTTTGTAGAACATTTCAACCTTAACTAATTCTTGTTCGACCCAATTGTTGAATTCGATCTTTTCTTCTTCATAACTTTTATGTTTAGATCCTTTCAATGAAGGGTTGAATATGGAAGGATTCAAATTTATAGCTCCATGTCTTGAACCATCATCTCCAGGTTTTTTCAGTCTATCTTGAGGTTGCAATAATGGAGTCCGATCATTGCTACCAGGAGATTCTTTAGCAGCTAAAACCTTTTTGATCAATTTTTTCCCTCGTTTATAATCTAAATATTGATGCTGCCATTCAGGAACAACCCCTTGGTTCAAGGATTCTCCGAACTTCATCAAGTGTCTATAATTCTAATTTAAAGCCCTGCGTGGGATAAATGAAATTTCGCACTGGTTTAGAGAGATAGGTGAAAGCCACTTGGGAGATTTGTATTATACAATTAAGATTCGTATCTAACGTAAAGAGCATCAATGAAATGAGGATGCTTAATACCTGGGCTTTTAGCCATTCTAAAACCTTCAATAGCTTGTTCGACTGACCAACCAAGTCTTTCAATCAAATAACAACAAAGTAAGAACCCTGTTCTATTGAAACCATAATGACAGTGAACTGCAATTAAAGGGTTTTCAACTGTTGATGATTTAAGAATTGAATCGATCAATTGAATAAATCTTCTGATGGAACTTGGATCAGGCACAACTTTGGAAACTGTTGCACATTTATAATATTTAATGATCTCAAAACTTTGAGGATTATAAGGTGGAATATCAGCAGAAATATCTACAATGGCAATCAAATTACCTTTAGGTAAGGGAAAATTTGGTTCATGATTCAAATCTGGATGATTGTTATAGAAATAATTTTCTAAAATCATTGGGGAATGATTTTCATCCCCTTCTCTGAGAGTTTTCATACCTAATAATGGAGATATTTCATTACCATTAGATATATTAGTTGATAAAGGAACTAATTTCAGCCATTTCAATTCATTTTTTAATCCCCATTTATCACCACTAATGTCGGCTTTTAATTTCAATACCCAAGCTGGAGATAAATGTAATCTTTCAGGAAAACTCGATTCAATATGGTTTAATATCTTACCACTAACAAATTCTGGTTTTGATAATAATAAAGCATGTCCAGCATTTTTTATTTCAATCAAATTGCTGATTTTCCTTTTGAATATATGCGATAAGTTATCATTCAATTTTGTGATATCCTTTAATAATGCAACTTTATCTTTTGATCCCGTGACGATCAAAACTTTCTCATATACTCTGGTATCGAAAGGATTATCATTGAATCTTTTGATGGCCACAATCAAATCACTAAGATTACAAGGTTGATAAGTATTAGCATACTTCAAGATAATTGAAGTATCAATATCTACATTCCATCTAAATTGTTTTAACTTTATATATAAATTAGTATTCTTGGAATTTTGAGATAAATCTCCTAATTGTCTGGTAACACTATGAGAATAAAGTCCCTCTAATCTATCCCAACATCTGAAAGTATCGAAAACTGAAGTGAACTTGAAAATCCAACTGAATTTGAATATTTTGGTCAATGGTGATGATTTCTTCTTTTTCAAATTTTCTTCGATATCATCAGTAAATTTGGCAGGTGATAAGAATATTAAGGCTTCAACTGATGATTCAGGTAATTTCTTGGCTACTCGAGTTGAAATATTACATCCCATAGAATGGCCAACTAATATGATCTTCTTTCCTTGAGGAATATTTTGAGTTATGAATTCCACTACGATTTTAGCAATATTGTCACTTGAAAAATCCAGATCTTTCATTTTACCAATAGAATTACTTATGTTGTGTCTTTCTTCAGGTGAAATATCCGTCAATTGACAATTATCATTAAATTTGATCTTACTATTCCCAAAACCTGGTAAATCTAATGATATAATTTCCAGACATTGTGATAATAAACCCATTAAAGGTTCGAATTGTGACATTTGACCTCCAAACCCATGGATAAATACAATAATGGGCAGTTGTTTCAAGTCTTTCAGGATGTCAATGGATTGATTATTTTCATTCTTCATGAAATTAACCAATGGATGAATGATATGCAAAGTTTGTAAGTAAATTTCATTAATAGATAAATCTGTTGAAGATAAATCAATTTTTGTAGTTTTGGAATATTTGGATATTAAAGCACAATCATTGGGTTCATTATGTAACACATATTTTTCAAATTCATTATCTTTATTCAATAATTGTATCTGTAAAAATTCATAAAATTTATACCAAAAAGTCTTTGTTTTGGATTGTTGAACTTTAGCAAGTTTATGAAGTTGATTAAATGAATCTAAAATGCTTTCTCGTGATACCGAAGGGGTTATTCCTGATAATTCTGGTAACTCAATGGTTTCACTCATATCTGGATTTTTCTGTGCGATAGGGATAATTTATCTCAGAATGCATGGACCAGATGCGAGAAGAGAACTGGAGAATTGGAAAGGAGTCAGGCACCGTCGTTGGGCAGAGGGTGATGACTAGTGTTGTTATTTGCGGGAGGGGTGGTCAACTACAGTCAATGTTTCGGCATCCAATTGTGCTTCCTCCACTATCTGTTCTACTGGTAATGCTTGTAATTGTCTGGGGGCTCATATAATTCACAGAGAAGGAGAGTTCATAGGGTCAATTAAGTTGATTAAATGACTCGAGCGATTCATTTGACAACTTTCTGTATAAACACTAGAGCCCATCAATAGACTTAAATCACCACCTAGGCCGAGCCACCCATCACTGTTAAATGATCAAACAATCCTGAATTACCCCGCCTGTCTTTCGTCTGAAAGATACCATTCAACAAATCTTCCAATAACCATCCCACAAGCTAATCCCTTCCCTGATTGTCGGACCGGTTCGTTCAATTCCTTCATTTACTCTCACATAATCTAATCTCTTAACCTCGCCTCAACAACAATCGCGAAATCATTCAAACTACACCCAATCGATAATGTCATTTAATAATGATGAATTAGATGATTTGGATGTAACGTTGGATAAGGCCTTAAGGAATGGGACCAACAATTTATTCACAACATATAATTCCAATCATTCATCTACTAATTCCCGTCATGCATCCCAAGGTTCGATAAATATCAATGGTATACCTTTAACCAACTACAATAATCAAATCGATGATGATAGTTCACCTTTAATGAACACCAGATATCATAGTTCCAATAGATCTTTTGATTCCACGGAATCCCTAGTTCATCCTCCTAACTCATTACCAAGTTGGGTTAACAAAATCATCAAATTCTTCAAGTTAGCCAAATTCGAATTAAATCAAGAACGTAATAAATTTAATAAAGAAGATCAAGAAAGATTTGTCAGTCCTCGTGGTAATAAATCTCAACATCAATACCCCACTAATGCTATCTCCAATGCCAAATATAATCCAATAACTTTCATCCCCATAATTTTATATGAACAATTCAAATTCTTCTTCAATTTATACTTCTTATTGGTAGCATTATCACAAATTGTACCTCAACTAAGGATTGGATACTTGAGTTCATATATCTTGCCTTTAGCTTTTGTGTTAACGGTTACAATGATGAAAGAAGCTGGTGATGATATCTCCAGACGTAGAAGAGATATTGAACAAAATAATGAATTGTATGAAGTTTTAAATCGTAATAGCTTGGCTGATGATATTAAATTAATCCCTTCAAAAAATCTCAAAGTTGGTGACTTGGTAAGAATTAACAAAGGTACAAGAATTCCTGCTGATTTAATCTTATTGCAATCTAACGACAAAACTGGTGAAGCTTTCATAAAGACTGATCAATTAGATGGTGAAACTGATTGGAAGTTACGTATTGCCAGTAATGTTACACAAAATATGAACGATATCAACGAAATTGTTAATAATATCCTGTTAATCATCAACCAACCAACAAAGTCAATTCATCATTTTAATGGTAAATTAATCTATCATCCCAATGGTTTTGGTAATAATGAAGAATCTTTTCCTCTTTCCATTGACCAAACTATGTGGGCCAATACGGTATTAGCCTCTGGTTCAATAGTGGGTATGATCATTTACACTGGAATTGAAACCAGACAACTGATGAATACTACTAAAACAGGAGTCAAAACTGGATTATTAGAATTGGAAATCAATAAGCTTTCCAAGATTTTATGTATCGCAGTTTTCTTGTTAAGTGTAGGTTTAGTAGCTGCCAAAGGTTGGCCATTATCGAAATCTTGGTATATTGATATTTTAAGGTATTTGATTTTATTCTCCACCATCATCCCGGTATCACTTAGAGTGAATTTGGATTTGGCTAAATCAGTTTATGCTTCTCAAATTCATAAGGATAAAGAAATTGCAAATACCATTGTTAGAACCTCAACTATTCCTGAAGATTTGGGAAGGATCGAATATCTTTTAAGTGATAAAACAGGTACTTTAACGCAAAATGATATGGAATTGAAAAAAATTCATCTTGGATCTGTAAGTTATGCTGGTGATACTTTAGATATGGTGTCAGAATACATCACCAGTAATATCAAGAATCTAGCATCTCATAACCCTATTTCTAATAATTTGAAAAAGAGAGATTTGAGTAATAAGGTTTATGAATTGGTTTTGACATTGGCTTTATGTCATAATGTTACGCCAACATTTGAAGATGGGACCGACGAAGTAAGTTACCAAGCAGCATCTCCTGACGAAATTGCTATTGTCAAATTTACCGAATCAGTAGGTTTGAAGTTGATACAAAGGGATCGTAAATTCATCTCCATTCAACATTTGAGACTGAATCAAATCTTTAAGTTTGAAATCTTATATAACTTCCCCTTCAACAGTGATACTAAGCGTATGGGGATTTTAGTACGAGATATGAATAGGGATGAGTTATCATTCTTACAAAAGGGTGCTGATTCTGTCATGATGTCTATTGTTAATGCCAATGATTGGTTGGAAGAAGAAACTAGTAATATGGCCAGAGAAGGTTTAAGAACTTTAGTCATAGGAAAGAAAAAAATTAGTAACAAGTTATTGTTGGATTTTGAGAACCATTATAAAGAAGCCAATTTGGCCATGTATGATAGAGATGTCTTAATGCAAAAAGTCATAGGTAACTATTTGGAAAAGAATTTGGAGTTACTTGGTTTGACAGGGGTTGAAGATAAATTACAGAAAAATGTCAAATCTTCTATCGAATTATTAAGAAATGCTGGAATCAAAATTTGGATGTTAACTGGAGATAAAGTTGAAACCGCTAAATGTGTTTCCATATCATGTAAATTGATCACAAGAGGTCAATATATTCATCAGATAACTAAAGTAAACCATGCGGATTTAGCTTTGAACCATTTGGAAATGTTGAAGATTAATCTTAATTCTGTTTTGTTGATTGATGGTGAAAGTCTTTTGACTTATATGAAATATTACCAGGACGAATTCTTTAGATTAGCTATTCAATTACCAACGGTCATTGCATGTAGATGTTCACCTCAACAAAAGGCAGATATTGCTCAAATCATTAAAGATATCACAGGTAAAAGAATTTGTTGTATAGGAGATGGTGGTAATGATGTCAGTATGATCCAAGTTGCTGATGTAGGTGTGGGTATTGTCGGTAAAGAAGGAAAACAAGCATCTTTAGCTGCTGATTTTTCCATAGATCAATTCTATTATCTAAGTAAATTGTTATTATGGCACGGTAGAAACTCCTACAAGAGATCTGCCAAATTAGGACAATTCATCATGCATCGTGGACTAATCATATCTGTTTGCCAAGCAGTCTACTCCATATCTTCAGATTTCGAACCTTTAGCATTATATCAAGGGTTTTTGATGGTTGGTTATGCTACTATTTATACCATGATGCCAGTATTCTCCTTAACTTTGGATTGTGATGTCAATGAAAATTTAACCAAACTATACCCTGAATTGTATAAAGAATTGACTCTTGGGAAATCTTTGAGTTATAAGAGCTTCATTGTTTGGTGTTTAATATCATTTTTCCAAGGTTGTGTGATTCAATTATTCAGTCAATTCTTCAAAACTTTAGATACTGACTTATTCAATGCTATGGTAAGCTTGTCATTCACGGTTTTAGTATTTAACGAATTAATCATGGTATGCCTTCAAATTAATCAATGGACCAAAGTGATGATGTTGACAGTAATTGTTACATTTGGAATTTACGTATGTTCAGCACCATTTTTGACAGAGTACTTTGATTTATCTTACATGTCATCCTTCTCATTCTACTGGCAGTTAGTTGTAATCTTGTCCGTAAGTTTGGTACCAATTTGGTTATTTACAACCATCAACAGAAGATTACGTCCACCAAGTTATGCTAAAGTTCAACAAGACTAGATATCTATATATTTAATACACTTTAATTTATAAAAAATCTATAACAACATGAAAGCAAACAACGGTAATAATGGCAACATCAATTTAGAGGCTGATCCCACTTGTGAGACTGTATTGGGTGGTATTGAAGCGGTTGCCGGTGATGAAATCGTAGAAACTGATTGTGGAACAATTGTATTCAGCGATGGTATCTTCGTGGAAGACCTAGCCCATGGTTGAATATTCGATTCGATGGGGAAAAATTTAGTAATTGTTGTGCTTTCCTCAGATACAATAGTGAATCCAGATGTCACAGCTTGATGTCCACACACATCCTTGACACATGAACTTATGAACAATACCGTAGTTGAGACACTGGGGGGTATTTCGGTTGTCAAAGGACAAAAAGTGGTAAAAGTGGTGGAGTCTTCTGTTATGGTGGTCAATCCTGTGATGATAGGACTCTCAGTACAACCACCATCTGAACAAGAAGTAACAGTGATAATAGTTGTGGAAATTCCCGTGATACAATTAACACATTTTTCATCTCTGGTGGTGGATTTAGTAGTCAACACCCCATTAGAAGTGGTCACAATCACTTCAATATCACCGGTGATGATTTCTCCATCAGTCATGGTTGAAGTAAAGCTGGTGGTAAACTCTGTGCATTCAGGGCAATCTGTGTTGGTGGTTGTACTAGTCTTTGTATCAGTAGTGGTACCAGTGGTAGTATCAGTAGTAGTATCAGTAGGCTCAGCTGAACAATCGGAGCAAGGAATGCAATCTGGGCACGAGGAGGTGGAAGAACATTCGGGACACACAGGGTCGGCAGAAGTTGATATGTACGAAGACCATGAAGAATCGGTAGGAATGGGTGTCTCTGAACTCGTATTCTCTGTGCTTTCATATGATTCAGATGAAGCCGCTTGTGAACTTGAACCACGCTCTGAGCTTTCAGATGGTTCTGAATTGGAGCTGAAATCCACCATGCTTGAAGAGGATTCGACGGTCGTTTCTGTAACATTCGAAGAAGCTGAGGATTCAGAAGGTGTTGAAGTGACCACTCGTGAAGATTCTGATGATTCCATGTTGGAACTCGATTGTTCAAAGCTTGAATCCGGCACTCCAGAGGTTGAACTCCATCTTTCCGAGCTTGGTTCTTCTGAACTCGAACTAGAGTCTTCTGAACTCGAACTGGACTCTTCTGAACTCGAACTGGACTCTTCCAGACTTGAACTAGACTCTTCCAAACTCGAACTTGATGTTCCCGAGCTCGAAGCTTCTGAGTTCGAGCTTGGCTCTTGAGAACTGGATCTTGAGGACGACACTTCAAAGCTAGAGCTGGATTCTTCAAAGCTCGACCCTCCAGAGCTTGAGCTCGGTACTTCTGAACTGGAGCTAGGCACTTCTGAAATCCAACTTGATCCCTCTGAGGCCGAACTCGACCCTTCTGAGCTTGAACTGGATTTATCAGAGCTTGAACTTTCTTCTGAGCTACTCGAGCTTTCTTCTGAGCTAGTTGAACTTTCTTCTGAGCTACTCGAGCTTTCCTCTGAACTACTTGAACTTTCCTCTGAGCTACTCGAGCTTTCTTCTGAGCTACTTGAACTTTCCTCTGAACTACTCGAGCTTTCTTCTGAGCTACTTGAACTTTCTTCTGAACTACTTGAACTTTCCTCTGAACTACTTGAACTTTCTTCTGAACTACTCGAGCTTTCCTCTGAACTACTTGAACTTTCCTCTGAACTACTTGAACTTTCTTCTGAACTACTCGAACTTTCCTCTGAACTACTTGAACTTTCCTCTGAGCTACTCGAGCTTTCTTCTGAGCTACTTGAACTTTCCTCTGAGCTACTCGAGCTTTCTTCTGAGCTACTTGAACTTTCCTCTGAACTACTCGAGCTTTCTTCTGAGCTACTTGAACTTTCTTCTGAACTACTTGAACTTTCCTCTGAACTACTTGAACTTTCTTCTGAACTACTCGAGCTTTCCTCTGAACTACTTGAACTTTCCTCTGAACTACTTGAACTTTCTTCTGAACTACTCGAACTTTCCTCTGAACTACTTGAACTTTCCTCTGAGCTACTCGAGCTTTCTTCTGAGCTACTTGAACTTTCCTCTGAGCTACTCGAGCTTTCTTCTGAGCTACTTGAACTTTCCTCTGAACTAGTATTCTCTTCAGGGAAAACAGGATCGTCAGGACATCCGACACAATTATTAGGTCTAGTATCATTCACTGGCTCGCCCGAATATTGAATTCCTCCATTATCTACTGTTTGGCCAGTAGGTAATCTCGAACTGACCTGGGTGAATAACGCTTCATCATAACCAACACCAATATCAAAATTGAATGAAGTTCCTGAAGACACCAAGGTTAAGATTCCTGAGTCCGTATCATAATCAAACGAATCAATAGCCTGGTTCAATCCTATTGTATTGGTACCACCGAAACCAAAGACCAGAAGATCTCGATTTACTGAATCCAAAGTGACCGTTAAACTACCACCGTCATCAGAAAAGTAAATATTTTGACCGGCATTATCAAAACCATCTCCAAACACTACTACCCCATCATTACCAATATCAAAGCAACCATCCCCAGCAATGGTATTCTCTTGGGTATAATCCATACGAACAATACATATGGAACCATCATTGGTTATCGAACCAGCTAACAGACCCAAATGAACTACACCGCTAGTGTAATCATCATCTTCAAATTTGATGGAACCAGTGTTATCCCAATTTGCAGATCCGATTTCCATATAAGGAGCTCCATACCAATCACTTCCTATCCAGTAAATTTGACCATTGTTTTGAAAAGTCTGGGAAACAACCCTATAATAAGGGTAGTAATTTGTTCCTCTCGAATCTATAATCCACTTCCCATTAACTAAAGTGGTAGCTAAAAGATCAGAAACAGTGATGGTGAATCCTAATAGCTCGGGAGTACCTCTGATGAATAAATCCCCTTGAAGAATCAAATTCCCGTTGAAATCCACATTTCCATCTTGAGTGATGGCCCAAAACACACCTGCTGCAACGCTTGAGGCACCCCATTGTGTAGCTCCTTGGTTAGTGGTGAATGTATTCTCGGTGATATCAATAGAAGCGATGTAGTGAAAGCCTGATAATAACAAAATCAAATTCCTAAAACCCAACATCACAGTGAATTGCTGTAACTGAAGAGAATGGAATTAATTATAAAGGAACCCACCTCTTGACTGCATATTGGACTGTTTCTGATAATACTTACCATATGGAGGTTAACCTGTAAAACCTATGGGGAAATAACGAGCCCCGCGTTATAATTAACGATGAAACGAACGGAATTAGTAAAAAAAGCCCTTTCTTTCCTATCTCAATTATAACGGATGTTCCATTTTTTTACAGCTTATTTACAATTTGGGTCTCCAGAAAAAGTACTGTATCCAACACCTGGATGTATATTTATATAAAGATCTTAGTTCAAAAACCTAGTAAAAGTCACAGTCAATATATGCATGAGAAAATAGAAATTTGATAGATATTTGAATGGATGAGTGGGTTTATCACGCTTAAAGTCATGGGGTCGTAATAAGATTTGTCACAAACTCAGATGCACATTTAAATGGCCCCATCAGTCATTTGACAGACACACTTTTGTTCATGCAAGTAACTTGGAATGTTCAAAATAAATTGTAGTTCAATTACCTTAATAGGTTTATTTTAGTAATCTTGCATATAAATCGAAAAATCTAGAGATCTACTATTAAAAGAAATTTACAGGTTAGCTTCCACTAAGATTGAACGATAAAGGGGAATGCCCTTAATTCGTGTCAAACTCGAGGAACCTAAAACAAATAGGTCAAATGTGCAAAGTTAAGTTTTTTTCTTCATGAATTAAATTTGAATTGTGTGAAAATCACAAAATTCCAATAGTAAAAAGAAACCCTAAAGACAGAAAAGCACAGATACGAAATCACGTGATAAAATGCCAAAACAGACAGACATCTCACGTGACCAGAATGTTTGTTCCATAAAAAGGAGTAAAATCACATTGACTTCAACAAAACATATGGGAGTCTCAGAGCAGGTTTTATTGATGGACCCCATTGCTTAAACAAGAAAAAGGGCTTTTTAAGGTTTGAGGGAAGTGTGTTACCAAGTCAACATCTCACACAATAGGACAATACCGTTATTCATTTACATGACGTTGTAAAACACGGATAGGGGACAAAACTTAGATTGTAAATATATCCAATCACCACCTTATAAGCTGTATGGAGATACCCATAGGCATTAGCAACTAACCTTATGTTTGATAAACATTGAGGTAAGTTACGGAATTTTAAGGAATTTATATAGTGGCCATCGTTTAGGAAAATCTACACCAATTAAAAACCAAATTTTATCGATTATAAATCACCTGTAGGTGAATAAAACTAAAGTCATGACTCTTTATGCCGCCCCAATTTACTACCACTATGGTGGTAATTGTTGGGAGTCATGTGGTACCTACCAATTATGGTCCGGTAGTAAACGATGAAATCATCCAATTTTTGTATCTCACGATTGTTCTGCATATAAAAATGATATGATGTTAGGGAATATAAATAATCAAAAATCCTTAGAATTTACTTTACTTTAACCACCAAGGCTAAACTAAGTAAAACTTCAATACACTCGTGAAATCAACAAATATCTGAACAATGGGAATTAAATCATCAATTTTAATAAGTTATTTATCTGTTTCCATAACTTTACCATTTTTGTTAAGCTACAAACAACTGTATAAAGATTACAACATCAAAGGAAATATTAACTACAGAAGCTTATTCAATAAGATCTAAGACATGTGGAGCTCAAGCTACCAGGGGGTTTGAATAATGAATTTGACTTTCAAGGGGTCAGGGACATAAAACCTCGTACAACCAAGAAATTGATTGGGTTTAAAAGCTCAAGTCAAATGGTTATCATTCAAAACTTCCATTGGGCATTCAATGCCCCAGATTTTGGTACCATAAATGGTCTGGTACTTTATCATGTTGCCAGAGTCTTTACCCACAAGGGAAATATAGAATAACGACAGATTAATATATATAATGAAAACACTTGTCTCTTGATGCATATCTCTTACCATATGACTGATACACTTTGTGGTCTGAGTACGTTAAACAAATTCTTCAGCTAATGATACCACAGTTACTGAGCCACACCCACAGTTTATTTCTGTGCAGATGCGCGGTTGCAAAAAAATCTCAAGAGGTGAAACGAAAACATATATTGGAAACAAAATGAAAATCAATGGAAACGAAACTGAAAACTCAATTGTAGGAAGGTAAACTATCATCCCATATTGGAGGATTTGCGGGAATAGTGAAACCTTTCTTGACTTGCGGGATTTCTAAGACCTTGGAAGCCCACTTAAAAACTCTTGGGTAGGCAGAGAGTTTAATACCAAGCAATGGAAGAAATGGGATCCACCCAATAAATAAAATATCTGGAATACTGATATGGGGCCCAACCAAGAAATCAGATCCATATTCTTCATTGTTACGTTTAAGAACCTCTTCCAAAACAGAATACAACCTCTTGGTTTCGTTAGTATATCTTTCAATAGCATAAGGAATTTTCTCTGGAGCGTACACTAGAAACCAATTGGCCTGTCCTTGCATGGGACCAATACCCGACATTTGAAAGAAAATAAGTTCCAACATTTTATTATACTCTTTAGTACCATGAAGGTAACTAAACTTTCTTTCCTTATCATAGGTATCAGCTAAATACATCAAAATGGCTGCACTTTCACTGATAGTAGTATTGGTAGATTCATCCACAAGAGTTGGGATTCTACCATTGGGATTCAATTTCAAGAACCATTCTTGTTTTTGTTCATTGTCATGAAGACTGATTGAGGTGGTCTCATGTTTTAAACCCAATAATTCAAGGTAAATTGACAATTTGTAGCCATTTGGCGAGTTTGCAATAAAAGTTCTTATAGACATTTTTATGACTGATGGTACAATTAGGATAACCACTCAATTTATATTTTTTCAAACCCTTGTATGCTTACTAAGCTATTGTAGATTACAAGCCTATAATCCAATCATTGGCTCCGACAGTGATGGTGAACACTCCACCTTTGTGTATTAATAAGAATGCGGCACTTAAATTTTCCGCGTTTGATTGAAATACGAGATGATGCACTGGCTGCGCACAAATAAGACGATAAGCATATCAGTATTTTATTGAGACTAAATACTTTATTTGAGTCTGATTATACAATAGATTTGAACAGAACAGTAACTCACAACTCAAAAGAAGGGATTTTGTCATTCCAAAGAGGAGGCTTATTGGGAGTGTGGAAACCTTTTCTAACTTCAGGAATTTGGAGCATTTTGGTAGCCCATTCAAGAACATTAGGGAACTCCTCGAGATTTGTCTTGTGAACGGTAAGACCAGGAACCCAGGAAATACACAAGACATCAGCAATACTAATATGTGGACCAACGAGAAAGTCCGAATCATATTCTTTCTTATTACGCTTAATAATTTCATCCAATACTGAATATAATCTCTTAGTTTCGTTAACGTACCTATCGATAGCATAAGGGATCTTCTCAGGGGCATACATAAGGAACCAGTTACCCTGACCTTGCATTGGACCGATACCTGCCATTTGGAAAAAACTGACCTCTAACATCTTGAAATATTCCTTGGTGCCTGGAAGGTAACTGAATTTTCTTTCCTTATCATAGGTATCAGCTAAGTACATCAAAATGGCTGCACTTTCACTGATAGTAGTATTGGTTGATTCATCAACAAGAGTTGGGATTCTACCATTGGGATTCAATTTCAAGAACCATTCTTGTTTTTGAATACCCTGACTGATCTGGATTGGTATAGTTTCAAATTTTAATTTCAATATTTCGAGATAGATACTGATCTTGTACCCATTTGGAGTTCCGCATGTATAAAGCTTCAAAGTCATGATTGATTAAAAGTTGAAGGATATTGATGGATTTAAATAGTACTTCGGATCATTAGACATTGACCATGTATTTTTGAAGTATTACAAATTTGGTGAAATGCCCAATCAGAAACTATTTTGAGTATCTGCCAGATCACCGATATCACCGCACAGTTTTTGCAGCCTAAGTTTTCAGATCGAAAAATGGGAAAAATCTTCCACATATAAAGCTGAGAGGAAAGTAGGTAAAAAACAAAAACATTTATTCATCAAGAGGTGGTAAAGCGTCATTCCAAGCGAAAGGTTTATTTGGAATAGTGAAACCTTTTCTGACTTCAGGGATTTCTAACATCTTAGTAGCCCATTTGAAAACGTTAGGGAATTCCTTGATGTCAATTTCAATGAACGAAAGGAAAGGAACCCAACCGATACACAAAACATCAGGAATACTGAGATGAGGACCAACTAAGAAATCAGAATCGTATTCTTCCTTATTACGTTTAAGAAATTCATCTAAAACCGAATAAACTCTTTTGGTTTCATTAGAGTATCTTTCCATAGCGTAGGGAATCTTTTCTTTGGCAAACTTAACAAAATGATTGGCTTGACCTTGCATTGGACCGAGACCTGCCATTTGGAAGTAGGTAACTTCTAACATTTTGATGTATTCCTTAGTGCCTGGAGCATAACTGTACTTTCTTTCAGTATCATATTTATCAGCTAAATATGTAAGAATAGCGGCACTTTCACTAACAGTGGTGTCGGTAGTTTCATCTACAAAAGTTGGAATCTTCCCGTTAGGGTTCATCTTCAAATACCAATCTTCTTTTTGAGTATTTTGTCCAATGTTAACGGGAATGGTTTCATATTTCAATTTCAATAATTCAAGGAAGATTGGGATCTTGTAACCATTTGGAGTACCTCCAGTATAAAGCTTTAATGACATATTTGTAATCAGATTGAGGGAGAATTAATGTTCGGCACACCCGCTTTTCGCAATCTACAAGAAGAAGAGCCAAACTTAATCAATATGTATTGGGACAAAAATATGTACTAAGGTTTGACAATAGGAGGTAACGAGTCATCCCAAATGTAAGGCATGTTAGGGATAGTGAAACCTTTATTGATCTCAGGAATCTCCAACAAATTGGTGGCCCAATCCTTGATTAAGGGAAAATCAGTAAGTGGAATACCCATGATAGGCAAGAAAACTGCTACGCAAAGGAACAAAACATCAGCGACGGAGATGTGATCTCCTACTAAGAATTTTGACCCGTAATCCTTTTGGTTTCTTCTCAAAAACTCTTCTAGGACTGAATACAACCTTCTGGTTTCCTTAGATAATCTTTCGAACTCTTCTACATGTTGACCTTTTTCAAATAAGGCTATGGATGTGGCTCTATTTTGCATAGGTCCCACAGAAGACATTTGAAAAAAACTGATTTCTAACAATTTATAGTATTCCTTGGTTCCTGGAGCATAACTAAAATTTCTTTCTTTATCATAAGTATCAGCTAAGTAAACCATTAACGAGGCACTTTCCCCAAGAGAAATATCAGCTGCCTCATCCTTAATGGTAGGAATCTTACCATTAGGGTTAAGTTCTAAAAACCACGGTTCTTTAGTTTCTCCTTTCAGAAGGTCGATCGGGATCATTTCATGGTCTATATTTAATAACGAAAGGAAGACACTCAATTTATAACCATTGCCAGTTGTTGCTGTATAAGCTTTTAGAGTCATTGGGTTCTGGTTGACTGAGTAATCAGGGCTAATATAGAGATATAGATGTACCTGTGACCTTTAAGTACTAGCGGCTTATAAATCAAAGATGATTACATGTATGAGCAGACCTCTAACAAATCCGTGTTCCGCTGACAAATTTTCTATATCGTCGGAATTTTTTACTTCCGTATCCGGAAATGTTGCAGTGGAACGTCGTTTTCAGTAACATATGAAGGGAATGTCTTACTTCATGCTGAAGAAAGCAAAAACTCTTCATCGTCGTCCAGGCAAAAGATTTACGATAAAAAGAAAATCATCGAGATAATCGTGGGAGCACTGATTTGAAGATCTGAGAGGTGGTACCACTTGAAGGTAAATCACAATAGTGGAGTCAAGATCGTCAGCGCAAGGTTAGAATGTAGTGGGGCCAGGGCGAGACTCGCCTCCATCATTACTTTTGGGTGAGAAATACTTTGCAAATTTATATTTGTAAGAGCTTCTATATTACATACCTCTGAATTGATTTCTGGATGCACTTCTACGTCCTTGGAATCTTTGCTTTGTTCTTCCATTCAATTGTTGTTTATCATTATCATCATCATTATCACTATCACTTTGGATTCTAACTTTTTTCTGTTTCTTCTCCTTAGTTGGAGTGAAGGTGAATTCGACTTCACCTTTAGCATGACGTTGTACTCTGATTTCTGGCTTAGTGACTTTATGCTTAATTTGACTGGCGAATGATGAAGTATTAGTAGTCGGTTCAACTACCTTCATTTCATTGATATCTTCGATCTGTGGTTGAGCTTTTGCCTTTACTTCCTTCTTTGGTTTTTCTTCAACTTCAGCTTCAGATTCAGATTCATCTTCAGATTCCGATTCCGATTCCGATTCAGAATCACTTTGTTTATAATTGAGCCTTTCTTCATCAGATTCTTCGGCTGCTGTTAATTGAGTGGTTTTAACAACAGGATTCAATTGTTTATAATCGTGACTTTCTTCATTAACCATAAATTCAGGATTTTCGAACATTTCTTTGAATCTATCATCATTAACAACATTTTCAGCCATTTCTTTATCTTTCTGGCTCAATTTATTAGCCAAATCTTTATTAACTTTAATCTTAGTATTATTGATAGCCCCAGAACTTCTGATTCTAGATTCTCTTTCCTTTTCAATCTTGGCTCTGATTTCTCTTTCACGTTGATCACGGTATGAATTAGGATTAGCAATTAAATTAACCTTATCATATAATTCATTATCAATGAAGAACCCATGCATATAAGATCTCATAACATTTGTACCGATCAAGTGTCCTAAAGATAATTTATCAACATCATCTCTAGTAATAAATTTATAATTAGAATAAACACTATCACTAGGTTTTTCTTCCAATTCTTCAGTAACATTATCCAAGAATGAACACCATCTTGGAGATGGCCCTAAATTAGGTATATAATAGGTATGCATTGGAATACCTTCATTGGCCATGAAAAACATTCCTGATTCGGGTATATGAGCCACATCATTGATGTCAACACTTGGTTCCATTGAACAATATGGTTTACCTGTGGAGTAATCCCAAATCTTGGCTATTCTCTTATCACTGGTTAAAATTTTATCATCAATCCAAATGATTTTCTTAATTTCGAATCCATAACCTTGATCTTTACTGATCATTGGTCTATCAGATCTCAAATCATAAATCAATGATTGACCTGAAGAAGTACCCAAAGCAAAATTTAATCCGCTGTTACTAAACTTAACCTTAGAAATTTCATCAACTCCATTAACATAACTAGTAAAATGATCACTTATAGATTCGTAAGGTAATTTTCCGGCTCTTGATTTGGCTCTTGGATCCCAAAATTCAACTGTACCATTTTCACAACCAGCAGCTACTAATCCATGAACTGGATTAACATCAACATCATTGATACCTTCAGATTCCATCACGAAAGGATTTAAAAATCTCCCTTGATCCAAGTTCAATCTATATAATTCGCTACCGGAAGATGCTACCATCAAATCACAATTGAATTGATTATAAACCAAGGCTCTACCAAACTTTGGAATTCTGGTTTTGTAATGTAAACCTCCCTTAGTTTGAAATTCAATCGATCTATCATTTTGTAAATGAACACTTTTAGTCCAGTCATTTGATAATATAAGGAAATCAATATTTTCGGCATCTGTGTGTCTATCGAATTTCAATGAAAGATTGGCAAAGTCATAAACATGAATTTGTGGTTTATAAACCCCAGTGGCCATGGCATATGATCCATCGGGAGTGACTTTAATTTTGTTTGATGATTCACTGAATTCAAAATCTTGAATTAATTCAATACGAGTTTGATATTCGATATCATTTTTTAATGATCTCTTACGTTTTTTAGCTATCCAATCTGGCAAGGATCTGGACACATTAGTACCAGCTACTTGATAGACTGATACGTCACCTGAGGAAGTTGATTTAAGAACCATTAGGTTTTTGCGATGAGATGAGTGCGTCTATATTTCTATCAGAAAACTTCCGTGCACCTCACTTTAGAGATTTTAAAAACACTATTTATTGAAATTGTTGAAATTCAACATATTTCACTGGTGGGAGATTATAAAATCTGTTGATTTCATCATTTCCACCGAAAAAATTGACAAAAGGTTCAATAAATTCTCTTTTTTCGTCAATGAATTCTAAGAGTATTGAATTACATATCTTAACAAGTTTTAAATCTTCAAAACACAAATCTTGGAGTAAGGATAACATATGTGACCAAATGATTGGGCTATCAATCTTGTTGAGGATAGTGACCAAGATGGGGATTAGCGGTTGCATTTCGTTCCTTTTGGGGTTCAAAATTTCAAAGATGCTTTTAACTCTCGAAACATAACATTGCAACATCAAAGGATCCTTCGAATCTCTAAATAGAACCAATTCATCAGAAATGAATAATGAAACCAACTGAAGTGATTTCGTTGCTGCTGATACATGGCCAGCTCGTGTATCAGGAAAGTCTTCGATTTTATTTACCCAGTCATCCAACATCCATTCGGGTTTGGCCATAGGAGGTAACTCTTCACCTTTACCGTTTAATAAGTAGATGGCTAATTTTTGGAAGAAAACAGCAACAGAAACAATAGGTCTTAATGAGTTGTAGACAGCATAAATATCGGCTTTCCCTTGGGGTAACTCAGTGTAAGCAATGATTTGATTCAAACTCCAATTAGCATAGACTATCAAAGTAGGTTCATTTTCTAATTCAGAAATTCCGTTATCAATTAATGAAAAAAGGGCTTTGAAAGAAGTTACTAAATTGACATTAGACGGCCAAGACGATGGGAAAATCAACTTAGGTTGAACTAAATCTCTAATTAAGTCAAAGTGGTCATATGACAAGACATTAATGGTAATATCTTTGATAAATTTTGAATCCGGATAATTCAGTGTATTGGCAAAAAAATCCGGACTCTGAGCCACCATAATGGAAACTAATTCGTTATCATCTATTAAGAAGTTTAACAAAGATTGCCAGGGTTCAAACTCATAACTTTTCAGAACAATATCTATCAACAGTTGGATATTTTTCAAATTAGTGAATTTTACCAAAGTTGCTAAGCATTTACTGGTCAAAATGTCAATATTCCCTTCAAAAAGGGATGGATTTAATTCCGACAATGCAAGACCTCTTACGCCAAAATTAATTTTTGATGCACCACCGCTTAAGATTAAAATTTTAGAAATTGTTTCATTGTTTAACATAATCTCTCTCATTTTAGGAAATAATTTCCGATTAGTTAAATGTTCCAACCCCACTATTGTCACTAAACAAACCATTTCTTTATGAAACTCTTGCCAACCATTATAGTCCAAAATATTGAGTAGGGGTGAGAATAGATCTATATCATAAGGGAAAAAGTGAATTAATTTCAAAACTTCGGTGTAAACATTAATAATGTTAGTGAAATTCAATACTTCTCCATCCTTCAAGATAAATTGTTCTCTTACTTTGGAAATTGCTTTTGTAATCGGGGACAAAATTTCATCTTCATTAGAATTCATTCTTATGTACCAAGATTTTTAACTATCCTAATTCCGTTTGGTAAACTTTAAACGATATTAACACTATGCGTATACTTGTACGAACAACCAGATTGTTTTTTCTCTTGCTTAAACCTCTTATAGGGATCTTTTTCTTCCAAAGATAGTCTGAGTATATGACAAGTAGCTGGTGGATAAAGTGGTACTTTTTCGCGATAAAGGTTTTTGCAACCACTTTGTTATCTATAACAATCCATATCAAAAGTCAAGAATAGGGTTTAGGATCAATTACAATATCTAAAAGTATGAAAATTAACCTTTGCTTTTTGAAACAGTCCTTGGATTGCTTTTAGTCTTGTTACAAAAGGAAAAAGAAAAGCTTATGCAAGTTTATGTACGCATCAGAGAAACTTAAGAAATGAGAGAGTATTGAACCTACAGAGTTTTCAGGATGAAAGACGCAAGACGCACCTTTGCGAGTAAGGTGTAGGATTCGCCTACTGTCAATTATGTTCTAACATATTCTCAATATTTCCTCGGACAGTTATGAATGGCGGAGTCCAGTAATTGCTGCTAGATATCGCTATGGCGACGTTCAAGTCGCAAGTGAAACCATCAAAGTGGTGTTCTTTCTCGACAAATAGAGAAAGAATGTTTAGAGTGTTTGATATTGTTCTGTATGTATTCAAGAGAAATTAAATTTGCAGCTTCTTTGATTCTTGAGCTAAGGATTTCCTTCTGTAGAAGCTTCTCGCTCTTTATCCTACTCTAAATCAGTTGAGACTCGATAACATTGAAGTCATTTGGAAACAGTGACCCTCTGTATAGTTTCCGACCATGTCAGCAGTAGAGTTTAAGGCCAATTTGAAGCAGTATTATTTTTGAGCGGGTCAATTGATTGAGATCTGTAGATGTAACTATTACCTGAATAGTTGAAAGGCTCAGAGTCTGACTTGCCGTGGCATTACTATCACGCTTGTTTAATGGGGGACCACTTCATTGAGATCTTCAATAGCATGAGTGTACTTAAAATAGTTGATGATAATAGCAAAATGTACGTCACCAGCGTACAAACAGATTGCCTGTTACTTACACTATTATCACGTTTATACCATCCTGTTATATAACCCAAACCTGCTAAAGTTAGAGATAACTTAGCAATCTCAGAAGTTATCATTTCAAAACATTGGTCATCAAAAGGATTACCCCCTTTGAAGTGGTCTCTACACCTACGCCAGATATTCAAATAAACTGGAGATCCTTGTGCCACAACTGCAGTCAACACTAATAAACCTTGCGTGGTACTTATATGCAAATCTACAAATGTGGTCCAGTTTATTAGGTATAGCATCACTAAATGGAGTAGAGTTAATAGTAAAAATTCATCGGTTCTCATGATGAATTAAGTATGTTCAGATCTGTCCTAGCCAAAATCGAAAATATATTGATAGTAGGTAAACGCGACATCTTACTCGCAAAGGTGCGTCTTTCATCCTGAAAACACTGTATCAGAGGTGAATGAATGTTCTGTGACGATTTCCCCATTACCCCAAATATTTACTGATACGCTCAATTAGCACCTCAGACCATTTTATCCTAGGCCCTGGAAAAGTACCCATCGGAAGTCTCACCTTCCCAATAATAAAGTTTGAAAAGATCTGATGTAGCGTGCATGGATTATTTTTTGATCAACAATCACAATAAACCAATCATATTCCTTAATCCCTTCTAAAGCGGGAAAGCTCAAAATCGAGATTTGCTATTTTATGCGAGGCTGGTATTAGGATGTGCGCAAAAAGAAAGCAGAACAATATAATTTCGAAGATCTTTTATCAAATATTTCTTACAATTGCGTCAAAATGCCTTACAAACAGTAAATAATCTTTTTTAGACCAAATTATAAATAAATGAATGACCTAGGTTCATATCCAGGAGAGGGAAATTTTTAGTTACGAGACCCCTATCCTGTATGAGCATAAAGTTTTACCTGACATGCACCTGCAGTGGCCCACTCTGGGATACAAGATAAGTTAAGTCCCCAAGTTGTGGGTTCAAGGGTCTTAAGGCGAGTTTAAATCCATATATATATAAGAGCTGTGCTGTTATTCTGGAAAAAATTTATAACTCCCTTTTGAATCTTTTACCTATGAGGAAAACAAATCATAAACGTAGTCCTTCAGTTGATCATAGGAAAGTAAGTTCAAGCGATGAGAGTTCATTTAGTTTAAATAGTTTTGTTATCACACCCCCAGATTCTCCTAATAGTATTCATACTCCCCTGTTTAATAAACGAATTATAGATTTGGATGAAGTTACTAAGAAGAGTCTGGAATACCAAAGGAAGTTGTCTGATTTTTCGTTGGAAAGACTTTCAGATAGACCCAGTGTAACGAAGATTTCGGAGTTCCCTCATCGGAGTGGCAGATTATCTATAAGAAGATCACTTTCTGATAGTAGTGCTATTGATCCCTGTAGTTATCAGGAAGGAGGAGATGAACCAATTATATCGTTGGGTGATATTCTAAAAGAAGATATACGATACCATTCGACGGAATTAAAACGGATTCCAAGTTTACCTGATAGTAGCAATCAGCTTCTTCGGAAATATTCTACTGTGAGAGAACGTTGAAACATGTAACATAATAAACCAAGGATTTAAGGATTAATAGTAATATATACAAGGAAAGGATATGACATTATCTATTTACTAATTTCGGATTGTAAAGCTTCTAATTGTTTGAGGACAGCTGATTTGGCAGTACCACCAATAGCTGTTCTTCTTTCAACACTTACTTCAAAACTGAAGACATCCTTAACATCATCACCAAATCTTTCATCGATTGATGTAAATTGTTCCATTGTTAATTGATCAATACCGGATAATTTTAATTCTTCAGCTAATCTAACACATTCACCTGAAATATGATGAGTTTCTCTGAATGGGACACCTTTTCTAACTAAATAATCAGCTAAATCAGTAGCTAACATATCCATAGTCAAAGCACCTTCCATTTTTTCTTTATTTATTTCCATAGTGGAGATAATACCAGTAGCAATTAAGATTGAATGTTCAACAGTAGTCAAAGCATCGAATAATGGTTCTTTATCTTCTTGTAAATCTTTGTCATAAGATGATGGTACAGATTTATAAGCCATTAAGAAACCAGCTAATCCACCGAAAACTCTACCACTCTTACCTCTTAACAATTCTAATGAATCAGGATTTTTCTTTTGTGGCATTAATGATGAACCAGTTGAATAAGCATCAGACAATTTGAGAAATCCGAATTCAGCTGTTGAATAAATGATAAAATCTTCAGCAAATCTTGAAATATGATTCATAAATAAGGTTGACCAAAATAATACTTCAATTACAAAATCTCTATCACTAACAGCAGTTAAAGAATTACCAATTATTGATTCAAATCCTAATTCTGTAGCTAAAAATTCTCTATCAATTCCATAAGGATGTCCTGCTAATGCACCAACACCTAATGGTGATGAATTAACTCTAGAAATGATTTGTTGTAATCTCTTATAATCTTCAACAAAATATGTAGCATAACTTGATAATAAATGAGACCATCTAATTGGTTGAGCTCTTTGCATATGAGTATAACCTGGCATTAAAACATCAATTTCTTCCTTTGATCTTTTAATTATAGTATCGATGAATTGAGCTAAGATTTTACTCAATTCACTCAAATTTTCCCTGACATAGATTCTCATATCACAAGCAACTTGATCATTTCTTGATCTACCAGTATGAACTTTACCAGCAATATGTTTCCCAATAATTTCTCCTAATCTTCTTTCATTAGCAGTATGAATATCTTCATCACCAGGTTTTTCTTCGAATTTATTTTGTTCCCATTCTTCTTCAATTACCAACAAACCTCTGTGGATTTCTTTTAATTCTTCATCATTGATTAAACCCAATTTATTTAATCCGGCAGTATAAATTTTTGTACCGAACAAATCAGCTTTATACATTTTTTGATCATAAGGTAATGATGCATTATATAAATCCATTAAAGGATCAGAGGCTCCAGTGAATCTACCACCCCATAATCTGTTACCAGTATCTTTTGACATTCTTATTTAAATCTAATCTGAAAAACTTTTGGAATTTGACAAACTTTTATATTGTTCAGATTGTTCATCGCGGTTGATGAAAAACCATTACTCGATTAGTCATTGGTATAGACACGACATTAATTTTGACAGATTGCAGTTGGAGTGGTTGCAAAAAGTCAAAAAAGAAGAACTTTTAGAGAAGAAGCGGAACGAACTTGAATATTAAATACATTTATGGTTTACATCTTCCAGTGAATCTAGGATACAAGGAACAATCTCTAACGGTAAATCTATCACATAACCAAGCTAAAATTCTTTCAGTACCTAAACCGTAACCACCATGAGGACAAGTACCATATTTTCTTTGATCAGTAAACCAATAGTAGGATTCTTTGTCTAAACCTTCTCTTTCTAAAGCATCCATTAATTCTTTGTAATCATAAATTCTCATTGAACCACCAGTAATTTCACCAACATTTGGCATTAATACATCAACCGATTCAGTAACTCTTGGATCATCTTTACATCTTTGCATGTAGAAAGATTTAATTTCAGCTGGGAATCTGGTCAATAAGATTGGTTGATTAATAGTATCGGTCATTTTACGTTCGGCAGCTTCAGCGATATCATCACCAAATTTGAATTTTTCACCATCTTCATTTGGAATACCATGTTCGTTTAACCAATCTAAAGCATGTATATATTCCATTCTTAAGAAAGGCATTTTTGGTGGTTTAAAATCAGGGTTTAATTGTTTAACTAAAGGACCAGCAATTGGATCTTCCAAGACATAATTAACAGATTTGGTAATTAATCTTTCTAATTGACCTAATAAATCTTCAAATGTTATAAAAGCTAATTCAGCTTCAACGTGAGTATATTCAGATAAATGTCTTCTAGTATGAGATTTTTCAGCTCTGAAAGATTCTTGAACACAGAAAACATCCCCTAAAGCAGGTAAACAAGTTTCTAAATACAATTGTGATGATTGAGTTAAATAAGCTTCTTCACCATAATAACCCATTTTGAATAATGTTGAACCACCTTCAACTTGATTTTGAACCATACAAGGAGGAGTAACTTCAGTTAAACCTTCTTCATTGAAGAATTTTCTGAAAGCATTTAATAATGAAGCTCTAACTTTCATAACGTTAGATAAAGTTTCACCTCTTAAAGTTAAATGACGTTGATCTAATAATAATGAAGGATCAGCTGATTCTTGGACTTTATTAGTGAAAGCATCATCACCACTTGGAGCTAATCCAACGACTTCATAATAATCAGCTTTCAATTCAACACCACCTGGAGCACTCTTACCTTCAGGCAATTTCTTAATAACCCCTTTAATGACAACAGTTGATTCTAAAGTCAATTCTTTAGTAGTAGAAACTTTAGCTAAATCACCAGTTAAAACACATTGAATGTATCCAGTACCATCTCTTAAAGTAATGAAAGCTAAACCTTTTTGAATTCTTAAACGATGGATCCAACCTTGTACTGAAACTCTTGAATCAATGAAATCTCCAAGGTTTCTTAATTTAATCTTTTCAGCTTTTGGTAATGATAAATCTTCTTTGATTTCAATTATTTCTAAATCTTCTAATTTTTTAGTAGTTGATGATTCTTTTTGTTCTTGTAATTTAGCAGCTTTTTCTTGTTTCTTTTTTAAACCTTCAGCTCCCTTTTTAGCTTTCTTTAAAGCTGATGCTGAAATTTCAACATAACCTTCAGAATCTTCTTGTACTTTAAATACTAAGATTTTACTTTCAGGTTGAGTGAATAATGCATAAGCTGCACTTGCAAAAGGTTTTTCTTCAGTACCAAATCCAGTACTGTCAGTACCTTTAGTTTCATGAACGTAAACTGACATTTTTGTGTTCTAAGTCCTTTATCAAAAATTTTCAACACTCCAGAGTGCGCGTAATTTGAGTCACAGTCAAATTTTTCTCTCTCTTTTTCATCAACTTACAGAGACAAATGTTAGAACAATCATTAGCCGCTTTATCATTAGCTACAGTTAATGGAGATAATGCTATTCCAACCAAAACTTTGGTTTTCAAACCAAAAACTGCTAAAACAGCTACTCCAATTCCTGTTATAGTTTTTGCATTACAATCAACTTCAACTCCATCAGGTATAATTGCCAAATCTGTTAATGTTAAAGAACCAAGATTAGCTAAAGATGATTTAACCATGGAATTTTTCAACAAATCAACCAAAGAATTCAGTATTGCTGATTTAAACAAAGATTCAGCAGGTAAAATCAAATTTATCATCGATAGTCAAATTTTAAAATCTGATGACGTATTAGAATTATCAACTGAAAGTTCAAAAGCTGCTTTACCAGCCAAAACCATAGTAGAATTTTTAAAATCTATTGATATTGAATTAGTTGAAGTTGATTTTTCAGCTGAACCAACCCCAGCACCACCAGCTGAAAAATCCAAGAAAGATTTATTAAAAGAAGAAAAACAAGCAGCTAAATTAGAAGATGCTAAATTAATTGGTATCACTGTTGATAAAGCTAAAGATTTTTCATCATGGTATGCTCAAGTTGTTACTAAAGGTGAAATGTTGGATTATTATGATGTTTCAGGTTGTTATATTTTAAGACCAAATTCTTATGCTGTATGGGAAACTATTCAAGATTGGTTTAACATCAGAATTAAAAAATTAGGAGTTAAAAATTCATACTTCCCAATGTTTGTTTCATCAAGAGTTTTAGAAAAGGAAAAAGATCATATTGAAGGATTTGCACCAGAAGTCGCTTGGGTAACTAAAGCTGGTTCATCAGATTTAGAAGAACCTATTGCTATCAGACCAACTTCTGAAACTGTTATGTATCCATATTATTCTAAATGGATTAGATCTCACAGAGATTTACCATTAAAATTAAATCAATGGAATTCTGTTGTTAGATGGGAATTCAAACATCCTCAACCATTTTTAAGAACTAGAGAATTCTTATGGCAAGAAGGTCATACTGCTCATTTAACTAGAGAAGGTGCTACTACTGAAGTCGAACAAATTTTAGATTTATATGCTGGAATTTATGAAGAATTATTAGCTGTTCCTGTTGTTAAAGGTAAAAAGACTGAAAATGAAAAATTCGCTGGTGGTGATTACACTACTACTTGTGAAGGTTTTATCGCTGCTACTGGTAGAGGTATTCAAGGGGCTACTTCTCATCATTTAGGTACTAATTTCTCCAAGATGTTTGATATTTCTGTTGAAAATCCTGAAGGTTCTGATAAACCAAGAGTTTTCGCTTTCCAAAATTCTTGGGGTTTATCTACTAGAGTCATAGGGGTCATGGTTATGATTCACTCTGATAACAAAGGTTTAGTTTTACCACCAAGAGTTGCTCAAAACCAAGTTGTTGTTATCCCAGTGGGTATTACTGCTAAGACTACTCCTGAAGAAGAAAAATCCATTAATGATGGTGCTGCCGATATTGAATCAAGATTATTAGCTGCTGATGTAAGAGCCATTAGTGATTTCAGAGAAAACTATTCTCCAGGTTGGAAATTCTCTGATTGGGAATTAAAGGGTGTTCCATTAAGAATTGAATTCGGTCCAAAAGATTTGAAATCTGGTCAAGCCACTGTTGTTAGACGTGACAATGGTGCTAAAGCTGTTGTTGCTTTATCAGAATTAGAAACTAAAATCCCAGAATTACTCGAAACCATGCAAAAAGATTTATTAGAAAATGCTCGTAAAGATTTTGATAATCATAGAGTTGTTGTTGAAGAATGGAAAGATTTCGTTCCAACTTTAAATGCTAAAAATGTTATTGTTGCTCCATGGTGTGGTGATGGTGATTGTGAAGATGATATTAAAGATTCATCAGCTAAAAAGGATAATGGTGAAGATGAAGAAGTTGATGAAAAAGCTCCATCAATGGGTGCTAAATCTTTATGTATTCCATTTGATCAACCAACTTTGAAACCTGATCAAAAATGTATTAAATGTGATAAAAAGGCTGTTAACTATTGTATGTTCGGAAGATCTTATTAGTTCAGTTATTTTTTCAAAGTCATTATATATATTGCGTGTATTTAATTTAATAATTTTATAGATTCTTGTACTGATCCCAGAAAGACGAGCCATCAAGCTCTTCAACTGACTGTTCGATAGTTCCTCTAATGGTAAGATGTGAAATATGAGTAATTCCCATGTCCTTCACGTATTGCCATACTTTATGATAGTTTAAACCTATTTGGGCTAATCCATGCGAATCATCGGATAAACAGAATTTACCACCCAATTCTAAAATCAATTTGACCATGTCAGGTTTAGGATAAGGCGAATCCCAACCTTTACGTATAGCAGCTGAGTTCAATTCGAATAAACCTCCATAAGAATTGACAAGTTGAATGTTTTTGACCACTTGATCGTAAACCTCTGGCCATTGAGACAATTCTACTAGTTCGGTGGTTTCGAATAAACGTATAAGATCGAAATGTCCTATAACTGAAGGCTTGAGGGTATCTATAACAAGATGTTGCAATTGGAAATAATCTTTATATAAAGTCCTAGTAGTTCCATCACTGGTTAAGCTTTTAGCTTCTTCCCACTTATCTACGGAAAAATCAATGGGTATTCCATGAAGGAAATGAACCGATCCAACACACATATCGAACTTATGTTTAAAACTATGAGCTAAAAGTAAATGTTCCTTGTCAGTACCTTCAACTTCGAAACCTACCAAAACTTCCATTTTATCTTTGTATTCTTGTTGTAATCTTTTAGCATGCTCATAGTAGTTATTGAAATTCTTATTAAGGGATTCTATAGTATAAGATTTTTCGATTTCTTCAGGATATAAATAATTCATTGAGGTCCGAGGCATATGTTCAGTTAAACAGAATGTTTTAAACCCCATTGAATAAGCTTTAGCTACTATGGAATCCAAATCATCAACAGCATGGCTGACATACAGGCCACTATGGGAATGGTGAGAATGCATTAAATCTTGATGCGAAAAATCAACCATGAAATGGTTTAGAAATTATTCATTACGTCCTACCATTAAGCAACTTTTACACCATCCAGTGGTGGGAGAAGATGTGACTGTAATGGGGCATATAAGAACTGTTAGAAAATTTAAGAAAATAGGATTTTTGGACATAACTGATGGTTCTAGTTATAAAAATCTTTCAGTCGTTTGTAAAGATGTAAATTTATTGAATGACTTTAAAGTAGGACAAAGCGTTTATTTAGAAGGAACTGTTGTAGAATCCAAAGGAACTCAAGATTATGAACTTTCTTTCGATGTCAATAAACATAAAATCAAAATCGTAGGTGATATTGAGGATCTGTATCCCATTCAGAAGAAAGAGACTAGTTTCCAATTCCTTCGTACGATCCCCGAATTTAGACATAGAACTTCAACCTTAGCTTCCATACTTAGACTTCGTTCCGATATAGAATTTAGTTTACTTAATTTTTTCAAAAAACAAGATTTCGTCAAAGTTACACCTCCAATGGTAACCAGTGCTGATACTGAAGGAGCTGGTGAACAATTTGCTCTTGAACCAATTAATCCTAGAAGTAATATTGTTAATGGGAAAGAAGAAATCGATCATTTCTTTGGGAAACCTGCTTATTTAACTGTATCAACTCAATTACATTTGGAAATCTTAGCAGCTTCTTTGAACAGAGTTTGGACACTTACTCCATGTTTCCGTGCAGAATATTCCAATACTAATAGACATTTGAGTGAATTTTGGATGTTGGAAGCTGAAATATCTTTTGTTGAAGAAATAAGTCAATTAACTGATTTCTGTGAAGATATGATAAAATCTGTCATTTTGGATATCAAGGCCAACAGTGAAGATGTGCTAGGATCAAGATTTAATGACGCAGAAAGACAAATAATGCAAGAAAGATGGGATATCACTGATAAAAAATGGCCCAGTATCACATATACTGAAGCTATAACTATATTGAAGAATCACGATTCTTCGGTTCAATGGGGAGATTCTATCTCTACTGAACATGAAAAATGGTTGGCTGGTGAACATTTTCAATCTCCAGTTTTCATCACTGATTATCCTAAACTGCAAAAACCATTTTACATGCCATTATCGAAAAATAATGATACATCCCAACCAACAGTTGCATGTTTCGATTTAATTTTCCCCACAATAGGGGAATTAATCGGAGGTTCTCTTAGAGAACATAATTATGATAAGTTGGTGGAAGAATTACAATCAAGAGGTATGAAAAGAGATATGAATTGGTACTTAGCTATCCGTAAGAATGGTAGTGTACCCCATGGGGGATTCGGTATGGGATTTGAAAGATTACTTTTGTACCTCACTTCTATAGAGAACATCAGAGATGTTGTAACATTCCCTAGATCACCCCAATCTTGTGATTGTTAAATCCCTAACTAGATTAAAATTTCATCAGTTTTATAGTGTAAATAGTCAAATGCTCACAAAAAAATTTTCAGCAAACGACTCACTCAGTAAAGATGGATCAATTAAACGGTAAAGAACAACAAGAATTTCAACAACTCATTGAACAAAAGCAAATGAAAGATTTCATGAACTTATATTCCAATTTAGTTTCAAGATGTTTTGATGATTGTGTTAATGATTTTACTTCATCATCATTAACTTCAAAAGAATCAAGTTGTATAATGAAATGTTCCGAAAAATTCTTAAAACACAGTGAAAGAGTTGGTTTAAGATTTCAAGAACAAAATGCTTTATTAATGCAAAACATGCAAAAACGTTAGATTAGTTATTCTGTACATATATACTTTTACTATTGGTATACTTTCTCTCCTTCTCAAATCTCATAATCGCGGACAACATGACAGAATCTGAATGTTTAAGACATGGGTTACTGAGTCTAATAATAGCATCAACCGTTAACAAGGTATTACATAGATTCAATTCTTCTAATGTTAAAATAGATATCCAGGTGTTTTTAAATCATTTGAAGTTAAATATTAAGAATTATAAGCATGTTTTTGGTCGACCTCAAAAACTAGATGTTATCGATACTAAAGATAAATTGATAAATTTCATCGATACAACGAGTTTCAAAGATTTCATAGACATTCAAGGTGATGTTGTACATATCAAGGGAGATACTGATGACTATCCAGTTAAAATAAAGGGTATTATTATTGAATCTAGTAAGAAGTATTCACAATTTCTATTCAAAAATGTTAATGATTTGGCCAAACTTTATAATAATTTGAAGAAGGGTGACGACGAAAGGAAGAAACAGAAAGCTTTGGAAGCTATGGAAGTTGATGAACCAGAGGTCAAGACTCCTGAGAAAGAGGATGAAAAGGTTGAGGAATCTACCAAAGAAGAAGTTAAAGAAGCGGATGAAGATGAAGACGATGAAGACGAAGAGGAAGACGACGATGAAGAGGAAGACGATGATGAAGAAGAGGGTGACGAAGAAGATGAAGGAGAAGAAGAATCAGAAAAAGAAATAGAAAAACCAATCACAAAAACCTCAAAAAATGGTAAATCACCCAAGAAAGAGGTTGTCCAACAAGAAGAGCTGGAAGACAGCGAGGATAGTGATGATAGCGAAGACAGTGATGAAAGTCAAGATAGTGAGCCTGAAACCAAAACTTCATCTAAATCTAAGAAAGTTAAATCATCCCCAGTAAAACAGAAAGAAAGTGAAGAGGAGGATGACGAACAAGATGAAGAAGAGGAAGAGGAAGAAGATGAAGATTCAGACAAAGACTCAGAGAAAGAGCCCGAAACTGAACAAGAGACTGAGAAGGAAGAAACGAAAGTGGAAAAAATCAAAAAAGAAGAGGGTAATCGAACTCCAAGACGTAGTAGTAGAAAACGTTCAGCATCTCCAGCAACTACACCTAACCAGAATTATAAGAAGTTCCAATCCATTGCTGTTAACCTCGTCAACAATATTCAATCCCATAGGTTCTCTTCAGTATTTTTACAACCAGTTAACAAGAAAGAAATACCGGAATATTATGATGTAGTTTATCACCCTAAAGATTTAAAAACTTTCATGAAGGATGTTAAAGTTAAGACTGGAAAACCCAAATATACCACATTAGCCGAATTAGAAAGAGATATTTTACTAATGTTTGCAAATTGTATAGTATTCAATCATTCCGATGATGACCTTGTTAAATTAGCCAGAACTATGAAAGATGAAGTTGTCAATAGTTTCAAGATATTCCGAGAGGCAGGTAGCGAATAAAAAGATTAATTAACAATATATAAAATTAGGTTTCACTTGAAACTTCATTAGTTTTAAATTCTACAGCGTTCTTATCGACTGAAACATTAGTGGATTCAATTGAACCTTCTTCAGTGATGACTTTTTTCTCATCTCTTAATTGTAAGTATCTTGTTAACAAAGCAACAGCAAGACCAGCAAATACTGTGCAAATCATAGCAATAGCACCTTTTCTAAATTTAGGAGCAGTATCAGCACCATAGAAAAGTAAACTCCACCAAGCATTAACAGCATTTGAGAACATATTCATTGAAGCTAACACAACAGCTCTTTCAGGTAAATCATCAGCACAAATAATATTGGCCCAAGCAAAGAAAGTGGCTTGACCTGAATATGAAACTCCTGATAAATAATAAGCTGCCATAGCAACAGAATGATTTAATGGGTTAACTAAAATCATTATAGCTGAAATTAATAATACAATACAAATGTAGATACCTACTCTATAATGATATCTTGCACCAGTACCATCAACGTATAAACCACAAAGGAAGGTTGAAATAATACCTACACCGTAAAGACCTAAGATATAAGTATTTCTATGAGTAATACTATAATCAAAATAAGTTAAGTAAAGGGCTAATAAGGAATTAGTACCAAAACTTTCATTTTCACCGAACCAAACCCATAACATTGATAAACACCAGAAATGCCATCTACCTAAAACTCTTTTAATTAAAGATAAATCGATTTTAGTATGTTCTGGTGGAACAACTCTCTTTTTAGCTAATTCAAGTTCTTCAGTAGTGAAATATCTTGCAGTACAAGTTTCTGGAGTGTTTGGGAAGAACAAGAACCCATAAAGAGCAATAGGAACAGTAATAACAAAATCAATAATGAACAACCATTGGAATCCATGAAGTCCTTGTTTACCATCCATATTGGTATGAATAGCAGCTTGCATGAAAGATGAGAACATGTTACCAATCAAACCACTTGAAGTGAAGATAGCACTTCTTTTGGTGATTTCAGTTTCAGTATACCATCTTGACAATAATAAATGCAGCCCAGTGAAAGTAACACTTTCAAAAATACCTTGGAAAAATCTAATAATACAAAATTGATAATAATGGGATGATTTGAATAACCCTAAAGTCATCAAACCCCAACAAAGACAACAAAAACTCATCCAATAATTAGCTTTGACTTTTAATAAGATCAAATTATTAGGAATTAATCCTACAACATAACCAACAGTGAATAAAGTATTGATCTTATTGAATTCATTACCTTTTAATTCGGCATACTCTCTAAGACCTGAAGTATAAGCACTAGCAAAGTTAGCTCTATTAAGATAATTAGACCAGTAGACTAAACAGATGAAAGATAAAATGAACCAATCCATCTTGAATAATAACTTGGCTTCAACAGGATTGGTAGGAGCTTCACCCCAGACCAATAATCTTATGCTTCTTAAAACACCCATTATGATGTGGTTTTTATTAAATAAACAACTCTATTGTTATAAACTGGGAGATTTATTGGATCTTATATAGGCAGCTTTAGGTTGTGTCGTATCTCAGATAATGGTTTTCTCATCCCATGTCGTCTGGTGTACTGAGGTATTCTTATCAAAATCCACTCTTTCGGCCTTCCTTGGGCGAAATCCCAATGCGGTGAAAGACGTCCTTATCTTCAGCCACCCAACGGAATGCGTTTTCATTTGACATGGAATTGCAACTCTAATCGAGAGTGATTGATAAGAGAAAAAAAGATATGGACAATAGGTGTTTATTTGCCAGTTTTTCCGGAACCAAAAACGTTCTAGATTTCATCGTCTAATAAACTAGATACAACTTTCATCATTTTAATAACTTTCTCTTCTTGTAATCTTCTACCAACAATTTGAATAGATACAGCTCCACCATGAGTTTCTTCAGGGTCATAATCTTCCCAAATCATTTTATCACTATTACTGTAATTAGTACATACCGGATCTTTTGGATCTAAATCTTTATCAGCTCTGGTGACCGGAATAATACCTGCACTATAATCAACCAAATTGAAAGGTGAGGTATAACCAACATAATCACGGAATTTATGATTTGGACTACCTGCAAATGGAGTAGCTGGCATGATAATAGCATCAATTGGTTTTCCATTGGCAGTTTTAGAGCTAGTATTGTTCCATTTATCTAAGAATTTCTTCATCATTGAAGTTCTTTCAGCATGTAATTTCCATAATCCTGGTACTCCAAGATCTTGAGCTGATTCATAACCTTTCATGTATTCGAAGAATGGTTCACCTGTTGGTTCAGTGATTTGTTTAATATGATGACCTCCATCACTTAAAAAGAATTTACCAATAATTTTAGCCATTTCAACATGATCTGATCCATCCCATTCAATAATATCATGACCAGCTTCTTTCAATTTATCAATGGCAATTTTCATACCTCTTCTAATTGGTGGGGTTGGTCTAACGTATCCATCATCTACTAAAACAGCAATATTTAATTTGCTTGGTAATTCAACATCTCTCCATGGAAGTTCAATTACTTTACCATCATGTAACCAAGGTTCAGAATCAATTATTGACTTACAATATAATTCCATTGATTCTAATGAAGTAGAAATTGGACCATTGACACTATTAACACTTTCTAATCCTGGTAATCCACTAGTACATCCATAAGTTGGGAATCTACCAAATGATGGTCTTAAAGTATATAAATTTTGGAATGAAGCTGGGATTCTTAAAGATCCTCCAATATCACTTCCAACACCGATTGGGGCACCTTTCATTCTGATTAAAGCACATTCACCTCCAGATGATCCACCTGCTGATAAGGCTCTATTCATTGGATTGGTAGTATTACCAAAAATATGATTATTGGTTTCAGGCATCATCATGGCAACTGGGACATTGGTTTTAACGTATAATACAGCTCCTAATTTTCTTAATAAATCAACCAAAACTGCATCATTATCAACTTTTTTGAAACTTAAATTAACCATACCAATTGTACTATCGTGACCTTTTACATTGAAATTGTCTTTAACTGAGAATGGTAATCCATGTAATGGACCTTTAGTTTCACCAGTTTTATCTTGATATTCATCTAATTCTTTAGCTGTTTGTAAACCTTCTTCAAAGAAGATTTCTGATAAACAATTAGTTAATTGATGGGCAATGGTAGCTCTTTTACCGAAAGCTTCCATTACTTGTACAGCTCTCCATTTCTTCAGTTTGATATTTCCAACAATGGTTGGAGCATCAGATTCAGTAATTTCAACTTCTGATGGGGTTAAAAGGTTATTTTTTTCAATAAATTTAGTGACATCTTTGACAGATTGATCTGGTAATTGATCTTCAGCAATTAACCATTCTTTAATGAATTTTTCATCTCTTTCTTTGAGCTTCTTAGCTGCGATAGTCTTATAAGTTGGTTCAGTGACAGTCATTGTTCTATAAAAAAAATTTCCAGATCGATTCCTTGCGTTTTAAACCGTATCTCTCTTATCAGTTCCGCACAAATGTCAAATATTTTGCGACTTAAATACCCATCGAAAATTCCACTCAAGTCACAGGGACAAGGTCACAGGGACAAACATCACAGGAAATCAGCGAATATTTATTATGGCCATTAAGGAATTGGTTTGCCGTGAGAGGAAATGGGTTTCCACTTATCATCCAATCTTTTTGATAGCGGCGATTAGAGGAGAGAGACATTTCTAGATAGTTATCTATTGTTGTTGTAATCTACTCATCGTCGGATTCCAGTGATGTTTCTTCTTCATCCATAGAGTTTTCTTCATCCATAGAATTTTCTCCATCTTCATCCTCGTCGTTTTCAACGTTGACTTCTTCAACTTCAACTTCATACCCTTGACCACTCAAAAACTTTTCAATATCCAGGGTCTTTGATGGTGATACACTGGCAAATAATACTGATGATTCAGCATCAAATAAAGGTTGGAAATACTTTTTCATTATATAAATCAAATCTTCTTTGGTTACTTGTTTCAATTTTCCAATCAATAATTGTTTATAATTAGAACCTCGTTGTCTAAAGATCAAATCACTAATTTTGGTAACTGATGCATCAATAACGTTGGCTTCGTATTCTGTTAAAGCATTTATAATAGCAGAAACAGAATTATCAATACTGATTGGTTCAAAGTTAACAACGCCAGTGGCAAGATCATCAACAATCTTCTTACTTACTGACCATGCTTGAGTTGCATCACTACCACGATAAATGGTATAATTCAAATAACCTGATTCAAGACTTCTGGCAACCGAAACTCCATAAGCTAATCCAGTACCTCTTACACCTCTCCAGAATGGTCCTTCAATAGCACTCAAATATTCAGATGCTAAAGCTATTTTGAAAATATCTTCATCCAAGTAATCAGTTGGTATTCTTGTTGAAGATACTAAATGGGTAGAATCAGCTGCCGGAACAACAGTCACATACCCTTTCTTACTACATTCAAGTCCAATCTGTGATCTATATTCATGTGAGCTTCTAATCTCAGCTAATTTTTTGGATTCAGATTTGAATAATTCAATGAATGGAGACCATGAGGAGATAGGGTTCTCCAATTTTTCAACGTTCCCAATAACAAACACTCTGATATTATTGATTTGGAATAATTGACGTTTGAATTCGTTTATTTCTTCAGCAATGGAGGAGAATTGTCCTTGTTTGATGTTTTCTAACATGGTATGATAAAATTCTTCATTATGGATGGAATCTTGAGCTTTTCTAGTAGAATTTGCATTGAATAAAGTTCTATATTGTTTAGAATACATCATGTATTCATCATCTCTTTTCTTTTCAGGTAAGGAGTTAATAATCTTCTCGACAATGATTTTCATTCTATTTTCTTCGAGTAAGTTGTATTTCATTATTTTCAATATCCAATCAACAGCTTTAGCATATTTAGAATATTCACATTTGACTTTGATAGTCAATGTTTCCAAGAAATTGTTTTCAAACCCATTGTCCAAAGAAAATTCAATCAAATCGTCATTCAATAAAGAATTCAACTCTTCAAAGGAGATGTAAGTATGGTCAGGTAATTGGATTGACATACTGAAAATCTCTTCCAATACTGATAAATAACGTAATAAATTCTTATCAACATTAACGGTGGACATAGATAAATGGATAGTTACGAACTCAGATTTGAAATGATCAAAATGGAAAAATAATGGATTGTTTGGAATCTCATCCTTGGCTAACAATTCACTGATATAATCTTGTTCGTAACCGACTTTTAAATCATTAATACCTGATTTATATGATTTGGTATTGATGAAAGAAATTTTTGAAGGATCAGGCTTTTCAAATTGGGTCAATAAAGTATCAGGAATTGGTAAATCATTCTTCTTTTGAGCATTTGCTAATTTATCTTCTAATTCCTTCAACCCTTCTTCCCCATATTTCTCAATGATATCCTTTTTCCTTTGTTTGTCTTCTAACTTGATGGATTTATTTAATTTGTTAGAAGGTCTACATAATACTGTTACAGATTTGTTCAAGACAAATTGAGTTTTGATGAAGTTACACCAATCTTGGGCAGTCCAAGATAATAATTCATCGAAAAGATCTAAATCTTTGCACCATTTTTCCAAATTCTTAGTGTCTTTTTCACTATAAAGGAAATCAACAATAACAGAATTTCTGAAAAATGATGGAGATTTTTCAGCATCAGAAATAATTTTCAATTTTTGTTGATGAATTGCTTGTTTGACAAGTTTCAAATCGAAATTCGAAACGTCAGTTTGATCAGACAAGATCTTGTGAATATAATCACCCACTTCTTGTAACTTTTCAGTAGGGACTCCACTGAAATAGAAGCTTACACCTGTTCTCAAATAATCACTAGTACCATAATCAACATCTGTGGCGGAAGGATTTTCGACTTCAACAAGATTTTTATTGAAGATACTGATTGGTAAATCAGTGAAATAATCTCCCATAACATCTATAGCCACATAAGATAAATTATCATCAAATTTAGGACCGATCCACCCTACAACTATTTCTCCCATTGATTCATCTCTTTCTGGGAAATCAACAAATTGAACAATGCTTTCAGTTAAAGGTTCATCATGAGGGGAATCTACGAATGGTCTTTTATTTGGGATCTCAGGTAATGAAATTAATGTTGAATCGAATTCTTCCATGATCTTAACGAATTCTGATTCCTCAATGGATCCTGATATAACCACACTCAAATTGTCAGGCCTATAATGAGATTTGTGGAACTCTCTAATCTGATCATTGGTAAGTTTCCTCAAAGCACCCATGTATCCCCCTGTTTCACTGGAATAACCTGAGTCTTTGGCATATAAGAGTTTCTTAATAGCATTATCACTTATGGACCAAGATTGATTTTCCGTACCTTGCATTTCACTGAATACCACACCCTTTTCTTCACCTTTACCGTCGATATGATAAACTTCTGTTAAGCACCCTTCGTCAGTTAATGTAGGATTTATCAAGTGGTCTAAATATACTGGTAATAATGTTTTGAATCCATCCCATCCTGCAGTGGACAAGGTATAAACTGTTTGGTCTTGTGAAGTCCATGCGTTGGTTGTGGAGAAAAGCCTGTTACCCAAACTGTCTAATAACCCTTTATAAGGGTATTTTTCAGATCCTAGAAAGATGAGATGCTCTAAAGTATGAGGGCAACCAGCATCATCTACAGACTCTGTAGCAACAGTGAAATAACCATTAACAATAGGAGAAGGTTGGTTTATATAAACCATCTCCAACCCAGTTCTCTTGGATCTCCATTTCTTGATAGAAGTTGGAGCATATTCCACTTCAAATGATTCCACCAAATCGAACATAGTTGATTTTTAGTGCGAGTTGATGTTGAGGTTACACCAGAGAGGTGATAAGCATAGGATGTTATATGTTAACAATGAAAGGAAAGAACTATCAAGTCCATTCCCTGTTATAGTGTAAATTCTTGAAACTCAAGCAAGAAGAGATATCACAATTTGAAAAATAGATTTTGCAGCCAGACTCGTGATTTTTGCAAAACTTACTATCCATTACTATTTAAAAAACCATTTATGGATGATATCCCATATCCTTTTTACTTGAAGTATTCTCTAAATATTCAACAAGCTTTTTGCTATTTTCACATACATCTTTCTGAGATTTCCCTAATTTAGTCCAGAATTCCTCGTTAGTGACCAAATCACATACTATGAACCTGGAAATAGAATTGAATTTTAATTCCCAATCATCATCACCTACAATTGATTTGTAATCATTATGTTTACCCAAATTACGTTTGAGTTCTCTTTCTCCCTGGAAGGGGTTGAGTTTAGGTTGATGAATGTGTAAGAAGAAAGGGGTTGGAGGGCTCGTTTTTTTCTTTTTGAACTGTTCGAAGAGATCTTTGGTGAACTTGTCTTTCATAGACATCGATAACCTAGTATCTTTCTTCTTCTCCAGTAAGAAACTCTTCCAATCTCTTTGATAGAACTTGGATTCTGTTGGGTGGTATTGAACCAAAGTAGTTTCAACAAATTCACCATCGGCATTTGGTCCTGATTTGAAGCCCATTAACTCAGGAACCGTTTCAACAAGATGGTATGGTTCGTCAAACACTTCCAAAGCAGGTATGAAAGTTTCCTTATCACCTTTACCTGGACCCCCTTGGTATAATAAATGGTAGTATAAATCGGGACCATAAAGGTTATAATACAAAGCTAAAATTAAAGATCTGATGTGTTTGGATTTGGTGACTAATAATTGTCCCGATTCCGATGTTCTAGCTGAGGGAACACCATCTTTGTCGTGGAAATTGCCACCTTCAGGATCACTCAAATAATCCTGGAAAGATTTATCGTTACCAATTCCATCTCTTCTAACAAGCTCTCCTACATCATACCTAGCAATATCATAATACAAGGGTGAAGTAGTTTTGTGCCAGATATCACTCCAAATAACGAATTCGGTAGTCAAAAAATCTCTGGCATAGAGCAAATCATCAACATTTTTAACTGGAATATTATCTGAGTCAAGAGCAATGACTGTATCGAATGAAGAAACAATTATACCCAAAACTTTCATGAAAAAAGGATTTTTGGGGTAATCTTCAGTCTTTATCAACGAGTTAATCGACTTACAAACCGCATTATACTTGGGGAAAATTTGTTTACATAAATGATTGGAGGTATCATCATTAACAATGATTTCAACGGGTAAAGTTGACCCCAAATCACGAATTTGAATAACATTAAGTAATGCGGCACCTAAAGATTCATCATTAGCATTGATAACTATCCCTTGACCACTATAAAAATTATCGACAAACTTGTAATTATTCAAAAGTTTCACCACTTGATCGTGCTGTGACTGGACAGTTTTGAATTTCTCTTCATCCAAATTTACCTTGAGAGTAAGTAAGTTATTTCTAGTGAGAAGTTTTGGTTCCCTAATACTGAAAGTACCAAACGAACTACCGATTTCTTGACCTGACAACGTTATTCTAGGATTGAACTTATTCAATACTTCTTCCTTAATATAGGAAAAGAAATTGGTATCACGACCAATATTCACCTGGCTCACCACATAATCTATTACTTCTTCATTGATATGATCCTTGAAATCAGGAAGTTCCCGAAGTGAATCGAAAATGTCTTTGGAAATATAAGACTTTAAAACATTCTCGTTAGCTTTGAGATATTGTAACTTCAAATCCTCCATCAAAGCATGAGATATATCATCTTGTCTGAAAATTGATTTGGTGTACTCATCCACCAACGACTCTTTGATTTCTTTAGTCCAAATCTTTTCATTCTTGTCAAGCAAATCTTTCTTCATCTGTGCAATAACACTATCTTGATGTTCTTCTTTAATCTGTTGAATAGCTTCTCTTAATAATTTAGCTTTCCTACCGACAAATCCATCATTGGAAGTCATAGAATCAGCGATTTCATCATTAGACAAATCTTCAATAGATTTGACAGAAGATTTAATGGCTGGTAATGATGGCCTCCTATTCGAGGTTTGATACATAATTGTTCCATTGAAAGCTATAAGTATTACAATCAACAAGGCTAAAACCTGTTGAAATCTTGTAAGTCTTATCATGGTGTCCTATATTGTGTAACCCAAATAATCAACACCACAACTAACGATAAAAGTTAGATGTTTATAATACAAGCTGATACTCCTAGGAAAAACTTTCAGGTAGATTTTCAAGTAAGTGCCAGAAAATGGCTTTAATGGGGTGAGACATTATATTTTTTAAGTACGAGTGAGGAATAGACGTGGTCTGGCTCGATCATGTTAGAGGCAGTTGGACCCCCCAAGAGGTCTCAATGTTTTCTTGCAAGAGTAATGGTAGTGGTTTTAGATTAAAGCATGCTGATTACATGCATGCTGACTCCAAACATGCGGTATCCACGTGAAGAGTCTTGACAGGTATATAAAATCGTACTCGGTTATTAAACACGTAGGCATAAGTTCTTGACGGAGAATTTTTTAATTCCGGTGTGAGAATGGGAGATAACACTAACGAGGATTCCTATTGTTATATGATGAGATTCTACCGATATATAAGAATATGGATGTTGGTCGTCCCCAAATTGTATTTCAGATTCTACCAAAGGCGGTTTTTGAACCATTGTGCAACTTTTCCTAGTCTCCTTCATTCACTTACCATCTATCAAGGTGTTCATGACTGTAACAACACTCTTATCCTGGTGTTCTCATACTCTCATCACACGATGGTTTCCTTCTTTCTTCTCACCCTTTCCATCTCACATCTTTATCTCTTTTGGCTGCCAAAAATCTGCGACTTTGGCCACTATGGATTTGAAAGTTACTAATCATGAACTAGACCCCAATTCAGACAAAATACTATTGCCATCCAATGTTTTATCGGTGATAGTCGATGAACATGGTGAGAGCTTACCGCATCCATTGATTTTCAAATTGAGTCACGGTAATAAACATTGTTTTGTAGGAGTGAAACAATTCTCATCTCCAGATGATACTATTTGTTTGCCACAGATAATTCAAGAAAAATTAGCAGTGGAAGATGGAGATTCATTGGAAGTGGAGCTATCATTGAACATTCCCAAAGGTACTAGTCTTTCCTTGAAACCTTTGCAGTTTTATCCCGAAATCAATAATTGGAAGTATTATCTTGAATCAAATCTTACTCAATCATACACTGTTTTAACCAAGGGAGATAAATTGGTATTGAATAATTATGAGTTCCTGGTTGAAGATTGTAACGCAGACACCATAAGCGTCATTGATACTGATATAGTGTTGGATATAATACCGTTAAACGATATAATGGCTCAACAACAATTGAATTTCAATGTAGATAAGTTTATGGAAATTGGAACGGGAAACTTGGATGTGAAATTAGTTCCATTTAGTGTTGATTCCAATGTTAGTATATTTAAGTTAGATCTTATGAACATAACAGAAGATTTGGTCATAAGCTTTTCCACCAATGAAGATTATGAGAATGTAGATTTACTAATTGGGTTGGAAAAGTTGATAAATTTAGAGAATTTCATGTTCACCACCATGGATAGAGAAACAAAGGAAGTAAGGGTTCCTTATAATGTGATTGAAGAGGTTAAAAATAAGTGTAAATATGATTTAGATCAAGGTTTCGAGATTGATGAAATTGCTAAATGGTTATATATTGTACCATTTGCTTGGGAGTTTAATAGTGAAATAGTTTTGAAAGTTTCACAGAGTAACGATACAGTTATGGAAATAGATCATCCACAATCTGATTCCAAACAATGTGGTAATTGTAAGAAATTCATCACCAGAGATAAAATATCTCTTCATGAAGTATTTTGTTATAAGAACAATATTCTTTGTGAATGTGGAGAAATCTTCCTCAGAGCCATTCCCAAAGATCATTATCATTGCCCATTATGTTTGAAAACATCTAAATCATCATTGTTCAAATTCAAACATGAAAAATTGAACCATCAACAGTTTCAATGCCAGGAATGTGAAGATGGAACGATTTATGATAGTCACGTTGAATTTATAATCACTCATAAACCTCAATGTCCTCACAAACTTCATGAATGTAAGTTTTGTCACTTAGTGGAAAAGCAAGGTAAAGCAACTTATATTGATAATTTCGAAGGGTTGACTAATCATGAGAATAATTGTGGGAATAAAACCGATGAATGTTTCAAGTGTAATAAACTAGTGAAAAGGAAAGATATGCGTAAACATGTCAAGTTACATCAATTAGATACCAAATCTTCAAATGACATTTTTAAAATAACGTACAATAAGTGTTGCAATGAAAATTGTGTTAACTTGATAAATATACCCAACGATCTCAAACTATGTGATATTTGCTATGGACCATTATATAGCACCTTGAATGATCCTACAAATATAAAGTTACAACTGAGAATAGAAAGAAAGTACATGTTACAACTATCCAAAGGATGTGAATTCACCAATTGCCAAAATATTTATTGTAAGCGGAAGACTACATTAAGTGGAGTTAAAGAGATAATGAAATTCATAAATGAAGAATTATTCACTTACATAACAACTCCTAACTTACCTATCAATAAATCAAGAGACACCAAACCCAATAAAGTATGGTTCTGTGTTAATGATGTCACCAATAATAAGATGATATTATCACAATCATTCAAGGAATATCCTCCAGAAATGGTAATCAAAGGATTAAATGAGATAAAAGAAATTAATACCGAGACCTTATCACAATGGTTATCACAAAATTCATTATAGAAGATATACATTAATTATATCCACCTCTTATCACCCTTTATCCCCCCCCCACAAAATGTGTGGACCAACATTTTCGCAGCCAAAAATATCCAAAATATCACAGTCATCTCATCACATGACTGCTGGCTGACACTCGCACGACCTTATCACTCAAATATCTTATCGCCACAGAAACTCAGAAATTTATCCCTTATCATCCCTTTTCTTTTGAATTAGAATATTTTAATTTTTAAGAATTTGATCAAAGAAAAAGGACAAGGATACTTTAAAGAACTATAATCTCAAGTAATTGAATTATAGCTTTCCAAACACGTTTATTAGAAAAAAATTAAGTAAGTTTATCCCTAGTCGGTATTTATAGTCATTGGTTAAATTATGTTGTTATCAAAATCTGTTGCTTTATCAATCTTAGCTACTTTAGGTGTTCAAGGATTAGTCATTCCATCAGTCAATGATGTTGTTGATGTTTTCGGCTCTAATGTTGAAACTTTAAAAGATTCCGCCAAAGCTGAACTCAACTCATTAAAAGGCTCATTTACTGAAGCTTCAGTTAAAATCTTAGATAAATTAGAAATCAAATTATTAGAAATTGAACAAAGTGCTCCATTATTTGGAGTTCAAAAAGATAGAGATTTAATCCCTGATAAATATATCGTTGTTTTCAAAGATGATGTTGCTGAAAATGAAATGAGTTTCCATAAAGAATGGGTTACTTTACAACATGTAGAATCAATTCAATCAGTTGATGAAGGTCATGAATTCTTTATGTCAACTAAAGATCATAAAATTCAAGGGGGTATCACTGATGCTTTCAAAATTGATAGTTTAATGGGTTATTCAGGTTTCTTCATGAAAGATACCATTGACTTAATTAGACGTCATCCATCTGTTAAATTTGTTGAACAAGATTCAATGGTTTATGCTTCAGAATTTGAAACTCAAAAAGATGCTCCTTGGGGTTTAGCTAGAGTCAGTCATAGACAACCTTTAAGTTTAAACTCTTTCAATCAATATTTATATGATACTGAAGGTGGTGAAGGTGTTACTGCATATGTTATCGATACCGGTGTCAACGTTGATCATGAAGAATTTGGCGGTAGAGCTGTTTGGGGTTCAACTGTTCCTTATGGAGATGCTGATATTGATGGTAATGGTCATGGTACTCATTGTGCTGGTACTATTGGTTCAGCTTCTTATGGGGTTGCTAAGAAAGCTGATATTGTTGCTGTTAAAGTTTTAAGATCTAACGGTTCAGGTTCAATGTCTGATGTTGTTAAAGGGGTTGAATTTGCTGCTAAATCTCATCAAGATGCTGCCAAAAAAGGTAAAAAAGGTTTCAAAGGTTCAACAGCTAATATGTCATTAGGTGGTGGTAAATCAACTGCTTTAGATTTAGCCGTTAATGCTGCTGTTAAAGCTGGTTTGAATTTCGCTGTTGCTGCTGGTAATGAAAATCAAGATGCTTGTAATACATCTCCAGCTGCTGCTGAAAATGCTATCACTGTTGGTGCTTCAACTATTAGTGATTCAAGAGCTTATTTCTCCAATTATGGTAAATGTGTTGATATTTTTGCTCCAGGTTTAAATATCTTATCTACCTATATTGGTTCAAACACCGCTACTGCTACTTTATCAGGTACTTCAATGGCTTCACCTCATATTTGTGGTTTATTATCATACTTTGTTTCTTTACAACCATCAGCTGATTCAGAATTCTTTACTGCTGCTAATTCAGTTACTCCTGAACAATTAAAGAAGAATTTAATCGCTTATGGTTCAAAAGATTTATTATCAGATATTCCAGAAGATACTCCAAATATTTTAGCATTTAATGGTGCCGGTCACAACATTACTGATTTCTGGGGTACCGAAATCGAAACTACCAAGGTTTCTGAATCAAAATTAGCTCAAAAATTCCATGAATTAGAAAATAAAGTTGATGCTTTATTAGATTCTGATGTTTTACATGATATTGAATCTATGGTTAACAAAGTTTATCAAGATTTATAGATTTATACCAAATATTTTGCATTAATGCTAATTTGTTGTTTTGTTTTATCATTGTTTTATATACGATAAAGTTATTTCTTGATCTCTGGTTTCAAAGTGTCTATCAATGCGAAAACCCTACCGTCAAGCCCCAATCGCGGATTTTGTCAGTTATCTTACTAATTAACTAATCTTGTAAATAGGATAATAGTAGTTAACGTCTTTGATAAACTGTGAACAACACTAGATACTCCAAACAACTAGTACTAGAAATCATCAAACTACCAAATAACATCGTTAGTATCAACAAATCATCAGAATAAACCAGTGGCAAAGTAATCATGTCTACTCCAGCGAAAAGAAGACTTATGAGAGATTTCAAAAGGATGCAACAAGATGCTCCTTCAGGTGTTAGTGCTTCGCCATTACCTGATAATGTAATGACATGGAATGCAGTGATCATAGGACCTTCGGATACTCCTTTTGAAGATGGTACCTTTAAGTTAATTCTTCAATTTGATGAACAATATCCTAATAAACCTCCAACAGTTAAGTTTATAAGTGAAATGTTTCATCCAAATGTTTATGCTAGTGGAGAGTTATGTTTGGATATCTTACAGAACAGATGGTCTCCAACATATGATGTGTCAAGTATTTTAACATCAATTCAATCATTATTAAATGATCCAAATATTAGTTCTCCTGCTAATGTTGAAGCTGCAAATTTATATAAAGATCATAGATCTCAATACATCAAGAGAGTAAGAGAAACTGTTGAAAATAGTTGGAATGATGATGATGATGACGATGAAGATGAAGATGAAGAAGATGAGGAATAGAGAATAAATTTGACGATTAAAGTTCAGATTATTAATGATTTATTTACAGTCTGTATAGTAATATTTACATAATGAGTGATCCCTTATTTCAACCATAAGTAATACCACTTACGTGCTCGTTCTTTCTCTAATCTTTCTTGTTCCAAACGTTCTTCCTCCAATCTTTGTTCTTCATAAATATCTCGGATTATAACTTCAACTGGTTTGCCGTCTTCTCCAATGTATTTATCCCTATATATGGCACCTAAAGCAATTGCCAATGATAAATAAATGAAAAATTTCGTAACACCATCTATTCTCTTGATATTGAATTGATCCTTTCTTATATCAGTCAATCTGAGATCTCTTTCAGGTAATCTTGATATCTTGTCATTAGGTAAATTTATGGATTTATTAACATTATTTTCAAAAGGTAAATCATGAGGAACTTCTGAAGTATTCCAATTATCAAACTTTTCTCTGGGTCCCCAATTACCATATGATATATAATAACCAAGCTTCTTATCCTTGGAGGTCATTTTATTCCAATTTTTGTTATATTTCTCTTGTAATTCTTCAATAATTTGTCCTTGATGTAACAAATTCAACGAATCAAACAATTTAGGATTTTGATATATTGGTTTTGAATTGATCTTTTCAACTTCTTTGTCGTCGTGGGAAGATAACATTGATGTCATGTCTTTGATTGATTGCATGGCTAACTTAGCTGCTTCTTGTTTACGCTTTTGAATTTCTTCAGGAGTTAAGTTTTCTTCATTAGGTTTGTTTAAATCACTGATTTTAGGGGTTGATTTGAACCTCTTAGGTATGGTTCTAGTTACTCTTAACATATTGAGATTTTGAAAATTTCTCACTATAAATTTGAATTTGGAGGTGGTACTGACGCTAATTAAAATGCGATTATCGACCACCAAGTATCACCTTCAGATACAGAATATCTTCCATAACAAGGTGGTCGTACTTATAGAGCCAAATAACGGCTCTACGAGTTAATAAAATATCTACATGATTTATTCACACACATTTTGAAGAAAAGCTGCCTGGCTAGCTCAATCGGCTAGAGCGTTTGACTTTTACTTAAAAGTTATCAAAAGGCTGCGGGTTCGAGTCCCGCGTCGGGCTCTTCTTTTTTTTTTTGATTCGACTTTATCATATTCATCTGTATAAGAGTTGTAGAGCCAATTGAAAAACTTAAATTTCTATTATCTACATAATTCTATTCATGAACCTTCCCATTGCAATCATAGGGGCACAAACAGCTTTGACCATCATACATAAAGCATCTATCAAAAGACTTAATTCGTAAAGTAACCACATGAATATACAAAGTTCAATCATTATAACGACAGTCTGAAGGTTGGGGAATGATTCAGAGATTATATCAATGGGTGCAAAAATAATTTTCATTATCTTTATGGATTTTATGAGTTGATTGATATTGGATATGATTGAATGAGCCCCATTTGACGTATCGATATAAAGATTACCTTTAGTTTGTGGTTTATTGACTTGTAAGAAATTAGCTTTAGTCATTTGAGGGTCCATTGATGAATAAGATGTTGGGGGCACAGGTTCTAGTTGACCGGTATTGGGGTTTAAATATAATTCTTCGTCAACTCCTTCAAGGTCTTCATCAGAATCTATTTCCACAATAAATTCTTGTGAATCTCCATCCATAGGGAAATCAAATAACGATTGAGGTAATGGTTCATCAATGGTATGTCCTGAACCTCTACCGATAGTTCTTCTGGATAATTGAGGAGAATTTTGTGGTTCTGCGCTGAACAAATTTGAAGCAGGTAAGTTCCACATCTTAGCCATTTTACTAACATTCTTATTGAAGTTCTTTAATTGTTGTGTGGAGACTTTGATTCTGTTTTTCTTTGCAGGGGGCTTCAGTGATTTGGCTTGTTGTTGTTTTGGGACAATGGACTTTACTTCAGGAACAATTGTAAGAGCCTTCTCAGATTTTGGTTTCTCTTTTTTAGGCTTTGCCATTATCTCTTCGTTTGATTGTTCAGGAGCAGCAGCTTGTTCGTAAGCTAACCAAGATAATAGATAGTTCCAAGCGGGATGAAATTCAGGTTTTGGTCCGGCATAAAATTGTTTATTACCAGTTTTGTCACCAGGTGTATGTTCATCCCCATGTTCATGTTCAACTTCATCTTCATCCTCAGATTCCACTATCTCCTCTACTTGTTTCTTTTCTTTTTCCTTTTCTTTCCTTTTCTTTTCTTCTGCCTCAAGTTCCCATTGCTTCTCCAAATTATTGAAATAGTCTTTACCTAATTCTTTCTTGATTTGCTTAGTTTTACTTTTCCACAATTTCTTGAATTTCTTTTTCTTCTTCGTTTTATCTCCATCATACACATCAATGTCTTGAGGAGTATCTACATGCCCATAGTCTGAATCATCATCACTTTCCCCAGTAACAAAAATCTCGTTAGCTACATTGTTCTTAGGTGCACTATAATAATCATAATTGTCATAATCATCTTTCCCTAATTTGATCTGAATAGTCTTAAAAGCTTTCTTTAACTTTTGATTTTCTTCTTGTTCTTTAATCTTCTCAGGATCATCGAAAACCATCTCTATAGGATTATATTTACCTGAAGTATCGTCTTTATCTTGAAATACATCTCGGAATGTTTTATGTGTATAATTAGTTGGTTTATAGAATTCTGCATCGTCATATCGTTTCTTTTGGTTAATATAATAACCATGAAATCCTTTAGGAGTTGATTTGAATTTTGGTGTAGGTTTCAATCTACTTGATTCACGAGGAATTCTTACAGGACCATGATTATTATCTTCATAATACGAATCGTAATCATCGAAACTCATATTTCTTGAATGATAGGAATCATAAGTCTCTCTTCGTTTCCTCCTTTGAACTTTTTGAAGAAGATTCAATTGTGCTGGAGTAATACCTTCCTGTAATTCATCTGGATCATATACAATCTTATCATTATCATCAGAATATCCCGACAGGGGGGAGAATTGTGTCGAAGTTGGAGATTCAGGACCAAAAAATTTAAATGCTGATACTTGATCTACCAGCTGGGATGGGAATTTACTGGGAGGACTTATGATATTAGGTGGGGGTGCTAAAGGTGTAGCTTGAGATGATGTGTTTTTCAGCCTCGGTTTCCTCCTATTATTGACATTATCTAGATATGTGGTAGTATAATAACCTCTATCAGTAACATTCATCTTGATTTAGTTGAAAATATTCGATGCAATTGAGGAATTTCGATGATTATGATCTGGGTTGTAAAGGTAATCACAGGGCTGGTTATCGCGATATGCAAGAAAAAAAAAAATCAGACACACAATGATAAGAACAAAGACAGTGAGACCTGTTGTACCTTTAGTTAGACTACAATCTAGTATCACCCCCATTTCATATATTGACGATGACTTCTTATCATCATCTAATAAACAAGAAATAGCTAAGTATTTGAAAAATTTAGGACCTTTCCCTACATATTCCAATATTTTGAATCCTCAACATTTCTATCAAAATGAAGTATTAATGAAATATTTAAAGATGAACCCACATCCTGTATCATTACGACAGTTAGCGGCTTTCGGTAAGAAATTGACCAAAGAGAAGATCTTATCAAGTGCCAATTTTGTGAGATTAGAATTACCTATCAGATTAGCTATAAGGATTCGAGATTTACAAACCTTACCATTTGGAATAGTCAACAATTTCCATTTCAGTCAAATCTATGAGAGTTATTATCACCTGTTTAATGCTTTCAGAAAGATGCCCAAGATTACAAACATACAAGAACATGAGAAATTCTGTAAACAGTTATCTATAATGTTAGATGATCATGTTTTCAACTTGTCGCATCTTATGATGGGAGCCTTGGAAGTATCTATTTTAGAAAACTTCCCCCAAAAGGATTTGGATGAGTTTATGAGTTCAATGATAAGATCTAGAATCAGTAGAAGAGTCATCATTGAAGAACATCTATCATTAGCTGAGAATTATAATAAACCTCAATCAGTTAAACCTCCAGATTATATTGGTGAGATGTTTGATGATTGTAATGCTGTTGATCATTTAAAGATTGTTAGTGAATTGATTAAGAATTCCATGACAGATATTTATCCTAATAAGGAAACCATGCCCGATTTGGAGATCGAAGGTGATTCAAATGTTTCCTTCCCATTTATGATACCTCATTTGCATTATTTATTTGGAGAGATCTTGAGAAACAGTTATGAAGCTGTCATTAAAAGACATGGTAAATTAACCACCAAGAAATTACCTCCCATTAAAATCACCATCATTGACTCTGCTAAGCAAATAATAATAAGAATTAGTGATGAAGGTGGTGGAATAAGTCACGATAAATTGAAAGATATTTGGTCTTTTGGTAAGAATCCTGAATTGGCTAGAAAATCCTTAGCTAATTTCCATAGAATCCCAGGTTTACAATTATACTCAAACTTGAAAGTTACTAGTCTGGGATCTTCAATCATCGATAAAACTTCTTTATTAGAAACAGCTGTTGGGGATATAAATTCATCAACATCTACAAAAACCAAGACCTCAACGTTAGAAAGATTGATTACCAGACCATATGAATATAAACTTGGTCTTGGTTTACCCATGTGTAAAGTTTATGCTGACTACTGGAATGGTGACTTACAAATGAATTCTCTTGAAGGCTTTGGCTGTGATACAAGTCTTATTATCACCAAATTGGGTTATCACAGTCAAACGAATCAATTAGATAGAGCTTAGAATATATGCGCACTTCTGAAAATTCTTAATTATGTCCATAAGAGGTGTTACTATATCTTCATTATTGTCGGGAACTCATGATGAAACTGATGGTGCTGGCACCACTGGTGGAGCTAATGGTGATGAAGTTAATACATCAAAACCAATTAACGCTAATGGGAATTCCGTTAAGAATTTAGTATCGATGTTTCAACCAAACATTAAGATTGGTGGGCCTGAAAGTCCAATGGTAATTATTGATGACGAACCTCCGACTATACCTAATTTCCAATATAAAAAAGAAAGTAGTGTTAGTAATGTTACCATTGCACCTAAAGCTAATCCCACGCCAGTTGATTTGAGTAAACAAATCAAAAAATTTCAAACCGATTTCCAATTCGATATTCCAAACAAAGCATCAATTAGCTCGATCATGAATGTTGATGCCCCTCCTCCTCAGATACCACAAACCACACCAACCCCTATAGCACCAGCAGTCCCACCATCAGCAGCACCAAAGTCGCCTAAGAAAAAACCTCAAAAGAAAGAAGTCAAGAAACCTGCTACTAAGGAGAAGAAAGAACCAGCCAAACGAAAAGCTGAACCAAAGAAATTGGCAGTTAATAAAAAGGCTAAAACCACTCCTGAACCACCGAAAGTAACGAAACCAGTAGAAGTTATCAATTTACCACCACCTGAACTAATCAATATAAATGGTCCCAAAGAACCCACTCCAGACAAGACAGTCGACAAAGAAAAGCCCAAGGAAACACCCAAAGAAATCCAACCTCCTAAAGAACTAGAGTTAGGTAAAAAGGAAGAAATCAAAGAATTACCCATCATAGCATTGAATATTCCGTTACTAGATCCTAAAAAACCTCAACCTGGTCAAGCAGAAGTGGTAGTAAATGTATTGAAATTAGCTGAAGATAAATATGGATGGTCTAGTGTTCACCCCAATGCTAAATCAGCACTTGAAGTTTTGGATGATAGTGATGATGATTTAGAAGAAGATGATAAAGAGGAAGATGACGATAAAGAGGAAAAACCTGAAGACAAAGAAAAGGAAAAAGAAAAAGAAAAAGAGAAAGAGAAAGAGAAAGAGAAAGAAAAGGAGAAAGAAAAAGACGGGAAAGAGAAGAAAGAATTAACGGAAGAGCAATTGGTCAGACAACATGAGACGAGAATGAATAGAAAAGTAGGGAAATATGATTATTTAGATCCATTCATCGATGATAATGAATTAGAACTTGAAGAAGGTATAACGTCTACGAAAGAAGGATTCTTTGTTTATTGGGGACCTATAGTTGATGATAGGGCTAAAAAACCAACTAAAGGCAAAAGATAATATATACTATATACTTGGTTAAACCCTTTCTAATGTCAAAAGTAACAATTCTGTGACTCTTACATCATTGAGATTATCTTTATATTGATCCTTGATAGATTTCAAATCTTTGGTCCATTTACTTACCAAAGAGTCAACTTTTTCCTTATTTGTATTAAAAGATTCTTCATTTCTTAAAACAACTAATAAGTTGTATAATGAAGATAAAGCTGAAACTAAGGTATAATTGATTTTGAAATTTTTATCTTCATTTTCAGTATCACTACCGACTTCTGTAACTTCAGTGAAACATTCCTTGTGGGTCCTACTTATTAACGATAAGATATCATTGAATCTATCATCAGTTAAACTTAAAAATTTCGTTGAAACCTTTGTATCTCTGGAAGGTAAAGGAGGTTTTTCATCTATTTTTGTAGTTTTCAAAGATTCTGTAATTTCATCAACAGTTTCATCTTTATCATTCTCATGTTCAAGTTTATCTTTAGTTAACAATTCCTTGAAAATCCCCACTAAAGACGATTTATATTCATGGAAAGGACAATCACTAATTGAATCGCGTAAGAAACCATAAGCCAACTGTTCTGGTGTTAATGTTAACATCTTAGTCATCAATGTCAATACAGTGAATTTAACTCCTCTATACCAGGGATGGGAATTCTTGTTCAAAATGAAAATTAAACAAGAGTAATAAATCTTGATCAATACTTGAGGTATGGAAGATAATTCTAATTTGACTCCATTCAAACCCAAATCATTAATGGCTGTAGTTAAGGAAATCCAATTCCAAGACACTGCTAAATCATGTAAAGCCTTATTATTATATTTGGATTCAACTATCATAGGTACAATTAATCTTATTGTGGTTAATATACTATCTTTCAAAGTAACATTACAACCTTTAATGGAATTGTTAACAAAGTAATGATTTTGATAAACCAATAAACCCAAAGGATTGATTTTAATTTCTTTGGAATCAGTGAGAGGGATGAAGAAGTTTTCTTGATAATCTTTAACCCCACGCTCAAAGATTTGGGAAGTGAGTTCATCTTCAGGTTGGTTGAAATCTAACCCATGAAATAATTTGGCAGTTGAGACCAAGAAATCAGTTTGAACATCTTTGAATGATATATCATAACTGATACATAATTCATGAAATCTTCCTAAAATAGATCCATCATTTCCAGTAAAGGCTGTTTTACTACTGATTTTGTTGAAGAAAATATTGGCATTTCCAGGAGACCAATTTTGTCCTACTCTGATGATAGCTTCAGATATTAACAGTCTCAATAATTTTCTTTGTAAATAATCTTCATCTTGTTTGATGGTTTCTAATTCACTTTCAGTATAATCTTTTGCATAACTAGCAGAAGGAACTGGAATACTACCATAATTTCTTGCAAATGTGTAAATTCTTCTCAAAAGATATTCCATCCTGTGACTTTCAAATTTGCTATAATTATTTTCAATAAAATTGATAATTGAAGTGGTGAACATAGCCAAGAATCTTGAAGGATGCATGGTTCCAATCTTATTCAAACATGCTCCCACCAATTCAAACAAACAATAGACTTTAAGTTCCAAAATCTTTTCTTTGGCATAGATATCATCAGAAATTGTGATATCTTCAATATCTAAAGATGTCATTAACTCACAACTTTTCAAGAACAATTCCTTATGATTACCGTTAAGGGCCAATACTTCAAAGATTTTGAATATCCTATAAGAGCAAGGGCTCTTTCTCAAAGCTTTTTCAAAATCATAGTCTGATTCGAAATAATCAATGATTAAACTAGGGATATCCCAACCAATTTCATAAACCAAATCTTTATTGGCAGTTAAAACATCCAATAAGCTCTGTAAGAGTTCGTCTCTTTGCTCATAGGAATAATTATCAATATCAGTGAAATAAACATCTAAAACTGTACTATAAGATAAATAGTCACCCGTTTCAATGGCATCATTGGCGGCTTTTGACAAATTCTCAAGAACAGTTTCAAAAGGTAAACTTTCAAGGATGGTAGATGTTTCACTTTCAGTATCACTCATTATGGGTTGATTTTAAAGATAGGAGATGGTGAGTTTGATGATTAACACGAAGATTCCTCCTAAATTGGCCTCAATAAGTGTCCAGATTTTTACGCACTCGCACTGAGTGAGGATGTCTTTACAGAGTGATGATGATGATAGTAATTCTAGAAGCTCATTGGGCCAGAGTCAAGAAATGAATAGTGACCAAAATGGAGATGATAGTTCAAGGGTTAATTCAATTGATCAATCTATGGAGCAAACCACCAAAGATCCCATTATAAATATTAATACGACTGATAAGATAACTATAAGATTCAAACCAATTGGTTCTACATCTCCTATAAATCCCCCCATTTTCAAAATTTCTCCAGATCAAACCATTTCTATGATACTTAAGTTTCTTTGCAAAAGATTGAAAGTGAAATTTATTTATATCTATATATTAAACTCCTTCCAACCCAATCCAGATGAGATATTAGGAGAATTATTCAAGACTTTCCAAGTGAATAATGAATTGATCATCAATTATTGCAATACCATGGCTTTTGGTTAATTTTGAGCCAAAACAGATATCGCCACCACATAACACCGTATTATAACATCACCTGATAAGGATAGATAAGAGATACGATAACGCGCAAATAATACATTTATAAATGGGGTTTGAAAAGGGTTTGAATAAATTTCGGAAAGGGTAAGGCTATGGTCCTAATTCAAATGACCAACATAATTCCCTTGCATATAATCAATATGAACAAAAGCTCTTTCCACAAAAGGAACAGTTTCTAAAACATATTGTAAAGATTCAGCCGTATCATGATTATCTTTGAACAGATCATCATTGAAAACTACATCGATTTCAACATTTAAATTGTCACCAACATGGTAAACTTTCAAAGCAGTAATCTTCTTCATGGATGTGGAAAATCTATAACATAAATATAAAATGGTTTTATATTCATCTTCACTAGCATTAGCTCCTGTTAAATTATTGATGTGACTAATTGATATTTTTGACCATTCTGAAATGATATATATGGACAAAAATATAGCCCCAAGTGGATCTAACCAAGGAGATTTGAAGATGATACCAAACACCGGGATAATAATGGAGAATAAATTGAAAATAACATCAAATTTAGCATCCTGAGCTAATGCATTAATGGCAGTGGAATTATTTCTAAGACAATAAATATAACAACCAAATTTCAATAAAATAGTTAATGTCATTATAAGAATGGATAATTTATCTAAAAGGATGGGTTCAACGGCCAATAACTTTTTGAAACTTTCTTGAATAATCTGTAAAAATGATACAATAATCACCACTGCTAATACCAATACACTCAATGGATTCAATCTGGATTTACCTACAGGGTATTTGAAGTTGTTCCTACTACTTGATAATCTGTTGGAAACATAAATAATAAACGTCGATAAGAAATCTAATACAGAATCAACTAATGAAGCAATCAATGTCATGGAATTGGATAATAAAGCTATGATAATTTTCCCAACTAAAAGAAGGAAGTTGATGAAGAAATTCACCATAATAATATACATCACTTCTTGAGATTCTCTTTCTTCACCTTCTAAATCTATATCAATAGGATTCTTACCTCTTCTATCATCCTCTTCACTATAATTGTTCAATACATTGTAATGAAGTTTCTCATCATCGAAGAATTTATCAACTTGAGACAATTTTTCAATCAATTCATTTTGTTTTTCATAAAATCCTCTTAATTTCGACTTCACAGATTTAGGGTCGACATAATAATCCTTCCAGTTACAAATCTTTTTGAAATTTCCAATTAATCTTTGTGGTCTTGAAAACAGTAATGATAAATCCTTATCAGTAGACATTCTTCTGATCGTAGTGATAGATCCCGGATTGTTGAGGACTCTCTGATACAAAGATTCCGACACATTGGATGATGAGAAAGATTTAGGTATCAATGGAGATATTTCGTCAGCTTCTTCCATGTTATATTAGTGAATAAACGTTCCTAAGCTCAGCCCTAGTAAATTTTGGTAGTGCGGAAATGACTTAAGCTTTCGCAGAGAGAAAAAAAAGTGTGTCACAATACAGTTCCCCAGAATACATCGATTCCTTTCAACATGTTGAAAGTATCGATTAAAATAAGAAACCATTTCCAGAAATTTTATACCCGAGATGAACTCAAGATCATCTCATTCATCATATCATTATTAACATGTTTAATGTCAGGATCTATACTTTTATTCCCATTGATTTCTGATAGTCTCATATTGAAGGAAAGCTTCAAAATCATTCAAGTTAACCTTATATCGTCGGTTTCTCAATTGGGGATGTACGTTTGCTTACCAGTATTGGGATATTTATCAGATATTTATGGAACTTATTTGTTAGCACTTTTGGCTATCTTTTTACTTGTTCCTCCATATTTGATCAATACGTTAGTCATAAATTCCGATTTTGATCATACCAGTAAATTAATGATATATTCCATAACTTTCGGATTAATAGGTTTAGGAACTTCATCCATATACTTTCTGAGTCTTTTAACTTGTTCAAAAATCTACCCTCATAAGAAAGGATTATCAATATCTTTACCAGTTGCATGTTATGGATTATCTTCACTTATTGGATCACAAATTTTGAAATTATCATGGTTTCATAATAAGGAGGGTTTGAATCTTTCAAGAGTGTTTCAGTTTTTCGCCATACTTTATTTGATCGTTGGTTCATTAAATTTCATATCTACTTCAATAGTCATCGAACATAAGCAATCAAATATTGATGAAAATACAGAATTAATTCCTATAAGTTCCATTGAACCACCAAATCATCAAGAGAAATTCATGAAATTTTTGAAATCTCCTGTCATGTATATTTTACTTATATCATTGTTCCTCAATATTGGTCCTTTAGAGACTTTCCAGAATAATTTGAACTCTATTCTTAGATTAAATCATTATAAAGATTTGAGTAAACAGATTAGTTTATTATCAATATTTTCAACCATATCAAGATTAATTGTAGGTATAACGTCAGATTATGTTAATAAGTTATTCATCTTGGTGACGATATTATTCCTCGGAATTATAAATCAATATTTATCCATTAATTATGATGTTGTCAGTTTAATCACCATAATCAACGGATTCATCTACGGAGGGTTATTCACCATATATCCTACGATCCTCTCAGAAATATGGGGAGTTGATATTTTGGGGTCAACTTGGGGATTATTCATGATATCTCCAGCTATAAGTTCAACCATATTTTCTTTAATATATGGATCGTTGTTGGATAATTTCAATGATATTTCCCAATACTTTAAATTAGTTACATTGTCATTCACCATAAGTTTCATGTTGGCTATCATCGTAGCAGTGAAAAGGCTGAAGAAATGAACTACCCTATAAAGAGACCACATACGAGTACATCAAAAGAGTACATAAAAAACAACACATTAGAAGAACAAACAAACCCTAAAACACATGAAAACCTTAAATCATAATATAAACTTCATATTAACTCTTCCCACATCACATTCCATACCCTTTAACCCCCTTTGTCTTTGCATATTTTGGATCATACAGATGCGCCTAAAGATAACGGGTGATTACATAAGCGAAGCCTCATCGGATTCGATTTTTCCGAATTTCATTTCAACTATATTTTCCGCTAATGAAGTTATAGCCTGTACATTATCCTGGCCTTTGAGCAACTTTACACCGTTCAGTGTACTCGTTTAATTCTGTATATACTAGAGTATTGTTGACCACCCTATTGATAAAACTTTTTCAATATATCAATGTCAAGATCCGCTATTATTCGTAAAATCGTGTTGTAAATATTCCCCTGAACACGAATCTTAAACATGTGGTAAATATGTCTCTAAATGAATTTTTCCCACCAACTTCTATGAAGGATGTTCCATGATGAAACCCCATTAAATGTAACCATAATCAGTACTAAATTCATCACGCCAGTTGGGGAGTCCCAAGTGTTTTCTTTTTTTTTTTTGCCTCACTATAAATAGCACCTTATAAATTTTTTTGCAACCAGATATCTCATCCCCATATCATCACCAACTTTATTTGAGTTAAACCATGACAAGGCTGCCATATATGGTCAATACTGCATAGCAGGTAATTATTTCCTGGGTTATGGAAAAATTATATTCGACCAGCATATAATCGTGTAATGTCGTCTAACACGTAAAACGTTATTGGCACTATTTGTTTATGCGACGACAACTGTTCGACAACTATAAATTTCATTATTTATCCTCAATTTCTTTGAACTTATTTATAAGTTATAACATATATATATACTAATAAGATAATATGAAAGGATTAATTTTAGTCGGTGGTTATGGTACCAGATTGAGACCATTAACTTTAACTTTACCAAAACCTTTAGTTGAATTTGCTAACAGACCAATGATTTTACATCAAATCGAAGCTTTAGCTAAAGCTGGTGTTACTGATATTGTTTTAGCTGTTAACTATAGACCAGAAGTTATGGTTTCTACTTTAAAAAAATACGAAAAAGAATATGGTGTTTCTATTACTTTCTCAGTTGAAGAAGAACCTTTAGGAACTGCTGGTCCATTAAAATTAGCTGAAGAAGTTTTGAAAAAAGATGATTCCCCATTCTTTGTTTTAAATTCTGATGTTATTTGTGATTACCCATTCGAAGATTTAGTTAACTTCCACAAAGCTCACGGTGGTGAAGGTACTATTGTTGCTACTAAAGTTGATGAACCATCAAAATATGGTGTTATTGTTCATGACAGAGATACTCCAAATTTAATCGACAGATTCGTTGAAAAACCTGTTGAATTCGTTGGTAACAGAATTAATGCTGGTTTATATATCTTAAACCCTTCAGTTATCGATTTAATTGAAATGAAACCAACTTCAATTGAAAAGGAAACTTTCCCAATCTTAGTTGAAAACAAACAATTATATTCTTTCGATTTAGAAGGTTACTGGATGGATGTTGGTCAACCAAAAGATTTCTTATCAGGTACTTGTTTATACTTAAACTCATTAACCAAAAAATCCCCAGAAAAATTATGTAGTGAACCTTTCGTTCATGGTGGTAATGTCTTAATTGACCCAACCGCTACTATCCACCCATCTGCTTTAATTGGTCCAAATGTTACTATTGGTCCAAATGTTAAAGTTGGTGAAGGTGCTAGAATCCAAAGATCTGTTTTATTAGCTAATTCTGAAGTTAAAGATCACGCTTGGGTTAAATCAACTATTGTTGGTTGGAATTCAAGAATTGGTAAATGGGCCAGAACTGAAGGTGTTACTGTTTTAGGTGATGACGTTGAAGTTAAAAATGAAATTTATGTTAATGGTGCTAAAGTTTTACCACATAAATCTATTTCTTCAAATGTTGAAAAGGAAGCTATTATTATGTAGATAATTTTGCTATGTAGTATAGTGTTTTATAGACATTGATTGTTGTATACTCTTTAGAAATTTTTCAGCCTTGTCGCTCTTTTGAAAACCAGCCGCGTCGCGCTATTTACGCCGCGATACCGTGTTGGTGTTTAACGTGGACCACCGCGCTGGTTATTGTTCGATATTTGGTCATGTCGCCGCTTCGGAAAATCGTACGACATTCTAAAGCCAGAAGAGTAATATGGAAGAACAGTTATATGAAATCGTCTATTTACATGGTTTTAAATACTTTTCAATGATTTGATGGGTCTTGAGCGGTCCTAGATCAATTCATTCCATCCTTGGTTACAACTAGTTCTTAAACTTTCACTCAATGGTTTGGCATTAGATAAGTAACATAATAATAATAATTTACTAACAACTTTTTCATTTACTTTACCGATTTCTCTGATCTCTCCAGATTTAGTGTTTTCGTATGTAAATGATAATGACCCATTGTTGGTACTTAATAACAAAATATGGTTCTTTGGAACTGAACCTTTGAAATTTTTGAAAATTGATCTAATTTCATCTAATCCGTGATTGACTTCTTCTCCATATTCTTTCTTCAAAGGACTAGACAAAATAGATTTGATGAATCCATCTTTCAAATGGTTGAAGTCGGTGTTTCTAACAGGAGAAATTCTAATCTTGAAATTGGTAGTATCTATGATTTTAGATATAATTTCAACTGACTTTTCATTATTTAAATCAGATGATAAATCATATCCTCCCAAAATACTTTTAACTTGCTTACTGTTGTTTTCATCGAAATAAATACCAATTCCATAAACGTTAAATCCAAGGAAGGTAACTGATCTCATACCATGACCAATCAACTTGTAGTTGGCAAGTTGGGTAGGAAATGGATCTAATGATTTATCAACAATGACATTGTTTATTGATTCTAAATTAATGGGTCTATATAAATTATAGGATACGGCAGCCACTCCTAAAAATGATAAGGTTCTTAAGTTGTTAGTGAATAATCTGGTTTTAAACATCTCTGATTTGAGAATTTATCGCATCCTCAGATGTAATAGATAATCCACTACACAATTGAGATTTATGGATGGCTTCCTTCAAAGGGAGATGCAAGTTGGACATTAAAGCACCAAGGAATGTATCTCCAGCACCGGTGACATTCACAATTTGTAAATTTTCATTCTGCTCTGGGATTGGGTGGTATTCAATGTAAAATGGGAATTGTGATTTGGTTTGGAGAAATTTTGATTGGGTATTACCGATACATAGAACCCCTTCTTTCCCTAATTTGATCACAATATTGTTGAAGAAAGGAATCAATTTAAAAGCCTTTTGAACAATACCTTGATCATATAACTTTTTGATCATACCACCTTGAAGTATATCTCTGATTCTATAAAGTTCAAGACTATCAATGATTTCAAACCATTCGTCATCAAACATTTCTCGTGATTCAAGGGTTTCGTAGATAGATTCCAACTCATTTATGGTGGGGGTGATCAATTCAATTGACTCATGAACATTAAGTTTAAGCTCTCCTATTCTTTTGGACTTGACCACTGATGTGGGTTCGATTACTAAATTGCAAGACGCATGGTTTATAATCTTTTGCAAGGTATCAACAGAAAGGTTACAATCCAAAACAACATTCTTAGGCTTGTATCTATCCAATTCCTGTATAATATCATGGGAGAAATCAGTTTCTATGATCTTCATGTCGGCACAAGCAATTACCAATTCACCTGTAGTATCATGAATGGAAGTGTAACTGGCAGTTGATCCTGGTTTTTCAAATAAGGTGTTGTCGACCTCGATCATGTTCTTCAAGGATTTACCTGTAAGATCATCTCCTATAATAGAGACAAATCGTATTTTACCCCCAGTATAATGAGTAGCCAAAGAGACATTGTGTCCCACACCTCCGATTGATGTTCTAGTGCTACCAGGATTGGAATCGTTCATGTGATAAGTGTCTAGTTTGCTTATCGTGTCAAGAGCCACCGATCCCACCACTATAGTGTCTACTTCCTTAGTAACACTTTCTGTTTCGACCACCTTTTCGTCAGTGGGGATTTCTGACTGTCTGCACAAATCTACTGGTTGCAATGATGAATATTCCAAGGATGACTAAATATTAGTATAACTTCTGATATATATTATTAATAATTACGTACCAAGTTCTTTGCAATCTCTGTTGCATATTTGATATTGTTCTTGACAAACTCTCTATTAGAAACCAATGATTGTCCTTTGGTCATTTCTCCAATCTTCAACAACAAAAATGGGGTGATATCTTTACCTTTAATACCCTTCTCCTTAGCTTCTTCATTAGCATCTTCAATGATCTTATTGATGAAATCTGAATCCATGGCAATGTCCTTTGGTGGAGGGATACAAACAAGATTACCTGATTCTAAACCAAGTAATTGTTGGTTATAAATGACATCAGCTACATCCTTGAAATCGGTGAATTGATTTGGGGATTTAACACCGGATTTTCTTGCATAAAACCCTGGTATTTCAACTTTATCTGAGCCATCGTCATTGTATGTTGTAACATAAACACCCTGGGTTTCTAAATATTCCATAGTTAAACCAATATCAAGAATAGATTTTGGTCCAGCACATACGACAGTAATAGGATTTCTTCCCAATTCAACTAAATCATTGGAAATATCCATGGTGATTTGACCTTCTCTATGAACTCCACCTAAACCTCCGGTACCAAAAACAGAGATCCCAGCTAATGATGATAAAATACTGGTTGATGCAATTGTAGTAGCTCCATTCAATTTATTAGCCATAACATGACCAATATCTCTTCTACTTACTTTAACAGCCGATTTACAATTTTCAGTCAAATAGCTTATTTGGTCAGATGATAAACCAACATGAGGGACACCTTTTATGAAAGCAATTGTAGCAGGAACTCCACCATTTGATCTTACGATATCTTCGAATTCTAAACCAAGTGATAAATTTTCTGGATAAGGAAATCCATGGGTTAAAATGGTTGATTCCAACGAGACAATTGGTTTCTTATCATTCAATGCTTGTTTAATTTCTTCAGAAATCACTAAAGGACTTGTTTTAGTCTTAAAGGTTCTGATGAGCTTCAACATTTTCTCAAATGATTGAGTCGGAAATCACAGAGACTATAAAGAGGTTTCTGCAACATAAGACATATGAAGATTATGAAATATTGAGTTACTATTATTGGGATCAAGTACCGTGGAGTTGTGAAAAGTATCATCAACTAATAGGAAACTTACTTGATGATGATTTGATTTTACAATTGATCAAATCTTTAACCCCAATTAGTCGCAGACCTACCAAGTTAAGAATTGATAATGATGAAGAATTTGCTAAAGAGAAGATAAGTTCGATCTTCGTATTGATAACGTATTATGAACGTCACAGTAATTGGAGGATCATAACTTCCAATATTCTTAATTTATTCAAGAATCATGAATTACAATATAAAATACTAGCATGTAAGTTACTTTTGCAACTCAATGATAAAATAGATTTAGATAAAACAGGTTTAAGACAATTATTTGTTGATGATTTATACAGCTGTCTTACATATTTACCGGGAAAATTAATGGCACAAGATCCTACTGATCTCATAGACATTTCTTATCAGACATTGTTAGAGATAGATCATAATTATACCGAATTAGTCAATAGAAATTTAATGTCTATTGATAAGGTGTTCAATAGATTTGGAGAATCACATGACATATTACATTTAGAATTACAATATTTACAAGAAATTATTGGAAGACTCGGGATAAAAGTATTAATAACCTTCAATAGGATCAACTTCCTTCTCAATCAAATATTAATCAATACCTATACAAATGAACTGACTATTACAAAGATACTTGAAATTCAATACCAAGTGATTGAAATGTTCTTGGACCAAGACCAACAAGGTAAGGATCTTATGTATGAGTATAGATTTGATTTCATAGGAAGTTGGAAGATTATGACCAGATTTCATAATATAGATATAACGAGGAATTACCAAATACTTGAAAAACTTTCAGATCAAAAACTTGAAATGTCTATTTAATATATACAAGATACTCTTATTGTTGTTGTAAAGTTTGAACGATTTTAATATTAAGATCTAAGAATCTGTTAACACAATTTTTCAAACATTGTTCATCATCATTGGATAAATTTGCATTCATTGAAGAATTTTTATTACATTTTTTGAAACACAAATCAGTAAAATTATGTATAGACATTTGAACTTTAGATTTTGCATTTTCACTTTCAATGAACTTTAAAATTTCACTCCTTTCGGATTCATTTAAATTTTGTAATTGATATTGACTTAAATTTGACATCGTTAAGAGAAAAATCTTGAGACTGCGAGATGAAGAGTGATATTATAAAGAAATTGGTTAATGAGAAACCCGTGTTTAATAAGGAGATAGAGGATACTTATATCAAGAGATTGGAAGAAGGACAACTATTGATTGATTCGTTAATTGAACAATCGAGTTTTGCCTTAAAATTGTTGAAATCAGAGTTATTACATCATCAACATACTAATGATAAGCAACAAGTTATAGCCGAGTATAAAAGGAATGAAATCATCCCCTTCTATCAAGATAAAAACGACGTGATATCTATTAGTACGGCATCGATTTTAATTCAATCATTGATCCAACAACATGTGAATAGTTCTAAAAATCTTCAATCATTAAATAATCAAGAATTTGATACTATCAATAACTTAAAAGGGTTCAAAATGGAGTATCAACAATTATTGGATAATCTTGATGAAATTTCTCAATTCAAAAAGGATAGATCCCATGAAATTACCCATAGTAATGAATTTGACTTGACAAATAATGAAAAAATTCAACAATTGAATGATTTGGTTGATACAACTGATAATGATCTCCAAAGTTTAAACAACGCGTTAAAGAAAGTAGTGTTTAAATATGTTTCATTTGATGATACTTCATTATCAGTTGAAGAAATCAAATCTAGAGTTACTCAACTCATAGAATTAATTAATAAGTTAATCAAAAATTTGATCACCAATAAGGGATTCACCCCTATTGATCCTAACCCCGTTCAACAAAGTTTAATTAGGAATTTAATTATGAATGACATAATTTTATCAGACCTTTCAGATGATATGTTAATTCAATTACGGGATTATAGTAGATAGCAAATCAAAAACCCTTGCTAAGCATTAATAAGGTTTTTCCCCCTGTACATTAAACCTTCCAGGCGGAGATATTTTTGAGAAAGAATCGCAACTGCGACAGTAAATAATAGTGCACCACAACTTAAATTTTCGAAAGTTTAAACATTTTTGGACCAATCCCGCTATCAAAACAATTTATAATATTAATATTATCATTTTGTTTTTCCTTTGAAATATGTCAACCATACCTAAAAAGAGGAATAGGAAGATTTTAGTATGTTATAATTGCAGACTGAAAAAAAACAAATGCGATAGACAACTTCCTTGTTCTTCATGTAAAAGATTAGGGATTGATGATAGTTGTAAGTATTCAGATGAAAAACCCAAATCTTCTACTATCAACTTTCCTTTACCGCCAACCACCAATAATGATCAAGTACCAGCGATTAAAAGATATGAAGCTGTGGCAATCACAAGATCATATCCTTATTTACCAACATATTCAAAAGATCCGGCGGTGAATTTATTATGGAAATACTGGTTATTTCAATTTAGAGATATTCAATATAATCAGTTTGTATTGGCAACATCATCTCTTGGAGTTCCTGCTGCCAAATTAAATTTTGAAACCAAATATTTCCCGGAAATTACTGATCCCATAGAGTATTCCACCTTCACTAGTGGCTCAGTAAGCATAAGATCGATTATAGGTAAAGTTAATCAATATGGTAAGACTGTTGGATTAGTTTACGATCAAGATTTCCCTCATAATCTGTCAATAATCGAAAGAATCAAATATATTTTACCCAATGAATTACAATTGGTTAATTTACATAAAATTTTCTTTGAAAAGATTGCAGAATTTGTACCAGTTATTGATGAATTTGAACATTATGAACAATTGAAAAACTTATTTGATATAATAACACCATCAACGAGGAAAATCACCAAAATCAATATCAAATTTAAACAGCATTATACTATATTAGCACAGATTTTAATTATAAATCGAATTGCTTATGTTTTCATGGTTTTGAATAACATTTCTACTGATGTGGTAGTTCCAGTAGATTCAGTCCGACTTGCCGAACATTGTATTGAGACTCATGGGTTATTAAATCAACCAACATTATCATGTTTACAATCTTTGACATTACTTCAATTTTATAGACTCGTAGCACCAGAAAAATTCCAAGGTTATGTAAGTGAACCTGTTTTAAGAGGAAATATCATGGAAATGGCAATAACTTTGGGTTTCCATAGAGATAGTACTAAATTAATTCTTGAATCTATTGATCCAAAAATTAATAATTTACGGAGAAAAATATGGTTTCATATTTATCAATCCAATATTCTCCAACAATCGTTATTCCCAACAAGTCCATCACCAGTAAGTCGAGAGTTCGATATTTCATGGCCCCATTTTGATTACACTATAAATAACTATCGTAATCCACTAGTTGAAAAACATATTATTGATGGTTTCTTATTCTCTGCTCCAATAGTGGATAATTTAGTTAAATTTTTAGAATCTACCCAAAAATTACAACCTGATTTCACTAATTTGGATGAAATGGCAGACACTTTTGGAACGGGAACTGATAATTTCCTAGGTAGTTTTGATGAGTTAATGGAAATAACACCGGGATTTTTCAAAATTACCGGGTTCAGAAACTTTATCTATGCAAAATTATTCTTAACTGTCACATATTTCATAAACTTCTTGAATAAAGAAGAATTAGGTGATCAAGATAAAGCAAAAGCATGTTTTACCACCGTTTTACATCTTATTTTCGATGTTTTAGGTAAATTTAGTCCTAAACTTCTTAAAGATCCCAAAACCAGATTTGGAGAAATGTTTTATTTAGTTATTTTACCCTTGTTGACTTTGGTGTACAATTTACTTCTTATCATTTGCATAGGATTGATTTTGAGAATCAAATGTACTATATTATTAACCAAAGATCCATCTACTATTGATAAATTGAATGATTGGATCGATATACTCAAAAAGTTTTGTCTTATTAGAATCAAGTACTTGATAGAAATGAGTGTTTATAGTCAGTTTGCTATCAAAATTTTGAAAATTCATTTATTCCATATTTTGATGATTTTTGATGATAATGGGATTTATAAACTTTTAAATAATGAAGTTAAGCCATTATTCTTAAATTTGAACTATGATGAAGTAGTTGACATGATGGCTATATGTAAAAATGTTGTTGAAAATGAAATCATTGATGATGTAAACTGTTTCACTGTTAATGATATACTTAAACTTGATTTAAATTGTAATTTGAAATTAGCTAGTTATATGAGATCAGATAAACTATGGAATAGTGTATCGATTTTGAGGTTATATAATGAAATTAAAGTCCCAAAGGATAATGATGGTAATGATGATGATGATGAATTTGTATTTAATAATCCTTTATTTGTTTCTATACCAACATTTAGAGGTTATTTTGGTTTGCATTTAGAATGAATGCATACCCATGAATATATACTCTTTATTATATATTAAGTTAGAATTAAAATTATTTAGAAGATTTAGAAGCAACATCAACATTGACTTCTTCTTTCTTTTGTTCGATAGATGGTTCACTTTCTTCATCAACACGAACATCACCTAATTGGTTAATGTCATAACCAGTTGAAGTTAAATATTCTAAGAAAGCAGCATCTTCATAAGCGACAGCATCTTGACCAACTCTTGGTAAGAAGAAAATACATAAAATAGCAGAAACAACATTTAAAGCTGCAGAAATATAAACTGGAGTTCTAATACCATCAGAATGTCTAATAATATATGGGAAAGCATAAGAACCACAGAATGCACCAATTTTACCAATAGCAGCAGCAATACCATAATATTCACCTCTAATAGTTGAAGCAGAAGTTTTGGAAGCTAATAAACCAACATTATCACCAGCTGAGAATTCTCCTAAAGTAGAGAAAATACCGAAAACGACAGTGAAAGCACCAATTTGTCCGGCTAATGAATCATAACAAGCAGCCATAATAAAACCAACAATGGCTTGAACAATTAATCCAACACCACAAGTTAATCTTGGACCAAAATAATCAGCTGATAAAGCACCTAAGAAAGCACCTGGGATATAGAATAAATTGAAAACAACATTCCAACCGAATGATTTATATAAATCAGTATTACCATCGGAATCAGTAACTAAATTAGTTAAGATATAAGATGAGTAGGTACCGAATGAATAAGCGGAAAAATCGTAAATCCACCAAATTAATGAAACAATAGTTAATCTGAACCAATAAAATTTGATGATAGCACCATAAGGAACTTTTTTAGCATGTTTAATATTCATTTTTTTGAAAGATGGAGAGTCAGACATTTTCAATCTTAAGAATAATAAGATTAATGGAGGAACAGAACCAATACCAACAACAGTTCTCCAAATAGCATTTAAATGACGTTCACCATAAATCCATAAACAAACCATAGCAGCAAAAGCGGAGATAACGAAACCTAAATCAATCATGAAATTGGTAAACCAAGCGAAATATCTATTTCTGTGACCTGAAGGTAATTGTTGGGCAGCTTCAGATGAAATAACTGAAGCAGTTGGGTATTCAGCACCAATACCAACCCCTAAAAAGAATCTGAAGGTAGTGATAGCTGCGAATAAACCTTGAGCTGAACCATTAGCACCCCAAGCACCAGCAGCAGTTAAAGCTGGTAAAACAATTAACATTCCAGTAGCAATCATCATACCACCTTTTCTGGCAATATGATCTGAAATGTAACCGAATAATAATTGTCCAACAACAGTACCAACGAAAGCAATTGCGGAAACATTAGAAATAGCGGAGGATTCACTATATTCTTTACCATAGATAAGGGATAAACAAGTTGACACAGTACCAATAGAATTATTGACATAACCATCACTGAATAATCCAGCACCAGATGCAAATACTGGCCATAAATTTTTACCCTGAACTTTAGTTACGGCTTCTTCATTTTGTTCTTCGGCAATTTGGTCTGGGGTCTTTCTATTGAAAGTTACTTCATGTTCTAAATTATCAATCCACCCAGTAGTAAGAGCTTTAAAACTTTTAGGAATATCTCTTGTAGCCATAGTTATGAGATTTTAAAACTTTTTTCTGTGAAGGCCTTTTGGAAAAAAGAGAATATGAAACGGTTTTATACTAACCCACTGATAAGAAACGTGGATTTGCATGCCTCTAATAGAATTATGTCGCATCCATTAATAAATGTCAATAGGCCGCACGTCAATGTCATTTAAGAAGTCAAGAAATTTTCTTTACAACCTGGGTGTTCTAAACGTATTGGTAAATGGTCATGGTTGATTAAAGGTTGGGTGTTTTTGATCCATAACAGTCTTAATCACTTAGATATCAAAACAATTTGAAAATTCCTCCCCATGAAAAAGTTTAATTGTTGTCCTCGAATAGGAAATTCAACAGAAAAAAAAACTTTTCCACGACTTTTTGACGTTCCCAATCCAGATTATGAACGCCGGTCTACTTCAATCGTATACGGTTTATTGTAAACTGCATTCCAACATGTTTAAAATTAAAGTTGATTAGATAAGGTTTGTTGATGGGTTTCTATTCCTATATAGGTTAGTTAATTCCTCGAGAAATTTCCACTAGATAAGGATAAAACTCGAAATCTTACAAACGAAGTTTTTTGGCTGGACTCCCGCATTTATTTGAAATGCCGCTGCTCGTGGCATTTTGGGTAATTATAAAACGGACTGGGGCCAAATTACGTCGATTTTTTTGTATCTAAAACTTTCACATGCTAATTATGTACTTCTGTTAAGTATAGATAGATGGATCTAATTGTATTACCCAAAATATCTGCATACATGGCGATGAATGGCACGATTGAATTTTGAAAGAAATCCTTTATTTGCCGATTAAAAACTTAATGTCTTAAATTATGTCAACCGTAGCGAGACATTTGGTGAATTAATAGCCTTTTAATCTCATTAGGTATGTGGTCTTGTGATCGTAAAATAGGAGGATTCGCGATACAAAATTTCTTTAGAGTGCGAAACCCAAGGGATACCAGGTGTTATGAGATCAACTATCATCGCTAATAGACTATTCAGAACCCAAAGGTTCGTGATGTTGATCATAGTATCATGTTTCTTCATGATGTTATTGGTTTTATCCATCACTGCTCATAAACATATCAAAGAGGCCAACTTTGATATTTATGATAAAACTCAAAGTAAGATTAATGAATATTATAATTCTATTAATCATTATTGGGGTGATGAAGGTACTGATTCAAAGATTGAAAGCAATGAAACTGTTGAGAATCCTGATGCTGAAGCGGTAAGTGGCTCAGAAGCCGGAAAAGCTGTTGAAGACAGTAAAAAAGGAAATGCTGGTACTGAAGAAGGGGAAGTGGAAGCCAAGCCTAAAGTTGGAGCTGGAGTTGGAGCTGAACCTAAGGTTGAAGATGAACCTACAGTTGAAACTGAAGTCGAAGCTGAAGATCAAGCCGGAGCCCAAGTCGAAGCTCAAGTTGAAGGTGAACCAAAAGTCGAAGCTCAAGTTGAAGGTGAACCAAAAGTCGAAGCTGAATTTGATGCTGGTACCGGTGCTTCTAAAGATGAATCCGGGGATGTTAATATTGCCCTCCAAGACGTTACTGAATCCCCCGAAAACGCCGTTAAAAGTGATAAGGACCCAGATGGCTCTGTAATGGATAAAGTAAGTGGACCTTAATCGTGTATATTTTATAATTCGTAATCTATAAACCTCTCCAGATGGACTTTTCAAAATGATCTCCTCTACTCTTTTCCTTTATTAACCCTATTATCATGAATTCATTACAGACTTGCAAGAACCATGATAATAAGATTTTATCCCATTTAATATCGTCAACCTCTCCAAGGCGGAACTCCTCTATGATATCTTCCTTATTCAATGAATGTTTAAAAGCCATAAAGAAATCATGATGATTGATTGCTGGTGGGGCTTCATCTAATAAATTGAATAATTTGATTAGTATGGGTTCAAACTTTGACAGCTGGGAGATAATTGAATTATCTAAATATTGAGTAGAAAGTAAGTTGTTCTCTATAATTTGTCTTGCATTGGGTCTTACGAGATTAAGCATTAAATTTTGATAATTTTCCACCAATTTGGGTAATTTTCTTTCGAAGTTACCACCATTAATAAAGAAAATTTCTTTGAAAACCACGGGAAACTGAGTTAATTGTTGTAATTCAGATATGAATGATTCTTTATCTTGCTGATTTTCCAAAATAGCCTTGAAGATTTTGGATTTGAAGAGACTTCCTTTAATGATGAGTTGATATGCTTTAATGGGTTCAATTCCCAACATGCTAATGATCTTTTCTAGATTTTGTTTAAAACTGAAGTACAAAGCTTTTGATTGATCAAATTGTTGTTTGATATATGCATCAGTGAAACATTGTTCAACTTGTTGTTTGCTTACTTCACCTCTTTGATTTTTACTGAACATCTCTTCTACATGGAGTTTAAAAGATGGCAATTTTTTCAATACTTCATAATCATCGACTGACAAATCATTCTCAATCAATGGTGAGAAGCTATTGGAATAAAAATGAATCATAAGACTGACTTTGATCTCATTGACAAGATTATCAATGGAATTGTTACTATTGAAAAACCTCGAAAGTATAATATCAACTAATGAATCATCTATCAATACCTTGGAATTGACAATGGTTTCTTCCAAGATTGTTAAACATAAATCAGTGTTTGACTTGGTTTCGAATTTATGGTTGTTACAAATCATTTTCAAATCATTGAAGATGTTCTTATTGATCCAATCAGATATGTTTGAAGATGTTAAACCAAATATCACCTTCATAGGTATATCATTTATAACATTGATTTGTTTCAAGAAAATATTAAGAATTTGTGGATCAATGGAATCAGTATCTTCGAATATTATCACCAATTTAATCTTTGGATTCTTTAAATGCCAATTTCTTAAGGTTTCAAGACTATAAGTACTACTTTCATCATTAACTTCCTCACTAAACCCTTCATCCTCTTCCTTATCACTATTTACATCCTCTTCTTCTTCTTTGTACTCAACTTGATGAACTAATTCTCTTAATATGGATTTGATACTAAAACTACCAGTTTTACTACTTATTTTCAAAATTTTCAAATCTTTATCATCTACAAATTTATAGAATTCATCAAGAATACGATAATTATTGGCAGCATTGGAACTCAAAGATATGTATCCTATATCTAATCTATTCAAAGGGGTAATCAACCCCCCTGATTTGACAATAGGGTCATCTTCGGTCATAATGAATTGATATAAATATTTGAACAATTCATCATTAGAACTTTGAATTATATTATTAATCCTCAATTGTAATTCGTCTATAACTGTCTTATATAATCTATAACGAGTGACACCATCATTTTTACGTTCAAACCCTATATTTTCGAACGGTGAAGAAATATGTTTCTTTACTGGTGTCAAATAGTAGAACGGTTCAGACATAAATATATTTTTGCGCATCATGGATCAGATGTTAAAGAATAGGAAAGCGGGGGTTACTGGGATTGAACAAGGAATTGAAGAAATCAAAGTAGTGGATATCAATGAAAAGGATCTGAATATTAATGATCCTGATTATGATGTCAATTCCCAAGAATCTGATGAAAAAACTCCCGAAAATGAATTCGATGAAAAACATGGGGTCGGAGATGAAAATTCAATTGATTCAAGTTCTACACCTTTAGATCAAATTGATACTTCTAGTAACAGTGAAGATGTTGGGGATTTGATTGTTAAACGGAAAAGGAAGTTTTTACATATTGCACCCTTAAATCTTCCCTTAAATAGAAGATTAGAAACAGTTGGGGTAATTTGGCATACAATATCAATCCCTGCGTTCATTATATTGTTTCTTGTGATTTTATCCCTTGGATGGGTTTCTTGGTTGGTTGTTATCTTACCATACTTTATTTGGTGGTATGGATTCGATTTACATACCCCAACTAATGGGAAAGCAACTTACAGAAGTAGAGATTGGGTTAAAAATTTAATTATTTGGGAATGGTTTGTTAATTATTTCCCTATTAGAGTTCATAAATCTTGTGATTATGAACCAACTTTCTCCATTGAACCTGTTAAAATCGATGACAATGAAGATGAAGAAGATTTGATCAATGAGAATTCCACTACTTTAGTTGATAAAGTATTTGAATTTTTAAGGTTAGGGAAACGGTTGAATTCGAGTGGTTCGGTTAAAGTTTGTAGTGGTCCAAGATATGTGTTTGGATATCATCCTCATGGAGTGATTTCCATGGGAGTTATGGGATTATTTGCTACAAATATCATTCGGAATGAACCTTTTGAACCACCTTTGAAATTCCTTAGATTTTTATTCCATAATCCAAGTAAATTCAAACCTTTATTACCAAATATCGGTAAAATATTTCCTTTGACCTTAACTACCCAATTTACTTTACCTTTTTATAGGGATTATTTATTGAGTATGGGATTGACTAGTGCATCAGCTCCCAATATTAAATCTTTGATTAGTAATGGTGATAATTCCGTTTGTATTGTTGTAGGAGGAGCCCAAGAATCGTTATTGAATTCCAATGTTTCTAATAATCCCGTCAATAGGAAGTCAACTCCTAAATCTCCTAGAGAAATTAAATTGGTTTTGAATAAAAGAAAAGGATTCGTCAAGTTAGCTATTGAATTGGGAAATATTAATCTTGTTCCAATTTTTGGATTTGGTGAAGCCGATATTTATAATATCATTAAACCTAAGACTGGTTCTATAGGTGATTGGTTTCAAAAATGGTTGAAAAAACATTTCCATTTTACTATACCATTTTTCAGTGCTAGAGGAATTTTCATCTATGATTTCGGATTTTTACCTTTCAGAAATCCTATTAACATTTGTATGGGAAGACCTATTTATGTTCCACCAAATTTATTAGCTATCGAAAAGGATAAATCCGATCCTGATAAAGAAAATCCTCCTAAATTGAAGCATAAAAATTCATTCTTTAGACGTAAAAAATCTATCAAAAGACCTAAAGTACCCCAAGACATTTTGGACCATTACCACAAATTATACGTTGATGAATTAAAAAGAGTTTTTGAAGAGAATAAACAAAAGTATGGTTATGAGAATGTAGTTTTAAATATTGTTGAATAATCCAGTTGATTTGGATTCCAAAATATATGCAATCGTTTTTAGAGTTTGAAAGTAAATGATCATGTCCCATTATCTACTTCTTTAATTTCAAATCAAGATTTTGATTTTCAAATTCAATGTCAAAATCAATTGATTTTTCACCTCTTAAAATTATCAATTTCCCCTTTTGTTTTAAAGTTTTGTAATCTCTATATAATTCACGGTTTAATTTGAATCTACCGTTAACTTTCTTGTAAAAACTTTTGTTATTTTCATTGAATTTTGCAATAAAATTGTTAATTTCATCATTATCAGATTTGATCTCATTTATTAACTTTTCATTCTTATTAATCATCGATATTTCCCAATTTTTGAAATCCTTTTCGGAGTTATCTTTCTTTTCAAAAAATGGCTTGCCAAATAATTTGTCTTGAGGTATTAATTCCCAAAGATATTCATCATCAATATCATCTAAATGAGGATTTAAATTGATCATTCCACTTAATGATTTCTTTAATGAATGTTCAGGTACTGATTTATAATTGAAAGAATCCTTATCGTAATATAATTTCATCATATTGATTTGATTTTGAGCTCTCTCATTCTCATCATTAGATGTCATGAACGAATCTAATTGTTCAATCAATGCTTTATCTTTGGGTGTCAATTGAGATTTAATGAATATCTTGCTATATTCTTGAGGTATCTCGAAATTGATTAAATTATTGTTTATAGGTTTCATATAAATCTTTTCATATAATTCATTAGTGGAGAACTTTTCAAATTCACTGGGGATTTTAGGGAACTTGTCAAAAGGTATAAAGTTTGTTGATTTATCAGTATCGTTGCTTTGATCATTTTTCGTTATGGTTTTCGTAGCATTTTTATTTGATTCTAATAATTTGGGTTTTTGTAGTTTACTACTCTTGGGAGGTGCCAATAAGTAAGATTTTTTCCCCTTAACCTTCTTACTATAAAATCTAATGACATTCATCCTTGAAGATTTTTTTTCCGCGCTAAACCCACGATCTGATTAATATTACAGTTCGAGAGTGATAAAATTACCATTGACAATTTTCAACACTACCGTTCAATTAGTTAGAGGATATTCAAAAAGCTTAAATTGCAAAAGACTTAATTTTATGAAACAATTTGCCAGTATGGATTTAAACACTTTACCACATACTTATGATAAACCAGTTGAATTAGCTATTATCGGAGGAACTGGATTATATGATTTACCAAATTTGAAACCAGTTGCTAGATTAACTATTCTGACTCCATGGGGATTTCCATCAAGTCCAATTACTATTAGTGAAATGGCCAATGGATTTCCTGTAGCTTTCTTAGCTAGACATGGTGCTCATCATGATTTATTACCAACTGATGTACCAAATAGAGCTAATATGGCCGCTTTAAAAAAAATTGGTGTTAGAGCAATCATTGCTTTCTCAGCTGTTGGTTCATTAAGGGAAGAAATCAAACCAAGAGATTTTGTTTTACCAACTCAAGTAATTGATAGAACTAAAGGTATTAGACCTCATACTTTCTTTGAAAAAGGATTTGTTGCTCATGCTATGTTTGGTGAACCTTTTGATGTTAATTTATACAAATTAATTAGTGAACATATTCCAAAATCTGGTTTCTTACAAGAATTTGATAATAAGGGAACTCCAACTTTCCATACTAAAACTGATAAAGATTTAACTTTAATTTGTATGGAAGGTCCTCAATTCAGTACCAGAGCTGAATCTCAATTATACAGAACTTGGGGAGGTGATGTTATTAATATGTCATGTATTCCAGAAAGTAAATTAGCTAGAGAAGCTGAAATTGCTTATCAAATGATTTGTATGTCAACTGATTATGATTCTTGGAATGTTGATGAAGAACCTGTTACTGTTGAAACTGTTGTTAGCAATTTGAAAGCTAATAGTGCTAATGCTGCTAAAATGGCTGAAAAATTAATTGATATCGTTGCTGAAGAATTTGAAAACGATACCTTAGGTATTGGTAAAGACTTACAAGGATCAATGAAATTTTCCGTTTCAACTAATCCAAAAGCTGTTAAGAAGGAATTATTAGAAAAAATGCATTTCTTATTCCCAGGTTATTGGCCAATTAATTAGGTCACTTTGTTAGGTTTCTAGTTAGGTTTATAGATATAAACGATTTTAGAGTGTGATCACCTGAGTTCGGCCGAACACGAATTTCTTTTTCATCTCTCACGGTGGTGAAAAATTTTTAGGCTCCCCTGCTTTTAACCCAAAAAAATACGGCTTAGAAATGCACCATTACCCCCAGAATGCAACCAACAAATAGATCTGTGACAGATCTTATCTCCAATCAATAATAAGCGATAAACGAGGGGATACATAAATGCCTTGAAGCCATTCAAGTAAAAGGTTTCGAATTAAGTATATAAATTTGACAAAAGTTCATAATTTAACATTTCCCAACTATATTTAGAGTGATTAATTTCCTTAAACATAAAAGTTACGGTAAAGAACAACGTTACATATGGTAAAATTGCCGTTTGTAAAAATAGACACTTTCCTTTTTCGCTATTACCGAATGTTTTTTTAGGCCATCGCTTCTATTTTGGGGAATTTTCTAACGTGATTTTCTCATGCAAGACGGCTGCAAATTTTTCCTGTCAATGGTTGTAACCTCATAATAACCTTTCTCATAGGTGTAATAATGATGAATAATACCATTAGATGTTATGTTGTATCATATTCAATCTCTTGATCATACTTTAAGCATTATAAATATTCCCCATTTTGAACAAAGAAAAAAAGGGTTCAACTTACATTACTCAATTGCGCATCCTGTGATGACATCTTTCTTTTTTTGTTTCCTATTTCTATTGGCTTTTGATAATAAAGGAATTCATATAAATTGAAATTACATTCCGTGAATTGAAAATTAATCAAATTTCTCTATGTCTGAAATTAAAAAAGATATCATTGACGTTCCAGTTGATGAAAAGGTCAATCCTATTGAAGCTAATGATTCCGCTGATGGTTCATTCAAACCTTTAGATAGTGATAAAAAAGAAGAAACTGTAAGTTTAACTGAAGATGGTGATGAAGCTACCATGGAAGATTTAAAAACCTTAAGACATGTCTCAGGTAAGATTCCTTTAAGAGTTTGGTTAGTCGCTATTGTTGAATTAGCTGAAAGATTCTCTTATTATGGTTTATCAACTCCTTTCCAAAATTATATGCAAAACGGTCCTGAAGATACTCCAAAAGGTTTATTAAAATTAGGTTCTCAAGCTGCTACTGCTTTATCATATTTCTTCCAATTCTGGTGTTATGTTACTCCAATTCTTGGTGCTTATATCTCAGATTCTTATTTGGGTAAATATAAAACCATTTGTATGGCTTGTGGTATTTATATTGCTGGTATTTTCATTTTATTCATGGGTTCTATTCCTTCAATTACTACCAGAAATGCTGCTATTGGTACTTATGTTGCTGCCATTATTATTATTGGTATTGCTACTGGTTTCATTAAATCAAATGTTTCCCCATTAATTGCTGATCAAATTCCAAAAGAAAAACCAACTATCAGAGTTTTAAAATCTGGTGAAAGAGTTGTTGTTGATCCAGCTATTACTATTCAAAATGTTTTTATGATCTTTTATGCTATGATTAATATTGGTTCTTTCTCCATTGCTGCTACTACTCAATTAGAACACAGAGTTGGTTTCTGGGCTGCTTTCCTTTTACCTTTCTGTTTCTTCTTTGTTGGTGTTTTTGCCTTAGTTATTGGTAAAAATCAATATGTTAAACTTCCAGTTAGTGATAAAATCGTTGCTAAATGTTTCAAAGTCGCTTATATTGGTATTAAAAACAGATTTAACTTAGATTCTGCTAAACCATCAAACAATCCAGAAAAGAACTATAACTGGACTGATCATTTTGTTGAAGAAGTTAAAAGAGCTACCAAAGCTTGTAAAGTCTTTGTTTTTTTTATCGTTTTCTGGACTGTTTATGGTCAAATGACTAACAATTTCGTTTCTATGGCTGGTCAAATGGAAACTCATGCCATGCCAAATGATATGTTACAAGTTTTCAACTCATTAGCTATTGTTATTGCTGTTCCATTATGTGATAGATTAATTTATCCATTCATTAGAAGATTCACTCCTTTAAAATCCATGACCAGAATTTTCATTGGTTTCATGTTTTCAGCTTCCGCCATGGTTTATGCTGCTGTATTACAACATTATATTTATAAAGCCGGTCCTTGTTATGATGCTCCAATGGCCTGTGCTCCTGAATATTCAAACACTCCAAACCGTGTTCATGTAGCTATTCAAGCTCCAGCTTATGTTTTAATTGGTTTATCAGAAATTTTTGCCAACATTACTGGTTTAGAATATGCTTATACTAAAGCTCCAATTTCAATGAAAGCTTTTGTTACTTCATTATATTTACTTACCACTGCTTTCGGTTCTGCTATCGGTATTGCTTTAGCTTCTGTTTCTGTTGATCCAAAATATGTTTGGTTATATACTGGTTTAGCTGTTGCTACTTTCATTTCTGGTTGTATTTTCTGGATCTTATTCCACCATTATAATGACCATGAAGAAGAATTAAATCAATTAGAATATGACCAAACCGACAACGTCGCCAAAGATGTTTTCCCAGGTGAAGGGTTAGCACCAATTGCTTCAGTTTCAAAATCTATTAGATCTGTTGTATAATAATAAATAATTAATATGTGAAATTCACAACTTTTCTCTTTTTTTTCACAAGGTTCATATTGTTAAATATCTCTGTACGATATCAATGAACAGTATCACCGACATGTTGAATACCTGGTTATTTGTGATAAGAGAACGAATGTTTGTAAGAATACGAAACATCCTTACATAGGAGAACATAGATATACGAGGTCATTGAATGATAGCAGTAAAAGATTGAAAAATGAGTCAAAACTTCCCCTAACTTAAAAAATCGATACCTTATAGGATTAATTCGGTCCCTGTATCCACCAGTGGTCATCTAACATCTCCCCACCATTCACGAACAGAAATCACCATGTTGCCTATCTTGGTGATGTTCCGAATTTTCGCAACGCGTCTGATGATATGAATACCCAAGCTACGCAGGCTACCCAAGCTACACAACCAACGCAGCAATCATCAGATACTCAAACTCCAGTTGATCCCAATCATCTTTGTAGGTTGATATGTACGTTTGGTCCTTATACACACTTTGATTTAAATATCGCTTCGAAAAGCTTATGGACTTTTGGAAGAAACGGTGAGTGTGATATACCTTTAACTAATAGTTCCAGATATTCCAATAGACATTTCAAGTTATGGTTCAACAAAGAAGGGAAGTCCCTTTGGATAACAGATACGTCTACCAATGGAACTTTCTTGAATAACAACCGTTTAGTTAAAGGATCAAATTATATGTTACATCAAGGTGATGAAATATTCATAGGTAAAGGAGTTCAAAAAGATGAATTGAAGTTTGTGATTTTGTTTTCTGATTTATTTAATCCCCAAAATACCCAGCAGGGTGTCATCAAAGATGAAGGAATCTATAAAGATTTTGTTATTCATCATGAAACCATCGGTCAAGGTGCTTTTGCAACGGTTAAAAAGGTAATTGAACGTTCTACAGGTGATGCTTATGCGGTCAAGATCATAAATAGGCGTAAAGCCATGAATACTGGGGGAGGTATGGTGGAAGTACAGAGAGAATTATCAATCTTAAGAAAACTAGATCATCCCAATATTGTTAAGTTGAAATCATTCTATGAAGATATGGATAATTATTATTTGGTGATGGAATTCGTTCCTGGTGGTGATCTTATGGATTTTGTTACTGCCATAGGACCATTGGAAGAATTGGCAGCACAAGTGGTTACTAAACAAATTTTATTAGGAATTGATTATGTTCATAAATTGGGTATAAGTCATAGAGATTTGAAACCTGATAATATATTAATCATGCAAGATGACCCTATTAACGTCAAAATTACCGATTTTGGATTGGCTAAAATCAGTGATAATTCAACTTTCATGAAAACCTTCTGTGGAACTTTGGCTTATGTAGCACCAGAAATTATAACCGGAAAGTATGGTAACCAATCACAATCATCACAACCTTCACAACAATCTCAAGCTAAACAAATGTTATATGACAATTCTGTAGATATGTGGTCATTAGGATGTTTAGTGTATGTGATTTTAACAGGACATTTACCTTTTAATGGTAATACCCAACCACAAATGTTTTCAAAAATTAAAAGCGGAGAATATCATAAAAGTCCATTGGTTCAATATCAAGTTAGTGATACTGGGATGGACTTCATAGCAAAATGTTTAACTGTAAAACCTGAAAATAGATTAACAGCTGAACAAGCATTAAAACATAAATGGATTGATTTCGAGGACAGTTTATCACAAATTAGTTTATCACAATCCCAATCTCAACAATCAAGAAAGATCGATGGAAGAATTGATAATGGAATAGCAATCACTTCGATGAATAAGATTGATGAAGGAGAAATAATGAGAAGACCATTAATGAAAAAGGAAGAATTCAAAGTACCTAAAAGGATAAAACCTAGTCAACCTTTGAGTCAAGCTGTCAGTCAACCGATAAGTCAATTCAGTCCCTTCAGTCAACCACCGACAAATTTGAAAAGAAGCATTGAAGAAGAATTAATAGAGAACAAAAAATTAAAACAAGGAACATTCGTTATTTTAAAACCATCATTCGATTCAATATTAAAAGAAAAAATTGTTATACCTCAGGGCATCAACCCTTTTGCCATTGGTAGAAATGAAACCTGTGACGCTTATATAGTTGATGATAGGATGTCTAAGATTCATTGTTTGATAACCAAGAAACGTCATGCCATTTTCAAAACAAGTATTTATGAGAGTCCAGCAAAATGTCTTGATGATATTTGGTTATTGGATTGCAGTACCAATTCATGCTTTGTGAATGGTCAAGTAATAGGGAAAAACAAGAAAATTCAGATATTCGATGGTGATAAGATAGATTTTTTTAATGACAAAAAAACCAAAGAGAAGCTCAGTTTCATAATCGAAATTGTGGATCGTACAGGCTTGTTCAATGAAGGGATCAAAAATCTCGAACCTACGATAATGAATCAAGATGCTAATGACCTGAAACTCAAACCAGTGCCTGTAGATTCTATATTGGAATCAGGGATCGGCTATGGAGGCTCATTGAATAATGCTTTAAGATTACAGAGAAAGTCTTTGGAGAACAATACAACTAAAAGAGCTAATTTACAATAGACGTTTTCGTGACTCTTGAACTCTATTTCTTATTTCTTGGTGCTTTGAAGATATTGCTCTGGGTTGCCATTTTCGTATTTAGAGTAGATCAGTTGCTTGTTCTCGTATTCAAGTTATATCCAGGATGGGTGAAGTGAAAGTACGAATCATGTAAGTGGATAATGGGAAACATTTGCAGCATTGTTAGTAGGGCTGAACTGAGTTTTCAAATTGACCTTCATGGTATGGATATGACACCAAAGGGCATATACTCAACTTGAAATCTAATGTGACAATAAATGAAAATTCGGGGATGAGATAAGCTCCCTGTACTTGTACACTACTTCGGATCACGTAAATATTCGTGAATTTCTAATTTTACTGCAATATCCAAGGTTTCATACAAGTTACCAGCCAGCAACCCTGGAAAATGCCTGTTCATCAAGCAAGCTCTTTTATCACACTATTCGGGGACCGTTCGGATATCCAAAACCTGGCCAATTGATAACAGTCTGCGATGTATCGAACGATGAGACTCTCATTACATTTCCGTTTTGGGGTGATTGTAGATCATCAAGATATGTTTTCATTGTGCTAGCTTTTTCAAAGGCTTTCTAGTCATTATTAGTCTCTACGCGTATCTATCAGGCACAATATCCAGACTATCAGCCACTGCCTTCTTGAAATAGCTTCAAATCTCAGATATTATATCTCCGGTTCGTAACCCTGTAAATGAAAAATAGAACTGACACGCATAATTTTTATTATTTGAACCCCCAGTGATCCCCATTTCGTACCCATAGCAATGTCAATTGAACCTTTCCTATTAGTTGATCTTTCTGACTCAGTCTTCCATGATATTTCAACATCGTGTTCTGTGGATGAATCGAATTATACCTGGTATAATGAGGTGGAATACAGTGACGACAGTTTAAGTATCAGCCATTTTGATGATCTCCAGATCAATTCTGACACTCTTGATACTTTGAATCAATTGACCATTGGATCTAATGAATACATTACTGAAATTCCCAAAACCAACAACGATAAAATTGCAACCCACATCAATGCCCACGAATTCTTTATCAAAATTACATACAATAGACAGAAATTGGTTTCAAGAATCAAGGATAGTTTGGTCACATTAGATGAAATGATTTCTCTTCACAAACCCCTGAAAGTGAAAGCAATGATATATAGGACCAATCATCATCAAACTAAATTGAACTTATATGAGTTATCCTGCAAATTGAACCTCAGTCATTATGATTTAAAGATTACTAAGAGGATTGAATGGCAGGTTATGAAGGTTTTTGGCAAATATTGTGGATTCGAATTCGGTGAAAAGACCTGGTTGAAATCTACCACGGAGAGGGAAAGAAAGAACCAGATCGAATTTTTGTTCCTGATATTTGAAGATATTTTACCCATCACAAGAGAAAGTTTGAAAACCATCATCACCAGAGGCACTTACAGAAAGGTTCAGTATGAACATAGACAGAAGAAGAGATGGTCTATTTCTCGGAGATAGGTCATAAGAGTTCAGTATTTGAAGTTAAAGATTGGAGCGTAGATTGGGAGTATAGCATAATCGAGTGTAATAAAAATAGTGTAGCATAATAAGAGTATAGAATTGAAAGAGTGTAAGAATAGTAGTAATAATATTGGCAGCTGAACATAAGCAGTCAAAGAGTAGCATAGGGTATCATAAGCATATAGGTAAAGAGTGATAATATTTTGCAACCTCTCACATCCATTAATCCTTACCCCAGACTTTCAGATGCAAAATATTGAGATTAAGGAGACCTCGTCCGCGGCAAGCTGGTAAGTTTAGTTCCGTAGTCGCACTAAATTCAAATCTCACTACCTACAACATACTCAACATGACAGTATTAACTGGTGAAAGATTAGTTAGATTAGCCTACAAATATTCCAATTTACAAAACACTTGGTTTCTTATTGCATGTGCATGTTTAAGTGTGTTGAACCAACCTCAAGAAATCCCCAAAATCTATCATTTTGCATTGAGACAACAATTATTAGAATTCAAAAACGATGATACTTTGATCCTTGATAAATATTTGATTCAATTAGCCAATGATTCAATTGCTTCAAGTAAGAAATACGAAGAATTGACTTCTATTGGGATAGGTTTACCTGATTTGTTGATTCCTTACAGTTATTATAAAAATTTACCCTTGAGTTTCAAATTTGATAAAGCTTCGAATATCTTTGAATACCAAAATTTGATCACTTTGAAGTTTAGAGAAGTTATCTTGAAAGTCAGTCCATTGATTGGATTACCAAAATCCATAAATTCTTTGAATAGTTTGAAATTAGTAACTCCTTCAAGTATCAAGAATAATAATTCATCAGTTCAAAGACCTAACTTAATTAACAATTCAATCCCTTCATCCAAAATTATTGAAGAAGATTTTGATGGTACCAAGTTTGAATCACAAGAAATCATAGAAACAATTGATGGACCAATCAGTATCAACTCAATCAATAATAAAGCCGTATTTGAAAACTTGAAGAATGGTAGTGAAATGTGGAACAAAATCTATAGTAACAAATTGAACAAAAAGATCAAAAATCAAATCTACCAAAGTTACCCTGACTTATGGAACTTCATTTATCATAATGTGTATTCCAATATCTTGAGTTTTGATAAGATTTTGAATGATAAAGAGACCTCAATGTGTGTCATAACTTCGTTGATTCCTCAAGATGTTAACCCACAATTAAAGGGCCACTTGAAAGGGGCATTGAACTTGGGTGTTTCACGTGAAGAGTTAGAAGAATTGAGACTGTTGGTTTTCGATATCTGCGATTGGGTAGGTGGTAATTATTGGAAAGGTGGAAAGGATTCTGTTGCCAAATTATAAATGATAAATATATTCAATGACTCCAATCTCTAGATATAAAGCTATTTCTAAAATTATATATTCCTGCTATCCTAAATAATCATGATGTATGTCCTATAACTTAATTCTATCCTGTCTTCTAATAACCAAGACCTGACATCCACAGAATAAGAAAAATATTAAATAAACTAAAACTGCACCGAAAACTGTTTTAGCTACTTCTTTTCCATTTTCTGGATCATTGATTGAACCCATCATTGACTCATGCTCTACTTGGAATAAGTATCCAATGACTGATAATATGACAATCCCGAAGACTGATAATATCGTACAAAAATATGCTTTCCCTGTTGACACAACTGGTTTCATCGTTGACTTTCTCGTTTCTGACCGATTGAGATTTTGAGATTGTGAGAGATAATTATTGGCATGTCCACGACCTGGACTAAGGATTAAAGGTGATATAATTCGACTGCAAGTGAGTATTTGAAGGCTCAAATGGTGAAGGTAGGAAAATATGACTTGTAAGAAGTAGCATGAGAGTTTCGAGAAGTAAAAAATCAAGCTATGGAGCTTGGTCAAAATTTTCCGTTCATTTTGCAGCTATTTAATGCGTTTTGATTATTCCTTATAAACTTTTATATAATGCCTCCAATTCCACATTCAAAGATGTATATGGTTTTGTGTTAACGTGTTATCGTTAATAGGTATGTTTCCCCTCTAATTTTGTATCGATTATGTACAACTATCTCCAACAATCTCCAGAATCGCCGGGATCTCATTTACCAAGTTAATTTGCCAGCCTTCTTGATCTTTTTGGAGTTTCGGCACCACTGACTTCACTTTCACTTTCAGTTTGATCAAGAACTTTCTTTCCTTTCCTCAAAGAATTTATAAGCTTGTAACTCTCTTTTAACAAATTAAGTCTCTCATTCATTTCTTTCATTCTCAACAACCAATCTTCGTCGTTGAAATCTACATTCTCAAGCAACTCTACATTAGACAACCTCACCTTCTTGGGGTTCTTATATTTCAATTTCACTATCATTTGCATACTTCGAAATATCACCACCGTAATCTCATAAGGTGATCTATTCCTAACTTTTTTTTTCGCAGACTAGAACATTTACAAAACCCCCATCATATAATATCACTTAGTATCAAGGGAAAGCTTCAACTATGACTACTACACAATTAGAGAATACAGTGGAGAACAAACCATTGATTGAAACAACCGAACAACTACAAAGACTCATAGATGATTTGATTAATGTTGGAGCGGGTATTCATGATTATGTAGGTACCCAACAAGCATATCAGGCATTGATCCACAGGTTCAATAACATAATATTGGAGTTATCTACATTGTCATCTAATAACTTACCTTACCCTATTCCTATAGATGTGATCAATTATATCGAAGACGGTAGAAATCCAGATATTTATACCAGAGAATTTATAGAAGTAAATGCCAAATCCAATGCCAGATTGAAAGGTAGAATGCAAAACTTTGGTAAGCTTAGAGATATCTTAGGGGATAAATTAGTAAGTGAATTCCCAGATTTAAAGGAAACCATTGAAGGCATTAAAACAAGAACTAGTAATTAAAGGAATCTAAGGCAACCCACGAATTTCAACCAGCAATTTTTCCATTTCAAGTACAACCATTCCTTTCATGGAATTAGACTTCCATGTCATGTATTAGTTGCTTACGATGAAATCCACCTTGGTTTACATCATCAGAGAACAAAAAAAAATAACCGCAAAATCGCCTTTTAAGATCGGCTAAATTGATCAAGTTACCTTAAAAGCATCTAAAAAATAATATCAACTACTAAAACGGCATCATTGAAGATCATTGCAACCGTATAAGATGGCTGGTATATCTTCGGATAAATGTTTAAATACAAAAGAGATCGAAAACTGGTCGAAAAAAGAAACCGCGATATAATGGCTGGTTAAGTTGCAAAAAAATAAATCAATCGTATTTTTTCGAACAATAATAAGATGGTTTAATCTAATTATTTAAAGGGTCTTAAACCCAAATAGACGAAAATCCTTGCATTGCTAACCATGATTTCCAACTATGTTTCACTCCTTTTATTATGTGGATTAGCATTGGGTGATTATGATACAACTACAACTACTGATACCACGATCACTCCTACAATCACAGTCACTACTACTGTTGGTTATATGGAAAAGATTTACGAAACTGCTTACATTTATACCGATGATACTGGTCATTTAACTACCACAACTGAAATTGGGTCAACTATTTTAACTGTTGAAATTCCAGGTCAAACTGTTGGAGTTGAAAGTTCAAGTTCTGATGGTACTGTTACAGTTACTGATACCGTAAGTCTGGCTGTAAGTGATGCTGTAACCATCACAACCAGTAGTTTCGTATCAGATTCCGCTAGTGTTACCAGTGTTGAAGCTTTAGTTAGTGATCCAGCATCAAGTGCTGTTATCACCAGTGATGATTTGAGTGTTTCTGAAACCATTCCATCGTCAACTGCTTCACCAGTCGTTTCATCAGTTGTCTCATCAGCTGTTTCATCAGTTGTTTCATCCAATGCTGAATCCCTGAGTGTCATCTCCAGTTCTGTCGAACCTATTAGTGCTGTTGCTAGTGAATCAGACATTGTAGCTTCTACCTCTGCTGTCACTCCAGCCGAAAGTTCAGCTATTCCATCAGGTGATTATTCCACTGGACATTCAACTACCACCACTGTTATCGACGGTAAATCCATGGTTGTTGAATATGTAATTTTATATACTGGAGATTGTTGTATTTAATATATTAATTTTTCGCATCCAAAAATTCTCAACTCTTTCAGGATGAACAGATTTACTTTGAATAGATTGAAGGTTAATCTTCAGTTCAGAAGAGGAGTCAAGACCCCTACCATTGATTGGAAGCCAATTAAAAGTTCTACTTCCAATGTTACCGAAGCTGAAATGCATACCAAACATCCTTTGTTTAGAAAATTTATTCTTGGGTTAATGGTAACTATGCCAATTATAACTTTTGGTTTAGGTTGTTGGCAAGTAAAGAGATTGGTTTGGAAGAATGAATTGATATCCAGAGCTGAAAAAATGTTAGCAAGAGCACCTTTAACCTCATTACCACCAGATTTAGATCCAGAAGCTGTGAAAGAATTCGAATTCAGGAGATTCAAAATCAAGGGGAAATTTAATTATGATCAAGAAATCTTCTTAGGTCCAAGAATGAAGAAAGGAGAAGTGGGTTATTTAGTCATTGTGCCATTTGAAAGATCAGATGGTGGAGAACCAATTTTGGTTGAAAGAGGATGGATTTCGAAAGAAAAAGTCATACCTGAAACTAGAGAAAATAACTATTTATCACATTTATCAAGACCTAAAGGAGAAGTTGAAATTGAAGGGTTTTTTAGAAATATGCCAAAGAAATCTTCATTACAATTTGATCATGATTCTGATGCAAGATTGTTTCACGTTCATGATGTTGAGACTATGGCGGAACAAACTGGTTCTTTACCAATTTATTGTCAATTATTGTATGATTTATCGGATCATCCTGAATACAAATCCAAATCTATAATGGAAAAACTTGTTGGTTCTAAAAAGGACGATTTCGAAATGGAATATCAAGAATTCGAATTCATCAAAAATGGTGTACCAATAGGTACATTCCCCAAAGTTAATTTCACTAATAATCATTTACAATATTTGATCACATGGTTTGGTATTTCTATAGCATCTACTGGATTGTTGGTTTACAGTTTCATCAAAATGAAAAAATTCAAGGGAGCTGAAAGTTTAATCAAGGCCAAAGAAAAGAATATGAAGATTAATTGGTAAAATGTATTTATTGAATTGTATATAGATTGTATAAAGAATGTAAAAAGTCTTTTATTATTTTAAATAACTTGTTATACCAAATAATACAACGATTAAAGCTAAATCTCCTAAGAACATGTTTAAAATTTCCCAATATCCAAGTAGACTCACTAACAAAGGTTGATAAGCTGCAATCATTGGTACGAATGATGATGCCATGGAGATCATTTTTAAGATAAAGTTATCACTAGTCATGTTTTCACTAGATTTTCTCTTTGAAGATATTAAATAATATGATGATAAAATCACTGCTTCTATTGATAAGAATATTAAGGTGAATTGATTGGATGTTGGGATCTCTGAACGAATGTAATCATGACTAGAAGATCTGAAACCATCATTATAAACAAAATGGTAGATGAAGTTCATTATTATAGTCAAATATCTTACGACTAAGAACTTAAATTTCGATTGTTTGCTTTTGAAAGTGTTATATTTTAATAATTTTTGTTCATATTCCATATCTTGTAAATTATCTGGGTTTTCACCTTCAGTTTGTTGTTGTTGTTTCATCATATTCATCATCATTGATGAAAATGGATCTTCTGAACCTTCACCTCCATTTCCAAACATTGAGCTGAACATTTTATCGAAATCGGCTTCTGCTGGTGGAGGTGAAGCTCTATGGCTAAGTAATTGTTCGATATCAGAAGTATCAGGATCGTCATCTTCATGAACTTTCAAATGAGCTGGAATTGAGGATGGTGGTGGTGGTGTAATTGTAGGTTCAGGGGTTGATGGTTTATCTAAAACTGATGTGGTGGAGGTTTTAACTGATGACCCTTGACTTAAGATGTTATTTAACCTATCTGTGGCCTTACCACCAGCCATTTTGGCTTGTCTTCTTTCTTGTAAGATCTTTCGTTTCTCTTCTGGAGTCATTGAAAAATCGCACACCTGGAGATTTTGCGAAGTTGGTGATAATGGAGGATAAACTGATGAGCTATAGTGAACAACAAAGAAGACAGATTATCATGAATTCTTTGGAGAATAGAGATTATTTGTTAATAATAGCCAATCAACAAAATAAATCTGTCCAACAAGTAAAATATGAATTAATGGAGAAATTGGTAAAAGGTTAATTATTACATTATTATACACATTAATCATTATGATTCATCTATATTTTGACGTGGAATATGGTATGGTTGATGTTCGAGTAGCACCGGACTTATCGAATAATCCATCCATATATCTAGGTCTTTGATTCAAATCTGGGGTTCTGGCATTCTTCATTGCAGCCAATTTGGCTTGAGTAGCAGCTAATCTAGCTTGACTAGATTTTGTATGGAATCTGTTTGATTTAGGTGCAATTGTTCTATTATTCATACTTGATTTTTGAAATTTGGGTATTTTAGATGTAAAGGAATCATCAGATATATTAGGATTCTTCGAAGTTTTTAACACATTGGCTTTGATTTTATTCTTATTTTCAAGTTTAATCTTTAAGGTTTCATTTTTTTGTTTCAAATTATCAATTTCCGTTTGTAAATTATCTAATCTTTCATCTATTTCATCAGTTTTATTAGTATCATCGAATTGTTCAAGTTCCAAACTATTACCAAAATCCATACAATACATAGTCATTAATATACCATATAAGAAACTAGAAAATGATTCATTGAACCCATTGGTTATAGAATCATGAATCTCTGATAAGTTACTCATATTTATTTCTAACTCTTCCATCTTATCAGATAATTCTTCAAAGTTTTCAATATTGGACGCGGATTCAAGGGGTAAATTATCACCATCAATTGGATAATGTATGCTTGGAGATTGAGGGAAGATTTTGAATATCCCTGAAGATCTTTGCAGTTGTCTTCTCCTGATATTTGGTGTGTTTGGTTTTGACATTTGTTTATCCACAAAAATAAAATTTCGTGGTTTCGCGAACCTTTTTTGATCCAAGAGATGTAACTTTTTATATAAAATCTAAAATCTAAACATCCGTTCCAATGATATCCTTCCAATTCTTACCTTCTTTGGTCAATAAATCACTCAATTCATCCCTGATCTTAGCAGGTAAACCTGGTCCTTTATAAGCAAAAGCAGTATATAATTGAACAAAAGTAGCCCCAGCTTTACCAAATTCTAAAGCATCTTTACCTGAAGAAATACCACCACAACCAATTAAAACAATATTTGAATCTTTAGTAAATTTTCTTAAAGATCTTAAAGCTTTCAAAGCAAAAGGTTTAATTGGAGTTCCTGATAATCCACCAGTTTGATTAACTAAATCATTTTTAGATCTTAAAGAAGGTCTTTGAATTGTAGTATTCGAAACGATAATTCCATCAATTTTACTTTGTTTGGCAGATTGGGCAATTGACTCGATTTCAGGTTCAGTTAAATCAGGAGCAATTTTAACTAAAATTGGAGGTTTCTTATTTAAATTATTAACTCCTAAAATATCCCTTTCCTTAACAACAGTAGTTAATAAGTTAGTTAATTTTTCTTCACTTTGTAAATCTCTTAATCCAGGGGTATTTGGTGATGATACATTAATAACCAATACATCAGCATAAGGACCTAATCTTTGAACACCTTTAACATAATCCTCAACTTCATCACCGGTTTTATTTTTACCTAAATTAATCCCTAATAATCTTCCATCTCTCAAAGCAAAATTATCATGTTGGGAGGTGAAGTATTTACTTAATCTTAATTTCAAATTGGCAATAACAGCAAAATGTCCAGAGGAGTTGAAACCATATCTATTGATAACAGCATCATCTTTTGGTAATCTGAAGAATCTGGGTTTTGGATTACCTGGTTGAGGTTCAGGAGTAATTGAACCAATTTCAACATATTGAAATCCACAATTAAACAATGATTCAATAGCTTCACCATCTTTATCTAATCCAGCAGCTAAACCAATAGGATTATTCAAAGTAGTTCCAAAAACATCGACTTTCAAGTTTTCGGGGTTTTTGTTATCCATTAATCTTGGTGATAATCCATATTTCATAAATGTTATACCTAATTTATGACCATCTTCAGCATCAGTGAAATGTCTTATCAATGGACATAAAACATATTCATGAATACTTGATCTAGCATCAATAGCATAAATCCCCCCTAAAGTAACACCAACTAATCCACCGACTACTTTGATTGAACGAGGTATTCTATTCATTATTCAATTGATCAAAACTCTTTTCCTTACTTAGACCTAAATCTCAGTGATTGATAAAACCGTTGAGAAAGGTTTGTGCAGTATTTAAGAAAAACTTTTCGATGAGGTGCGAATTTAAGTGCATATAAAACCCATCAGAAGACTTCAATAATATAATTTTAACAAGGCATCATGGCAGTTACCGGGAAAATGGGGTCTTATGATAGACCTGGTACAGGGAAATATGAAAGAGGTAATAAGAAGAAATTATATAGTAAAGATAAAAAGATAAATGCCGGGTTGAAAAAAATTGATAATCAATATAAAGAAGCTGTTAGATCAGCTGCTGGTACTGATTTATTATTACAAGAAGATCATGGTTATTTGGAAGCTGAAGGTATGGAAAAGACCTTCAAATTCCAACAAAAAGATATTAAAAATGTAGTTGATGAATCAACTATAAAGAAGTCATTCAAATTATCATTACCAGACTATGGACCTTATCAAATTGATTACACCAGAAATGGTAAAGAACTTTTGATAGGAGGAAAGAAAGGACATGTAGCATCTATGGATTGGAGAACTGGAAGTTTGGATTGTGAATTACATTTAAATGAAACTGTTCATGCTGTTAAATATTTACATAATGATCAATACTTTGCAGTAGCTCAAAAGAAATATGTTTTCATTTACGATAAAACAGGTTTAGAGTTACATAGATTAAAACAACACATTGATTGTACTAAATTGGAGTTTTTACCATATCATTTCTTATTAGCAACAGCAGGTAATACTGGATACTTAAAATACCATGATGTATCAACTGGTCAATTAATAAGTGAAATAAGGACAAAAATGGGTCCTACACAATCCATGAAACAAAATCCTTGGAATGGAGTAATGCATTTAGGTCACGGGAATGGTTCTATAACTTTATGGTCACCTTCAATGCCAACTCCTTTAGTTAAATTACAAAATTCAAGGGGTGCGGTAAGAGATTTAGCTATTGATAGAGAAGGTAAGTATATGATAACTGGTAGTAATGATAAGTCTATGAAATTATGGGATTTAAGGAAATTCAAAGTCATTGATGAATATTATTCTCCAACACCTGTTCAATCATTGGATATTTCTGATTCTGGTTTGGTTTCAACTGGTTGGAATACTCATGTTACTGTTTGGAAGGATATGTTCAAATCCAAACAAAAAGATCCTTATATGAATCATTTATTACCATCAAATAAAGTAGAAAGATTAAAATTTGTACCATTTGAAGATTTCTTAACTGTTGGATCATCAAAAGGGGTTGAAAACTTAATTGTACCAGGAAGTGGTGAAGCCAATTTCGATGCTTTGGAATTGAATCCTTTCGAAACTGCTAAACAAAGACAACAAACTGAAGTCAGATCGTTATTGAATAAATTACCTTCTGATACCATTACCTTAGATCCTAATGTTATTGGAGGTATTGATAAACGAGCCAAAGCTATAAGATTAAAAGCTGGTGATCTTAATGAAATCATCACTAATAAAGATGATACTGTTGAAATCAATCCTAATGTTAAAGGTAAGAATTCCGGGTTAAGGAAATTATTAAGAAAGAAAACTCAAAATGTTATTGATGAAAGGAAATTAAGAATTGAAAAGAACTTAAGATTAGAAAAGGAAGCCAGAAAGAGAAATAAAGACATAGAAAATGGTATTGAAGTTGAAGAAGATACCTTAGCCCCAGCATTATCAAGATTTAATTGATAAAACTCTTTATATTTTAATGTATATTACGTATAAAACCCATTTTTTTTTACCTTTCTTATATTATGCTATATTAAGTTGAAGAATTTGCTGTTAAATAATTTGAATAATCAATAGTAATAAATTCATTGATAGAATTTACTTTGGTTTTTGAATTGATAAATTCAAGGATATGTTCAAATTTATTATCACATAATTCATTGTAAGAAGTGATTTTATTCTTTAAATCCAAATCATTAACAATCTTAATAAAATTATATAAATTTTCTTCATTATCATTATTTTCATTAAACATCTCATTTAATATGATTAACCAAGTATTGGATATTTGTTCAAAACATTTAGATTTGATATATTCAAATTCTTTATTCTTGAAATCTGGTAATTCTATGATCAAATTAGTTGAAAAATCTATAAAAGTTAATGAATTAATGAAATTTGTTTCAATTGGTGGTAAATAGTTTAATATGAAATCACTTAAACAATTCAAAAATTCATTCAAATAAGGTTTGATTCTTAAATAACTGTAGTCATTTAATTCTTCTTTATATGGTAAATTATTTTTGATTAATTGGAATTTGTTGGAAATTAATTTTATTGATTCTTCAATAGAAATTTTAGGTTGGAGTTCATTTATGGTTTTAGTTATTTCAGGATGTACTTTAACTAACTCTGTTAATAAATTTACCACATTTTCATGATTTAAACTTTCAATCATTCTTGTAACTGGTAATCTTTCACCTTTTATGATAGGTACTTTAGCCCTTTTATTGATATCACTTTCAAGTTTTTCAACTTTGTCATTAGATTTTTCTTCGTGGAATTTTCTTTTCTTACTATTGAACTTAAATTTAGTTATATCATTATTCCTATTAGTCTTTTCATTATTTTTAGGAGTAATTTTACCCCATTGGAATCCTACAATTGTTGACATTATATTTGAACTTAATGCCTGATGTTTACTTTATTCTATGCAATCTATCACAATACTTCTATGTGAATGAACCTTTCCCTTTAACCTATGATTTATGCCGTTAACTTTATATTTTAATGAAATAAAAGTTTGTTATAATTACCCTAATGAAACCGATGAATGTAAAAACTTGTGGACGCCTTCATCATTCCGCGCGAAGACTTATTCAAAAAGGATCACGTGCCTTGTAATCACGTGACTTGAATTTTTTATAATCAATTTCATAAAGATTGTAAAAAGAGATTTTTTTTGAGCATGAATGTTATAACTACAAACTATATACACTATTTCTTCTTAGATTTGGCTGAACCTTCAAAGCCAGCTCTTTTCTTCTTGTTTTTTGGATTAGACTTAGTATTATTAACAATACCTGTGAATTTCTTTAATCTCACTTGGTCTTTTCTCTTCTTTCCTTTATTGGCTTTCCTTTGTTTCAAATTTTCATCTCTTCTTTTAATCTTTGCACTTATAGTATCTTTAACAATTTGTTTACGATCTCTCCATTCAAGTTCACTCTTTAACTTCTTCTTTTCTTTTCTTTTCAATGCTTTTTTCAATAATTTTTCATCATCTTTGACTTTGATGCCTTCAGCTTGGTTCATTAATTTTTGCCATTTATCCTTTTCTAATAATTTAGTTTGTTCTTCTGGGGTTAATTGTGCTAATTTGGCTTTTTTCTTCTCCAATTTTAATAAATGGGCTTTAATGTCATTATTAGCAGGTCCTTTCTTTTTCCTTTCAGCGGTGTTTCGACTACTTGTTAAGTCACTAGTTACTCTAGTACCGTCATTGAAGGTTATATTACCGAAATATACTTGTTCCTTTTCTTCCTCATTTTCGGATTCACTTTCACTTTCACTATCACTTTCTTCAACTTCATCATGCTTTCTCTTTTTGGCTTGTTTCTTTAATTCCTCTCTATATGCTAACATTTGTTCCCTTGATTTGACAGGTCCACCATTTTTAGTACCTGGGGCTTTTCGTTTTTCTCTTAAATTATTAATTTTACTAGATAATTTCTCTCTTATTCTCTTCAACCTTTCTTCTTTCTGTTTTATTTCTTCTTCACTCAATTGTTTCTTGAGAGGTTTGGATGGTTTTTCTGAAACTTCTGAGTTTTGCTCATTGGTTTCATTTATTTCATTTCCTTCGTCATCAAATTCAATTTGAATACTATCTTCATCATCATCTTGTGATTCTTCTTTGTTTACTTTTGAAGGTACTTCTTTGGCCACTGGTTTTTCAGTCTTAGTCTGTTCTTGTTCTTCTTCACTGTCATCACTGTCATCATCAACATCCATATCGGGTATCTCAACTTCTTCTTCATCATCATCTTCATCTTCATCTTCATCGACTTCAACAGGTCTTTCAAATTTCTTTGGTAATTGAACTGGTTGAGCGGTTTTGGCTCTTTCCTTCATAACGTCTTCGGCACTAGATAAATTTTTACTAGGATCTAATTTATCCCTTTTATTTTGCTTCAATTCATCTTTGGATTTCTTCTTCTGCTGCCATTGATCTTGAGTAGATTCATCATAATAATACTTTGCTGGTATTAAAGATAACAAACCATCAAAAGCATTGGAATGAGTTTTCAATCTTTCCTTACATGGGTTAGTATAACTTCATTTATAGGGTGAATATTTAATACATACTTCAAGGGAGTTACTCATGATTGAAAAATTTAATCATCGCATCTCAATATCAGTTAAACTCAAAAGGTCGAGACTTTACATACTTTACTGTGTCATTGAAATATGTGATTGGTATCATACTATTCCTTTTATCCTGGGTAGCATGGCTTACCTTTCAAAATACCAAAATACCTTGTCAAATTCCCAATATTCACCAAACTCATATGTCCTTAGTAAATATCAGCCCGCCCCATAATTAACCAGTCTCAGATATACCATAGATAATAAATATCGTCGCTCGCTCTACTCCTGATAATTAATACTAATTGATATGGAACCAATCTGTAAATACTTTTTACTTTCGTTACCAGAATCGATTGATTCCAAAGATTGGTTGAAACAATCATTGAATAATGGAGATTGTCAATTAAATGACTTCAAAATCCCAGAATTTCAAATTGGTACATTGGATTCATTAGTTCAAGAAAGTGAAGAGTTATCGAAGATTGACGTTCAATTACAAACTTCAATTTCTAAAATTGTTGATATCTTGAATAATGTGTTGGAAAATGGATCATTCAGAACAGTTAATTCCAAGAATGTTTTAGATTATGTTGAAACTTTTAATTGGAATTCTTCAAAATATAGATTAGATAAATCAATAAAAAGTTTAGTTGAAATTATATCCAATGAAGCCATAAATTTAGATTCTGATGTAAGAACTAGTTATTCCAACTACCAAACAGCTAAATCTAACTTTTTAGCTGCTGATAGAAAAAGAAATGGTGATTTATCAATTAAGTCATTACATGATATTGTTAAACCAGAAGATTTCATCTTGGATTCCGAAAATTTGACTACCATATTAATTGCTGTACCAAAAAACATGAACGATGATTTTAAAAAATCTTATGAAACCTTAACACCATTTGTAATACCAAGAAGTGCAAAATTAATTTCATTCGATCAAGAATATAACTTATACTCAGTTTCGTTATTCAAGAAATATGAACAAGATTTCATCAATGGGTCAAGAGAAAAGAAATGGCAACCCAGAATTGATTTTACTTACAACGAAGAAAAGTTGAATGAAATGAGAAAAGAATTTGATTTAACTAAAACCAATGAACAAAAATTGAAAAATGAATTAATCAGATTAGCCAAAACTGCTTACTCTGAAATCTTAAACAATTGGATTCATATCAAAGCCATTAGAACTTATGTTGAGAGTATTTTAAGATATGGTTTACCTCCTCAATTCAATTGTTTCTTAATCAAATTTAACAAACAAAACTTCAAGAATTTCGATAAATCCAAAACAGAATTGATTAAGAAATTTGGTTATTTAGGTGGAGATGGTTTCGAAAATGGTTCAAATTTAAACGAATATGCATCTTTAGTTGACCCAGACTTTGAACCTTTTGTCATTTATAATATTGAAATTGTTTAATTAGAAAATATATTATCATTACCTTCTGATTTATAACTCTGCTTATCTTTTAATGCGATAAGAACATGTTTATGAACTGTATTATCCGAAAAATTATTTTCCAGTAAGAATGGTATGAAAAAAAAAAAAAAGAAGCTCGCACTCAGATTTGAACTAAGGACCAACAGATTTGCAATCTGCTGCGCTACCGCTGCGCCATACGAGCTTTCTACACACAGTACCGCAAACTCTGGAATTTGAAACAATTTGTTGAAATAAAAAAATTTTAAAGGCCCATAGTTCCTGTTTTGTTGATAATTAGCTATTTAAACCATATTAATTATTTTCATATTATATTTTTATGACCAATTGGCTATTTTTTTCCAGAAAAAACCCCCCAAAAATTATATTTGATCTCCTACTTCACCATAAGTATTCTCAGAAAGGAGTGAGAAAACGCAATGTCTGATAGTGATTACTTGACAGAAGAATCGTATGAGTTTGAATTCGAGGATGATGAAGGAAGTGAGGTTGAATTGGATAACAACGAAGACGAACAGCTTCAAAACCAATACTATAATGCCAAAGCATACAAAGATGACAATCTCAACTTGGCAATTGAAAAACTAAAGGAAATAACAGATAACGAACCCAATAATGAAAACATGATTTGGATATACAAATCCACAAAGCAGATTGCTAAGATATATTTCCATCAACAACAATTTGATAAATTCTTAGAGTCACTCAAAAGTCTAATAAAGTTAATTCCTGAAGTAGATGATAAATCATATTTGGAAGAATCGATAAATAAGATCTTCATGAACTATACCAACATCAAAGATAACCTGATAGTGTTGAGGATATGTGACGTTATATTGGAAATGATGAGTATGTTAGGTAAGAGTAACAACAATGATAGATTATGGATCAAGGTCAATTTGAACAAATTATCAATTCTATTATTAGATAGCTCTAATTCCAAGATATGCCATGAAATCATCACAGAATTGAATCAGAAATTAAACGAAGTTTCTGATATTACCAGAGATTCCTTCAGTCTTGAAGTTATTGCCTCAGAGATTGAATTATTGACCATAACCAATGATCTAGATATGGATAGATTGGTTTATTTATATGAGAAATCCACGACAATTACTTCTCCAGTTACTCATCCAAGAATTATCGGAATAATCAAAGAATGTGGAGGTAAAATAGAGTTTTTTAAGAAGAAGTATGAGAATTCAAGACAAAACTTCTATGAAAGCTTTAAGCAATTCGATGAAAGTGGATCGATTGAAAAGAATAAAGTATTCAAATATTTAATTCTTTTGTCAATTATATCAGAAAATGAGTTCAATCCGTTTGAATCTCAAGAAACCCAGCATTTCGTTGAAGAAGAAGAATTTAGATTATTGATAGACTTGATTGAAATCTTCAATGATTTGAATTTGAAAGACTTCGAGATATTGGTTAATGATATGGCTAAATATCCTAAATCGCTGGACTTCTCAAATGATGATATTGTTATCAAATCTTTCCAATTGATCAAGGATTTGATCATTGATAAAATTTTGATTAATTTATGCAAAGCTTATTCTAATATCAAATTCGATTATCTTACAGAATTTTTGAACTTACCTGAAGATAAAATAGTGAAAAAGATTCTCAAGTTAAGCAATCTGGGAAGGTTATCCAATATAAAGATAAACTTCATAGACAGGATAATTGAATGTGAGGATAATTCTATCAAGTTACAGATAAATAACAAGATGATTTTGAATAATTTCAAGAATTTCAGTGCCTTGAATTTCCAAATTGATGATGACAAAATGCAAGTTGATAAGAAAAGGGTTTCTGTACAAGATCAATTATTATTCATTACATCCAAAAATCCTATGGAAAATGAATATTTAGGGTTCATAGACCATTGGTTTGGTCTGATAATCAATTCCATACCGAAATACAAAAAAGGTAAGTTATCCACTAAAGACAAGATATTCATTGAACAAAAGAATCAAACTGAACTTACTGAAGACATCGATATTCGCAACCATTTGAAAAATTGGTGTAACGAAGTTTTGTCCTATAACTTTGAAAATTCTCACTGAAAAATTTTTACTGTTTAATGTATTTATGAAAAGGGAAGAAGAACAAGAATTAGTTCATAAAACCGATTTCTGGTAGAGACCTTGCAGCAATTGGATTTCTGGTAGAGACCTTGCAGCAATTGGTTAACTGGGTACTCGAAAAGTTTCAATAATGGTATGTAAATGTATAATGATTAGTATATATGCGTTATCGTCATGATTCTGTAAAGGAACCTGAAATCAACTAACACGAAATGAGTACATCATACTAACATTTAGATTTAAATCTTCTTTATAGCGTGACTTTATGTTCAATAATATTAGAATTCTCCTTGAAAATAGGATCAAGTAGATTATATTGTGAAAATCACAATTCGTGCTCTTCTCTCTAAAGAAATGTTTTCATGGATAATTCATGTAAAAAAGTATTCTGTGATCAACTGTCGATGAATGAACTCTGTTTCATTGAACTTCATGTTATTATACATTATATGAAACACTTACGGGCATTATGTATAAAAAGATCATCGATAATTGGAAGTTGTTTAGTAAAACAAAAAAAAATGCTCCGCGACGGGGAATTGAACCCCGGTCTACCATGCGACAAACGGTAATTCTAGCCACTAAACTATCACGGACTTGGATGCAGCTAATAAGCCAGTCTCTGATCACAAACGTAAACTAGTTCAAAATCCGGGTAATCTCAAGATGATTCAATCGCCCTATATCAAAAGAGACGAGTTGACAATGCAGTCAATCATTCGATATTTACAACTTTCCCAAGGAATCGTCAGAAGGAGACGCTGAAACTTATAGGAAAAGGCTTTCCACGCAGAGAGATGTCTTATCGTAGACGATGTTTTGGCTGCGAAACCCTGGTTGGAGTGAAAGCCTTCTAATGGAAGCAGTAGAAGCTAATTTCTTGATAATCCTGGGGATTTACGTAAGTCTGGAACCGTAGTAAAGTCAAAGTTAGCCCATGTTCTTACAGTTTATCAGGCTATCTGAAACAGATGCCCTGACTCTCTTACCTCTAACTCTATGAGATAAGATAACTTCTACTAAAATATGTTACAAAATAATATACCATATGATAAGCAATGATAATCCCAATATTTTGCCAGATATTTTTTGAAGTTTACGGGAAATAGTTATCATCTAATCAGCCACTAATTGGCCACAGCAAAAGTAACACCCCTTTTTTTCGCCTTGAAGGACCAAAGTATAAATCCGGCAAGAGATACTCGAGTAAAGACGGGAATTTGATGCTAAATTGGCAATAAAGAATAATACAAATTTTCTTATAACATTCCATTAAGTGGAATGTAGAACCCTTACGGCGATTGATTTGACGATTAATGTGAAAACAACACGTCTCAAAAAATGGTCGTTAAGACGGTCGGAAATACCACAGCAATAATGACAAATGTGAAAAAAAATTAGGGACATGCAAAATATCTTTCGCTTCTACAGTGCTTAAAAAATAAGGTTTAATTATGCAATCATCATATCAAGACCAACCCAGTTTTTAGCCTTTATTCGTCTCGACGACATTGATTTTTTACGAGGCAATACTTGCCTTTGCTATGAAATAATTAAAGTATTTTGAAGGTCTAAACTTTAGTGAATATTTGACATCTATTACTAAGATGTTACAAACCATCAATACTTCAAATAGTAGATATCAAGTTAGTTACAACATAAAATTACAAGAAATCCACAAAAGTTCATCTCAAATCCGCAATTTGTATCCACCTACAATTTTGCCCAAAAGGGAATGTTAATGAGATCAAGGGATGAAATGTCTCATTCTTGAATAGGTAATAATATTTTTTCAATAAAGGGAAATCCCTCTAAGGTACGTAAGATCTATTGTTCTCATAAAAAAGGGATCAATAACTACCAACAATGCAAAATTGTTGGGAGTCTTATGACCAATAGCCAGCAAAATAAGTATCAGTTGTTAACTGAATATGATGGTTTTCATTACTAGAAGTTTAATGATGTTAAAAAGGTTTGAAGGTTAAGTATAATCCTCAAGATCGGGGCTAAAGTTGAATATTATTTTATGTAATAGGGTTAGGGCTAAGTTAAACGAGGTTCCCTGAATGTTTCGAGACATTCTCACATTCCGATCTTTTTTAAAACATTTCACATATCCCTTACTCGATAATGTAAATTTTAATTGTACTACTCTGGAATCTAGACCTAATGATCTTACAGTATCCTTTACAACTATCATTGTGATATGTCCCACCTCTTTGCCAGTATACTGTAAAAATGAAAACCGCCCATATGTAATATGTCTCCTAGATGGTTAGAAAATCACATCGGTTGTGAATTCATGCATATTAAAAAGTTTAAATTCTACATTATTTTAAAGTATACTATAAACGATAGTTTTCATTGTTGGAAAAGATTTAATTATTCCGTTTTAAGAATATTAATTATCCAAATCTGTACGTGTTTTAAGGAATTATTGAAAATGCTACAATATATATATATTAATGGAAGTCTTGTGGGATATTTGATAATTTTCAGGTAAGAATATATTGAAAATATTAATATGTTTAAGAAATTTACACCAAAGAAACCACTACCATCACCATTGAATTTATCAGTAGATTTCGATAGTTTAAATACTGAAGAAATTGAAATCGATAAATCTTTTCATGGGACTTTCCATTCAAATTTTAAAACTCAAAATAATTCAATTTGTACAATTTGTAAATTCATAATTGAAGAAGATTTATTAGAATTATCATGTAATCACATATGTCATAGAGATTGTTTTATAAATAATATTTTGACATGTAAAAAATGTGAAGATGATACCATTGAGACGGATTTTTTAACACCAAATGTCTTAAGTCCTAAAGGTACATTTAATTCAAATAATGATAAATTTACTCCAAGAATAAGTAATAATAATAATGATATGATCATAGATACTCCTATAATGGATGCTATTGATGTTCCAATGACACCATCAGATCAAATAATATTTGACCCTTTAAAAGTTAAACAGAATAAAATTGACAGGAGTGATTTAAGAATCCAACAAAATCAATTATTATCACCAAGAACTTCCTTTAATAAGAATTTAAATAAAGACTTATTTGATAGTTTAATGAAACCAAGGGTAAAATTCATTGAAGAATTCAAGGATCGTAAAAATGTGTTCGATTCTTATAAAGATGATAAACAATTTAATTTGAACTATCTTTTGAATATCAAACCTCCAAAGTTCTTGAATTCAATCAATGTTGATAAGAATTTACAATTAAAGAATGCCATATATGATGAAATCAAATGTGATATTTTGAAGAATATCAATTGGAATGATGAATCCATTGATTTTTCAAATTTGGGAAACTTGATTATCTTTGAAATAATAGACATCAGTACTAACGGGAATAATTGGGATCAAGTAAGATTATTACTTTTTGAAAACAGTTTATTATTAATTGATTTAAAAGGAGAAATCTTAATTGGTCAAATATTCATTCACAATATCAATAATATGGTAAGATTTTTAAGTGGTATTAGATTAAATTTAGACAATACCACCATTCCTGAATTACAAATTTGTAGTGATATTCCATTGATAATTTCAAGATTAGAATATTATTTCAAGAAACTTTTAAATCATCAGTTTATTCAAGAAACTTCAATTTATCAATTAACCATAAATGGTTGGAATATTATCAAGGATAATTATCAAAATTTACCAGTGGAAATTTTAAGATTCCAAAATTGTATTGAAAATAACTTAGAAATTCCAGAAAATCTCTTGATAAAGTCAATGCCTTCACCAGAAATAATTCCTTTCAATTTGATTATTTCAATAACTTTATTAAACAACACAACATTATCTAATGAGGACTATAGAGTGAAGATATTAAAGTTTTTAGATCAAGTAAGATCAAATTTAAGACCTTTTGATAAAATATCTTTGATATTTGTTGGATTAAATGGTTCAGGAATTCCTTGTAGGAAAGGTTCATTTATTGGATCTATTGAACCTAATTGGTCAGGTTGGGATTCTATTTACAATGAAGTTAAGATTCAATCAAATTTCAATCACAAAAACCAACAAATATTAAGAAATGGGTTTGATGAATTATCTATCACCTTGGATAAATGTAAAGATTTATTCCCATTCTTGAATTCAGGTAACACTATCAATAAATTGATTATAATCAATTCCAATATTTATGAACCTGAAGAACAATTGGTCAATCAAGATAAACTTAATTTCATTGAAGGTCAATTCAAAACCTTATTAAACAATGAAAAGAATTTATCAGTAGATTTCTTTAGAATTGGTAAAAATTATACTCCAGAATTAGAATTTGCTTTGAAAACTGTTTTACAACCTTCATTAATCAATAATAATGACGTTTTGAAGATTCCTTATGGAAGTAAAATCTTAAGATTTGATGATTTTGATGATTTCTCTACTAAATTCATTCTTATCTTAAATGAATCTTTCAAAAAAATCGTTTTACCAAACATTCAAATTGATATCCTGAAAATCATTGGTACTAGAGACATGGTTGAATTCTTCAAGATCGAAGTTCATGGTAAATTAATGGAAATTAACAATTTTTCAAATTTAAAGATCATTATGAATAATATTGAAGTAAACGATGAAAGTAATTTGATGGTTAAATTGAAAGTTGACTTAACAAATTTGAAATTTGATAGTTCCTTAAACCATGATACTGAAAAATACATCGAATTACCATTATTAAGTTACATGACCAATTGGTTTAACGAAACCGATGATTATAAAGTTCTAAACACTAAAATTTATCAAGACAAATCCACCACATTTTCATCATTCTTAGATGGATCAATGACTCCCCCAATGAATGATTCATTACCAAACACCTTAACACCATCGTCATCACCAATTTCTAATGAACAATTTTTTGATTCTCATGTTACTGTTAAGACTGAAAAATTCTTCAGGAAAGAAATAGAAATTGAAATCATTAAAAATTTGAAATTGGTGCAAGAAAATCAAATTATGAATTATCAAACTATCTTCAAAAATTTGATCAATTATATCTTAAGTTGTAAAACTGAAATGAACTTCAAATCGAAATTTGAACAAATTGAATTATATCAATATAAGAATAATTTAAATTTCGAAAACTTTATTGATTATTTATTGAATAAATTATATCAATTAAGAGAAACTTTCGAAGAAAACGAACCCCAAGCTTTATTAGCTTGTAAAGATTTCACTAACTGGTTAGTGTAAATGTGTAGTAATAGACGGAATAGAGGTATTTTTTTTTTTCGCAGCCATTTTCCAACCCATTTCCACCCCCTTCTCAACAACCTTGTAAATTCTATTCCAAACAATACAACCTTAGCCTACCCATTAGCCGAAGGTCATTCAATAGTTTAAACTTTGGGATCAATAGGTTTTCTATAATTATCTATGACGCAACTTGAAACAATATATTTTTCAATGTTTGATTTTGGAAAATTTGCTTACATAAGCGAGGTGATATTTACCTTTTACCGTTTAAGGAAATGAAGAGATATATTTTATTACAATGGATCAAAGTCATCATGATGGAACCCCTAATTATAAAATTGTGGACAGGTTCATCTTATTTTCTAAGGGATATTTATTTTCACAGTACCCTTTTTTTAGAAAGTTAAAAAATTAATTATGAGTTTAACCATTAGATCAAATATAGTACCATTGGTACCATTTTTCATAAGTTCCGTTTATGCAGCATCTGGAAGTCTTGATGAAACCCCAAATGATTCCAGTGATTCCAATGATTCCGATGACTCAGGAGCCAAAGCGGATGATAATGGTGATACTAAAACAGCTAATACTGCCACTGCCAATACTGCCAAAACCGCAAACACTAATACTGCAAACACCAACACTGCTAATACAAATACTGCTAATACAAATACTGCTAATACAAATACTGCCAATACTGAAACCGCAAACACCAACACAGCTACTGGAACCACCCAATGGTGGACACCAACAACAGTAACAACCAACACCGCCACTACAAAAGCCACTGATAAAACTGATAAAACAGACAAAACAGATACCAAAGATAAAACAGACACTAAGGATTCCACAGATAGTGCCAAATATAACCAATGGGGATTTACCGGTGACCAATCAGTTTGGGAAGCCAGTACTGCTGATGAATCTTCATCTGGCTCATCTTCTCATTCCACTCACAGTATCAAGAAAAACTCATCATCATCTGCTGCCAGAAATATTCCATTTTACATTCCAGAAAAAGATTATACCGTAAAGAAAACTTTATTGATTACATCTTTATTAGGTATTGCTGCTTGTTTCACTGCTTTATAGACTCTTTTCCCATTTCCAATATACATCTTTTTATGACGTCTTTTTGCACCCATGCTCAGTTTTTCCATCGCGAGATCTTAAGGTTTGATGAATACCCAAGAAGTAATTGATGAGTATCTTTCACGATCTTTCAAGGATCATCCAAGATTAAGGGATCCCAGTCAATTTAGAATTTTATCTTATTGTATTCAGAATATCTATGGTAAGAAGAATTCATTATTTTGTATAGATGTGGAAGCATGGGAAAGAAATACTAAAATAGTAACCGAGATTGGAATATGTATCTATGACCCATCTAATCAAGAATTATCTATGGTTCCTTCATTTCACACCTATCATATTAGAATAAGAGAGAATTATCATAGGAAAAATGGTAGGTTTGTGCCGGATCACGTTAGTAATTTTGCTGGTTTAAATACTTATGTTATGACTATGGAAGATGCTGTTACTTTTATCAAATTATTGATAGAGAAATATTTTGTTAACAGTGATAACCCTTGTAATCTTGTAGGTCATGACTTAAACGGAGATATCAAATGGTTCAAAACTTTAGGTATTGAATTCCCTTCCAATATAATCAAAGTGGATACTCAATTTCTTATGAGTTTATCCACTCAAAAACAAAGAAGTTTATCTAAATCCTTAGCTTTGGTTGGTATACCTCATAGTTTCTTACATAATGCTGGTAATGATGCGTATTATACTTTAGTTCTAGCATTGAAACTATCTGATCCTCAATCAAGAACTATTCATGGATTAGACGATGGGAAGAATTTCCCATTAGATATCGAACATGAAAAGAGACATAAGAATAGATGTCCTGAATTAGAAGTTGATGATCCGTTACTTTTGATGGAAGAACTTCATCCTTAAAACTTTTCAATTCATTTACCTCCTGTATATTTAATATAAATTATTCATCTTGTCGAGTAAATTTCCTTGATATTTCTCTAGAATATTGGTAAATCTGATAAGGAATCCAGCACAAAGACTTTTAAGTTGGTTATCAATGATATAATCCCATATTTTTGATATTTTATCATGTAAATTGATCATAATTTCTCCAAAATTTATGATAAGATTCTGTTCATCGTATACCTCACATACCACCAACAATCCCGTGACTATACCTTCAATTATTTGAATCTCTTCAGCGGACAAAGGTATCTCGCTGACTAAAATAAGAAATTCACGGATCATATCCTGAGAGTTGCAACAATAGATGATCAATGATAAGGTTTTGATGTAATGACCAATGAAGATGGGTGAATAATGACCGATATCTATTTTACCAACTTCATGCCATAAATGGATCAAAGGGAAATAAAAGTTTCTGGATATGACATTCTGATAATCTCTGAAACGAGGGAGAAGTTTGGGTTGAGGTGCTTTTGTTAATTTCCTTGAAATTCTTAAAATCTTACCTCCAGCTATCTGATCTTTAGCGTCTTCACTTTTATCTGACATCAAATCATCTTGAATTGATAAAAACGCTGATTTCAAAGGTTGAGGCTCAATCATTTTGGTATCGTCCAATTGTAAATATCTTTCATGTAATTGTGGGGGTAACATTTTAGTTGCAAACTCTTTTTCCTTGTAAGATTTAGTAACTTGTTCATCTTTGAAACCTCTTATGTCTCTACATGCTAAAGATATCGATGAAAGTATCAATATTCTCTGCTGGAGGGAGAAATCTCCCGAATCAAGTAATTTGATTATGTCTAATCCACTCGGAGGGTGAGATACTAACAAGGAGATGATCCCATTCAATCTTAAATCTTCGAAGTCAGATTCCTCATAATGGTTCGACATGCCGATGAACGTTTCAAGTAATGAAAACGCATGAGTATTCAATTCCATTCCAAATTGAGCCTTTTGTCTAATCAAAGTTGGTCCATTGACTAATGCTAATTTTCTCATATCATATGCTTGAGGATGATTGGTGTCTATCTGTAAGTATCTTATCAATTCCTTAATGTATATGGGTGCAGGAATTTTGACTCTCGATTGAATAGAAGGATCATCATCGTCACTATCGGATTCGTCATCAGAATCCTTATAAGACTTGGTGATTTTCAATTCCTTTATTTGTTCTACTACTTCAGGCTCCTCAATTATGGCTTCATTGACCTTATTCCAACTATCATCAGTTCGAGAAGTAAAATAACTTTCATCTTTCAATAAATAATCATATCCTTCTAAATCCCCCATCAGAAATATTTTATCTTTCTTACATAACTCACAAGCTTTATCTGCCAAAATTATACCAAACAATTTTACAGTATTGGAAAAGGAACCCAATCTGTTGGAAATACAATCAATAAATATGGGAGACCCTAAAAGATTACTACACAATTCAGATCCGGAGAAATATAACATTTGTACAAGAAAATGAGTCCTGAAAGCTTGTATGACTATGGGTTCATTTTTGATCAAAACGGCATCACCCCAGGATTTCAAGCTTGGTTGAAAGATTGATTGAACGAGATTAAGTTCATCGAGCATCGATACTATTAACCCATTGATGAAAGGGTTCTGATATTTCAACGTGCTATTGATGAAATGGATGTCTAAGATGTCTTTGTTGAATAATGGACGAACAATATTAGAAACTGGCCCCACCTTTTCAATATCCTCAAACCTATGAGCTAAACTGTTTATTATGAATGAGGCTAATGTCTTTTTTTGAAACTGCTTCATAGCCTTATGATGCTTACAAAGAATGTCCCAATTAGTTTCAGTGAAAAACTCTTCGAAAATAGTGATATTGTTGGAATTGAACGATATCAATGATAAGAGATACTTATTGAAAGTATCACTGTTAGTCTCTTTGAGTAGCTGATGTATTAAATATGACATATACAGATCAACACCATCAAATACGGTGGTTTCAATCTTCAACTTGGTCTTCATCTCTTGAAATATCGAAAAACAACGCCCTTTGAATAACAATTTGTTGATCTCATTGATCTCTAACGTCTTACTAGATGAAATATTCCATAATAAATCATCATTGAAAACATCCCTCAATAGCGTCCCGTAGACTTTCAATGTTTCAACATTTCCTTCAGTCCGTATTGTGTACTGGATCTTATTCATTATTCCATTGACTCCTACAATCGACTGCAAAACCTTTACTACTAAACTTCTAATGTTATCAGTGGTAAGATTATAGATTTGAGGAACGGTAACATCTAAGATGATCATGACAACTTTCAATTGTTGGGAAGTTGTTAATTCCGTCATTAGCACCCAGTTCAACACATTCTCCAATGTTCTAACATCAGGATCTTTCTTAAGTACTTCTATCTGATGCAAATCCATTGCGAAAGTATTTGCAAAAAATCCAAATGCAAAGACTCGTGTTTCGAAGATATTCTTTGGCCACACCAACCAAATACGTGTCTCGACACCGGGAGATCTTAGAAGAATACTTCAAACAAGCAAAATTCCAACTCAAACCTGAAAATCATCAACAAAATATAGAAACATTGAAACATGCTATGGATATAGTTTATATGCGAGAAGTTCCATTGGTATCATTTGATGTGGAAGCCTATGAAAGAAGTCTTCTGAAAGTAACAGAGATTGGGTTTTCTATTTATGATCCCGAATTACTGAAAAATTCCATCTTTCCCGCCATAAAATCAGGACATATCATCATCAAAGAACATTTGAAGTTAAATAACTACAAATTTGTACCAAATCATAAACGACTTTATCTGGGAGGAATATCATATGTTGCCAGCATTGAAGAACTGAAAAAGATCATGCAATCAATCTTCGATGAATATATAACGAAACGGAGTGGAGCTTTTGTGGGTCATAATATTGGAGGAGACATACGATGGTTGCAACAAATGAATGTAGATATATCCAATGATGTAAAAACTGTAGACACATTCAAATTGCATGCATTGTCGAGAAAACGAGATGGAACCTTGAGAGGAGTTCTAAGATATTTGGATATACCCCATAGTTATTTGCATAATGCAGGTAATGATTCATACTTCACATTATTGGCAGCCTTTGCATTGTGTGACCCTGAACTCAGGGCTTTAAAGAATATGGACACTTTCCAAGATAACAAAGGAATTGATAAGAAAGATGCAAAGAAACACAAGTTTTCTGATCAACCTGAAATCACGGAGTACTTGGGCAAGGGAATAGGTTTCTTCGATGAATGAATTGGTAGATGAGGACCATGATGTTTATTGGTCATGGTAATTCCAAAAACCACAATATGGGGGTTTAATTCGAACCAGAACATTGACATTCCCCCACCTTTATATTCTTTTGCATGCTCAACCACTCTTATCACTGTAAATAGTAATAAATTTTTCAACGCGTATAATGGCACCTAAAATGTATGTAAATGTCTAGCAATTGATATAGTCATGCTGGGGACTTTCGCCGACTAACTATTGCTAAAGTATAGAAGGCTCCAATGATAGGAATAATTTCACTCCTACAAACCATTATCAAACTCTTACCAAATCATTTACTAACTTCATAGTGCAAAAACTGCCAAACCAGTTGAATTCAAATATCCAAGAGTCAATGATTGTAAATTCAAATTTGGAGCTCATGTATCCGTAAGTGGAGGTGTATCCAAAGCCATTCACAATGCTATGGATATTGGAGCCAATAGTTTCGCCATGTTTTTAAAATCTCCAAGAAAATGGGTATCCCCAGAGATTCCTGATGCTGAAGCTAAGAAGTTTCAAGATTTATGTAAAGAATTTGGTTATAATCCAAGAACCGATATATTACCACATGGATCATACTTCATCAATTTAGCCAATCCAGACAAAGAGAAAGAAGAAAAGGCTTATGGATCATTTGTAGATGATTTAAAGAGATGTGAAAAGTTGAATATTGGATTATACAATTTTCATCCAGGATCCTCATTGGATGGTGACCATAAAGAAGCCTTAGCTCAATTAGCAAAGAACATCAATAAAGCTATAGCAGAAACTGAGTTTGTGAAGATAGTCATTGAAAATATGGCAGGTCATGGAAATTTAATTGGTTCAAACTTACAAGATATTCGTGATGTCATTGATATGGTCGATAACAAGGAAAGAGTCGGAGTGTGTGTAGATACTTGTCATACATTTGCAGCTGGATATGATATAAGTACCGTTGAATTATTCAATGATTTTTGGAAACAATTTGAAACTATCATTGGTTGGGATTATTTGAGTGCTATTCATTTAAATGATTCCAAAGCTCCTTTAGGTGCCAACAGAGATTTGCATCAAAAACTAGGTCTTGGATTTTTGGGTTTAGAATGTTTCAGAATCATTGCCAATAGTGAAAAATTACAAAATATCCCCATTATTTTGGAAACTCCTATTGAAAAAGGTGAAGAAGACACTCTCTATGGAGAAGAAATCAAGCTTTTGGAATGGCTTCAACAGAAAGAAGTCGATGACGAAGAGTTCATATCTAAACAAACACAATTATCAAATAAAGGAGCCAAAGAAAGAGCTGAACATTTGAAAAAATTCGAAACTAAGACCAAAAAAGCTGCTACCAAAGCCGAAAAGGACGCTGCCAAGAGGAAGAAAGGATCCCTTGACTCTTTGATGGCTAAGAAACAAAAAACTGAGTAATGAATTGTAATATAAGTTAGTTCTTGAATCAATCTCTAAATCATTAATGTGATAATTTTGATCAACACCCGTACACCCATACATTTGACTTTGATTGAGATGGATGGACAATCGCACAGAAATTTTCTCACAACAATCAAACATGTTTGGTAGAACAACTTCAGGTTTTGGAGGGTTTGGGAACAGAACAACCACTGGATCCCCATTCAGCTCATCCACAACCAATAACAATACCGGTAGTTCACCTTTCGGTGGAGCCAATAACAACAATTCAAGTGTTTTTGGTAATAATAATTCCACTGGAGGTTTTGGATCTACTGGAGGTTTTGGTACTAATAACACCACCGGTTCAGCTTTTGGTTCTAACAATAACACAGGATCTGTTTTTGGTGCTTCAAATACCAACTCATCACCTTTTTCCAATAACACCACTGGATTTGGTTCTTCAACTACAGGAACAAGTGCATTTGGGTCATCAAACACTGGAGGTGGAATGTTTGGATCCACAGCCAATAAACCTACTTTTGGGGGAGGTTTTGGAACTCCCACAAATAACAATTCCCCGTTTGGAGGTTCGAATACCGGATTTGGTGCATCTGATCCTAATGCTAATAATGGAACTGGAGGTAAGCCTTTTACACCTTTTGAAGAAAAAGATTCCTCAGGAACCAATGTGTTCCAAAATATCTGTTGCATGCCAGAGTACAAGAACTTCTCCTTTGAAGAGTTAAGATTGAAAGATTATGAACAAAACAGAAAATTCGGTAATTCAACAGGAACTACTGGCACCACAGGAGGTTTTGGTTTTGGAGCTTCTAACAATACTTCTGGTTTTGGTGGTATGGCAAATAACAATACCAATGCATCACCATTCGGAGCCAACAACAATTCTACATCAGCTTTCGGAGGTGCTGCCAACAACAATGCATCACCATTCGGTGCAAGTAACAATACCACCGGAGGATTTGGGGCTTCAGGAACTAGTGGATTTGGTGCCAGTGGAGGAGCTTTTGGTTCTTCTAACACTGGTGGTTCAACATTTGGTGCTGCCAATTCAAATCCTTTTGGAGGGGCCACCAGTAACACTACCTCAGGATTTGGAGGTGGTTTTGGTGCCACCAACAATAACACAACCAGCGGAGGACTTTTTGGATCCAACAACAATAACAACGCCTCACCATTTGGTGCTAACAATAACACTACCGGTGGATTTGGAAGCACCAACAACAATGCATCACCATTTGGTGCCAGTAACGGGTCAGGGTTAAACAACAACACTTCAGGATTTGGTGCAAACAACAACACTTCTGGTGGTTTATTCGGATCCAATAATAACAATACTAGTTCAGGATTTGGTGCTAAACCTACAACATCTGGATTTGGATTTGGTAATACTTCCACTAATGCATTTAATAAACCAGCAAGCGGAGGATTATTTGGATCTACCAGTGGTACAGGATTTGGTACCTCTAACAATAATGGTGGAGGAATTTTTGGTAATAACAACGCCAATAACAACACCAACACTACATCAGGGGGTCTTTTTGGTGGTAACAACAATAACAACACCTCCGGAGGTCTCTTTGGTGGAAATAATAACACTGCCAATAATAATAACACTAGTGGTGGATTATTTGGTCAAAAACCAGCAGGTACCACTGGTGGTCTTTTCGGTGGTAATACCGCCAACAATAATACTTCTGGAGGTTTGTTTGGGGGTAACACTACCAACAATAACACATCAGGAGGATTATTTGGTAGCAGCGCTCAAAAACCAGCCACTGGAGGATTATTTGGAGGTAATAATACCACAACATCAGGCTTTGGAACCAATAACAATACTTCAGGAGGACTTTTCGGATCCAAACCTGCCAATTCAGGAGGATTGTTTGGTGGTAATAACACCACATCTACTACTGGAGGAGGTTTATTTGGTGGTAATAACAACACCACTACTTCTAACACTTCAGGGGGATTATTCGGATCCAACACCAATAATAACACCGCCAGTGGAGGTCTTTTCGGAAATAAACCAGCAGGAACATCAGGAGGTCTTTTCGGTGGTAATAATAATACTAACAATACCTCAGGAGGATTATTCAGTAATAATAATAATAATACCAACACGTCGGGAGGATTATTCGGTGGTAACAACAACAATACCAATAACCAACCTCAACAAAATGGTTTAACTATTGGACTGAATCCTTATGGAGATAACGCTTTGTTCAAGAGTCTTTCTGTACCATCAAACCAGAACAATTCCTTACCTGTAGCAACATTAGTAGAGTCCAAAGAACATAAAAAACCTGTCAACTTGAATAGAGTTCGTAGAATAGCACCATTATTCCAAAGTGTAGCTACAAAAGCTGAACCCGTCATCAAAGATCCAATATTATCACCTGTTAATACCATTAGCAGTTCCATTTTGGATAAGAGTCTCGATGAATCCATCTTAGCATCAGATATATTTGCCCCCAAAGATTCCGTAAAGAAATTAATGTTACACAAATCTAATGTTTTAAGTCCATTAGAGCCCAACACCAAACAAGTGGATTTCAAAACCACCAAATCACCAGCTTTACCATCAACAGAAAAATTTACTGCTGAGGAATTAGAAGTTGATGAAGATGGCTATTGGACTTCACCACCAATGTCACAACTAAAACAAATGTCATTAAAAGAATTACACTCTATCAAAGATTTCAAAATAGGAAGAAAACATTATGGTCAGGTCAAATTCTTGCAACCAGTAGACTTATCAAGTTTATTGAATTTAGATGATATAACTGGTAATATTGTAACTTTCAAACCAAAAAATTGTATAATTTATCCTGAAAGTAAACCAAATGCCGGTGAAGGATTGAATTTACCTTGTCAAGTGACTTTGCAAGGATGTTATCCAATAAATAAGAAGGATAAATTACCTATCTTGGATCCTAACAGTGAAGTGGTAAAACGTCATATAAATAAATTAAAAGAGCTTCCAGGTAAATTCATTAGCTATGATGGAGAAACTGGGGACTGGACGTTCGAAATAGAATCCCTTTAAAGGGCATTATATAGAGAATAAATGTTAATAGTGAGAAACATCTGAGAAAATTGGTACACCAAAAATTAACGCGTATTTTTCATTCAATGGGTGTTAAAGGTAAGTACATTTGATTCTTTCCAATACGTACAAATACTAACTTTCAGGTCTCAATCTGTTGATAAAGGAACATTCTCCTAATGCCATCAAGGAATTTCAATTGAAAAATCTTTTTGGTAGAAAAGTAGCTATTGATGCATCTATGTGTTTGTATCAATATTTGATTGCAGTTAGACAACAAGATGGATCTAATTTGACTAATGAAAATGGTGAAATTACTTCTCATTTATCAGGGATGTACTACAGAACACTTAAATTAGTAGAAAACGGTATTAAACCTATGTACGTTTTTGATGGTAAACCACCAGTATTGAAAGGTGGAGAGTTAGAGAAGAGATTACTCAGAAAAGAAGAAGCAGAAAAGAAAATTGAAGAACTCAAAGACAGTGGTACTGCCGAAGACATGTTGAAATATGAAAAAAGACAAGTTAAAGTGTCTAGAGAACATAACGAAGAAGCTAAGAAATTATTAGATCTTATGGGAATTCCATATATTGATGCACCATGTGAAGCTGAAGCTCAATGTGCTGAATTAGCTAGAGGTGGTAAAGTTTTCGCTGCTGCATCTGAAGATATGGATACTTTGTGTTATTCTCCTCCTTATCTTTTGAGACACTTAACATTTTCTGAGGCCAAAAAGATTCCTATAGATCAAATTGATTGTAATTTGGCTATTGAAGGTCTTGAAATGGATAAAAAGACATTTATTGATTTATGTATTTTATTGGGATGTGATTATTGTGAAACTATCAAAGGTGTTGGTCCAGTTACTGCTCTCAAATTGATCAAAGAACATGGATCTATTGAAAATATTGTCGAGTTCATAAAGGAAAATAGTGAAAGCACCAAATACAAATTACCTGAAGTTTGGCCATACGCGGAAGCTAGAGAATTATTCATGAACCCTGATGTGATCCCAGCAAAAGATGTTTCATTCAAATGGAAAGAACCAGATTTGAAAGGTTTAATTCAATTTATGGTAACTGAAAAAGGATTTAGTGAAGAAAGAATTAAGAGTGGTGTTGAAAAATTGAAAAAAGGGTTGAAAAGTGGTGTTCAAGGTAGATTGGATGGATTTTTCAAAGTAGTTCCTAAAGCTAAAACCGAAGACGATAAGAAGAGGAAAGGTAAAGACGCTAAAGGTCTGAAAAAGAAAGCAAAGAAGTAACAAATAGAGCATCTGTAATATACGACATAAATTTTTGTATCTCTAATCTTTAGATTTAGGTTTCTTCTTTTCGGCTTCAGCAGCTTTTTCTGATTCAATTTCATCAACATAAGTTTTAATTTCATCCACAGTTAATTGTTTAATAACATCACCAGCTTTTAATACTGAAATTTCGATATTCTTAGCTCCAGTTTGAACAACTTCCAATAAGGATTTGACAGTTAACTTAATAGTTTCTTCATCAGATAATTCATCAACATAGTTCTTTTCTAAAAATTCTTTGACAGTCTTTGATGATCTCCCAATAGCATGGGCTTTCCAAGCATTATAAACACCTGAAGGTTCAGTTTGATATAATTTTGGTACGGTATCATTTGAATCAAACCCAGCAATGATAGTAGCAATTCCAAATGGCCTTACACCTCCACTTTGGGTATATTTTTGTTGGACTCCAGCGATATATTTAGTCAAGTATTCTATGGTAACTGAATCTTCTAAAGTTAATCTATGAGATTGAGCTTCAACTCTAGCCTTATCAACTAAAATTCTGGCATCAGCATTCAATCCAGCAAATGCTAATAAAGCATGTTTATCAATTTTACATATTTTAGATGGGGTGATTCTTGGATCTTGTAATTTTAAAGTAGTTCTCTTTTCACATCCTAAAACAACACATTCTTTACCTTTAACTCCAACTGCACAGGTACCTCTTTTAACAGCTTCACTGGCATATTCTACTTCTATAAATAGTTAGTATTTCATTCAAAGCCCTTGGAATTCATGGAATTCTTTTACATACGGAAAACATGTCCATCAGGTCTATCTTGTTAGTACTCACTCAATTTTCAATTTTTTGATGATGAAGTGACTTTAAAATATCACAATCGTTTCTTTGACAGCTTTGTTACATAAGATATCAATCACTTCAACTATAAAACTCATTTATACATACGAAAAGATGGATAAAGCACTATCGTAACCACTCATTATAAGTTTGAACTTTTTGCCTCTGGATCGCGAACTTTTTATCTAGGATGGCTAAAGATAAAAAAAAGGCCAAATCAGGAATCCCCAAAACTGTGCCCAAACAAGATGAATACGAAAGGATATCTTATTTATATCAATTAGGAATGACATCGGTCAAAAACCTGAAACTAAAAATGTTATCAAGAGGTTATAATAGAAATGGTAACATAATATCTAAAAAAGCAGTACTAAGATTATCACCCCATTTCAAAAGAGCTAGTTGTAAGAAATGTGACACTATACTAGTTCCTGGACTTACAATGTCTGTTGAGTTGACGAATGATTCGAAAGACAAAAATCAAAAGAGTGATATACTAGTTTATAAATGTGAAAATTGTGAAGATATCAGAAGATTTCCTGTAGGAAAAGATAGAGAATATGAGTTATTCTGTGATCAAAATGAAGTCAAGAATTGATGCAAGTGACGATATCAAAACACACTAGGGGAATCATTTTGAAGTTCTCTGGTTGAATTACTACTCAAAGCGATTCATCAACCGTAAATCTAAAAGACACATAGTGTCAAATTACCACAAAAGATACATTCCACTGACTCGCCTGTAATATAGCTTGTAAAATAGACATTATACATTTTCTAAATCCTCATAAAAACTTAGAAGGCTGTCTTTGCATCCTTCTTTCGGGAACAACTCTAGCACCTGTCCAACCATATTTAAAACCTATTTCATGAGCCAATATTTCACCAAATCCCAACATCAATCCATTGATAAACGGTAATATCATGTTGATGGCTCCTTTCTTAAGGAAATCCCATACATTGAATCTGAAAACCCCCTGTTCTAATTCTTTTTCTCTTCTACTTGATTCTATTAATTCTTCAGTGGTTCGTATATCTTCATTATTTACCAATTCATCAGGAGTGATTTGATTGGTCAACACTATCAAATCATTTTCTTGTTCTAAATCACTTACATCGTAGTCATCGGGGATTTCGTGAACCTCATTGGGTGGTGTTGATAACATTGCAGGACTAAATGACATGTTGAGAGTCAAAGAAAAAAAGTGAGATTCTCACACATAATTAGAGATCAGAGCAAAAACTATCGTATCGATTCATTTCTATTTAAGACATTTTAAGCATCAGACATACCAACTGATAAACCTTTAGAGATTCTTTTTTCAGTTAAAGCAGCAATGATAGCAGCACCAACACCTGAACCATCTTCAGCTGGTATAATTTTAATTGGATCATCTTTTTCAGTCCAATCGAGAATATCTCTTAAACCTTTAGCAGCTCTTTCTTTGAAACTTGGGTATTTGTTATAAACTGAACCATCGGCAGCAGCGAAACCAGTGGTGTAACCTCTCTTTTGACAAATAGCAGCAATACCACAAACAGATAATCTAGCTGATCTTTCACCGATTAATTCAGCTAATCTTCTAACAACTTTTCTTTCAGGTAAAGTAATTTGAAGACCTAAAACAGATTCGAATAATTCTTGAACTTCAGATAAGTTTTCAAAAGGATCTTCTTCGATTCTGGCTGGGAATGAAGTATCCATTATGAAAGGTTGTTTTAATTTGGTTAAATCTTGATCTTTGAAGAATAAACCTTTATCTTCAGTTAAATCTAATAAGATTAATCTTAAGACTTCACCTAAGTAGTAACCTGAGATCATTTTTTCGAAAGCTTGTTGACCAGGTCTTGGAGATTCTTCATCAATTTGGAGATCGTATTTAGTTCTTGGTAAAACTAAATGTTCGTTATCAAAAGCACCATATTCACAATTAATAGCCATTAAAGAATCAGCTGGAATATCTGATGGCATTTTACCTTGTAATTTTGGAATGTCTTTAACAACATCATAATAAGCACCATTACAACCAGTACCGAAAATTAAACCCATTTTAGCTTCAGGTTCAGTATACATGGAAGCAACTAAAGTACCAGTAGTATCATTAATTAAAGCAACAACATTAATTGGAACTTTGAATTTTTCAATTGAAGCTTGTAACATTGGAACAACATCATGACCTTCAACATTATCAATATCAAAACCTTTAGTCCATCTTTGTAAGACACCTGAATTAATTTTTGATTGAGAAGCTGGGTATGAGAAAGTAAAACCTAAAGGTAAAGGTTCTGAGCAACCTTCGGGGAAAAATTCATCAACAAATTTCTTTAAACATTCAGCAATGAAATCGAATAATTGATCAGAAGTACCAGTTCTCATATATCCAGGTAAAGCGAACTTTGATTGAGTAGTATCAAAAGTACAATCACCACCTAATTTAACTAACACAACTCTCAAATTTGTACCACCTAAATCAATAGCTAAATAATCACCAGTTTCTTTACCAGTTGGAGTTTCCATGACCCAAGCTGGGATCATAGGAATGTTACCACCAGCAACACTTAAACCTTTTTCTAATTCAGAAACGAAATGCTTGGTGATACCTTTCAATTTATCGGCTGAGACTGTTAATAAATCTTCAACTTTGTGTAATTCTTCCATCCATTCTTCTGGAACATCAGTGAATGTACCCTTTCTATGTTGTGGACGTTTTGGACCTAAATGAACCATGTTTTAATTATGTTAAATCTATAAATCTATAAATATTTAGGAAGATTTTAGTGAGTATTTATATAATTTTATCAGTTGATGGTCTGTGGATTGGGCGAGTTTTTCAGTCAAGACACGATTTCGGAGTTCTTGCTATTTTCAGGTTTTGAAACTTTGGAAAATTCCCTAAAATTGAAGAGTAACATCCGTTGATTATTGACCAGCTATTCAGGTTGAAAATAGAGACAAAACTATGAAAGTAATTAAAAAAAACAATTAAGTCATGGAAAAACTAAATTCCACCTATACCAGAGTTTTTCCGGGATCATCAAATAATTGGACGAGGATAAAAGTTATACCGAGATTCCTTCATATAAACCGTGACAAATATGGAGTTTTTGGAGTTTTTGGAGTCTATGGAGAATAAATCAGGAGATAGGGGGAATTTTTGGGAAAATCCATTGTTGCGTTAGATTTTTGGTAACAACATGTGATGTCATTTATGGGGATTATGCACTTAAAGAGAATCTGTTAGAAGGTTAAGATTCTTAAGTTATGATGATCTGGAGATGAATGATGCGGGAGTGTCTGGAGATGCCGTGGAGATTCGGAATTTTAGAGTTCCAACCTAATTAATTATTAGTGTCGTATATTCATTATTGAGTTATTATTGCTGTTTTGAATTTGTCAAACCTTTTATACTACCATAAATCTCGGGTAGTATCCTCAAAGTTCTTCATGGATTCCCCAACTTTATCCAAATTATCTTTGACATTATTAACGTAATTATTGATTTCATCAAAATTTTTCTTTTTGTAAACCGAATTATCATTTTTACTATGAAACTTATCCTTCTTGTACTCATCAGTTTTATATCTTTCCTTTTGTCTTTTGAAATTATCGTTAGTAACAAAATTATCGTCTGCCATTACTTCTATTAGTTTTTCTTGCAGTTGTTTCAACTTATTTAAATCTTCATTGAATTGATCATTGAAGAATGATCCTTTCTCTTTAACTTGTTGACTCATGGTCTTTACGTCATCTAACACATCTATCTGTGTCCATAATTTATCCAGGTATGTTATTGATGGTTTGACACTAGGTATTTGATCAAGAGTTCTCAAACTTTGATTCTCGTAATATTCAGTATTGGTACTGGCTCTTGATAACTTGTTAGCTTTGAAAGGCATCCCTGATGATATGGACTGGTTCCTGGAATGGGGAGGTTTCATGTTTAGGTTATTCATGATAAAGTGAGATTGTAAGTGAGATTCTCAAATTTGTGAGATCTATCATCGTGGAGTGCAAACATTAATGAATCAAATAGGGTTGAGGAAACGACTGAATTGGAAGAAACTTCTATATCAGAACCAACCCTTTCCTGATAATTATGTTGATGAATCGTTCTTGTCACAATTGAAAAGAAATGAAACCGTAAGACCTTACAAGTATTGGGAGTTGGTTAATGATTTTTCCTTGATACTATTTCATTTAACTAATCTTACTTTGGTGATTTTGATTTTTGTCAGCATTTATCGATTTGATTGGGATTCTACGTATATTGTTACTTCCAGTTCAACCATATCTTTAATAGGGTATGTTTTATGGGAACTAAGGTTAAATAGTACTAATTCCAAAGTATTGAAAATCAAATCTTTCACATTAGTGATTTTCATGTTCTTATTACTATCGCCGGTGTTGAAATCATTAACTAGATCCACATCTTCAGATTCCATCTGGTCAATTTCTGTGATACTTTCAATATTCAATTTAATGTTCCATGATTATGCTATAAATGTTCATACACCATTCTATAAACCTATTTTATCAACAAACTTATCCTTATCCAATGCATTGGTTTTAGCATCAAGATTGAATTCAACTTGGCAAGTTTTCTGTTTCATATTATTCGCTATTCAATCCAATACCTTATTACCATTATTTGATTTTAGTTTAAGAAGATATTCTCCCAAATTGCATTATTTACTTTTCACTTGCTTAACTTTAGTTGTAGAGTATTTAATGGTTCATTTAACGAATTTGAATGCGTTCTTATTATGGTCAAGTATACAGATATTCATCTTATTGATATTACCAGGATATTTCCTTTTCCTTCAGAGATATAAAAATGAACTCTCAGGTCCTTGGGATATTGCAAAACCTATTATTAGATCCTAATCTTTTTTGTGTACTACAAAAGCTAAAATTGGATCTTCATATTTCTTGTATATTACAAAATGTATATTATTATCAAATATTGTCGCCCATGGACCAACTGTCTTACTACCTCTCGCAACTGGTCCTTTGATAAAACTCTCTCAAGGTTCGCGATGAAAAAATCTGAACAGTGATCAACAAGATGTCAGATAACAATCCATCACGTCAACAACCCATGACCCGATCACAAACAGCTCAAGCACTGACATCTAGGACTCAACAGAGTCAATTCAGTCAAGCTGATTTGAATCGTATTGTGTTGGAATATTTGAATAAAAAAGGGTACCATAAAACTGAAAACATGTTAAGATTAGAAAGTACCAACACTCCAACTACCGCAACTGGCTTACCATCAGCTGCCACCACATTACTTGCCAACCCAAGCGAACTTAACAGAGCTGAAAGAGAAAGAGTCACTAGAGAATTGAAAGATTTAAGAGATAAACAATATAGAATCGAACAAGAATTGAGGGATTCCAAAGATAGAGAAATAATCTTAGCTAAAGAAAAGGAATTAAGAGAACTCAAAGATTTCGAAGAGAAAAGGAAACGAGAATTTGAACCTGAAATCTATTCTGTGGTTTATAATGCTTTAACTAAATGGGTAGAAAATTCTTTAGATTTATATAAACCTGAATTATCCAAGATTTTATATCCAATTTTCATTCATTGTTATTTTGAATTGATTTATAATAACATGCCAGTCCGAGCTAAAGAATTCTTTGAAAAGTTCAAGTTCGATCATGAAATCTTACATGGATCAGAATTATCAACTTTAAGTGGTATTTCATTACCTGAACATTTGGATGAAAATGAATTAGCCAAAGATTTTAGAAATAACAAGTATAAAATTATAATATCCAAAACTTCCATGGATTTATTGTTATATTTCTTACATGAAAATGAAGCTATTGGTGGTACTATATTGATTAGAATTATTAATCAATACTTAAATCCAATTATTAAGATTACTCAACCTGATAAATTACAATTAGAAGGTGATGCTAATCCTGAAGAAGGTTTAGGAAGTTCTAACGGAATCGAGAAATTCAATGAAGCCAATAACGTATTATTAGGTAAATTACCTTTAGATCCGGAAATTGAAGCTGAAATCGAAGCCGAATTAAAAGTTAAAGATGAAAAGGATAAAGATAATGAAGATTTAAAAGATAAGAAGACTTTAGTAGAAGAATTCAAGGAAATGCAAACTCCTGATGAAGATAGTCCTCAAAGAGATGCATTACCTTTACCTTTGAAAGATTATAATGATATTAAAAGACATATAAAAGAGGTTGAAGATTCAAGATTAAAAATTAAATTGGATTCTATTCAAGCAACTGCTCCTTCAGTTTGCATGTATACATTCCATAATTCAAATAATGATCTTACAAGTCTTGAATTCAATCAAGATTCAACAATTGTTGCTGGTGGATTTCAAGATAGTTATATAAAATTATGGTCAATTGATGGAAAACCTTTGAAATCAATTTATAAAAAAGATAAGAATAATAATGATAATACTAGAAAATTAATTGGACACAGTGGACCAGTTTATTCAACATCATTTTCTCCTGATAATAAATTCTTGATAAGTGGTAGTGAAGATAAAACTGTCAGATTATGGTCATTGGATACTTTCAGTGGATTGGTTTCCTATAAAGGACATAACCAACCAATTTGGGATGTTAAATTTTCACCTTTAGGACATTATTTTGCTACCGCATCTCATGATCAAACAGCTAGATTATGGGCTACTGATCATATTTATCCTTTAAGAATATTTGCTGGGCATATTAATGATGTTGATTGTGTTGATTTCCATCCAAATTCAAATTATGTCTTTACTGGATCTTCGGATAAGACATGTAGAATGTGGGATGTTCAAACTGGTAATACTGTTAGAGTATTTGTTGGTCATACTGGACCTATAAATTGTATGGCAGTATCACCTGATGGAAGATGGTTAGCTTCAGCTGGTGAAGATAGTGTAATTAATATTTGGGATTGTGGAAGTGGTAGAAAATTGAAAACTATGAGAGGTCATGGTAGATCATCTATTTATTCCTTAGAATTTTCTAAAGATAATGGAGTTTTAGTAAGTGGTGGTGCTGATAATACTGTTAGAGTATGGGATGTTAAAAAGAACACTAATGATTCAGGTCCTGAACCAGAAGCTTTCAGTTTCGATAATGATGATGATGTCACAAGTAAGAAAAATAAAAGAGAAATCGTTGCATCTCCTGATCATATGACAGCTTATTTCACCAAGAAATCACCAGTTTTTAAAGTCCATTTTACCAGAAGAAATTTATGTCTCGCAGCTGGTCCTTTCTTAGGATAAAAGTCCCACCTACCCTCCTTGAAAATAATTGTATATTAATAAATAAGCGTCACAATACCTTTAATTTAAACTTTCCCCCAACGTCATCTTGCATATGATGATTTACTACAGCCCCTCCTTTATGTCCCTCCTCCATAAATCGCACCATCGTCAGTACCAATCTCTGTCTAATCTCTCGGACAACTTATCACTATCACCGCGATTTTAATACCATAGCCTGAAAAAAATTTGGGGTAACTGGCTAGTACACGACCCATATTATGGTTTTCTCAAAAAGGAAATTTTAACTAAATAATCTGCGTCAAAAATTTTCAGAAATCATTCAACTAGTTTCTTATATAAAGATCAATTGTAAGGATATTAGATCAATAAATTCACTATGCAAATCAAATTTTTAGCTTTATTATCAACCATTGCTTTGGTTAAATCAGATGACGTTGACTTCTTAACTGGATTAGTCAATGATTACAAAAGTCATACCGCTGATTACTTAAAATTCATTCAAACTGCTGATTCAGTTCCTGCTGCTTTAACTTCATTAGCTGTTCAAGTTGCTACTTATACCGACGATTCATATACCACCTTATTAGCTGATAGTGATATTAATGTATCATCATTGAAAGCTTTTGCTACTGAATTACCATGGTATTCAAGAATAGAAGAAGATGACGGAAGTGATTCTGATTCCGATAGTAAATCTGATTCATCTTCATCTTCATCTTCATCATCTGCTGCTTCAAGTTCCGAAGCCGATTCAGGTGTTGCCAAATTAGGTGTTGGTGCTTTATTAGGTTTAGCTGGTATCGCCTTATTATAATTTTATATCCATACATATTTCATTTGTCATTTCCAATGTATTATTATGCTGTCATTCTATAACTCTGTTTGTTCGGCTGTCATGAAAAGTATCAAGTATTGTAAGATCCATAAAAAGTTATCTAAACAATCTATAGGTATGTTATCCATTAAATCTTGATTATACAATTCATTCAATTGTTTGCAAACAAGTAGAAGATTTTTATTCAAAAGATTAACTCCGCTTTCAAATAATTCATTCTTCAATACCACTTCATTGACACCATTCTTGAATTCAGTTTTCTTTTTCGTCAATGAAGGATCATAGAATAATGGGTATTCTTTATCTCTAAAATCTTTAATGGTGGAATAATTTCCTTTAAACAGAACATGATAGTAAACTGGAACTTTTGTTAGATTAAGGAACATCATGACCATTTGAGTTATGTAATTAATACCAGTATTAATTCTCAAGATATCCTCGTCATTTGTTTGATATAAGATCTTCAATGTTTTGCCGATATTTGAAGGTAATTCGACATTTTCAATACTAAGACTGTACATGTCACTTTGAGTGATGGGTAGAAGTTCGTTAAGAACGAGACTAAATTGTTTGAAGTGTTCTTTGATTATTTGGTTGGTTTCTTGAATCGATTGGTGGATTGTGGGGATTTGATTTCTGATTAGTTCGATTTCATTCTTAAAATTATGAACGAATTGAAGATTGTCGTTCTTTATATCATCAATCTTATTATTGAAGATCTTGAGTTTCATTATCTCCGAAAGAAGTTCATCATTTATCAGTCTCTGTTTGGATATTCGTCGTTCAATGTCATCAATGGTTATTTGGGTTTGAAACATTTTATTATAAACTGATTCAATATCATCTTTCCGATCGATACTGTCAATCTGTTTACTTATTTGTATCTTTGAATGATTCAATTCTTTAATCGACCTATCCAAATTATTGATAGATCTTATCATATCGAAAGTATAACTTGGTAATTTATGATTAGACATTGATGTTTTAGGTCTTCTAATCCCAGCGTTTCCAGCTTTCTTGTAATAATATCTATCCTCTAATCGAATAATCACAGTATTATTAGGGCATTCTAAGGTATCGATATCTTCAATATATGATAAGCCATTTAAATCACAATCCCATTGAATCAATAACTTCCATTCATTAAACTTAACCCATACTTTGATTACTAAATGATCCAACTTATTCGATTTATTATTTGGTAATACAAAAGAATTGAAGTTGGGGTTGGCATTCAATTTAGATATCTCACTAACATAAATCAAATCTCCTGATTTATGATGTAAACTAAAGAAACAAGTTAAAAGGAATTTTTCATTGAATTTCAATAATTTGGAATAATCTTCGGAATAGTCTAAAATCTGAAATATCGTACTTCTTCTGGGTTTGATTCTACCAAAATCTTGTTTATGTTCGTTAGTTTCATAAAATAAATTCCTTAAGCTTATAGACTGTATATTTCGTATTTTCTTATCATTATACGGTATATCCATTCTATCATTTCAATTGGTGGTCCAATGTCTCTGAAAAGTTGAAATATTTCCCGAAATTATATAATTAATGCTGCACAAAGAAGATCTTGATTATCAACCAAATGAAATAAAGTCGCAATTTGAAAAATATAAATATCATCCTTATTTCACCTTAGTTAAAAACATTAGAGGCATTGGGTACAATCTTAAACCTCATTTGAACCAGAGATTACAGGAGTATGGCAAATTTCACAGTGTGTTTAGGACACTTTTGTGAAGTTCATGGGCCATGTTCAATAATTTCTACCCAAATATCTAAAACCAAAAATATATTGAAGACTAAAGCTTCTAATTTACAAACTTGTCAATCGTGTCAATTATCCTTACCTAATGATGTCAATAATATCGTTACTAAATCCAAGAATGAATTCTTTATTTCATCACAATATCCCAGTAATCAAGATCTTTATAGGTCATTAACTAAATTAATAATGAAAATTTTATCAGTTGAAACTTCGGATATTTCCAAACCTTTGTTCTTGGGTGATAATGCAAATGGTTTTACATTAACCAGAATCTTTAAAATCAAAGATTTAAATGCAAGAGGTGGTGAACGAAAATATTGTTTGATGATTGTTAGTGATGAAGAGCATAAAATAATGAAAAATTGGAGAGTTTCTTCGAATTATCTTAATGAAATAATTGATTTCCTTCAATCTAAAGTCAATAAGAATGATAATTCAAGTAAAGGTAATAATAACGATAATTATTTAAGAAGGTCATTAGTGAAACCTAAATCATTAATTGAATTATGTGGAGATAAACAAATATTCATTAAACTTCACCTAAGTGCTATTGAACTTATCAAAGATATCAAATAATCGTGTCAATGTCGTTCGGAGATCAACATTAACTTTTCGTTAAGGTATAATTCATCCAATAGCCGGGAATTTTTCAATCAGTTGATGGGAAAATTGACATGTCGCGTGTCGCGTTACTCCAATGTCGATGTGGAACAATACGCATCGAACTCATCGACCTTATCGCGAGAATTGTTAGGACAACAGACGATGATATGAATAGAGGGTTTATTGTGAATTATTGGACGCTTTGCATAGTTATCCTAGTAAGTTCAATCAAACTTTTATCTACTTCAGAAAGTTGTGGTGTGACTTTCATCGATTATTTTAATTGGAAGCAGGATGGAGTGAATGAGATGAAGTTCTTCAATCAAATGGTATGGCAATCAATTGGTGAAGTAAGAAGTGGTAAAGAAACTTTGGAACTCAATTGTACTGAAATTTCAGTTAATTGCTCAGATCCTGCACAATTGGTATTCATCGTTCCCAATACAACTAGTTTGGTGGTGTTCAAGTCACAATCACCCCACGAGTTTACCAAGAAAGATCTCCTCATTCAACAAACTGATGTAACTAGAGAAAATTTCTTTCTAGACTCAATTGAATTGTCATCATATAAATATTTTAAAGAAATTGATACTCATTTCGATGCAAGATTTTATAAGAAATCTGATTTCTCCACATACGAAAGAATTGCCAGTTTACATAAATTAACCAGATCATGGTTGAAATTTTCCAATTCCATAAATCTCAATTCCTGGTTATCTCATGGAACTTTACTAGGTTGGTATTGGAATAAAATGAATCTTCCTTGGGATAATGATCTCGACATACAATTACCCATTCGGGAATTTGAGAATCTTTTGTCATTCAATCAATCGTTGATTTTTGTTGAAGGGACTTACTTATTGGACCTAAACCCTCATTGGACTGATAGAAATGATAGCTTGAATAATATAGATGGAAGGTTCATTGATATCGAAACAGGATTTTACGTGGATCTAACCACACTAGCTTTCACGGATAATCACAACCTTACCAATTCAATTGAATTCAAGAGGTTTTTGGATGATGAATTTCTAGAAAAAGAAGGATCCACCACCATAATCAAACTGGAATTAAATAAATCTTTAGAACGAGAGAAACTCCAATTACATAAAGCTCAAAATATGTTCAATTGTAAAGATAATCACTATTACAAATTTGAAGAATTATTCCCACTAAAGCAAACAACTTTTGAAGGTGTTGAAGCTTGGGTACCCAGAAAATATAAAACGATTCTTCTTAGAGAATATAATAAAGGAATCTATTCCACTTATTTCAATGGCTTCAGTTATGATAAAGTCAAAAGACTTTGGATTTCTGAAAAATGTGATAAAACTTGTAAAATAGAAACAGACATAAGATACGACTTAACGAAAAATGCAACATCATTGTATTATAATTTGTATGGAAATCCCTGGATGATTTCAGAATATAAGAAAAGGTAAAATATATACATTAATTCATTACTGCGTCTCTTCCACCAGAAAGATTGGTGCCTATTCTATTTAATGGCCATATGACTCCAACAACTTTCCCTATAACTAAGGCTTGACTTATAGGACCAAAATTATTAGAATCTATGGAATGGAACTCATTATCTCCCTCAACCCATAAATGATTTCGGGGTATTATGGTAGTTTGTTTCGGATATCTGTCTAAACATTTGATGGTATCACCTTGCAACCCCAATACTCTCTTCGTCAATAATTTTTCTGGATCTGTAGGAGATTTGAACATTATTATATCACCTTTCTTAAAAGAATCAGTTTTTTTCAAACCATACTTTTTAACTAAAGTTATATCATTTTGGAAATTTGGATTGAACGTAGGAGTCATTGATGTTCCTTGGATGAAATATGGTTGATAAGCATGGTCAGTAAACGTTATTACTACGGGAATCCATGAAATCGATATCAAAACTGGTCTAAGATAGTTCATGAAAAAAATGAGAATATGAGTGGTTTAGATCAAATTTTGTTAGATGATATTGCAGCAAATTGTCCCCAAGAATTTTTGAAATTCCATCAATGTTTAAGTAATCCAAGTAATCCATGTTCAACTGAACAAATCAATTTATCAAAATGTATAAAAACTCAAGTCCCATCATTTCAAAAAATCCAAGGTATTTGCGCAGGTAAGTTACAAGCTTATGAAGCTTGCTTAAAGATAAAAAAGTCCCAGAATGGATGTAAAGATGATTTACAAGAGCTTAGAGATTGTGCCATGGGTACTTTGAATTAGATGGGCACATTAAATCAGATGATGACCAATTTTTTGCCATGATTTTTACATAGATATTTATATATATTCAATTTAAGCCTTAAATTTGTTGGGTAAATTTTCAATTTTTAATGGTGATTGATAATCTTTGGTGATATCTCTGATGTTAGGTGATAAGTTATGAGATTCTTCTATTTCATGTTCATGATGTAACATTTCATGTTCAATATCTTCTTTATGTTTGATTAAAACTTCAGGGTCTTGATCTTTATGATATTTATTCCAATGATGTTCCTCATATTCACTTTCGAAATCTAAATGATGTCCTTGACCATATCCAAAATCAGGTAACGTCTTACCTGAACTAATATAATCAACAAACTCTTGTGCTGATATTTCACCATCTCCATCACTATCGATTAATTTCAAGATAGTTGAAATAACATGTTGCTTGGCATCTTCTGTAATTATTTCATGACCATGTTCATGATCTCCCATTCCTGATCCATCACCAACAATGGTATCTCTGGCTAATCCATATAAATTCAAGATATCTTGTTTATTCCACGTTGATTTACCATCCAAATCATGAATTTTGAAAAATGTTATGGCATCATATTCATCAACGTTATGTTCTTCTAACATATGCCAGTCTTGCCATGACATACCTGCGGGTTTTGTCGCTGGATTATTAGAATGTCCCAATACTATTGGTATCAAAAACAACCACTTGATCTTCATTGAGAACTTCACGTTTTTTTTGAGATCCCCATACTTTTTCTTTCAATTGAGTCTCGAGTCATAATGGGCAATTTAGATAAAAAAGATGAAAGTAGAGTTGGTAGAGATCAACAAAGATATGCTGAAAGTGGTGCCAGAATGGTAGCTGGGTGTATTTGTTTGAATGAAGCCAAAGACAAAGTAATTATGATACTGTCATCTAAACACAAGGACAGGTGGATTTTACCAAAAGGAGGAATTGAATTGGATGAAGGTGAAGATTTTGTTGTAAGTGCTGTAAGAGAAACTTGGGAAGAAGCTGGAATTGAAGGTAAAATCACCCAAAAATTACCAGTTGTTTATGACAAACGTAAGGATGCTCCAATTATTAAAGGTGAATTTAACGATATCATCCCCAAGACAGAATTCCATTTCTATGAGATGATTATAGATACTTTAAGTGTTAAGTGGCCAGAGAGTGATAAAAGACAGAGGAAATGGTGTAGTTATTCCGAAGCTAAACATGAATTAATAAAATCCAATAGGTTGGAATTAATTGATGCTTTGAATAGTTGTGATATCTTAAAGGATGAAGAACTCGATGAAGACGCTTATTAGATGAAGTAATGGTAAATAAAACAATGAGATAATCTTATTTGATGGTGGTTGGTTTCCTCTGTATTACTCTGTGGATGTCTGTGTGGTTGTTTGAGTGCTACTCCGTGGTTCTCTACGGTTCTCTGTTATTCTTTGAGTCCTTCTTTATTACATAGGCTCTGGTTCTGCCCCTGTTGAAAATATATTCCTACATACTATTGACAGGCTAAGTGAATAACCCATTCATTAAATTAGCTAACATATTGTTATTATTAGTATTACCCAATTTCAAATTGAAATAAAATCTTCCTAAATATTCAACGGGTGCTAACAATTCATATTCAACCAATGTAGGTTTATAACTTTCATATAATTTCAAGAACTTTGTACCATTATTGGTATTCAATGTGATAACAAGTAATTGTAAGAAGTTAAGTAATTTGAAGTCATTATAGTAATAAATCTTATCGTCACCTTCTTCCAATATCTCATCGTGTTTAAATTCACTTACGAAGATTTTCAATGATTGTTGGACATATTGCATATTTTTCAAATAGGAATAATTTATTATGGCTCTTGATAAGAATAAACCAGGATCTTCGTTTGTTGATTTAGCCCACTTGATCAAGAATTCAACATATTGTTGTAAAGATGTTAAATTACCCAAGACTAAATGTAATTCACTCAATTGAAATATCTTTTCTCTTTCTTTGGTATTTTCTGATTGACTAGCAAGTAAGAACTTATTCCCAAATAAGTTGTGGTAATCATAATCACCAAATTTAGATTCATCAACTACTTTAGATAAGTTAATAACTTTTTTAGATATTTCAATCAAACTTGGTTCATTATTTGGTAATTTACTGATCATTTCAATCAACTTCAACTTGATTTCTTTACTATAAATATCACTTTCACCCAATACTTCTATTAAATATAAGATCAAATCTGATGAACTACTATATTCTTTATTTTCACTTAAAATAACTGATCCTTGGTATAATAAATTGACAGCTTCAGGGAAATTTTTGGATTTGACATATCTATTTGTGATGGTTCTTAATGTTTGGTGGGCTTCGTAGAATTCTCCATTGTTGATTTTGGCTTGGAACCTGGCAATGGTTCTGTTCAATTTATCACTCATGTTGAAGGTTTTCGCAGTGATTCTAAATTTTGAGAATTTGCAGGCCCCATAAGATAAAGTCTTGTGAATAACGATTTATATATTTGTCAGAAGAATAACTATCTAGATAGGTAGCTGTAGATGCTTCTTTATATCATTGACAGCATCTGTTGTGTATCTAACATGAGACCAAGAATTATAATTCAAACAAGTAGTGGTCAATATTTCATCGGTGATGGTATATATCATTGCAATAAAACAAGGGTTTAGATTCCTTAAGGAGGTATTGCTGGATTTGAATTTTTCAATCCAAATATTCAATCTTGATGAAGAGCATGCATCTAAAAGGAGGAGCCTTAGGTATGGGAATTCCAAATTAGGAGGTCGAGTAGTCCAAATCAATGAAATATCTATATTCACCAATTCAAATGATTGTAAATTCATCCTTAGGCTGTCCAAAACCCCACTGAAAATGCACCCTAAGATCAGAATGCCTTTCCAGAATCGGTCTCTCACTCTATTGATAGTTTGTATAATACTTGACTTGCAATAATTAGATATGTTTTTTCTGACAAGTAAACGAATATAGTTATCGACCATTGTATGAACCATAGCGTTCTTTGATTTGACCGTCAAATGTTTGAGATTATTCTCTGTTACGTGAATTTGCCTAGCTATTGCTTCAAACTCACTGACATGAAACATTCGTGGTGTTGAGAATATCATGAGGATAGTCAATTTAACCAACGTCTTTGGAATAAAGTTAAATACTAACAACCCATTGACGTCATTGGATTTGATAGACATATACTTAAGAGCCTTTAATGACATTAAGGAGTTCAATTCAGTTCCCGGAGTATGTATCAAATTGAGGGAGATCAAATTGTGACAAATTGCACCTTTTTTGGGTATATCGTGGGTAACCAATGTTTGAAGTCTGGCTCTGACACAGTTATAATAGCAGTTCAAACGTTTGCATGTGTATTGTAGATTAGAATCGCTTCCATTACAAATTGTGTAGTATATTATGCGGAATTGTATTTCTAAAGGTAGGTCTATCATTTGCAGCCAGTGGTTTCTTGAGCTTCACTCTGAAATTTGTGATTGTTTTAGGTTTTAGGTGTACGATATTGAAGTTGAGTCTCCAGATTTTAGCTTGTGTTAGTTTTACCTGCTCTGTCTGTAAACTAGCTTATCTGTCTTTCTTTGTTACTGCTGCAAATGTTCAAAAGTTTGTGAACTTATTTTGCAACAAGTTCGCAGTCCCGGGGAAATTATCCAATGAGACCTTCAAGCAGCTTATTAAAACACATACCATTAATCAAATTTGTTGGTGGTCCACACAAGTTTTCCAGTATGTATTAGCTTATTAATGTGGTAAAGGTGTCCATAATTACTTTCATGGCTTTTGAAAATCGAAATTTGAGCCGGGATCGTTTGTTCACGTTTCATTCAAAAAATTTAGAGATTTGACAGTTTTCGTTACAACAGTTGATTATGGGCGTATTATTGATGTATTATAAACCGGGTGTTATTCTGTCGTTCTTTAGTCGACACGGAATGAACAAGGATGTTTGAAAATTCGAAAAATATTACATACTTAAACTTACTTCTCCAAAGACTTCCATCGGTTCCGGCTGGTTCATAAGTGTTTTAAACCTCCTAGTAGAGACACTTCATAGTACCTTACATACAAGAAGACAATATACTAACGCTAATTCTAGAATCTAGTGCAGGTGTCCATCCAATGGCCCCCCATGGATTAAAACCAACAGCTGGTAGTTCATACTCAAATACCAATCCAATTGAACCAAAAGAAGGTGAATATTTCAGTAGATCACAATTACCTTTAAGATTTAGATATAAATTACCAAAAGAAGACGAAGCTGAAAATATTATTAGTGGTGGTGCCGAAGTAGTATTTTAATATATTTATTTTATCTGAAAGGTAACGAATAAGTCTGCACCTTCTTGCTCCTCTCCTTCATTTATCACTTCTTTTAGCCTATAAATTGACTTCATATAAAAGTAAACTGAAAAGAAAAGTCCCGCACCCGTACACCCATATATCCAGTCAAAATGCAATGGTGACAGTGCGAAGTGAAAGTAATCTCAAGAACGCCACCATGAATCACGATCCTTTTGCATGGGGTAGACCAGATGATAACGTTTATGGTAAATACAATCAATCAATTGCACAAGCCAAGAACAATGAATTAGATGCATTCCCTAAAATGCATACCCAGCAACCAATTATCACTGGTACTTCAGTGTTAGGTATTAAATATAAGAATGGGATAATAATGGCAGCAGATAATATTGGGTCATATGGATCATTATTAAGATTTAGTAACATCGAAAGAATAATCAAAGTTGGTTCAGAAACTGTTGTTGGAGTTTCAGGAGATATTTCAGATTTCCAACAATTGGAAAGAATTTTAGAAGAATTAGTTATTAGTGAAGAAAATTATGATAATCAAGGAGAAAATAACTTGAGAGCACCTCATGTCCATGAATATTTAACAAGAGTTTTATATAATAGAAGAAATAAAATGAATCCATTATGGAATTCTATAATTGTTGGAGGATTTGATAATGATAAAACCCCATTTTTAAAATATATTGATTTATTAGGAGTTACTTATGGATCATCAACATTAGCAACAGGATTTGGATCATATTTAGCTATTCCATTATTAAGAAAATTAATTCCAGATGATAAAGATTATAGTAATATTGAAGAAGAAGACGCAAAAAAGGTTATACAAGAATGTATGAGAGTTTTATTTTACAGAGATGCAAGATCCGGAGAAAAATTCACCTTAGTTACCGTAAATGATGAAGGGGTTAAATTTGAAAAAGATGTCGAAGTTACCGGACAAAGCTGGGAATTTGCCAAAAATTTAGTTGGTTATGGTAGTAAACAATTATGATTTGATTTATTAATTTTTTATAAATAAAAAATAAAGTTTTATTATTTTATTCTGAAATCCTATTAAACGGATATGTTCAGAAACTTTCCCTCTTCAATAATTCGCTTCAAAGTTCAAATATCAAATGCCTCTAAGATGAATTCCTATTGTTTATAATGATTGCTAAATTGAAAAACTACGTAACTAGATTGTTCGGCCAATCAACTGATGAATAAAAATAGAGCCACATAGTGAAACCTGCCCTTATTTTATTGCTTTGTGCAGATACTTCACTTGCATAAATCGATCTTAGCGCATAACTAATTGGTCGATTTTTTCTCCATTTTACTCCTATTCCCAAAAAATTTTTCAATGCGTATAATTTCATAATTATAAAACCTAATCGTAATTAAACAATTACAATACATCAGCATATAAGTAAACCTTAAGTAAAAGGGAAATATAAAGGATTATGAAATCTTTAAAATAATTTAAAAATAATTTCGTTTAAAAATTAAAAAATGGCTTATAACCTTTTAGACTTGAAAAAAATCAGCCCTTGCCGTATATGTGATATTGGTTGTTCGTCAAGTTTTATCGGTTACAAACCTTTGAATCTCGGGAAATAATTGGTTAGAATTGGAAGTGGAAGTATTTAGGGTTAAATTATTAAAACCAAGCAAGATTTATTAATTTCCTAAATAAATCACATTTCCATAAATTCAGGTGTTCTTCAGATCTCATTGGGCTTCTAGAATCCATTGCCGGTTTCCAAACCAATAACCCACTTTTGTAAAAATTATTTTAAATTTAATTTCTTCAACTATTTAAACCTTGAATATCTTTAATTATTAAAACCCTGTTGAATTAATCATATTTATAATTAAAAACTTGAATTATCCTTGAAAAAATATAACAACTTTAATTCCTTGGTGTGTTGAAAAGAAGCCTGTCAATTAGTGCGCAGAATTATTTTTACATTTTTATCCTTCTGTAGATTTACTTAAAAATCCATTATTTAATAAACTTTATTCGCCCCAAAAAAAAGATCTTTATTATTAGAATTTGATTTAATTCAGGTATTTCAAATCAAACATTCAAACTAGGAGAATCAAACAAACTTAGGAGAATTCCTTACACTTTTTATATATTGCCCATATTTTCATTTCCCCATTTTTCCTTTTTCCTTTTTCCTTTTTTTTTTTTACTTCAATTCAATTCTAAATGTTTGAAATAACATTTTTAGGTACTTCAGGAGGTCCTATTGAAGGTACAAATTGTTGTATATTATTGAAATCTTCAGATAAATCATATAAAGAAATAATTGAAAATAATTTATCGGATGAAATTTTATGTATCGATGCTGGATCAGGAATAAATAGATTATCAGAAGTGATTTATAATGAAATCAATAATCTTGAATTCAATCAAAGTTTGAATCTTTATAATGATAAATCTTCAGTAGAACATTATTATCATGAATCTATGAATATAATTAAACCATTTAAAGATCTTAATAATCCTCATAATGATGATACTACACCAATTGGATTATCAATGAAAATTTTCGATAATATTAATAATTATATTATTTCCCATCCTCATTTAGATCATATTAATTCATTGGTACTAAACTCACCAAATTTTTCCGTTCAAAATTCAAAAAATGTTATTGCATCATCATCAACAATTGATTCTTTAGATAAATTTATTTTTAATGGTATAATATGGCCAAATATGCAAGAATTTAAAATCTTAAAATTCAATAAAATCGATTATCATCAACAATTTGAATTGAATAATTTCACTATTAAAATGTATAAATTAAGTCATGGTAAATTATTTAATTCAATCAAAAGAAATAATTCAATATCATTAATTGAAAATTATCAATTAAATCAAAAACAAAAGAATGATTATCATACAACTTCAACCCCATATTTATCCTCAGCATTTTTAATTTCTAATCGTTTAGATAACGATATCCTTATATTTGGAGATTTTGAAAGTGATTCAGTTTCAGGATTAAATTTCAATTCTTTAATTTGGAAAGATATAAGTCCATTGATTATTTCAAACCGATTAAATATCATTGTTGTTGAATGTTCAAATTCCAATTTATCAACAAATAATCTTTATGGACATTTAAATCCAATTTATTTATTTCAAGAACTTGTTTTATTAAATGATTTTTGTAAGCAATTAACTTCTGATCCTCATCCTTTAGAGAATTTGAATATTATCGTTAATCATATCAAAGAAACTTCCACAAGTAATCCAAGGAAGAAGATTTTACAAATTCTTAATGAATTCAATGAAAAGTATGATTTAAGAATTAAATTTTCAATTGCATTATCTGGAGTTAGTGTAAGCATTTAATATATTTTAGAGTTCGTTATTTCTTCTTTACTTTCTTCTTTACTTTCTTCGTTGTTCCCTCAATTTGAAATTTTCTTGCTTCTTCCTTAGAGTTATCCAGAGTTCGTCAGAGTTCGTCAGAGTTATTCAGAGTTTGTCAGAGTTCGTCAGAGTTTGTCAGAGTTTTCAGTAGGCTACTATCTCTTGATAAAGTATATATTTTGTCTATGATATTTGATAATTTTCACTTGATAAATTACAATGTAAATCAAATGGTAATGATTCATCGTCATAATTAACAACATCAAGAATTTGAATTTTACCAAAACAATTATCAGAATCATTAAAGTCTTCATAATTAATATCGAATTTAACATTCATTGGGAATAAAGAATCTTCATCGAATGAATTTACTTGGAATTCAAATGATCCTTGTGGATCATCAATTGAGATACTGTCGATATTAATTAATGTTCCCATATCAGTCATTTCAAGTGATAAATTATCTTCATCTTTTAATGATACTTCATTTGATGGTACTAAAATTTTAATATCTTTAATTTCAGTATTTGAAACATTATTATTAATAAAATTCGAGGTTAATTCATATTCTAATGTAATATCAGCGATATTATCATTAATATTGACCCAAGCTGTAAATAATATTGGAATAAATGAATCATCATCTTTATTACCAACACATCTCCATCTTAAAACTCCTAAACTTTGATCATTATTAGGAAAGTTTTTACTTTTATCTTTTAATCCAATAACACTTTCTTCTTGGAATAAATTACGATCAACATTTGGATGAGTTTTGAATTGAACAGCTTTTGATTGTTCATTTTTCAATAAAATTTTACAATTTGATAATTCAGAATTATTAATTCTTAATTGTAAATCTCCTTTGATTTCTGATGATAAAATAGATCCATCTCTGTTTAAATTTGCATTGAATTTTTCATTAATTGTAATTAAAATACCATTATTTTGAACTTTTGCTACAGTTGGTTGAGGGGTTGATTGTTTAGTATTAAATCCACTTGGTGTATGAGATTGTGAATTTTGGAAAATAGGTTGACTTTGTGATAATAATGGTTGACTTGATTGATTAGAAGTTTGAGGTTTTTTACCTAATTGTAAACCTCCTGATCTTGGAGTAAATTGTTTATATGAAGGTTCTTCAGGTTCAGGATTTATATTTTGTCCACTCATATTCATACCTGCCATTTGATTCATTGGCATTTGATTCATTGACATTCCTCCCATTCCTCCCATTCCCATTGGGCTATTACCGTATTGATTTTCTAAATTCTTTCTAGCTAATTCTTTTCTTTGAATTTCTTTAGCTTTCCTCTTTCTTTCTTCAATTGCTTCCATTTCCTTATTCTTTTCAATAATTTCTTGGATTTTTTCTTCATGTGAATCCATTTCTAAAAATGTTTCAACTTGTTGTAATGTTAAATTTTCTTTATATCCATTATTTATAATTTCATCGAATGAACTTAAAATTTCAAATGATTTATCAAAGATTTCTCTTTCGTCAACATTTCTTAATAAATTCCCGATGGTTAATTGAAATAAATGTAATGTGTCAATGTCTTGTAAAATATTGGATTGTTTGTTGGTAATCAATACAATGTAAAATTCTTCTAATGGTTGATAAACGTATCTAACATTTTCATTTTCAACGGTGGTATGTTGATTAGAACTTGAAATTAAACTTGGAAAATTGGCCAATAATTGGGTAATTGTGTCCTTACTCAAGTCTTTGAATTGTCTAGATAACAATGGTTTACCACCTCTGGTACAAATTGATGATGCTAAAACAACCATATCGTTGTAACTCGTTGATTTTTCGTTGATCTTCGTGTCAACAAAAATGAGAACTTTTCGTGTACTTATCGATTTACGGGTTACTTGACTTGGGTGTTTTTCAAACGTGTTTAGGCGTAGGAATAGTTGGTGGGGTGTAAGTAAGAGACTTGGATAAGATGCTTGTGGAGATAGAGTATCATGACTTCTATCATAAGTTTCTAGATTCTTTATAAAAATAGAATGGTTGCAAAATTCGCAGAATTTATGATAATTTGATCTGAACTATTCAATATATTTTAAGATTCATACAAGTAAAAAATTCAAAGGTAATATTGAAGGGGTCGAGAAAGAAATCGAAAATCCGTTGGTATAGGCTTCTGAATAAACGACTCTTTCAGTTATTGTTGGAATAAAAAAAAAATGACACGGACAGGAATCGAACCTGCAACCGTTTGATTTGGAATCAAAAGCGCTACCATTGCGCCACCGCATCACTTATGGGATTATTTGTTCAGTATGAAACATGAAGCAAAAAACAGTAAATTTTGGAAAAAGACGATTTTGAAGCTTTAAAAGCTTGCAAATTTTCAAAATCATTGTAGTTTCATATGGAAGAAGGAGGTTGTAATACACTGAGGAAGCAAGACAGTATTCTAATGTTTATTTAGTACAATAGACCTATTTTATCCGTCAGACGAGCTTTAAATCCGGCCAAAAAAGGTACCATCGTGTTGAAGGGGGTTTAAAGGACAAATTCAGCATATTTAGCTCATAAATGGGTGTAAGGTACTAGAGTGACGGTTCATGGAATCAACTCAAAATGAAGTAAATTGAAAAAGGCTTATAAAAGATCTAAATCGGATCCAAAATCCTCGAAATTACCATCATTTACTTCAAGACATCTATATCTATCCGCTGGTCTACAAGCCAACTTTAAGTTGAAGCAAAACTTGCAAATCTACCGTCGATTTGAATTGAAAAACTTATCGGTCTGATAAAATCTGTCGCGACGGATATAAAATTATTCATGTTCGGTAAAGCTTGGAAGATATTATTGGCAATTTATGCCATTAGTAGTATTAAAACCCTTCCGTTGGCATATGTAGCAAGATTTTATCTTTCAGTTTTCAGAAACTTAATTTTACCCAAGAGTAAGTACCACAAAGGTAACAATAAGAATAGTTACGGTATTACTACCGAAAAGAAAGGGGATTTAGCTATTTTCACCCCAGTATCTTATAGTTCATATGTTAGTCCTTTAGAGTATGATATGTTTTTACACAAATCCAATTCCACCTACTTTGCTGACTTAGACATGTCAAGAACCAAATTGTTATGTCAGGTGTTACAAAAAGGGTTCTATAGTTATATGGATAATGAATATAATGATTTCAAGAAAAAACTGATTTCAAATATTCCATTTATTCCTGTTGCTAGAGTTGAATGTACTTTCAAGAAAGAATTGAAATTATTTGAATCTTATGAAGTTGTTTCAAGAATTGGTGCTTGGGATGATAAATGGTTATACGTTATTTCCAAATTTGTTAAATCTCACGGTAAAGGTAAAAGGGTAGTATGTATAGCTATTACCAGATATGTCTTTAAAACCGGGAGAATGACAATTCCGCCTAAAACTATGGTTGAAAGAAGTGGATTGTTAACCAAAGAGGCCGAAGCTCAAAATGAAGAATACTTAAAATTATTCACTCATTATGCTTCCACTGAACAATTCGAAGAATTGGTAGATACTTTTTAGATACTTTTTAGATATTTATATGAACATTAATATTAAATACGTAATTCTGAATCATTTAATGATTCCTTTGTAAGTCAATTTCATGGAATAATTCTTGTGGATTGACAGCATTCATCATTTCTCTTTCACCAATTCTCTCATTAACAACATTATCTTTTCTTCTAAATAATAAGAAGTATGGAATAATATATAACAAACTCAATAAAGTCATCGAACCTAAAGCACAAGCCAATGAGATTCCTACAACCTTACCTTTTGATAAAACAGATTTTTTAGATTTAATATCTTCAGAAGATAATAATCTGAATTCATCTTTGATAAGTATAGAATTAATGGTTCCCAAATTACCATTAGATGTGGAATAAACCCATGGGTACCATTTTGATCCATCAAAGATAGCTAAATTAACTAATCCATAAGTATCCAAATTCAATTGACCACTAACTAATAATACATTATCTTTACCGAAATATTTATCATTACCAGATTTTTCACTGGAGATTAATTTCATGTCTTTGATATCACCGGAGATTCCATTGATATTTGACCATTTAGATCCATCAAAACCAATAATGAAATCTTTACCATATGCTAATAATTTCCCTTTCAAATCTCCAATATTATCATTATTGTCATCACTAATAAGTACTTTGGAGAAACTGGTGGAATTGCTTGGAACATCATTCAAATTATCAACGGTTTTGAACTTATCATTCTTTATATCATAAGTTATGAAGTTGATATCACCATCATAAGTCAAATCTCCAGCAATCAAGATTTCATTGGTTTTTATAAACATTAAATCTTTGATATTACCACCTAATCCAGATGTTGGACTTTCCCATCTGGTATTGTCGATATCATAAATACATAAAGTTGAACAATCTAATGATCCAGCATTTTCGAAATTTCCTCCAACTAATAATTTATTGCCTTCATTATACAAAACAATACTATTGATTTCTAGTTGTTTGGAAGTACTTAAGTCTGCTGGTTGGAAACTTGAAACAGTGTTATTCTTTAAATCATAGATGATAACTCCTCCTTTCAAATCATCTCCATTCACTTCAACTGATCCATTATACCCTATGACCAAATACTCATCATTGGAATCTACATATAATGTTTGGATAACACTTTCATCATCGAACTTGATATTGTCAATTCCTTGTATAGTATTGTTCTTGAGGAATCCAATATTACTGAAAGTAGTGGATGATTGGTTAAATTCAAATTTCCCTCCAATCACACTGACTGAACTATTTATATAATAAGATTGTAAGATTTCACCAGAAATGTTGAAATCGTTTTGTGTGAAATTACCAGTTTTGTTGATGAAAGCAATATCATTAATGGATATATCAGAAATTTCAAATGAAGTACCGGAAATGATCTGTTGATTATTTGGTAAGTTAAGAACTTGGGTGACATTCAATTGATCCTTTTCATCAGCGAATTTTTTGTTAGTGTTATCCCAAGTTTTTGAATAACCCGAGGAAGATGATGAGAAGACAAAATATTCAATATCCTTAATAGTGACATTAGTGAAAGTATCAAAGTCTTCATCGATGAAATCATTATCAAAAGCATAAAGCTTAGAATCCTCATAACTAACGAAATTGTTACCTGAAGAAATCGATTTATTATCATTGGATAAGTTTAATAAATCGTCAGTTACTTGGAATTTACCCAATAAGATACGAGAATCATAATAATTACTTATCTTGGTAATGGAAGTATTGAAATCACCACCGAAAATATCTTCTCTTTTCATCAAATCTGATCTTTTAGCCAAACTAACTACTGATGAGTTTGAAGTATTGTTATAGTCATCAATATTCAAATTTATGACATTGGAATTAGCTGAATCAAAATCACCTAAAATGATCAAAGAATCATTATCCAAGTTGAATTGAGTGATACTTCCATTCAATTGAGAACTTAAGGCATTAATGGATGAATTACCAACATAAGTGTTGGTCTTTAAGATCATTTTATCATCATCAGTACCATTAAATACTCTGTTTATATCAAAATTTGAGAAATTTGATAAGGAATATTCAAATAAACCATTTAATTTGATTTCTGTGATATTATCTTTAGATGAATGGCTATTTCTGGTATGATTGGTGGAATTTTGATCATAATAACTATCCAATTCAACAATATTGGCTTTGATTTTATCAATAACAATCATTTGATCGGACCCAGCAATTGCTGTATCATATTCAATTTCAACTCTGTTTTGTCCATCTGATAAGGTTGACCCATCTAAATGACCATAGAATAAATAATCAAATTTATCATAATCATTATTTTGCCATATTTGATTAGTAGATAAAACATTAGATTCAGTATCAAAAACTGTCACGTTAACAATAGATCTAGATTCACATGAATTATCTTGAATACAACCTGGGGTTAACATTATGATGGAATAGTCTCCGGAATATGTAATATTTGGATACATAGTAACTTTACCACCATTACTAGAAACCATATAACCAGAATCAACTGATGGATTTATAGTTGAAATATCTTTAAAATCCCCCGAATTGATTTCCACTAAATTGTTTGTATCACCATTTTCTTTATCACAATTTGGTTCATTTAAAGTTTCATTACCATAAACTACTATAGAATTAGAATATAATTCAAATCCTCCCAAAGATCCTTTACTTCCATACCATGAAATCACAGTTATACCAATTTTATCAATGGCCACTTCGTTTTCAAATGCAAATTCTTGGAAGTTATTAGCATAGGTTAAAGTTTTGGTTTTAGTAGATGGTTCATAATAAGTAGAATAACTACCATCTTGTTCATCAATAAAGATTTCCATATCATCATCAAATGAATCCATTAAATCTTCATAATTATCGATGTTTTCACTAGTAGCTTTCTTCAAATCATCTAATGTTGATAATGGGCACCAAGCATCACAATATTTAAGTTCATTGGTAGTAGGATCAACATATGTTAAATTCATTATACCATTATTTGGGTAAGAATAGATTCTGAATAATTTAATAGAATCATCACCTTCAGGTATATATAATCTTGCCTTGGTAGGAGTAAGACCTTTCATTTGATTAGGTAATTCCACCAACCATTGTCCACCTGAATTACTTTGAGGTGACCATTGACTGGAAGTTGAAGGACATATCAATTTTGAAGGATCTGATCCATCTCCATTGACATCAGTGAATATTCCATGCTTTAAAGAAAGGATTTGTTCTGCTGTTATTAATGATGTATTGGTAGTATTAGTATTATTAGTTGAATTTGAAAACCAAGTTAAATTGGTCTGTAATAACTCAGGTATACCTAAAGTATCAAACTTTCCTCCAAATATTATGGATCCTGAATCTTTATGGTCATCATCAAACACTTTAGTAATGGCATTAACTAAAGAATTATTTCCAAACCCTTTAAATGGAGTTTCTATTATTTCTTTGGATGTTTGGTTATATATGACAATTGATGATGAATTATTATAAGTGAAATCTCCCCCAATATAAATCAAATCTCCATCAATGAATGTGGTTTTAACTTCACCATCTAATTTAGGTAAATCTTCTCTTTTAGAATTCGATGAGGTGGTAAATATACTGGTGATCTCTTCACTGGTGATATTATAAATTATAGGTGGTTGACATGATTCATCATTGAAATCAGTGAAGTTCCCATTTATTAATATGGTATCATCACTTAATAACTGTAAATTAGATATCTGGCCATTGGTGTTGGCAAATAACCTCGCATGATTAGTATCTCGTATGAATAATTTCCCTTCATTATTATCATTTTGTTCATCATTACTGGAGTTCGTCGACAAACCTTGTGTATCATTGATATTATTATAATATGATAATGAATCAAAATTACCCAATATACCTAATTGGTTACCGAAGTCTTGATAATTCAAAGAAGGACGATCAATATCCCCTAAAACTGATTTAAGGAACAACCATCCAATCGAATGTCGAAAATCTACCTTCATGTTATGACTGGGTTATTAAGAAACTATGAATTGAATAAAATGAAAGATTAAAAAAAAAGTAGACTCTCTATAAATAAATCAAACGAAAGGCTTTAACTGATTCTAGATCTAGTAATGGATGAAAACTAGCAATATAAGGAACTAGCAATATGAGGAAACCAGTATTACGAGTAAACTTAATGAGCCAGTGTAGTTAAGAAGTATTAACCTAACAAATCTAACAATTCGATGTTTTCCAGAAGGTACAAAATTAAATTTAAAAAATCTGTTGATTGTTTTTCTTTCGCATTGACGACTTTTTTAAATTGGAATGAAGAGATTTCCAAACTGTACGACAAAGTCAGATAGAGGACACGTAATTATGAGGTTAATTAGGCTAAAGAGGATAGAGTTAGAAGAAATTGATGAATAAAGTTCTGGAGGTCAATATGTGAAACAGGTTCATTGAACTGGGTGGAATAATGAGATTTCATCCAAAAGGAGGAATGGTTTGAAGCATACGTTAATGAATATTTTCTAGGTATAATTGAAGTTATTACCGTTTGTAACAACAACTTGATCATTTCATTGGATAGTTAGCTAGGAATTTGGTTTCAGAAGAAAATATCTCTGTTTACCAATTGTCTATTTTAGGAAATATTGATTTGAGAATTTGCAGCCATTGTATTTTATTGTGAGTTAAGGTAATAGGTTTGTTGGTTGAGTGGTGATGTATCGTATAGGATAAGGTACGTTATTGTGAAGAAGAAGATGCTTGATTTTAGAAGGATAGGGGTTGGGAATAAATATTGGGGAAATAGGTGTTTTGAGGCATTTGATTGCGTTCCTCGTCTAATTACATGTTAGAATGTAAGACATCTATAAATCCGGTCACATGAAATAAGAACATGCAGATCACATGGAGGTAGCACATGCAGATCATGTGAGTCGATCAAGTTGAAGAAGTTTCAACGTACACATGATTAGGGTGATATCTCTCTTCTGTTGGTTGTAACATGTGTTTGTTGTGAAATACTTTATTCTAGTGACATTATAGTTTACAAGGATAGTGGAGACCGGTATTTAGAAAACAGGCCCATGATATGTTTGAGTTCTTATGAATTGACACACGATTCACCATCCCAAAGTCCAATTCGCTTCCCAAAACATCTATTCAACCTCATAGTCTGTGATCTCAATCTCTTGTCTCTCTCAATATCTCACTCTGATATCTCACAGTGAGGAATTCGCGAATCATTTATGGATTATCCTAAAGGTTCAGACCCTTATACGGCAAGGCAATACCTACTTCATCATCTATATTCTCCATTAATATCGGTAGAATCATCTCCTAATTCAGATGTTATCTTACAATCAATCCTTAATGATAATGATATCTCCATGTTATCGATATTGAAACCTTATGGTAATAATGTGAAGTATTCTATACAAAATCAATTCTTTAAATTAACCAATAATCAGTTAATCACCAAGAATTATCCCAGTTTTCCTATCAGATTTGAACCTTCATTGCCCGACTTGTTATCAATAAATTCCGATTTATCTAAGAGTTCAAAATCCAATTCATTGCATCAATTATTTAGCATTTCATCTTTGGAATTATTATTAAAGAAAATTTATCCAGAAAATGATGATTTATATTTAACTTTCTTCAATAAGATCATAACTTCCAACTTAATAACACCATTTGAAACATTCAATCATCCAATTTCCCAAATATTCATCATAAATTATAATAACGATTCTATCGACTTTTTAAGATCAAAGATTGTTGAATTCAGAAACTATAATTTCCCAAAATATTTCCAAATTGATGATTTACTTATTCATGTTTTTGTATTATATGACACCACAGTAACGGATGAAGATGAAATATTACAATTCCAAAATTTAATTAAACAAAAGTTATCAGTTTCCTCAACTATAATTCCTATAATTTTCGAAAAAGAAGGAGAGGAAGAATTTGTTGAAATATTGAAGAATGAAAATTCAACTATTGATGAAGAATTACAAAGAATTTCATTACAAAAAGATCAACCTTTCGAAAAATATTTCAAAATACCCAAGAAGCTTGATTTTCAATTCAAATCCAAAATATTTGAATTCATATCTCAATATTTGATACCTCATATGGAGAGAAATATCAGGATTTGGGATGATCAGATTTTAGCACCTAGAAGATCCATTGCATCGAGATTCTTTTCAGTATCTAAGAAATTATTTAATAACAATAATAATGAAAATACTTCTCAATTCAATTTCCAAGACAATTATTATCACAAATCATCACCAGAACAAATAATAAGGAAATTGGCCGATTGGAGTTTAATCTTAAAAGATTTCAAATATAGTTATTCGGTTTACGATTTCATAAAGAAAGATTATACCAATGATAAAGCGTGGATTTATGTTGCTTCAACTCAAGAAATGTGCATGGTATCATTATTATTGGTACAAACTCAATTACCCAATACTCAACCCATTGACAAGAACACTTTAAGAAAGATCAGACATGATATTGTTGAGCCAAGTTTAGATAACTTATCATATACTTATAAATCCCGATTGAATCTCAAGACTTATAGTTTAAGAACTCACTTAGTGGTGATAGAATTACTTTTATGCATGTGTTTGACCTATAACATGTCATGGTGGTGGCAGGATCTCATTGAAAAGTATTTACTCAAAGTATTAGGTGAGTTTGATAACCATTTAGTATCGTCAAATCAATCTCTGCAAGTGATAAAGGCTATCTTGTTAGAAAGATTAGGTTACAGTTTTGGGAAGTTTCAATCTACTGATAAATTTATAGATTATGAACAATTAAAAGTACAATCTCAAGATGATGCACAAGAAGAAGGATTATATGAAAATGAAAAGAAATTATTACCACGAATTGATGCTGCTAGTTACGGATTCAACAGATATAGGAAATCATCATTGTGGTACCTTTTATCCATTAAGGAATGGGAAAACTTGGGTAATCTTGAACACATCAAGTTTTTATTGACCAATATCACCGAAACATATGATCTAGAATCCAAAGACAATTGGTATGATAGAAAAGATTTATTGTTAGGGTCCATAAAGCATAGAGTAGAATAAATATTAATTTCGCAATTTCTCATCTCATCGATGTCTTTTAGAAAACGAAGTGAAGTGATAAACCCTGGAGGGACTATTCCCAATAGAATCCCTAGTATTCCTGGCAGGGCCCCACCACCAGGAGTTCCAAATGGTGCTATGAGAGGTATACCAGGAAGAACCCTCAATGCAAAACCTAAAGAAGAAGTGGACTTGAAATCTAATCCTGGTATTAGATCATCAATCATTACTTCCCAACCTACTATTTCCACCGGAACTTCTGATTTAGATAAATTATTAGGTCATCAAGGATTGCCTTTAGGGAACTCTCTTCTTTTAGAAGAAAGTGGTACCACAGATTTCTCATCAATCTTAGCAAGGGTATTTGCGTCTCAAGGTATAATGCATAATAGAATAGATAAATCATCAAATTGTCATGTTATAGTGATTGGATTGAACTCTTCGTGGTCAAAGGATTTACCAGGGGTTTACAAAGGTTCCAGTAAAGACAAGAAAAAGGCAGCCATCAAAGAAAAGGAATCAGCCATTAGTGTTTCAAATTTATCTCAATCATCATCCACTCGTGATCAGGATTTAAGAATTGCTTGGAGATATGGATTGAACAAAAAGAATGAAGATGAAGATTCAAGCGAAGAAGTTAATGAAAATTACACTCATCAATTTGATATCACTGAAAGATTAAGACCAGTGCCTGATAATCAAGAAATCACTTTCGTTCAAGTTTCTGAATATAAGAAGATGTTAGCACAAATCAATGATATCGTCAAATTACACTTATCAAAGAACCCCAGCAAAACCATAAGGATTTTAGTTCCAAATTTGTTAAGTCCTTCGATATATCCATCTACTTTTTCAAAATCATCTATCGTTATTCCTTTCATCCATGGTATGAGATCTATTTTAAAATCCAATTCTTCCAATATATCACTAGTTTATTCTATTCCAACGGATTTATACCCTAAGACATCCAATTTAATATCCATAATCGAACAATTATCCGATTCTGTATTACAATTGCATCCATTCCATCAAAAATTATCAGAATTAATTGAAAAATCTTATAAGAACGAACCATCCAAAGTACAACATGGATTTTTGAATATCGTCAAATTACCCATTCTTTCTGAAAGAGGAATGATGACCATCCATAATAATGAATATGCCTTCAAAAATGGCCGTAAACGATTCGAAATCGAACCTTGGGGTATCCCTGTAGAGGTTGATGATGAAAAGCCTAAAGATGATCATGATCATTCTCATCAATCTTCTAAAAATATAGAATTCTAAATACGAATAATGATATTACCTACTAATACTACAAAAGTTCCCCTATTTATCTATTTTACTCAAGATATAATCCAATTTCTCCATTATATCTACTTGAGTTTTTTGAATCTTCTTGATCTCTTCCATCACACTTTCACCATCAATCTCAGTTCTAGCGATTTTGGGTTTAGGACTTGTAATGGTGGACTTTTCCAAATATTCCACATCTGTGTTAAATTTCACCATTTTAGGTTTGTTGCTGTTTATATCTAACTTAGCATTTAACTCTTCTCTGTCTCTTTTCAACTTTCTTGCATGTTCCAATTCAATTTCATGTATTTGAGCTCTTCTAACAGGTGAGCCACTTCTTCTTATTGGGGAAAAGCCTTTAGTGGGACTGGTTTTATTTAATCTGCTGGCACTACTGGGCTTTAACAGGTCAACATCTGGGGCCAGTCTATTCATGATCTCAAAATAAACAATCGCGATAGCTGCAAAAAGTAGCAGATTCAAGTGAAGATGAGGAAGGACAAAACAATGTCAGCGAAAGAGAGACAGAACGACCCAGAAGTTGCGAGTTTGGTCATTGAGTGTTTCTTCAGAGGGTTCGAAAGTTGTGTCACTCTACAGACATATTTTTGATTACCATATTAGCCAAATTGTTGTAGTCATTCCGATTGATCAAATCCCCAACATCTTTTCCTCCCATTCAGCCCATAATTTACTCTGAAATCCCCCCCCCCCCCCCCATAACATTTCCCACAAAAACAACCCTCCACGAAACACTAATAAACCACCTCTTTACCTTTCTTATCAAGTCGTCCCTCCACCGGTCGTCCCCCACCCCAAACCAATTAAACCATTTTAGGAAAATTAATAAGACGCGTAGTTTTTCAAATTTGTGAGTTTTATAAATTTAATTTCTTTCACTATCTGTAGTATAAGATGTCATCATCACCAATTCGTAATACAGAGTCCAATCCAAGAGATTCTAATTCTCAGAGTCAAAGTCAAAGTCAGACACAAAATGATCCAGTCCCTTCATCACCATTATTTTTCCATTCATCATCTTCACAAATTCATTCTGATGCTAACCAAAGACCTGGATCTCAAATAAGAAGTAGTCAAATCAATGATATCTCGTCACCATTACGTTATTCATCATCTACAGGTCACCAAACTTCTGATAATAGAATTACCAGTGATGTTGATAGAATTGTTAGAAGACATCAAAGAAGTGATATTCAAGATAGTATGTCATCACCTATGAGAAGACGTACTTTTATTGAAAGTGAATTGAACAGCCAAAGATCTTCACAACCTGCTAATCCTAACGATTCTTCATCAAACCCAAATTCCGATATTAATATTGATGATGAACCTTCTAAAGTTATTTGGGGTACTAATGTTTCCATTCAAGATTGTACAAATGTTTTCAGAGATTTCATTATGTCTTTCAAAATGAAATATAGAAAATTACAAGAGAATTTACCTATTGACGAAACCATTGATAATGAATTATTCTTTGTTCAACAATTAAATACTATGAGAGAATTAGGTTTAACTAATTTAAATTTAGATGCTAAAAATTTGTTAGCCTTTTCTCCCACAAAGAAATTATATTATCAATTGTTAAATTATCCACAAGAAGTTATCCCAATCATGGATCAAACCATCAAAGATTGTATGGTTTCCTTGGTTATGGATGATAATGGGTTTGATACTACTGGTACTAATATCGATGATATAGAAACTAACATTTACACTGTTAGACCTTATAATATCAACATTGTTGAAAAGGGAATGAGAGATTTGAATCCTAATGATATTGATAAATTAGTTAGTGTTAAAGGTTTAGTATTAAGAAGTACTGCTGTTATACCTGATATGAAAGTAGCATTTTTCAAATGTAATGCTTGTGATCATACTATTTCTGTCGAAATTGATAGAGGTGTCATTTCTGAACCATCTAAATGTCCAAGACAAGTTTGTGGTCAATCCAATTCTATGTCAATTATTCATAACAGATCAAGTTTTGCTAACAAACAAGTAATTAAATTACAAGAAACTCCCGATTTAGTTCCTGATGGTCAAACCCCTCATTCTATTAATTTATGTGTTTATGATGATTTAGTTGATTGTTGTAGAGCTGGTGATAGAATTGAAGTTTGTGGTATTTTCAGATCATTACCTGTTAGACAAAATTCTAGAATGAGAGCAGTTAAGAACTTATATAAAACTTATTTGGATATTGTTCACATCAAAAAAATTGATAAAAAGAGATTGGGTAATGATACTTCAACTTTGAATCAAGAAGCTACTGAAAAGGAACAAGAATTTGAACAAATTAGAAAAATTTCTAATGATGATATCGAAAAAATCAAGGAAATCAGTGAACGTGATGATTTATATGAAGTTTTAGCCAGATCTTTAGCTCCATCTATTTATGAAATGGATGATGTTAAGAAAGGGGTTTTATTACAATTATTTGGTGGTACCAACAAAACCTTCAAAAAAGGTGGTAGATATAGAGGTGATGTTAATATCTTATTATGTGGAGATCCATCTACTTCAAAGTCCCAATTATTACAATATGTTCATAGAATTGCTCCTAGAGGTATTTATACTTCAGGTAAAGGTTCATCAGCTGTTGGTTTAACTGCTTATATCACTAGAGATATCGATACTAAACAATTAGTTTTAGAAAGTGGTGCTTTAGTATTATCTGATGGAGGTATTTGTTGTATTGATGAATTTGATAAAATGTCTGATGCTACAAGATCAGTTTTACATGAAGTTATGGAACAACAAACCATTTCTGTAGCTAAAGCTGGTATTATTACTACTTTAAATGCTAGAACATCTATTTTAGCATCTGCTAATCCAATTAATTCAAGATATGATCCAAATTTACCTGTTACTTCAAATATCGATTTACCACCTCCTTTATTATCAAGATTTGATTTGGTTTATTTGATGTTAGATAAAGTTGATGAAAAAATTGATAGACAATTAGCTAGACATTTAACTGATATGTATTTAGAAGATTTACCTGAAAAAGTTACTTCAAATTTTGTTTTACCAGTTGAATTTTTAACTTTATATATCCAATATGCCAAAGAAAATGTTCATCCTGTAATGACTGAAGAAGGTAAAACTGAATTAGTTAAGAATTATGTTGAAATGAGAAAATTAGGTGATGATAGTAGATCTTCAGAAAGAAGAGTTACTGCTACTACCAGACAATTGGAAAGTATGATTAGATTATCTGAAGCACACGCAAAGATGAGATTATCACCAAAAGTTGAATTAATTGATGTTAAAGAAGCTGTAAGACTAATTAAATCTGCTATTAAAGATTATGCTACCGATCCAATCACTGGTAGAATCGATATGGATATGATCCAAACTGGTACCACATCAGCTCAAAGAAGATTACAAGAAGATTTAAGTAATCAATTGCTCTCTATTTTGGATGAAAATAATAATGTTATAAGATTTAATGAGTTAGCTATAAAGTTGAATGAAAAATCATCGGTAAGAGTTGAAAATAATGATATTCATGAAGCTTTGAAGAGATTACAACAAGAAGGTAAGATTGTAGAAACTGGTGATAATCATAGGAAAACTATTAGAAAAGTAACTGTTATTTAATAGTTCGATTTGGGGTATATGTATTTTAGTATTGTTTTAATATATAATTTTGATGATATGTTTTATAAGTAGGTCGAAGGTTGAGCTTTGGTTACAGGTGCATGTTCTTGTGGTTCATCAGCTAATTGTAGGAATTCATTAAGTTTTTCATCAAAATCTATTTCAGTTTCTTTAGTGGTGGGTATTCTTGATAATAACGTTAATTCTTGCTGTAAGTCAACTTTCTCTCCTTTCTCTAATTTAATCAATATTTCACTTAATAATGACATTTTCACTTTGTGATTCGCTTTCAAAGCATCAAGTTGTTTCCTTCTATCCATCATATTCCCTACTACTGATGTTAAGATCATTACAAGAAAAATTGATTTAGTTGTTGATGATCTCAAAAGTTCTCTCACAGTTCCTATTTTTTTCACTTCATGAGCTGCTGTAGTTGAATGGAAACGTATAAACGAGCGAGATAATGGAAATAATCGGCTCATTATTACTCCTTCTTAAGATTATTAGAATAAAGTTGAAGATTGTGATAAGTCGCACTTTTGTCACTTGTTGATTATGAAGGTACCAAAGGTAACAGGGATATTTTTGGTGGCATTAACGTCAATATCTGTGCTCAATTTCTTATTGAAGTATTATACCTATTTTTTACTCATGGTATCTTCATCAAAGAATTCTGCTCATGATGTTAATAATATAGCAGAAGAAACAGGTGAAATACCACACCCTCATGAATTATACGTACCTTTATTAACATTTATACCCACAAAATCACCGGTATTATCTAGACCTTGGGTTTTGGTGACGTCCAGTTTTGTAGAAGAGAATTTTTTAGGATTATCAATGAGTGTTTTAACAATATTTTATCTAGGGAAATACTTAGAAAATATGTGGGGTGGGAAAGATTTCACTAGATTTTTAATAGCTAATTTACTTATCGGAAATGTGACCATGTACTTATATTTCAAAGTTCTTCATATCATAGTAGATTTCAAAGAAGTTCCACCGGTTGTAGAAACTCCTATGGCTATAATAATGGGACTTTTTGTTGCTTTGAAACAAAGGATCCTGCAACATTATTTCTTATTTTTCAAGGGTTATTTAAGAATTAAAGTCAACTATTTACCATTTTTGATCATTACCAGTTTTTTCATCTTACAACTCATTAGTGAAGAATTCAGAATTTCCTTTGATTTATCAATAATTGGATTTATTACCAGTTGGATTTATCTTCGAATGTTTAAAGAAGGTACAAATGAAAGACAATCATATTTATTACCATTTTCACTTAGTCGTAAAAGATCTAATAAAGTTAAAAAAGTGAAGAGATCAACTACTATCGACTCAAATACTACCAGTGCCAATAGTAGTCACATAGATTTGGACCAAACATCAAGCTTGCATATAGAAACAACTACCATCAAAGGTGACAGAAGTGAACAATTTGCATTATATACTTTCTTTCCTTCGCCTTTATCGTTCATTGTTAAGATTATATCGAATTCAATATTCACATTATTATGTAAATACCATTTTTTGGATCATAAAGATTTCCTTACCGAAGATATAGATGATGATCAGTATATGTTTGAAGATATGGATAATCTACAATCGAAATTATTTGGATTATCAACATTAAATGGAGCTCAAAATGTCTCACCCATTGGTAAGACTAATTCAAAAATTACTGATTTATGGAACTGGTTGACTAATAAAACTATAAAGAAGTCCATAAACTCAAGTATGGAAAAGAGAAGGAAACAAGCATTAAAACAATTTGAATAAATATTCACTTATCTCTGATTTTCTTTTCCGCACTACTCAATCATTTATTGTACAAACTAAATGGGAGCACTTATATCTTTACCATTAGCTGGATCCACAGCTATAATATCGTCTATAAGTTCATGTGTGGGAGCAGCAGCATGTTCAGCGTTTTGCTCATCTATTGGAGGAACTTTCCAATCGTCAATTATGACAAGAATTACCTATGCATTTTTATTATTATTTAATTGTTTAATATCTTGGATAGCATTATCACCATTTATAGTTCGGAAATTGGAGAAAGCAACGTTCGGATTCATCAATAGTAACTGTGGAGATGGTGGGAATTGTGTTAGTTTTGCATCAGTTCACAGAATAAATTTCGCTTTAGGTGTACTTCATTTAATCTTAGCAGGGTTATTGATTAATGTCAATTCAACATTAAACCCCAGGGCGGCTTTACAGAATGGATGGTGGAAATTCAAAATCTTCCTTTATTTTGTATTATTACTGGTCAATTTCTTATTAATACCCGATGGGTTCTTTGTTTTCTATGGAAATCACATATCAATAATTTTTTCAACCATATTTATTGGTATTGGATTGGTACTTTTGGTGGATTTTGCTCATGCTTGGGCTGAGACGTGTCTTGAAAAGATAGAATTAGAAGAATTAACCGGGGATAGTGAATATAATGCTGGTTTCTGGAAGAAATTATTGATTGGTGGTACTTTAATCATGTACATTTCAAGTATTGTTTTAATTATCCTTATGTATGTTTTCTTTGCCGGTAAAGGTTGTGGAATGAATAAAACAGCCATCACTATGAATTTGATTTTCAGCTTGATTATTTCAGCCATGTCTATCAATCAAAATATCCAAGAATCTAATCCAAATGCTGGATTAGCTCAAAGTTCAATGGTAGTTTTGTATTGTACTTATTTAGTCATGAGTGCCGTAGCATCTGAACCTGATGATAAAATGTGTAATCCTTTAGTCAGATCCAAAGGAACTAGAACCGCAAGTATCGTCTTAGGAGCATTTTTCACTTTCATAGCTGTAGCTTATACTACAACCAGAGCAGCTGCTAATTCAGCATTTTATGGTGATGAACATGATAGTACTGAATTAAATTCATCAACCAACGGATTTATTTCATCGGAATCTCAAGTTAATAGAAATGAAATGAGATATCAAGCTATCAAACAAGCTGTTGATGAAGGTTCATTACCAGAGAGTGCTTTAAATCAATTATCCTTATACGATGATGAAAATATCAATAATGATGAAGAGAGATCCAGTGTTAAGTATAATTATTCATTATTCCATATAATTTTCTTCTTAGCCACTCAATACGTTGCTACTTTATTAACCATTAATGTTCAACCTGATGAAGTTGGAGATTTTGTCCCTGTTGGTAGAACATATTTTTCATCATGGGTTAAAATTATAAGTTCATGGGTTTGTTTTGTTCTTTATGGTTGGAGTTTAGTGGCACCAGTTATTTGGCCCGATAGATTCGGAGTTACTTTATAGTATTAATGTTATATGATTATTAGGTAAAAACTATCCAGACGCGCACCCAAATTGGTTACCAAATCGGGAAATCAACAAATGAAGATTTTATTGGTTCAGAAATTAATGCGAAAAGCTTGAAAAGTTTTCAACCTAAACTATGTCTGCTATCATTAATAATATTGCCAATAAAACTGTTTATTGGAGTAAAGTTGGTTTAGAAGTTGCCAAAATTGTTTACAAAAAGGAATTCCAACCTCCAACCACTGAACAATTCAAAACCGTCTACAACAGTGCTTTCAAATTTATTCAAACCCCAACCTTACAAAAACAATTCATTAAAGATGTTGCTCAAATTCAACCAACTAAAGAAAATGCTTTCAAATATGGTTTCTACGGTATTCAATTATTAGCTTTCTTTTCAATTGGTGAAGCTATAGGTAGAAGAAATTTAACTGGATACCCAACTCCAGAAGGTGAACATCATTAAATTATACTAGAAATAGATGAAAAATTAGGAATATAAATATTCATGTTAGGAGTCGTTAAATTCTATAAAGTTTTTAAGAAGAGTTTTCTAAAGCTTTTCTTTTCTTTGAAGCTTCAATCATTTCTTCTCTTTGTTTTCTCTTTTTAGTTACAACTGAAGGTACAGTAGAGATTTTCTTTCTCTTGATTTCGTTATGTTTGATCTTCTTCTTTTCGTTTTTACTTAATTTATCGATATCTTCCATCCAATCAGCATAACCGTCTTTAGATCCTGATTGTTTCATAACGTTAATAATAGGCTTAATTGATTTGTTATCTTCTTTGGTGAAAAATGTAATAGCTTTACCACTTTTACCACCTCTACCAGTTCTACCAATTCTATGAACATAACTTTGAGCAGTTTGAGGTACATCATAATTAATAACTAAATTAACTCCTTTAAAATCAATACCTCTAGCAATAACATCGGTGGTAATTAATACCCAAATATCACCATTTTTGAATCTTTTGATAACTTCATCTCTTTGTTTGGGGGTTTTCTCTGAATGAATTACATCAACATTCAATTTATCATATAATAATTCGTGAAATAATGCTTTAGCCCTTATGATACTTTGTAAGAAGATAATAATAGGAGGTTTAAATTCACCTTCTTGGATCAATTGTCTAATAGATAACAATTTCCCTTCTTCATTACCAGTGAAAATCAATTTTTGTTCAATTTGATTATTAGCAGATTCTTTATGTCCAATAATGGTTCTAATAGGGTTAAACATAATGGTATTGGCAATTTCTTCTACTCCACTTGGAATTGTAGCAGAGAACATCGATTTGGTTAATTTCTTATTAGTTAAAGTGGATAAAATTTGATCAGTTTGATTTAAAAATCCTTGATCAAATAATTTGTCTGCTTCATCAATGACTAAATTTTCAACTTTACTTAAATCAATACTTTCCTTCTTTAAAACATCAATTAATCTTAAAGGTGTAGTAACTATAATATCATATTTCTTGGAATCAGTTTCCTTATTAGATAATTTAGTAGCCAATTGTTTAGATAAGATGGCGATTCTTAAGTTCTTACTTTTACTTAATATTTCTAAATTTTGAAATATTTGGGATGCTAATTCATTAGTTGGTGATATGATTAAACCTCTAATACCATGGTTTTTCTTTGGGTTTGAAATAAGTTTTTGTAAAGTAGGAATCAAATAAGCGAGGGTTTTACCTGAACCTGTTGGTGCACAAGCGATTAAATCACGGTTGTTCAACATGATAGGAATGGATTCACATTGAATGGCAGTTGGCTCAACAAATTCAGATTGAATCAAATTATCTAAAAGTTTCTTATCAAATTTGAATCTGGTAGTTAAATCTTCAAATGATCCAATAGGTAAAGGAATGTCATCACCAGTCACTTTAGACTTATTCATCTTACGAAACTTTGAAGCTTCATCTTCATTAGAAATCTTCAATATTGGTTCTTCTTCCTCTTCCTGTTCTTCAGCTTCAACTTCTTTAACTATGTCTCTTTTCTTAGTTTTAAAGAAATCAGTCTCTTTATCAATTTGATTCTTTAGTATTTCTTCTTTTTGTAATTCTGATTTCTTTTGAGAATCTGAAGGTAATGCATAATCTGTTAATTGTTTAGATTTCTTAATAGAAGCCCCTCTTGACAAAATTCTAAATATATCCATTTTTTCTGTTGTATATCTTCTCTTTCTGTAACTCTTCTCTTGTCTGGGCTGCTCTTCTCTTCTCACTTAAATCTGTGCGAAATCCTTTATACAGTCTGTCAAAAATTTTTCATTTCTCGAACAGTGAGAATTTTTTACTTGACTGAGAGTGGTATCATTGAAAGCTTACTTTAATTATATATTAAACATCATTAATAGAGCATAGTGATATTCCAGTCAGTTAAAGATGATGAAACAATTTATACCACGAAATTTACTCAAGAGTTTCCAAAGAAATATTTACCTACATAGAGGAAGTAGAATAAGTGGATTGAAAAAACATCCTGAAGAAGTTTTCACAAATTATAAAGGAATAAAATATGAAGATATTGATAGCAATACTCAATATATTAATGAATTTTTAACTGATAAATTCAAAATCGATAATAAATTAGCATTACAAGTAATAACTCATAAATCATTCGCTAATGGTATAAAACCCCATAATGAAAAATTAGTTGCCATGGGATCAAGAGTTTTAAATTTATTCTTGGTTAAACATGTTACTAGTCAACAAACCACTAATGAATTAGCTATTAATAATCAAAACTTGGACATCTTGGGTCAACCTTTTTCCAGAGAATTAAGTGGTAGATTATCATTAGGAATCTTTGCCAAAGTAGAAAAATTAAACACTATAATGTTTTGGAATACTTATGAACATGGATTGAGTTTTGAAAATAGTGGAGAATTAAAGGTTAGTGCTAATTTAGTTTATGCTTTAATTGGAGCTATAAATTTTACTCATGGTAAAACAGTAGCTGAAGAATTTATCAAGGAAAAGGTCTTACCTCAAGTTGAAGATATAACAAAGAAGATATTTGACTCCGAGGGTAAGGTTGAATAAATGTATATAGATGTAGATAGTAATAGCATATTAAGAAAGTAGTGTTTCTGGGGCGAAACTCGTAGGCTTAGATAGTAGGAGATTGGTAGGATTAGAGGAGGTATATGTTCAATAGAGTATGTTATCTTCTCATTATCAGACACGTATGATTCATCTACTTAGAGTTGAAAGGGTCGCTGTCTTCTTAGAGTTAGAAGGGTCACTGTCTTCTTATGATTAAATGATCCATATTGTTCATAGTAAAGAGCTCAACTCATATTGTTCTCATTCTCATCTTCACCTATTCACCACCTTAACCTCTTTAATTTAATTCTGCTGATTTACCCGACTAACTTTCAACCTCATCGTCCTTTGTTCACATTCCTTCATTGGTTTGAACCCTCATTCACTTGAAAGAATTTTCGTTCACGTATCGTAAAACAAATAAACAAATCTTGAACAATCACGTTGAATCCTAAACAGGAGGAATAAAGCGCGTTTGAAATAAAATCCACAAAAAATTTTTTGATTCAAAACATAACGATTAATTATTATCCAACTTAATTGGTAAATATTAAGGTTTATAGTGAAAATTAACATCATTGAATTGATAACTATCACCATATATCATAGGTACCATCGAAAAATTTCGAAAGGAATTCAAATCAAATAACATTTAACTTAACCTTTGTGATTTGGTGTACAACATAACCTTTTTAATTGATTCAAATTATATTTTCTAAACCACCAACATCGTGAATCATATAAAGTCAATTCATCATGACGGGTAAATACTTAGATCACCATTATAAAGTATTGAAACAATTTTTGGATATTTCAGATGATCCAGTTTCCAGGAATAAACCTTTATCTGCTAGAGCTACCAGTGCTAGAGAAAAATTATTAAACTTATCAGAAGCTCAATTCAGAGAATTAAGTACTGATGTTTATGATGAATTAAGAAGAAGAATTGATGAATCCAGAAAAGATCCTGGTTATTTATTACCTGAAGCATCATTTCATCCAAAAAGAAATCAAGCTAGAAAGAAATTATCATCATTACCACAGAATAGATTTAAAGGATTAGTTAATGATGTTAGTTATGAAATTGAAAGAAGAGGTTTACATATTATTCCTGAAGATGAAAAAGTTGAAATGAGTAATAACAATAGTATAAAGTCATCAATTAAATCACCCAATTCAATTAAATCTCCTACTTCAGTTAAATCACCAATTTCTGATAAAATTGAAAATTTTGATACAAATGATTTTAATAAATCCCAAAATTCTGATGTTCAAAATCAAACTATGGGTATATCTGCTAAAACCGTAGTACCTACTAAAGCCAATTTAACTTGGTCAAGTGAAGAAGAAGATAATGGAATTGAAGAAGTTGAAGATGACCAAACTTCTCTTAATGGTAAAGAAATATCAAATTCTCAAGATTCTGAATTAATACAAGATTTAAAAGATCAATTGAAATCAAAATCAGAAGAAAATGAACAATTGAAAATTAAGATCGATAGAATTGAAAAAGATTTAAATAATGAATTGGATAAAAATGCCAAATTACTTGATGAAGTTAATTCTTTCAATAATGATAGAGAATTGTCTCAAAATCAAATCAGTAAACATAAAGATGATTATGAATTATTATCAAAAGATGTTGAAAATTTATCAAAAGATGTTGAAAATTTGAAAGCTACAAATGCTCAATTAAGATTAGAAAATCAATCTTTAAAGAATTCTGTCATGAAAGATCATAGAAGAACTATGAGTGGTTCATTATCTAAGGAATTAGATACTAAAGAACCTGAAAATGATACTAAAAGTAATTCTGAGTTAAGTCGAATCTTGGAGAAATTGTCAAGTTTGGATAAACCTCCAGTTGAAAAACAACAATCATCTATTGGTTTAAAGAATGAAGTGGTTAAATGGCAAAAGAAATACGAAGACTTGAATTCCAAGAAACATTATAGTAATTTTTCAAAAGTCACTAATTTATCCAGAACTCAAATAAAATCCTTAGTTTCAAGTAATGGATTGGTTTCAATTGAATTAGTTAACAAATTTCAATCTTTGGTTGAAACATTCTTGCATTTAATTGATGATAAAGATTCCCATAGTGATTTGATTTTTGAAAAAATCTCTCAAGTTTCAATTGTTTCAAATGAAATTGCTAATCAATCAGAATCAAATCAAATCAATAAAAGTCAATATTCCATTAATGTTAGAGATGTTGCTAGTCATGTATTAACCACTACAAGATATTATACCTTATATTCCAATGTTATACCTAAATTCATACTTGAAAGATCAATAAATGAATTAATATTTTCGGTATGTGAATTAATTGGATTTGCTAAAATCAATGATAATGCTGGTGATTTGAATAAATCTTTCAATTTGAACAACGATTCCAATGTAAGTTTAAATGATGAAACTATCAATAATGATAATGATGATACAAATATTGCTGTGAGACCATTAAGAATGGCCAATAAGTTAAAGAATAATACATCTATGGATAGTTTCCATAGCACTAAGGAATTGGCTACTTCTCCAAAAAATTCTAGCATAAATTTATTAAACAATTTAGCAAGTAATGCTCCTGCTAATAATTCATCATCTAGTATTAAAGGATCAAAAATCAATAATTTAACTTCTAAATTTGAAAAATCAAGTGATGATCTTTTGAATGATAAAATTCCAACTTCATCACCAAAATCAACTCCAACAAAGTCTAATATCTTGGATAGAGTTAAACATTTTGAAAGTCCCCCACCGGAAATCTCCAATAAGAAAGTTCATAGTCCACCTGAAAATGAATCCACTTCAAATAGTTTCATTTTGAATAGATCTTCCTTAGAGATAAAGAAGTCTCCTGTTCTCCAAAAAGATAGAAGTTTTGATGCCGGGAAGTCTGATAAATCTTTTGATAAATCTTTTGATAAATCTTTTGATAAGTCTACAGATAAATCCAAAATTGGAACTGGTATTGCTACTGCTGCTGTTGCTGGGGTTGCTGGGGCTGGTGCAGCTGTTGCTGGTAAGAAAGGAATTTTCCAAAGTATCAGAGACAAATTCAATGGAGATGATGATTCAGATTTAAAGCAAGATGTTTCCAATGAGGAAATTACTTCTACTGCTGATTCAACTCCTCCTACTAAGGATATCAATAGCTTTGAAGATTCTCCAAGTAAACCACCAAAAGCTGTTAATGGAAAAGCTGATGATTTCGATACAGATTTTGACGAGGTGAGAGAGAAAAGAGAGAGTAGAGAAATCATTTCCAGAACTAGAAATTCCATTAAAGAGTCTAAAAATTTAATCAAAGAATCTAAAGATTTATTAAATAAATCTAAATCCAAAAAAGTTAATTTCTCCAATAACGATGAAAATATCGAAAGTTTAAATTCATTGAATGGGTACAATGATACCCCAGAATCTTCAAAAGTTCAAACCGAAAAGGTTCAACCTGGAAAGGTTCAAATTGAAAAACCTGCAGTCAAAGAAATTCCGAAACCTGCTTCAAAACCTCAAACTGAAGAACCTGAAGATGATGAAAAGACAGCTAAAGCCAGACAAATGCAAGAATATCGAAAATCAATGGCTGCTGCTACTTTCAATGTTGATTTGTTCGATATTGATGATCCAGATAATACCTTAACTCAAGTTTTATTATATTTAGAACATCAAACTGTTGAAGTTATTTCAACAATTCATCTGTTATTGAATACCATCCGAAAACCTAATTCAACTAGAGGTGATTTGAAAGAAAAATCCCAAGCTATTGCTGAAGTAATTTCCCAAATGACAGAAGCTACTAATACTTCCATGAATCAAACAAGAAATGCTCAATTGAAAGAACATGGAAGTTGGATCGTTAAATCTTTAGAAGATTGTTATCATCGTATGAATATCTTATGTAAACCATCAGGTGATAAGAAAGATTCAGAATTTGCTGATAGTTCTTATAAACAAAGATTAGCAGGTATAACTTTCGATATAACTAAATGTACCAAAGAGTTGGTTAAAACTGTTGAAGAAGCAAGCTTAAAAGAAGATATTGCAAACTTAGATGCTAGATTAAGTCATGATGACTTACTTTAGTAACTTTGATTATGACGTAGACCTACGTTTTCGTGTATTAATATATTGTATTATTTCCCTATTTTACAAATTTGTTTAAGAAATCCTGATGAAACTTTGAATCAATGGAATTGTTGGTATAATCATCTTGAACTTTTGGCTTTTTGAACTTTGATTTCCTCCATGATTTCTTTTGTGGTTGTTGAGGTTCAGGTTCAGGTTGAAGTTCAGGTTTCTGAAGATTTTCAAGTTCCTTAAGTAACTCTGCTTCATCTTCGCTATCGTTATCCAGACTTTCACCTTCACTGATTTCTTTTGTTAGGTTATCTTTGATCGTCTGTGGTTGTGACTCTTTAGATTCCTCCTTGTGTGATTCTTTTATTTTCTCTGATTTCTCCTTCAACTTCTTTGGTTCATCTTTATCATTCTCTATGATGATCTTCTTTATCTCATCCGTCTCATCATTCTCATCATCCTTTGCCTCATTTTCACTGACCTCAAACACTTGATCATGACGATATTTGAGTCCCATCTGTTGCTTCATACCCCGGGCATGAGCTATACTCCCACTGATATCCCTCTTTATCCCCTTCTTCGTTTCTAATCTTGGTCGGTGATTTGTTGACATTACTTATTTGGGTGCGAAATTCTAGAGAAACTATATTTTATTTATTCATCATCTGAGTCTATCTCGTCTACTTGATTTATATCTTCTTGACTGATTTTTTCCGGCATCAATTCACTCATAACGGGACCACCAAACTGATCAATCAATTGACTAACAGCTACCAGTAGTTCTTGGTCCAAATCTTGTTGAGTTTGTATAATCTTGAAACCATTAGTTAAGATTGATTTTAATTCTTGTAAAGTATCATCTTCTAAATCTTTAGGGTTAACTTCAGCTTCTGGATCGATGTTGTTTTGTAATTTGAATTTGAAAAGTATGGAAACTGCTATTAAATAACAAACTTCTAAGATTGAATCATTTAAATCATTAATGAAATTAAGAATTTCTAATGATAAATCATATAATTGTAATTCTATGGAGTACTTGGATAATGTTATTAAAGGTTGGATGACATTGATGATTTCTTGAGTTGACAAATCCATTCTTTTCTGGAATAATTCCCATGATCTCTTAATAGCTTCAATAGCTTCCTCATCTTTTTGTTGAGAGATTCTGATGGATGATAATAAACTAAAAGTTTCTGGGTTTTCGTTATCCAACTTCAAGGAATAATTGATCAATTCATCACATTGAGATTCTGCTTCAGGTTCCATACATAAATCTGTCATCCAAATTTCGATTTTGGCAAAAATTCCTTCATTAAGTTTTTGAGTGATTTTATCATCTTTGACATCTAAACTGTCAAGTTGTCTCAAGGCAACATCCAAAAATTCAATACCTTCTCTACCACCAATTATTTGACCTAAATATAAGAATTTTTCAATACCTTTATCACCATTCTTATCAAGTTCAACACTTCTCATTAATATTTCATAAGCTTGTTCTAATTCGTTAACTTCCAATAAAACTTCACCAAATATTTGTAAAAATTCCACATTGTCCTGATTATCGTTCAATAATGGTGATAATAAAGCCAAAGCTTCTTCAGGTTGATTATTATCAATGAATTCTCTAGCTTGAGTTATAGACATAGTTAGAGATTTTCGCGATGAGATTTTTATGTATTATGGCTCAAATTCAAAGACGGGATGAATTGATGGATGAGGTAAAATTGTTACATCTAATCTACCATCGTAACAAAAACCAACATAGAAATCAACATTGGTGGAGATACTTCCAAATCCTCTTGAGTAATCTCAAAAACTTGATGGTAGGATCGATTACGGTGGATAAGATAATGAGAAAGAAGATCATTGATAAATGTTATAGAGAATTCCACGGGATTATTGCATTGGGACAATTCATTAACCTAGGATTTGTGCTAGTGGGGTGCATAAGTAGAATAGGGGTTATATTGACCGAGGAATACGAAAGAACTAGACCAAAGATACATAATACTGAAGTTAAGATACGAGGGACTGAGATAGGTGATGAGGATATGGGTGAAGTTATCGACATGGATGTAGAGGTACCTGAGACTACAGCAACGATAGCACCATCGCCATCATCTGCTTCATCATCATCACCATCTGTATCATCATCACCATCTGTATCGTCTACATCATCTACAGCATCAAAATCAAAATCCAAGATAAAGAAATCGAAGATCAATGACATATTCAAGAAGAAAAAGAAGAAATCATCTATAGATAAGTTATTCGGGTAAGGAGTTTTAACACATATATATTTTAATATACAACAAGAATTGAATGGGTAAACGTAATCATTATAAATCATCTCTAATTATGAACCATTTGAACATAATATTGTTCTTCTTCATCGAAATAATTTTGATGTTGAAGATTTGGGTTCAAATTTAAAGGTATTTGGTTATTCATTAAATTCATTTGATATTGGTTTAATTGATAATGATTAAAATTACCATTCGACATCATTTGTTGCATCATTTGACCATTTTGATAATTTTGAGGTAAAGATTGGAAAGGTTGTTGTGGTAAAGATTGGAAATTTTGAGGTTGTTGTTGAGGTTGTGATTGTGGTTGAGTTGAAGAAGGTCTTTGATCAGAATCCAAACAAAATTCGTCATCATAATCCAATAAGTTGAAAAAAGGATCGATTTCATTAATTGGTAATTGAGGTTTAACTTGATTTATTGGGGTTGATTGACTGGATGAATAATAAGGGGAAGAATTTTGATCATAATTTGAAGAATCAAAATTGGAAAAGGTTGAGTTCGGAATTGAATTTTGCATGGAATTTGGAATTGAATTTGGAATTGAATTGATATTTTCTCTCATTGGAACAGGAATTGGTTGATGAACAGGTATTTCAATTTGAGGAGTTTTTTGAATTGTTGGAATTGATTTATCACTTTCTTTTGATTCGGAATTTTGAGTCAAATTTGGTGATTGATATCTTTGTCTATGTTGAGCTAATTGTTGGAAATCATTTAATTCACCATCTTGACTTTGAGGTGATAAATTATTTAATTTATTGAAGAATTCATCTTCATTCATTCCCTTCTTCTTCAATTCTTTCTTCAATTTATTCTTGATTCTACTCTTACCTTTAAAACCTGTTGGTAAAAATTTACATTCACCCCCTTCAATATGGATTTCACACCAAATTTCACTATTGGGGAAATATTCACCACACATTGAACAATTACCAGGGGATTTAGATCTTTCTTTAGTAACAGTTCCTTTAGGATACTTGAAATGTCTTGATTTTAAATGAGTCTTGTAAGTATCTCTTCTTGAAAACCCACCAGTTGGATGACATTTATGAGTGATATTGTTATCATCAATATAAGTTGAGAATTTATGGAAAGGACATGAATAAGCCTTATTGACTGAATGCTTTTTTAAATGACGAGTTAAATAACCTCTTAACTTGAAAGTGGCTTCACAATGAGGACATTGATGATTCTTTTCATCAGTTGATGATGAAGGAGTCATTGATTTAGGTGATTTGTCATCGAATGAATTAGCTGATGAATTAGATGTGATAGGACTGATTTTTTCCATATCAAAAGTTGGATAGTTCCTTCCATATTGTGGGTATTGGGTAGGAATATTCATCTGTTGTTGAGGTTGTTGGTTGAATTGTTGATGTTGGTGTTGGTGTTGGTGTTGGTGTTGATGTTGATGTTGATGTTGATGTTGATGTTGAACTGGATATTGATGACCTTGGTTTTCATTATTGTAGACAAAAAATTCACTATTAATTGAAGAATTATCATAATCTTCAGTAAATGTCCATTCTATTTCACCAAGTTCACTTTTAACAGGCATAAATTTGTTACCCATTCCTGTAGAACAGGGTTTAATAGATGATTTTAATGGGTTAATTTTTTCAATACTTGGAAATAATTCACCGTGCTTGATGACTTCTTCTTCTTCATTATCTTCATCTATACTTATAATTTTAGTAAGTTTATTATCATGTTTATCATTAACTGGTTGTTCAATAGGGAATAAAATTAATTGTAAGCATTTTAAAACCCAAAAAATTAACGGATGGTTAATTATATATTGAATGACCTTATTCATTATTGTTGAAGTTTACTAGGGTTTCAAATAATTCTATGGTCAAACTCTTTAATTTTTACTATTCCAACGGTTAATGATTAAAAATTTTCTCCCTTATGTCTGGTGATATTTTCGTCAAATAATCCCAAGTCGTGCGCCCCCAAAGGAAAAACAAGATCACATATTGCCTTAAACCGATTACGTAAGTGACTAACTCATTAGTAAACGACATTTGGCACCCATCGGCGATGAGTATTTCTTTTTTTTCCCCGAATAGGAGGAATTTATTGATTATCTGGTGGGAGGGGATGAGATATCGGCGACTTTTCTGGCGCAAGAAGGGAATTTATTGCTGCGACATTGATTAGATCATAAGAGATCCATCTATGAGATAAGCCAGGTTACTTAACAACTTGAACATTAGATAAAACGTGATTACCAAAAGAGTACGGTTCTACAGTCAAGTTGAAACACTTGAAAGGTTGGGATTTACTTGAAAAGTTTGAAACAAGCCCATGCCCACCCTATTGTCTATTGTTCCGAATTGGGATAAATATGAACAATATACTCACTACCAATATTCACGCTGATACATTGTTGCAGTAGGCACATTCTGAGATTTTATTAATTTACATACTCTACATTCCTTACTTCATCTCGGTTGGTACTTGGAATTGTAGATTCGAATGTTTGTACTTGGTCAATTTAAGGGATTAGATTTTCGTATAATATCCAAAAGCCCATGGGAAGGGTTCGTGATGGATTTAATACTAAGGCCGTTAAACAACGAAAATTGATACAAAAAAACAAAGACGATCATTAAAGTTGAAATACACCCAGATACAAAAATCGTCTTAAAAAATACAAAAATCATCCTAAAAATACAAAAATACAAAAATTCAAACCTTCCAATATAAAAACTTTGATAAATAAGATCTCTTATAAAAAAAATGATTCGAAATGAATCAGGGAAAGATACAAAATATAAAAAAAACCCAAATAAATAGTTACAAAAATACCTGATATAAAAAAAAAATTGAAGGATTTAAGATTTGTTCAACTCAAAAAAGTCCTTCAAGAGTGGATCTTGGGTAACAAAATCACTTAAATTAGGGAGAAATTCATTATTGATTCCTTGAAGTAAGAAGTTATTTTCGGAATTCAATAATTGACTTAAATCATAATCAAAATCAAAGTCATCTTCACCGTTAGTTTCGTTCGTAATGTCATCGTTGTCCTCATTTAAGGCTCTTCTCTTCATTTCTTCGTCGATCATAGATTTTTCTAGATTTTCAATACTATAATATGATGGAGATGAAAGACTGACTATTGGAGCTACATCAGACACTAAAGAAGAAATTCTTGTTTTAGCATCTCTCTTACCATGATCAACAGATCTTTTGAATTTCATGTTAGTTTTGACCTTCATTGTATTTTCAATTTTATTTATGAAATAGTTGAAATTATCATAAATATCGTTCATGAATGCCCATTTAGTGAAAATTTTAGCATTTCTATTGAACTTATTGAAAATCAAATCAATACCTTCTATTTTATCCTTTAAATCATCTCTTTGATTTAACTTACCTAATTTAATGAAATAAATTGATTTGATTTTATACTTTATGGATACTGACATGAAAACACAGAATAAACAAGGAATTACAGGAATATGAAGTACTAAAGAATCATTTTTAACTTGAAAATCTCTTGCATCTTGATTTTCATCAGAACCAGATTCAGGAACTAGATATTCAAATAAAGATGCTATGTCAAGACATAATCCCATTGAAGTTTCACTAACTTCATGAAATTTACCCTGAGTATGAATTTTAGCAGCATTAACAGCCATGAGCATGATTTTAAGAATTAAAGTATTCAAAGAATAAAAGGTTATCTTTTTATAACCTGCCAATTCTTCCTCATCTAATTTAGTCAATTTAATCAATGGTGGAGGTTTTAATGAATTTAATCGTTTAAGAGCTATAGACACCAATTCTGGCATTCTACTGGGATCATTCTTAGTTGGTTGATAAATTATAACAATAGCTTCAGAAATTGTTCTAATATTTGAAACCAACATATTAAAATCATCATCATCAGTATCACATTCAACGTCAAAATCTTTTTCTTTGATGAAGAACGCTTTGGAATTAGTTATACCATTAAATCTATCGAAAATGAAAAGCACGAACCATAATTTCTTCAAAGCCATACTTCTTTCATGTTTACCATCACTCTTAATCTTATCATGAGTTAATTTCCAATGTATCAAAAGTGAAAAACAAGTTGAAATTGCTGATATCAAATCAGTAGAACTTTGTTCATTGGCTTCTCTCAGATCTCCAAAACTTAATGATAATAAAATCAAAACTTGAGTCTTTGTTAATTTATCATTATCACCCAATTCAGGTAAAAAGATTAATAATTGTCTAATTTTCAATTCCAAATGGTAAATGAATTCTAATTTAACGTTTGATAATCCATCTCTGATGATGGAAAGAACCATGGCATAAACCAAAACATTTGAAACTATTCCCTTATCGTATTTTTCCCAGAATTGTGATTCATGAATTATAGGAAATACCGAATTAATTTTGAAGAAATATAGTTCCAACAATTTTCTTTCTTGATAGGCGGAAAACATATAAGGTAAAGGTCCTGATAAAGTAAAAGCCAGAATAGACTTCAAATAATCAAAACTGATTTTCAGTTTTAAACAGGGAGATTTAACACTTTTATGAGGTTCATTGGTTGGATGCATGAATGCTCGTCCAGTATCTTTACCAGGAATATAAGTGAAGGTATATTCAGCATCAATAATTGAAGCATTGAAATCGAATTTATCTTTCAAATATTGAGCATTGATATTTTCAATCTCTTCAGCTTTTGATTCAGTAGAAGGATCTTCAGCTACAGCTTCAAGTTTTGGTTCTTCGATCAAAGTATATTTCTTCTCGCCAGTATCAGATTTTAATCTTTTAGCTTCACGTTCAGGTTCTTGAACCATTGGAGAATTTATACTGGGGAATTTGATTGGTGGTGGTAATAAAATCGACTGAGGATTGGTAATAGGGGTGATATAGTTAGGTTTTTGGCCAGGTGAAGGTCCTTGGCCGGGTGATGGTCCTTGAGAAGGGGGACCTTGAGGTGAAGGACCCTGAGAAGGAGGTGTAGGAACTCCTTGGTTAGGTTGACCAAGTTGATTGAATTGATTCGAAGTCATATTTTGATAAATTGGATAATGATATTGATATTCTGGACTAACATGAGGAATATTCGATGGAGTACCTGATGGAGTAGAATGTGAATACAGTGATGAAGAATTGGAAGAACTAGGTTGAGTATTTTGTGATGATAACATGGGATGCATTTGTGAAGGAGGAACAGGAGATGATATAATGAATGCAGGCTGACCAATGGGATTTTGACCAGAAGGTAAATTTTGAACATAATTTGATGGATAATACACTTGTTGAACTGAATTGGGGAAATTACTTTGATTATTAAGTAGTACATTATTGGAAATTTGATTATTGACCATCGAATTCGATGGTATTGAAGGATTTTGATCGTTAGGTTTGGGTGGAGGTATACTAGATGAAGTATTGGATTTGATTTGTTGTGATGGGGATTTTATTAAGTCACATATAATATCTCTTTGTTTACAAATCTCACACCCTTCAACATCATAATTAGTTGATTTTATAATACATTTGATCCTCTTGGATCGACAAGTCCGACAGCATTTGTATGTTCGTTTACGTTGCTTATAATTTTTATCAAAAGCTGGGAAAACGAACATTAGTTTTCGCTAAAAAATCGATCGTACCTTAAAGAAGAAAAACTTTTTAAAACCTTGAGGTTTGAAATATCGTAAAAATCGAGAAAGATAATCAACGAAATGAGTATAAATCCGGAAATAAATTTACAAGAATTTACTCATCCAAGTATTTCACAAAATAATGGAGATTATTGGTTTTACGAAAGATCGGACCTGTTTCCAGGACAAACATTTGGTCTAAAAATAAACAAAATATTATACCATACTAAATCTCCCTATCAGGATATTTTAATTTTTGAAAGTAGTAATTATGGTAATGTTTTAGTATTGAATGGGATAATCCAATGTACTGAAAGAGATGAATTTGTTTATCAAGAATTAATAACTCATTTACCTATTATGTCCCACCCCCAACCTAAAAAAGTTTTAGTTATTGGAGGTGGTGATTGTGGGGTTATAAGAGAATTAGTTAAACATGTTAGATTAGGTACTGTTGAAACCATTAAAATGATTGAAATCGATGATATGGTAATTAACTTATCAAAGAAATATTTACCCCAAATGTCGAAATTTGCTGATGATGAATCTGTTGAGATCATTATTGAAGATGGATTTAAATTTTTAAAAGATAATAAAGAAAAATTCGATATTATTATTACTGATTCTTCAGATCCTGAGGGTCCAGCAGAAGAATTTTTCCAAGTTAATTATTTCAAATTATTAAAGAATAGTTTAAATGATGATGGTATTGTTATAATGCAAAGTAGTGAAAATATTTGGCTTAATTTACCATATATTAAGAACTTAATGGATAAAGGTAAAACCGTGTTTTCAAATTTAGAATACACTCAATGTTATATGCCAAGTTATACTGCAGGTCAATTAGGTTTAATCATTGCAAGTAATAAAGATTATGATTTAACTAAACCTTTAAGAACAATAGAAGATGAGAATAAATGGTTCAAATACTATTCATCAAAAATTCATGAAAGTTCATTTATTTTACCAACTTGGGCTGATAATCATTTACATTAATAGATAACTCCTTTTTTGAATTCGGGTTACAGTCCTTTCACTTATCGTTAAATCCCCTCTAAGCCCTTTAGTATTCTAGAATCTCTCTATCTTGCGGGTAACGTTTCAAAATGTGAATATTTTTTTGCGGCCAATATCGGTAACCGGGTAACCTTTTTTCCCTTTTCGAAAAAGCTTTCAATTTGGACATTTATCGCAGTTTTTGTTGATGAAAATTTTTCGTCACTTACACTAAGATTAATTGGTTAATTCACTTATTTAAAATATTGTGTTAAATCAATTTTCAAACATCAGATCAAATTAAGTGATTTTATTTTAAATTTCTAATAAAATTATATCATTTTATTACTCAATTAACATTGATAAATTTTGTTGATTAACCCCTATTGTTTATTTTAGTTGTTTTGAAATTAAAAACTTATTTGCATAGTTAATTATTGACACCATAATTGGTATTATTGTAAATTATTGTAAATTATTTGTAAATTATAAAAGGAAAAGTTATTAACCCTTGAGGATTATTTACAAACATGTCGAACGAAGAAGATTATACTCATAATATTGATGATCAATTATTAAGAGCTGTTAAACAAGAAGTTAATGTTAATCAACAGCATAATAATAATTATAATATAAATCAATCATTACCTTATCAATATCAACAAAATAACAATTTGAATAATCAAAATTTAAATATCAATAATCAAAATAATTTAAACCATTTAAGTAATAATTTTGATGAAAATGAATATAATATTCAAATTCCTGAACCAATTATCAATTCTAAATCAAAAATTTATCCTGTTGAAGAAAACACCATTACAGCTGAAGGAAATTTGATTACAAGACCATATCCTGAACAAACATTTCATGATCGTAAAGATTTAAATGATTTTATTGCTGAATTTGCAAGAGATAATGGATTTGGAGTTGTTATTGCTCATTCAAATAAAAAAGCTATTTATTATACATGTGAATTAGGTGGTAAATATAGAGATAAAAAGAATAAAAAAAAATTAGAGGATAATGGTAATAATGGTACTAATGATGATTATTTATTAGATCCAAATACTAAAACAAAGAAGTTGAAATGTCCATTCGCAATGACTGCAAGTTTTAGAAAGAATAATCAAACTTGGTTATTAAAAACTACTTGTAATGAACATAATCATCCTCAATTAGATCCTTTATCAAATCATCCAATGTTAAGAAAAAGATCAACTGAATTGAATTTATTAATTGTTGATTTATATAAAGTTGGTACTAAACCAAGTCATATCGAATCAAAAATCAGAGAACAATATCCTGATATTTTAATTAAAAGAGAAGATATTTATAACGAAATTAGAGGTTATAAAAGAAAATTAAAAAGAGAAAATGGTTTCATCAATCAAAATAATGATGATAGGTTCCGTAAAAGAAATAATGCATCATCATTGCATCAAGTTGGTTTAGATGATGATGATGACATCAATTCTAATTATGAAGAAGCTGAAAGAATTATTCACCAACATCAAAATCAACAAAATCAACAACATCATCATCTTCAACAACAACATAACCATAACCAACATCATAATCAACATCATCAACTGCAACATAATCACAACCATCAACAACAATTACAACATAACTTACCTCAATCATTACCCCATTTACAACAAATTCCTCATTTAAATAATCAATTACCAATTATAAATCCTATCAATAATTTACCTCAACAACCTCAAATGGGTATGAATATGGGTTTAAATGTTCAAAATAATAATTTAATGAGTATTAATGATTATAATGGAGATGGTGAGTTAAGTAATGATCAAATCACCATGGATAACATCGACAGTAGATTAGTAGGTGAATAAATGTATTTTTATCAATTCTACCATTTCTTAAAACCTCTTGCGCGACTTTTATCAATAATGTTCAATCCTATAGAATCTGCTACCCCAGAATATTCCATATCAATTCCTGAGTTACTACCTCATTCTCGAGTTTATCAGATACAAGTGGGTGATAAACTTTTCAAAATCAGTGGGGCTTCATTATCTTCCGATGGACCATCTTATTTCACCAAGTTTTTTGGTGATAATGTTAATGCTGATAAAACTTTATTCATTGATAGATCTCCTGTAGTTTTCGAGAAGATATATAATCATTTACAAGGTTATGCAATTGATATTGAAACGGATTATTTATATAAACAAGTGTTTTTAGATGCTATGTATTTCTCATTACCAAAATTGGCAGATATTTTAACAAGAGAATATGGAGTTTATGCAAGAATTGGTGAAAAATCTTTTTGTGTACCGAAACATTTATTAAATACTCCAGGTAATCTGCCAAACTATTTCACTATCAATAATGATGATTTTACTAGAAGATTTCAAGTAGTTGAAAAACATAAATTAATTAGACCCCCACCAACAAGACCGATTAGTGTACCTCATAGATCAAGTTTATTATTCACCGATGTCATAGAATTACTCAAAGGTAATACTTCAGTGATAAGAGATGATAATCATCGTGCTTTATTAATAAAAGAATGTAAATATTATAGATTTTTGGAATTAGAACAAAAATTGATCAAATGTAAAATTATCAATAATCCTTATAATGAATATCAAGAGATATCTATCAATTTGAATGATATAAGTAAAAAAGGGTTATCATTACCTCAAGCATTGCCCAGTCAAGAAGTGGAATTACAATATCAAAGACCTTATATTGCCAAAGAACCAAAAAGAGATTTGATTTTCACCATTGAACCTGAAGATGGTTTTGATGTTAGATTATTTTTGAACAAAACTTTGAAAGTAGTAACCACCAAATTCTCGAAAGACATTTATTATAAGATTGAAAAGCTATTCCGTGATTTTATCCCTCCTAAGGACTTTTTGACTGATGATTCTGATCCTACTTCTCCCACAGTAATGTTTATAACAACTTTAAGAGAATGCCACTGTACTATCAATGGGTTGGAAATGAGAAATTCTTGGCTCGAAGATATATTTGGAGTTCAGCACCACTTGATAAATGAAGGATTAAGTGATTTAATCTTGAAAAAAGGTGAACAATCACCACCGTATCTTTCACCAGAGTTATCAGTGGAAAATCCTAAAAAGAGGAGGTTATCCCGAGAAGTGGAAGGTGATATAATAGAATTTAGAATCATTAAAGGATCTTGGAAAATAAGCGCTATCGATAATCATCCCAAATTAATAGGGGTCGATATGGTGGCTTCAAGTGATTTAGTCGGATTCTATAAAAGCCTACGTGAAATGGATAGACATTAATGTATATTCTATAATTTTTCGTCCACACTCTATAAAAGTCTTATAACCTCTTTAAATTCCAACCCCCGTAAAGGAATCTACAAAGGGCAACAAAGACCAACCCTAAAATTTGAAACACTGCCACGAAGATCACCATATGGTCAAATCCAGAAGCAGCTTTGTTTCCAATAATAGCACCTCCGATCGGCAATAAAGCAAAGTTAATCACCGATATTATGAAACTGGAAGTTCCGTATCTAACAGCGAATTGATCGACCTTACTTATTTGGGCAACACACGTAGGGGAACTCTGAAAGTAACTACCCGACGTGTATCCAAATAAGCATGCATACGTGAAGAGCCCTCCTTTATGGGATCCCCAAGGAGGTAACCAAAACAAAAACACACCAATAGTAGCTATAAGATTTGTTACTATGAACCAATTAAACCTCCCATATTTATCGGCTAAATACCCTCCTGAAAGTCTTCCACCTATTGAACATGCATTCATAGCTATAGTAAGGGAATAAGCATCTGATGTTGACCATCCATGTGCTGTAGCATAAGAAACAATATAATTTAAGGTGAGGAAAAATGGTCCACTATTACCAATACAGCCAATTACTAAGGTTGCAAAGATGGGGTCTTTTAATATACCAAAATCAATTTGTTTAAGACCATCCATAATAGGATTTCCTTTGTCTCCCTTCATGAAACCCAATTCGTATCTTCTATCTTTGGTCAAGACTATTCCAATCGAAATCAAAACCATACAAATGAATCCCAAAACTCTGATTCCCCAACCAAATCCAACAGACGTGAACAAGGAATTAAGAATGATTGGATAAACAATACCACCTATGGAACTTCCTACGAATGATATACCTACAGCTGTTGATCTCCATTTATTGAACCAATGAGTCACTACGTTGATCGAGCAAGTAAATCCCAAACATACTCCAAAACCTGTAACGAAATGACACAATATGAATTGATACAATTCATGACATAAGGAGAAGCACATCATACCAACACTTACAAACCCCAAACTCCCAATCAACATAATTCTGCATCCTATCTGATTGAAAACTGGTCCTACAAAAAGAATTAAAGCAAATGCTGTAAAATTGAAAACTGCAAATATCCATGACACGTTGGATGATGATTCATCAGGAAGTAAGTTGACTGAAATATAATTTTCAATGGTCCCACTCGCCAGTGATAAACCTAAAGTACCAGATACCACTGCTGAACATCCTATCAAAACCAAGATTGCTTGTAATCCTCCATCAGGATATGTTAACTCTTCGGAATCTTTTTCCGAGGACTCTAATATTTCCTCTGAATCATCCCGTACCATGTTGCGACTACTGATCAGTCGTTCATCGATGCCAATCTCTATATCCTTGACTTGATCTTTCTCAGGCATCTTATCGGAAACCAGTTTAATTTTTGCGGCATCCAAAAAAGCTGCAAAAAATTGCCCTTTTTGACACTCACCGGATTTATGAGGAGATAAAAGAAATGATTTATCAGACACTTTGGAAGTAAAATCTTTTTGAATGAGTTGAAGCGTATATATATTGTTCTACGAAGGTGAGGAGAGGTTCTGTATCAGAATTCTACTTATCTTGAGGGAAAACAACCCCATTATCAGCTCTGATCTTATCGAAAAGTCTCATCATGTTCAAACTTTCTTCCCAAGGGATAACATTGGATTGAATATCTCCAGCTAGAACCCTTTCACCTAATTCAACTGCTTGTAAATAGAATCCTTCACTGTCCTCCAAACCACTACCGAAATCAAAATCTTTTTCGGAGGTTTCACCAGTTTTCAATTCTAATTTGTAACCTCTTGGACTTGGAGTCAATCCAATGGCTTTGACAGTAATTTTACCCAACTCTCCTTCAATTATTGCAATTGTACCGTCTTCGTCAATCGCATTGAACATTGAGGATGTTGCAATACCATGTTGTTTACCCGTATTGATCAAAACAGTGGATATGAAATCAACTTCATCCTCCTTATTACCTGTGAAACTGCTTTTAAGTAAATCAGAGTGAACTGTCCAATCCGAAGGTTTGGTGTTTGGATTTAAAAATAATCTATTGAATGTCAATGAATAAATTCCAATATCTAATAATGCTGAACCCCCTAATTTCTTATTAACTACACGATGATCGGCACCAACGTCAGCATTGAATGAATAGTTCCCATAAACCCTTTTAACCTCCCCGATCACTTTGTCTTCATGAACCATTTTCTGCAAAGCAACGAAAGTTGGGAAAAATCTTACCCACATAGCTTCCATGAAAAGTTTGTTGGTTTTTTTGGCCACTTCAATGATATCTTCCAATTCTCCAGCATTCATAGTCACAGGCTTTTCACATAATACATGTTTACCTTTCTTCAAGGCTTTGATAGAGAGTTCCTTATGAAATGGATGAAGAACTCCTATATAAACAGCATCAATATCGACATTATCGAAAATTTCATCATACGACCCAATCACAGGATTATGTTTAGATGCTTCGTCTTTAAGATGTTTTTCAATGAATGATTTTGCTTTGTCAGCACTCGAACATCCAACTCCTTTAATTGTATGAACCAATTGATTAGGTCCCTGAGGATAATTATGAAGTTTAACAATATCTTCAACAAATCTACCGGAAATAATTCCAGCACCAATAATCCCCCAATTGACACTCATTTCAAACTTCAACGATTTCAATAAAACTCAATAATGTTGAAATTCAAGTTGCAATCTCTCCACAAGTGATAAGTCGTATGAATGATGTCGCGAGCACGACAAGTGAGGTTCAAATTCTCATTCGGATTCCAACGAAATCTCAACAGATGTATGGGAATTTATTAGTAGCATCAGGTTTAACCATTGTTGGTGGTTATATGTTGTTCACTGGTTCAGGTGAATCGTTCAATGTTGGACAATTCCTTGAAACCACGTCGCCTTATATGTGGGCATCTTTAGGTATCGCCAGTTGTATTGGATTTTCAGTTGTAGGAGCAGCTTGGGGGATTTTTATAACTGGTTCAACTATTTTAGGTGCTGGGGTTAAAGCTCCAAGAATTACTACCAAGAATTTAATCTCCATTATTTTCTGTGAAGTTGTGGCCATTTATGGTTTAATTATGGCCATTGTATTTTCATCAAAATTAACTGCAGTTCCATCATCACAATTATTCACTAAAGAGAACTTGTATACTGGTTATTCATTGTTTTGGGCAGGTTTAACTGTTGGTATTTCCAATTTAATTTGTGGTGTATCAGTTGGTATTACTGGTTCAACTGCTGCTATCTCTGATGCTGCAGATTCTTCATTATTCGTTAAAATTTTAGTTGTAGAAATTTTTGGTTCCGTTTTAGGATTATTTGGTTTAATTGTTGGTTTATTAATGGCTGGTAAAGCTGGTGAATTCAAATAATTTTAATCAAATATAGAGGTAAAATATCATTATATATATATAAATTTTCTAAAGAAATCTTAATTATCTACTTCCATAAATTCTGGATTCTTTCTCAATATAACAATACCTTCTAATGAATTAGTTAAACTTATCCATTCATCGGTATTTTCTAATTCAGCTCTTTCACCATAATTCAATAAAACTGGTGTTGATTGAGTAACCCATCCAGTAATAGTTTTTGGCTTACCAGCTTGTCCAACAACATCAACTGCTTGACCAACTCTAACATTAACTTTTATAGGATTTAAGTTTTCATCAACTGTGACTAACATTTTTGGTTTAATGGCTGGAGTTAAGTAGTATAATAATTGATGAGTAGTTTCACTATTGGAATCACTTAAAAGGAAATCTTTAGGATTTAATAATAATACCGATATAGTTAATAATGAAGCTAATGATACTTTTGATATTATAGTTCTTTCACTATTGAAAGGAGTTAAAGTTAATGTACCTTTACCTAAATGTAATAAACCTTGAGCAATTCTAACCATGAATAAAGTATCTGAAGATTTAATATAGTAGGAAGCCAATTGTCTTAATAATTGAGCTAATCTGGCATTATTAGTACCTGTTCCAACAATACCCATAGAATAGATGGCATTTTGTGCAACTTCTAAATCAGGATCATGAGAATATCTTGATAAAGTTTCAAAAACTTTCATTTGAGGATTGGCAGTTGATGTTAAACCAATAGCTAATGGAACTGATCTACGGATTAATGAATTACCATAATGCATTAAGTGGGAGAAATGACGTAATACCATATCTTGACCAATATCTTCACCCATGGCAATTAATGCTAAACCTAAAACAGCAAATCCTTTATACATTTCATCAGCTTCTTCTTCCTCTTCTTCAGTAGCTTCTTCTTTAGTTTCATCCTTTGATTCAGATTTAACTTCATCCTTTGGTTCTTCATCATTAGTTTCATTATTTGATTGTTCATTTATTTCACCTTCTCCTGCATCTTCCATATCAACATCATTGGCGGTGGTGGAATTCCCGATAGGTTTGGTATCTTCTTCACTTTGTTCCAATTTCTTTTCTTCGGCTGCTTGATCTGTTGGTTTAGCAGTACACATTTGTAATAATGATTGAATTTGTAAAACGTTACCTGTACCGGCATAAGCACAAATATTGACTAAAACTTTTAAAGTTTTACTTATTGGATGTTCAATAGCATCAATAGTACCTAAAACATCATCAACTTGTTCAGTTTTACCCATGTATAATAAACCTAAACCTAATGATAATAAAGTAATGAATTTATTAGTTAATTGACTGAAATCTCTTTCTAATAAAGTTTGTAAAATAGTTGAAGTAATATCACCATGACAAGTACCAACGAAAACATGACCTAAAGCTAATGAAGCTAAAGAACTGATTTCTAAAGGAATGTCTAAATCTGAAATTAAAGGTAATAATAAACTTAAAACTTCTTCATTAGCAGTACCAGCAAATGCAATACCTAAACCATTAATTGCTGAACTTTGTAAAATCTTTCTTGGATCATTGATATATTCTTGTAAAAGAGCTAAAGCAGCATCAACTTCATCATGAACATTTGATGATAAAATACCCATACCTAAAAGAGCACCAGCTTTAACTTCATCTTCTTCAGAATAGGTGAATTTATCTAAAACTTGTAAACCTTCATTAACATCCCATTGATGAATTGAACCTAAAGAAGCAGTAGTACTTGTAATACCTGCATCTTTGGTTTTGAAAATCCAGGATTTATTATCTTCTTCAGTTTGAACTAATTTATCATTACCAAAACCTAAATTTAAGAAAGAATTGACAAAACTTCCAGCTAAATTTTGTTTAGCAGAATCAATTGAACCTGAATTACCAATACCATTTTTATTATTCTCTAAATGACTTTTATAAATATCTTCGGGGACTTTTGGTTCTAATAAATTTAATTCTTTGGTTAAGTATTTGAAATATTCAGTTAATTTAACATTAGCAATACATTGTTGAACTTCTTCATTTTCACCAGGATATTTGAAACCATTATTTTGTTGAGATAATATGAAACCTAATTGTTTATGAATTAATTCATCAGTGGTTGATTCAAATACTTGTTTGATTAAATTTTCATCATCTAATTTAATAGCTAAAGTTAATGCTTGAGTTAATTGATTGTTTTGTAAATAAATTGAATAAGCAGTTGATAAAAATGAAATATCATCTGGAGGTGCTAAATATGGAACACAACTAACCATATAAAGACAAACTCTTGAAAAAGTTGAATCATCAACAAAATCTATTAACTTTTCAATTTGTTCAACTTCTAATAATAAATCTACTGCATCACCTTCAGCATTATGTTTTAAGAAATATTGAACAATCTTTAATGATAATTCAATTAATTCATTAATATATTTATCATCAGTACCTAAGTTTTCTTGATATGAATTACCAATTTCTAAAGCGAGATGTCTCATATATTCATGACCCCAATCATTAACAGTATTATCATCAGATAATAATCTATACTTTAATGATTCATTCTTACCATTATCATAAGTCATTGCTAATACTGATAAAATATCGGACAATTGATTACATAATGATGATTTGTTTGATTGCCAATCTTGATATAATTCAGTTAAACTTTCATAATGAGGTCTTAAGAATTTTAATGGTTTTGGAACTGCTGTTAATGAAGTTGTTGAATTTTTTATATAGTTCTTTAATTGATTTAAACTATCTTCATAAACAGATGATGAATTTGATTCTAACAATTTTTCAACCAATGATTCTAATTCATCTTTCAAATGTTGATCTTCTTCATTTAATTCTTCTTCTTCAACCTTTTTAATATCTTTCTTCCCTTCTTCCTCTTTTATGGGCGCCATTACTGATCGATATTTCTCATTGATGGCAAAATCTCAATCTAAAGTCGTCCCCGATGTCGCGGTCTCACATTTGGCTCAACCTAAGACATTTTCATCGCGATTGTTTACATTTAATTGTATCTTTGTTAAAGAATAATCTATTTTAGTGGGACCAAAAGATTAATTCAATTGGAGTTTTTTATTGAAGTTTCCTCCTTTCTTTCATTTAGCATAAGATAACTTTGAGTTATTATCATTTTCTTCCGGTCATTCATAGCATTAACTTCGTCAGCATTTCTCCTTTCACATATATATTTTTGCATTAAATTAAAATTAAAACTATGGATAGAATATTCTATAAATCATCCATTGTAGATGAACCAAAGAAAGTCCCAGTGTATATATTTGATACATCATTCTTACCATCACCAGAAATTATAAATTATGATGAGTTCATATTGACTTTAATGAAATTATTACCTAATGAACCCTACACTTTGATTATGTTTGGAGGTGGCTTGAATAAGATAAGTTGGATTTGGGGTTTGGAATTCATTAAGAAGTTCCTCATAGATGATGCCAATTTAAACAACCTTAATAAAATCTTAATGGTTCATGAATCTTGGTTTATTAAGACATTGACATCAATTTTGAATAATTATAATTTAACCAAAAAGAACTTAAGTTTCTTGAATAAGATGATTGAGAATTTTACTATGGATAATAATATGAATCTAGAAAAGTTTGGTTCTTTCGATAATGGTTTAGTCATCAATTGTAAAGACTTATTCGAGTTGAATCAATATTTCGATATAACCAAATTGAAGATTTCTTTGAATGTTTATAAACACGATTACAGTTTGAATAATTGTGATAATTTAAAAGACTTCAAAAACCTCAATTTCAATATCAATAAGTTCAATCCTGTTAAAGTGAATGAAATTTTCAAATATCATTTCTATCAAATATTTGATATTATTTATAATTTCGGTGACAAAGTTGAATTAATATTCCATAAACCTGGGAATAAGGTAAGTAGCGAGATTTTTGTAAGTTGTATCAAGAGAGATCAGTTACTATGGATCAATGATTGGGATTTATATTGCATAGCAACTAGTTTCAAGAAATTGGTGGTTGAATTACCTGTTTTATTACCCATCAAATCTATTCATTTACCCGTCACAGATAAATCATTGATTAAGAATTTCCGAGAAATCCTCAAATCTTTGAATAAAGATTTATCTTTAGTATTGGTGAAAATCTTTGAGTTATTCAATAAGTTAATTTCTAATCCAAAAACAAAATTGACTTCTCAAATCTTGGCCAAAAATTTCGTTTCTGTATTAACCCATGAAACCTTTCTGAAATCCAATGAACCCAATTTAATTATTGGAATCAACTTCATCAAGAAAGTCATCGATACTTGGGATCAATTGGATATCACATCCAAGGATCATTTGAAGTGGATTAATAACGAAAACGAGATTGTACACGAAAACGAAAACGACAATCCATTTTATGAAACCTCAGATAAAGAAAATAAAGAAAATTTCCCTATCGAAACTTCGAATAATTACATTGATTATGACTTAGTTGAAGAAAGTCCCAAGAAAGCATTACACAAAAATGACGTAATTTTGAACTCTCATGATTACAGTCCTAAAAAAACTAGTCCTATGAAAACTAGTCCTGTCAAATCTGTACCACATTTACCCAGTATCACAAATTTCCAAACGGTGAATTCCCCTGTTTTGCAACCAATAAGATCTCATCCTAAACTAAATACTAACGTATCCCCCTTGAAACCATCAACGAAACAATCTCCGACAGAAAACACCCCCACCAAATTACTACTTACCAAGTCATCTCCCAAGCCATCACCAACTAAAATATCTGTACAATATCCTCCGCAAAAATATTCTTTTGAACATAAAAGATCTGATAGTAGAAAGGAATCAAATATTAATGTCACTCAGCAAAATACCAATTTCAAACCTGTCATTAGAGGTATTAAAGTAGGAGAGTTGGCTAAATTATATGAAGAAAGAGCTCAAGGTTTAGAGTTGTTAAGAAGTTTATGATACATATTAAGAATTAATCTCTTATCTCTAATCTCCTAAAAAAAATTTAACCGCGAATTTAAGGCATGAGACGTAAGAGGAATTTCAATGGATGTTGGACATGTCGAATAAGGAAAGTCAAATGTGATGCTATGAGACCAACATGTGAAAGATGTGCCAAAGCAGGAATCGAATGTGAAGGTTATGGAATCAAATTGGCATTCTATCAATTATTGACCATAAAAAATGATGAATTGATAGATATTAAGACTGATGATATCAAGTATCATAGAAGAACAATAGACTTTTGTAAATTTCCAAGAAGCCAATTATATGAGACATTTGATGAATTAGATGACATCGTTCATAAGCTAAGTGAATTTGAAGGCAAGCAAAATTTTTCAATTGGTCCATTTGCAGTTTATCATGATATCAAAGGTAAGGCATCTGAAAAACTCCCCATTGGAAATGAAAAAGCTATCAACTCAATTCTGGATAACACAATCCAAGAAATATCCCCCACACCTGATGAGCCTGAAGAAACTACCATTAAAGTGAGGAGTAATTTAATTCATGAAGATTTATTGAAATATGCCAAATTATCGATCTATGGTATTAAGGGAACGAACTATAAAATCAATGATCAGAACATTTATCACATCTTATATCCGACATTTTATCCCAACATTGATTCTGATGATTGGCAACCCAAAGATTATTTCACTTATTTGATTGATAAGAGTAATGGTATACATTTGAGTGATCAATTCCTTACAATAATTCGAAATTTCAAGAATATTGAGTTTTCCTTTTGTAAAGTAAAGTTCGAAGACCCTTGGAAGATCCATGTTATGCCATATTTACAAAATATGATCTTTGAATTTCTCATTGATTTACCTACAGAATCATTGACGGGTGAGTTGAAGAAAGTTATAGTATATTTGATAATAAGTCTAAATTCATTCATGTTGAGTAAAGATAAGTATAATAAGATTGATGAGAACATCAAGATTAGTATTAATTGCAGGAAAATATCATTAAACCTTCTCAATTATCATTTAGATGAATATGATAGTAATGTTGATATGAAAAATGACGAATATAATGTGCTTCTATTGATTTGTATAATATTACAAATAGAAATCGATACTTATTTGAATATTTTCGAAAATTTCGAGTTATTGTTTTCAATAGGTGAATTCATTTCAATTCAGGATAATCATAATAAAGAATTTAGTAACTTAAGATTGATAATATTCACTATATTCAAAATCATGTATACATTTTTCATTTCAACACAAAGAGTTACTCAATATAATTATCAAATTAGTGACAAACATATGGTAAATTATAGAGATTTAAATGATGACTATGATTTGAGTAAAGTAGAATTTGAAAATCCGGTAATCATTGAAGATGTTGAAAATGATAAAAAGTCTCTTCTTGATGATGAAGACTATAACAATTATGACAATGATGATTTTGAACCGGAGAAATCCAATGTTTTAAGTGAAAATTCTATTTATCTTATGTATGGATTACCAAAATCCTTAATAGCATTATTCGAACAAATGGTTCATTTAACTAATCATAAAAGAATATTCAAAATTCAAAGTAAATATTCAAGAAACTTCCCAAAACTATGTAGTGAAATAGAAGAAAAGTTGGAAACTTGGGAGATCAAATGGAAACTAGGAGATAGTAAGTTCCATAAAATGTTAAGGTTAAACATTGAAATCTTCCATTGTAGTTTGAAAGTCTATTATAATAGATTAATAAAAAACGAAGTTCATCAACATTTGATTGATAGAATATTCAAACACATTGACGAATTAACACAATTATCAGGTATAAACAATGACATAAAATTACCTTACTGGATAATGGTAATTATAAGTTGTGATAATAATAGTACTGATACTTTTAATAAGAAATTATTCAATCATACTTCAACTTATTGGCGTAGTAAACAAGTAATGATTGAAATCAATAACAGGAAACTTACAGATCCAATTAGTTGGATGGAATTAATCAGAGAATGGGACATTATCTTATATTTAGGATAATTTGTATGAAATATATGCACGTGACATGGTCGTCGTGTGACAGTAAGTTTTTTTTTTTTCCTCGCTTTTATACTGTCGCTTTTTTTTTTAACCTCGCTTTTCTCTCTCACTCGCTTTTTTTCCTTCACGGAATAACGATAATCTGTCGCCCCCTCAACCCCTCCACAGATTCCATGAAATCATTTTCCGCTTCGTCCCCCACCCCCCGCATTTTGGGAGGTTTTCATCATTGCAACATTTATTGATTGAATTCATGTTACAATGGAACCATTGATGATGGAACCGTTGAGTTTTTTTAAAGTTAAAGGATTTTCCAGATCAATATCTATCAATGCAACAAATTCCGACCACTTTATTATCAATTTCAAATTAAACTTTCCATTGCTCCTTGACCTTCCTTTTAACCATGGATTTGCAAAACTCTACCTGGATACCAATTAACGTCATTGGTTGGTTTTTCTCATCCAACCATATTGTTTGTATACAAAACTTTGGTACATTCACTCTACTTCACATTAAATAGTTGAACAGATTTTCCCGTATACTGTGAAGAAAAAAACAACTTCGTAAATAAGGTAATTGTCGGAAAGGTCAAAAAAAGCATATTATTCAATAGAGAACTGCGTCATGTACCAACGCCGCTTATTAACCATAACTCTAATCGTTTTAGTATATAGTTGCCGTACCATGAATTTTGCCTTTAGGAAAGGCGCCTAATGGATTAATTCAGTTAATATCTCCGCAAAAAAAAAAATCTCCAGACTCAACGAAAAAGTTTTTCCGTGAATTCAATCACACCCTCAATTTTCCATCATTCGATTAATTTAATTTTTATTTTTATCACTGTAACATTTATAATTGCAAGAAGTTTATTCTTTAAGGGAGATTGATATAACTGGAAAGTAATAATTTATTCAGGAATTTTTTATAATTAATATCTGATAAAATATCAAAATTTCATATATGGAAGATAAAGAAAAATTATCAAAGAAACGTTCAAAAGTTTCAAGAGCTTGTGACTGTTGTCGGCGTAAGAAGGTCAAATGTAATGCTAGCTTTAGTGCAAGTTTGAACAAAATAACTAAAAAATGTGATAATTGTATTAAGAATCAAGAAGAATGTACATTTTCAAGAACTCCATTGAAAAGAGGTCCATCGAAAGGATATATAAGAGATTTAGAAGAAAAATTAGAATCAAAGATCAAAGATGAAGCTCCTTTAATTGTAAATGGGAATCATAATGGTAATGGAGTTGGAATTAATGAAAACATTATCAATGTAAATAACATGACCACCCCGGCGAATACCAATAATAATATGAATAATCTTCATCCGATGAATAATATAGTATTACCTCCTATAACAAAAACACAAAGTCCATTTAATAATTCCATATTACCACCAATAAATCCCAATTCTCCTAATAGTGATTCTAATAGTCCAAAAATTCAAGGTCCATTTTGGAAAGTTCCTTATGAATTACCATCAAATAATAATGAATATGAATTATCAAGAAGGCTGTCGATTGATTCAATTTCATCTAATTCTACCACCGGTTCAAAACTATCGAGATTACCAAGTTTAAAACCTACAATGTCAAACGATCAAAATTCGTTGATAAGTGATTCCGATGATGATTACTATTCAGCATCACTGATAAAAAATTCTCGTAGATCATCATCAGCTTCAAGTCCTAGAAATTCAATCAGCTCATTATCAAGTCTTAATGGTAGAGTTAAAAAGATAAATATCCAAAATTCAATTTCGAGTCCTAATCCAAGTTTGGGCCAATTACCTCATAAACATTCTAATTCTTTGAGTTCATTAAATTCAATGAATCAGAATACTTTACCTTCAATGATTTCACCTCCAATTCATCATATTGCCCTTGAAAGTAACTTAAAAGCTTATTATCAAAGATTTCATCCGAACTTCCCCATATTACCATTCAGTGAAAACTTAATTTTACAAATTCTCGATTTCAAAGATACCTACCTTGTAGAATTATTTAATCAGTCTTTGAACACTTTGATTAATTATAAGAGTTTGAATTCCAATGATTGTAATGAAATATTGAATAAATTCTTAAAAATTTACCCATTCAGTTATTTGATCAATGAGAATTATTTAATCATCTTCTTATCTTCATTAATATTGAATAATTATGCAATTTTATTAAGTGGAAATAATTACTCCTTATTGATATCGGTTACAAATTCAATTTTCAATGATTTCAAAATAATGAATAACTTTAAAATCTTAACTAACAAACAAAATTTACACTTTGATGATTTCAAACTTTATTTGCCGAAATTATATTACTGTTTAACTATTATAGATAATTTCTTTTGTTTGAGTTTCGGTACTAATAAATTAATTCATTTTGATATCAGTGATGAAGATTTGAAATATTTGATACCTTCAAATTTCAACAAGGGAGAATTTAATGGTTATAATTATTTCAAGAATATGGAATTCATACAATCATTGATCTTATTCAGGGATAAAATGTTTGAAAATAATTCACTGAATAATGATTTTTTCAGTAAATTCTTTTTAAAATGTGATAATTTCAATAATTATGACAAAAATGGTATGGATTATCAATTTAGCTTCATTATGAAAGATAAGATTGAATTGATTAAATTTTTGATTGAGATTAATTACCTTTTCTTGAACAACAATAATAATTTGAATGATGAATTTTCTGAAATCTTAAATGACTATATCTTGAAATTGATAAGATTAATAAAGAATTTATCAGTTTCAATATTGAATTTTTCTAAATTCATTTCACCTAAATTCGAATTGATATCACCACCATTGAATCTTTTAACTCATCAAACTTTGAAATTAATCAAATTGTCCAAATTAGTTATTGATTCTTTAACTCATTTCATAAATATTGATATTTTCAATAGACTATTAAAGATTAATAATGATTTGTCTCAAAGCTATCAATTCATTTTGAGTAATATCAATTATATGAATTTAAGTAATACAACTATATCATCAGTTAATGATAAAATCAATAAATTTCAAATCAATTTCAATTTGATCCATAACCAACAACAAGATATAAGAAATTGGAAATTTGAATTCAATTCTATTTGGGAATTCCTTAATAGAGATAACGGTGGTTGGTGTATTTAATGTATTTTAATGTATAGAATGATCTATTTTTTCTTAGCTTATTTTTGTCCTTTACCTTCCTTCTTTACCTTCCTTCTTTACCCTATCTTCCTTCTTCTATTTTTTTGTATTATTTTCTGATTTATTTCATAAAAGTTGTGATATTCACAGATTTTGAAAATTTCATAATTTGCCAAAATTATAACCTCAGCAAAAAAAAGAGACTTCAAGAGTTAGAAAATTCGATTGATCTATATTTTGACTACTATTACACTTCATAAGATATGAACATGTTAAACTTTTCTCTAATCGATTTTGATTTGAGCATAAATTTTTCTGATAAAGATGAAACAACTGATAAACCCAATTGATCCACAACAAATGAAGACAAATGATGAAATAACAATTGAATAACCAATATATAAAATGATTGAAGTGAAATTACCTAAATTTTGACCACCAATCAAGAACAATGAATGTAAGAATACATAAATTGCACAACCTCCACCAATAAACATGGATTTCCAATGCCATTTATAATTTTCAGAACATAATAAATAATAAATCATCAATACTGAAATCAATGAAGTTGTCATAATCATCAAAATGAAACAAAAGAATAAAAATCCAAACATATAGAAAATTCTGTTAAACCATAATGAGGTATAAATGAAATACATTTCAACTGCGATTGATCCAAAGGGGAAAATACCTGAAATCAATGATAATGAAACTGATTTAAAATACCATGGTTGAGTTGGAATTTGTCTTGGAATTTGATTAACTTTAACAGGAATAGTTAATAATGGTCTCTTGAACGATAATAATGAACCGACTATTGATAATGGAATTGAGATTAAGAACCAAATAACAATAATGGCTAACATAGTTCCTAATGGAATAGCACCTGATGATTGAACATAAACCAAGAAGAAGTTCAACAAAATGAAAATCATAAATAATGAACCTGGAACTAATAAAGGATTAAGAATCATATTTAATTTCCAGTTTTCACCTCCAAAGAATCTATAAATATAACTTGAAACGAATGATGAAACTAAACTGAAAAAGATATATAACATAAACATAAAAGTTGATAATGAACCTCTGTTTGATGGTGATAATATACCTAATAATGCAAAAACAATGGTAACTAAAATCATACAGAAGATTTGAATACCACTACCAATTAATACTGATAAGATTAATTTGTTTTTTGGTGCACGGAAAACATCACCATTAACTAATTTCCAACCACTTTCATCAGAAATATCATCATCTAAATTAATTTCGTTATATTTGACAATATCATTTCTTAAAGTTCTTAATAAAATATGGGCCATAGTAACTCCTAAAATGATAACAATCAATGAAAAGTTAATTAATGAAAACCATTGAATTTTTGGATCATAAACATGTAAATATTTATCCCATCTAGTAGCCCAAGCAGTTTTACTTTCTGTGAAAGAAACAGAATAAGTGAATTGAACTTTGGTTTCTTCATTTTTATTCAATGCAATGAATTTCAATTCAGGATTACATAATTCGTTTTCTTCAGCATCTTCAGGTAATCCATTTCTATCATAAGAATAAGGAACAACAGTGACTCCAACAACTCTTAAGTTATTTTCATCACGTTTATGGTATTCAATCTTAATTTCAAAATGATTGTAAATATGGGCAAAGCTACTTTCATCAACTTCACCAATATTGAAACCTAAACCATAAAATTGACTTTTAGTTCTTCTTTCTTCAACATGATGGGCAACGGGTAACCCATCAACGATCCAATTGTAACTGTAACCAGCTCTAATGTTTCTGTTAACGAAAACTGAATCAGTTTTTGAATAAATTGAGCTACATAATCTCTTACAATTAACATCTTCTAACATTTTAATCTCAAAAGGGGAATTGAAAATTCTATCACCAAAGATAATCGAACCTAAACTTTCACTTTGTTTCTTTGGACCACCACTTGGTTGACAGAAATGGAATTTTGGATAATAATAATCATATGAATATACATAAGTCTTTGAATCAGGGGTGACATGTAATGAAGGTGTCAAATGATTAACTAATAATGGTATAGTTTCACCCTTTTTATAATTAGTTGGTGCAACCCCTGGTAAATAAAATCCATTGATTTGGTTGAATAAACTCAAAAATATCAATAAAATCAATTGAACTTTATTCATTATTTAATAATGTTCTAATATAATGAAATATTGAAGTTTTAAATCTTTAGGCTAGTTTTGCTGATTCGCACGTCGTTCCTTGAAATTTTTTTGTTTTGAGAAAAATCTGTTAACTACACGAATGGTTCATAACCTCAAGGCTTAATGTTGAGACAATTGATAGTCACAAAAACAATAAGCAGATATTGATAGGTTAGGTACATGTTGAAATGATGATATCATAATTCAAAACATCAGAGGTTTTTTTTTTTGGGTTGAATTTAGTAGTTACATAAATTTATATTTTCAGGCACGAGACATCTTCCCTTCTAGGGGAAGTCCTGATTCCACGAATTTTCGATTGTGTCAGATCTTGAGACATGGTGGATTGACTAAAATCTGGGTGGAATTCTTTTGTATCTTCAATTCTTGGTGGGTTCATTTGTGATTCTCCCTTGATAGATTAACTTCTTTGATGCATCTGTTACCAATCTTATACTCCTTAACTTTTCTGCCATCAATTCAGGATTTGTCATATATTGAGGACGTGTGGGTGAATAATCACAAACAAGTTTCAACCTAACACATTGTGTACATTCAGGACGTTCCTCAGGACAAGCTTTGTGTCTTATTCTACAAATCCAACATCCATTCTTCGATCTAACTTTGGTTTTTTTGGTTCGACCCCGTTTATATGAAATCTTAACTTTCAATGATTTGTTCGATCTTTGAATGTTAACTGAGGATGATTTTTTTTTGTTTTGTGGTCTTCGTTTGGGAATATATTCTTCCGACAGGTATTCGTAGTCTATCAGTGAAGTGTTATTAGAAGACTCTTGTCCCGTCAGAATATTTGAAGACTCCTGTCCCGTCAGAATATTTGAAGACTCCTGTCCCGTCAGAATAGTTGAAGACTCCTGTCCCGTCAGATAATAACTTTCATCCTGATCTTGAGCTTGAACTGTTTCACTAGTCAAAAAGGCATCATCGATCTCAATTTCACTACCATAACTACGCTGTTGTGAATAAACTGGAGAACTACTTATTTCGGAACTTGGGGCAAAGATGGGGGTCTGATTGATTTGTTGAATTGAGGCATAGGTTGGGGAGGTGTGGAGAATATCAGGCGTTCCACCTCTTGAACCATCCTCTCTCCCAACCAATGACAGAACCGTTTCCAATTCTCTATTTATCAGGGCAATGTTATAGGAGAAATTATTGAATGCCACTTTTTCATTCGAGAATACTATTGGTGGTAGTAGAGTAGGACCACCTACCACATTCGTTTGGTTGAACTTTTTCGGTGAAGGTATCTTACCAAACAGCTTAAAATGGGTGGTATCTCCTGATTCAATAACGGGCCTCTTATACTGACTCGAGCTACTATTAATTTGTATATCTTTGTCTTCACTGAATAAGATTCTTGGTGTAGGAGTCAATTTGTGATTTCTTTGACCATCTTGGCCGTCATCTGATATCTCTGAGTCTCCGTCGTCAGCAACATAGCATGCATTGATAAGATCTTCAAGCTTTAGGGGAACTCTTGTCATAGTAAACGTTTCAAATAATTTTTGAAACTTTTTGCAGCAAGATGTATCGCGAGGGTGATCTATATCAATATTATATATTACAAAAAATCCCAGCACTCAAACACTGGTAGAATCAGTATGAACGGAAGTGTATGCCAACATCCAATTCAAATTGGTTAATAAAAACTTACAGCTATCAGTCCATTCACTGTTTGATGTGACCCTTATACTTTTACCTCCTATGGTGTCCTTCTTGGATGAAATTTTGTACGGAAGTTCCAATTCGTCATCTATCAATTTGATCTTCTGTTGTATTTGACTAATAATATCCAATAATGCAATCATGGACACATCAAACTTATTGAAATTGAATAATTTCCCTACAGAGAATTCATTTGAAGAATAGAGATTCAACACCGTTTTTGCTTTATCATCCTCCACCTGTGAGATCTTGATTATCTGTGATTGGGATCCCATGGGAATCAATTTATAATTGACGAGTTTAAATTGTAATCTTTTAATGAGGAACAACAATAAAAGTACAATTTGACCCAAACCTGAATTAACCTCACTCCATGGGACTTTATAACCCAACCTGAAACCATTAATGGTCCCAAATTTATTCTTTTCGTCACAGGATATCTTGAAAAACTCATTATAAATATTGAAATTTCTTAAATTATCTAAATGATTGAGTTTTTGTTGATATTGATTATTAACTTGAGTCAATTTGTTCATGTTTGTTGAAAAATCTAATGATAAATCATTTCTTAGCGTCAAAATACTATCGAGATCATTATTTTTAGATTCTTCAAATTCTTGTTTTAGTTTATTCAATTGTTCGTCTAATTTTACCTTGGTATCTTCTAGAACCTTTAAAGCTTCAAGCTTTTCTTCTTGCTGGTTTTTTAGGTTCTCATATTCTTTGAGTACCTTCCCCAACTTGTCATCATTGTCATTATCGTGAACTTCATTCTGGTCTCTTAACTTCTTGAGGAAGTTTAAGTAGTAATCTTTCTCCTTTTGACTTTGATCAAATTTCAATTTGTAATTATCTATCAATAAATTGCAACAATCTTGACATAAAGGATGATCAATATCGTTATTACTGGATAAAATTTCGAATACTTTGTTCAATGTCCTCAATCTATTACTTATTAAACCATGATCGTCGTCATGTTTATCGTCAATCAGTTCACCATCGGATACAAAGACAAACGAATTAGAAGTCATGGATGTGGATAAAGACAAGTTGTTATCATGGTGATCTTCTAAATCATTGTTATATATTATAGGAGTTTGATCATTGATTGAGTTTATTAGGTCGATTTTATCTTGGGTTATGAATTGAGATGGGTCTGGATCGTCTTCTTCTTCATCATCTTGAGTATCGGTAAGCCTCCTACCTCTCTTATCCTTTAGTAGATTGACTTGGACAGTATTTAGATTTAGTAGTGAATCATCTAGTTTTATAGGGTTTGCACACTTTTGACAGTGGAACATATTTGAGAATCTTATCTTCGCATCTTATCGTGAGAGATTCTATCATGTTAAAGAGCTTCACTTTTTTTAGAATCCTGGACCATCCACTGTCCTACAGTAGCAGAGATAGAAGAATGTGCTTTTTATATGGGTTGGAATTCTTTTGAACGTGAATTGCATAGCTACAATGTGTTGAATCGCCATTTATTCTTTGTAAACCACCATTCAACTGAACATTCTACACATCCTTTACTCTTGGTATCAGTCTATGCTTTGCACGCCGGAAATTCTCTTATAATCAGTGAAATCCCCGGTTATCAGCCATATTTCTCGAACAGTTGACAAATTTGGCCCCAAAACAAAGAGCTACCCGGATTCCATCTCATATAAAAAGTTGAAAAATTTTCTCACTGACATTACCAATAAGTATGTAACTAGAAATGATGATAACAATTATGTGACTTGAAGATTATTCACTGTAAGACACATGATTTCTCAATAGACTACAACGGTATCTGACACTAGAATTTATACTAACTTTCAGAATGGTCAAAAGGTTCAAAAAAAGTTTTATTGCACCTATTCCAATAACTATATCTACACAAATTTATGGATTATTACCTAATATTTATCCCCACAATCCCATATCATGGATTCACTTCTTTGTAAAGTACCTTTGGATCTATTTCAAACCTATCCCTCAACGTTCTATCAGTAATTTGTCCGTTGTATTCGAAGATAACCTTTTTAAAGTCCTCAACAAACAACATCAAGAGAGGTTGTGGGATTATGGATTCTTTGGTAAAGGGACTTTATCGAGATCCGAATTAAACTGGTACTCTCTGACCCAAAAAAGATTACACCTTGGTGATGACAATTTCGAATTAAGTAATGAAGAAATTACTAAATTCAGAAGAGAGGAGAGAGTGAAATTCAAGAAGGAGAGAACTAAGGAACAGGAATTGGAATTGAAGAAGAGGAAGAATGAAATTTCTGAATCAGAATTACAGGAATTAGATGAGATCAAGAAAACCTTGATAAAATTCAGAAAGAATAATAAATTGAAGATCAAACAAGAGAGACAAGTTCCAATTGAATATAAAGATATGAGACCTGAGGATCAAGAAATCATCGACGAAGAATCAATGACTCTACAAGAAATCGAATACCTTCAGTTGTCAGCTGTAGAGACTTTTTATCTCAAATTGATTGATGTCATTGACGTTTTCGAAGCAGATCAATTGACTTTGGAAGACGTGTTCTACAAGTGCTGTGGGACAAAAACTCCGAAACCCGATAATCAATTCATTTTATCTTATATTGCATATCATCATTATAGATCCCTTGGATGGTGTGTTAGAAATGGAATTAAGTTCGGTTGTGATTATATACTTTACAAGAAAGGACCACCCTTTTCTCATGCTGAGCATGGTATTTTAATCATTACTGAAGCAAATCCAAAATCATGGACCGAAATGCAAACTGTATCCCGTGTTATTGGTAGTGTACGTAAAAACTTGGTATTGAATTTTATTGATGTACCAACACCTAATGAATTAAACGAAATATTAAATGATAGTGACGACCAGAAATTTTTTAGATTATTGCAATTGTATAAAGTTAACGAAATATTATATAAAAGATGGATCCCAAATAGAACAAGGGATTAATCTTCCAGCAGTTTGAATATTCACCTCTAAAATGTCTCACCAGTTTTTCTTTGCAGCAACTCACCTATTTGAATTTGTCCAACAAATTAATATATCCGGCGCAACATCAACAGATTCAGTAACGGATAAATTGGACGTACATATGACATCAGTAAATGATTGGGTAAAAGGTTTACGTAAACCTTTCTCTAGATAGAAATCATGCGTTTAAAGGGGGTTGCGACACAGACGACAATTTTGCATCAACTGATTTTCCCGATCATCAGATGGTTATTCACACCACTGGGTGCAATCACCGAACGGGGGTTTTCCAAACTTAATTTATATAAATAGACGTCAATTCACCTCAATTTCAAAACTTCATCAGTTATTTGTTTAATAAACATTTACAAACACTTACAAAAGTTATAGAATAAAAATTACAATGGTTAAAATCGGTATTAATGGATTTGGTAGAATCGGTAGATTAGTTTTAAGAATTGCCTTATCAAGACCAGACATTGAAGTTGTCGCTGTTAATGATCCATTTATTGCCACTGACTATGCTGCTTATATGTTCAAATATGATTCTACTCACGGTAGATATGAAGGTGAAGTTACTGCTGATGGTGACGTTTTAGTTATTGGAGGTAAAAGAATTCAAGTTTACCAAGAAAGAGATCCAGTCAACATTCCATGGGGTAAAGAAGGTGTTGAATTCGTCATTGAATCCACCGGTATTTTCACTAAATTAGAAGGTGCTCAAAAACATATTGATGCTGGTGCCAAAAAAGTTTTGATTACTGCTCCTTCTGCTGATGCCCCAATGTTCGTTGTTGGTGTTAATCAAGAAAAATATACTCCAGACATCAAGATTTTCTCCAATGCTTCATGTACTACCAATTGTTTAGCTCCATTAGCTAAAATCATTAATGATAACTTTGGTATTCAAGATGGTTTAATGACCACTGTCCACTCAATGACTGCTACTCAAAAAACTGTCGATGGTCCATCCCACAAAGATTGGAGAGGTGGTAGAACTGCCTCAGGTAATATTATCCCATCATCAACTGGTGCTGCTAAAGCTGTTGGTAAAGTTATTCCAGCTTTAAATGGTAAATTAACCGGTATGGCTTTCAGAGTTCCAACCGTTGATGTTTCAGTTGTTGATTTAACCTGTAACTTAGCTAAACCAACCACTTACGAAGAAATTTGTGAAGTTGTTAAAGCTGCTGCTGAAGGTCCATTAAAGGGAGTTTTAGGATACACCACCGAAGCCGTTGTTTCATCTGATTTCGTTACTTCAACTTACTCATCAGTATTTGATGCTTCAGCTGGTATTCAATTAACCCCAACTTTCGTTAAATTAGTTGCTTGGTACGATAACGAATTCGGTTATTCTACCAGAGTTGTTGATTTATTAGAATATGCTGCCAAACAATAAATTATGTACGTAAATGAATAAAATCTTTGTATTCTGACTTCTTTCAATTGATTTCTCCCCCAAGTTCTCCTGCAAGTACTTTCCAATAGTTTAGTGGTATCATCAAAGATATCTCAGACGATAAAGAATTTAGTGCGACCATGTCACTATTCTTTAAAGCACCAATTGATATCGAGATTCGATTAGATGGGGAAGAAAACAGAAGTCATGTGGAATTGGTGAATAACCAGGGAAGGACTGAAAAGTTACCCATATATAAGGATGGAGAAAGTGTCAAAGGATTGGTAACAATTCGTACTAAAGAAGGGAGAAAGGTTGAACATATGGGGATCAAAGTTCAATTATTAGGATCCATTGAAACAAATACCGATTCAATTACTAGTAGTGATTTCCTTACTTTAGCTACGGAATTGGCAGCACCATCAACATTAACACATCCAGAATCTTATTCATTCGAATTCAAAAATGTCGAAAAACAATATGAAAGTTATAGAGGTAAGAATGTCAAATTAAGATATTTTGTTAAGGTTTTTGTATCAAGAAGATCAGCTAGTGAAATAACAAGAGAAAAGGAATTATGGGTTTATCAAATTGTTGATTTACCAATGGAAAGTCCAATAAAAGATGATAAATCCAAAGCAACAACTGTTAAAATGGATGTTGGGATTTTAGATTGTCTACATATTGAATTCGAATATCTGAAATCCAAATATAGTTTGAAAGATGTCATAGTTGGGAAAATTTATTTCTTATTGGCAAGATTGAAGATTAAACACATGGAATTATCATTGATGAGAAGAGAAACTGTTGGAGTTCCACCTAATCAAGTTAATGATAATGAAACAGTTGTAAGATTTGAGATCATGGATGGTGCCCCTGTTAAAGGTGAAACCATTCCAATAAGGTTGTTCTTAGGTGGGTTTGATTTAACTCCCACCTATAAAGATGTTAATAAGAAATTCTCCGTTAGAACTTATTTATCATTAGTTTTAATCGATGAAGATGCCAGAAGATATTTCAAGCAAAGTGAAATCTTTCTTTATCGTGACCAATAGACTTGCATCATTAATCTTTCATTAAGCAAATTTTTTGAACTCTATATCCAAAACAACGGGATAATTCCAATGATGTAGAAAATGTACAGTAAATAAAATCTCAATCTCACTCACCACAAATCAATCATGAACTCACAGGATCTACGAGATCTAGGTCGACATTATAGTCAACATAGTACTCCCCTAGCAATGACAAGAAGGAGGATGGTAGAATCGTCAAGTCAGCACCCGAATATTTCTAATGATGATATACTATCGTCATTCTTTATTAACTCATCGGAGGAAGAGATTAAGAAATCTAGTAATCAAGCAGTATCCCTTTCAACTGCAGGTATTAGAGCTTTAGTATATCAATTACAAGCCTTGTATTTAAGAACGCCAGTGAAGTTATTCAGGCCCTCAAGATTTGATTATCTAGCCTATGTTAGGGCTATGGCTGATAAACATGATGACTTGAGCTTAAAACCATGGAGATTTACTACACATTCATCATTGGCGATGTTGATTAATACCATCAAGAAAGAAGGTTGGAGATTCATCCCTGACCAGATTTTACCTCCATTATTAGCCAATTCAGCTACAGGGATCATTTTATACAGTAGTTATTTAACAGCCTTGGATTATTATGATAACAATAGAGATAAAAACATCAAAGCCAAAATTAAAGGGGAGTTTAATTATTCTCCTATAGATACTTGGAGAGCTGGGTTTATTGCGGGAATTGCCCAATCATTAGCAGCAGCTCCAATAGATGCCATTTATGCTAGATCAACCACCTCAGAAATCATCAACGGTAACCATCAAAATTTATGGATTTATGGATTCAAAAAATTACAAGAAATTGGATTAACAGGAGTGTTTGCAGGTTACGGATTCTCTTTGATCAAGGAAAGTATTGGATTTGCATTTTACTTTTCAACTTTCGAACTAGTTAAAAACCAAGCTTATGGATTAACTTTCAATTCAATCATAACTTATAGGAAGTTCAAACGTTATTTAAGACAAAAATTTGCCAACATTGGATATTATGAAATCGATGAAGAGCTTATAAATTTAGAAGAGAAAAGACTGACTAAGATCTTGAGATCAACTTTTGTATTATTAGCAGGGGCATCAGCAGCATTTTCATTATTAGCAGTTCAATATCCAATAACAAAGATCCAAAATTTACACTTGTCAAGATTGGAAACTTTAGATATTTACAATTCTTCAAGAAGAGTGAAGAAACCTTTTGTTAAAGTGTATTATAATTCGTATATTGATACCTACTATCAAGTAATGAAGATAAAATCCAAATCTAAACTAACATGGTTTGAACTAAGTTACAAGGGATTTGTAAGGAATGCATTATCTACAATTCCTGCAACATCCATAGGGCTATTGGTGTTTGAGATCATGAGAACTAGACTTGCTGATTCAATAGATTATGATCAATTATTGTAAATATTCTTGTATATATTAAAAAATCATTGTAAATATAAGTAAATGGGTATATTATTAATTTTGACCAGTCTTAGTTAAATAAGCATTCCATCCAGCATCTCTATATCTTTGACCTTCAACTGTTGGATCTCTTCCCTTACCGAAAAGACCTCTACCAACAATGATAATATCAGTACCTGTGGAAATGACTTCATTAACTGTTCTATATTGTTGACCTAAAGCATCTCCTTTATCATCTAATCCAACACCTGGAGTCATGATTATCCAATCAAATCCTTCATCTTGTCCTCCCATATCTTTTTGAGCAATAAATCCAATGACGAATTCTTTATCAGATTTTGCAATTTCAACTGTTTGTTTAGTGTATTCACCATAAGCTAAAGAACCTTTTGATGATAATTCAGCTAACATCAATAAACCTCTTGGTTCGTCAGTGGTTTCTTTGGCAGCTTCTTTCAATCCAGCAACAATTCCTGCTCCTGTAACTCCATGAGCATTAGTTATATCAGACCATTTTGCAATCTTATAAGCACCACCTGAATATTGTGATTTAACTGTATTACCAATATCGGCGAACTTTCTATCTTCGAAAATCATGAATTTATGCTTCTTGGATAATTCAATCAATGGTTCAATAGTTCCTTCGTATGAATAATCATCTATAATATCAATATGAGTTTTAACAAGACAAATATAAGGTCCTAATTTATCGATCAATGATAAGAATTCACTAGTGGTCTTAACATCAACTGAAGCACATAAATTGGTCTTCTTAGTTTCCATTAACTCAAATAATCTTTGAGCAACTGGTGAAGGGTGAGTTTTAGCTCTTTCACTGTAAGTCTTACTAGCCATTTTGAGATGATTTTTTTTCAGTGAGAATCAAGAGAAATGAGAATGAAGATGTCTAATATCTATTCAACTTCTGGTTCATTAATTTGTTGAGAGTCATTTGACTCCATAGCAGGTTTAGTTTCTGATCCATCGTTTAGTTCAGTTTTTGATTCAGCTTCCAGTTTATCGTCTGATTTAATTTCAGGTTCTTTGTCTTTTGATTCAGGTTCAGACTTTTCTGGGGTTACCTCAGTAGTGTTTGAAACTGCTAAATCTTTCAATTCAGGGTAGAGTTTATTGACTTTTTCCCATGTTTGTGACCATAATTCCTGATCAGATTCCACTAAAATCTCACTAGTTTCTAATACCAATAACATATTCTTGATTAATTCAATGCCCGATTCTTTAATCAAATTGTCACTATGGTTGGATTTTTCTCTAATATCATTGAAGATTTGGAAATAGTTCAAGATACCTAACCAAACAGTTGACAATTCATTTTTATCGAAAGTGGTTAAATAATGTAAAAATACTTTACTTACCAAAGATAAAGCATCCATTTGAGTATTAACAAATCCAATAGGATCAGTTTGAATAACTGAACTTTTAGATAATTCCCCTAATAATGGGAATAATCCATATTCGAATACTTTGAAAGGTTTTAAATCGGATAAATTATCAATGGTACTCATGGTGGTTGATCTCAATGAACCTAAGGCAAATGATCTAACTTCTCTACATGGATTAAAACATTGATGGGCTAAAGCTTGAATCAAAGGATATCCACCATTTTCCGAGTTGAATCCTTCTTTAGTGATGATACTTGTCATTTCACAAGTCAAACCAATGGATTTCTTGGATAATTCAACCAATTCTTTCAAATATTCATTATTATCAGCCTTTTGATCTTCAGGTATTTTGGAATCAGTTTCTTGTTCTAATTGAGAACCAGAAGCTCCTAATGATGAAATCTCATCCAATAATCCCAATACTAACATGAAGTTGTTACCTGTGATGTCATTCGAGGAATATTTGACTATAGATTCAGTGAATTGTAAGATTGAATTAGCAAAAATAGGTATTGAACCTAAAAGTCTTAAAAATTTCCAGAAATCTTCGTTGACCAATATCTTTTTACAACACCATGAATCCTCATCAACCAATGAAATCAATGGTTGGATTATTTGTGAACCATTTTTGGTTAAAAACTCTTTTTCATTTCCCATTAATCCTTTAAAAATATCATTCAAAGTGTCAATATTGACTTCACTATTTCTAATTAACAATAATTTGTAGGTAGTTATTCTTAAACTTGATTTCTTAGATACTTCGGATACGTTAATGGCATTGATCTTTTCAAGTACTTTACCTATTAATTCATCTTCATTAATTAATAAGACAAAGCAGATTAAGATCTCTAAGATGAATAAAGTCTCAATTTCATAATATCTTTTGGTTTCATCGTTCAATTCAGGTAACATGTCCAATAACAATTGCACTACCATCTTCTTATCTTCATTACCATTTTGACTAATGATTCTGAAAACAGCAGGAATATTTAAGGACTTAATACAATCAATTGAAGATAAAGTACTTTCAACTTCTTGGTCAGTTGGTTCTGGTGGTTCATCACTATAACCTTTCAATAATGAAGAAAATGTCGACAAGATCCCCGAATCTTTCAAAGGTTTACTTCTATTGATGATATATCTTGGTTTGACTTTAGGTAATTGAGGCAATTTCAATTTGTTTTGGAAACCTGTGAATAAATTTGGATTGATAAAACAATTTTCAAATAATGTCAAGATAATTCTTAAGATCTTATCCCAAGATTTTGTTATTCTACAATCTGTTTTCTTGATTAATCTGAATAAAACCACTGTTGAAATTTGGGCTTTGAAATCTCTACCAAACCAAACAGCCATCTCACTAACAGTTATAGCATCTTCTTTTTTATCAATTTTGATTTGAGTTATTGGAATCTCATCTCTGACATTACTATCTTCAATATCTTTAAGTTTGTTAACTTTTGAGGTTAAGAATGTCAAATCAGCCAATAATCCAATCAATTTATCTATAGGTGATTGAATATCATAGAATAAACAAATATTAACACATTTGTCAATACTTGACATCAATCTGGTAATTATATGATCATCAGTAGCTTCTTTAAATACATTAATGATCGTATCGATTAAAGTATCAACGGTTTCTTCGAATAAATATTTATCATAACAACAAATCATTGGCAGTGATAAGTCATTAGTAATAAAATTATTGGTACTGAAGTTATTACTGGAAATCAAATTATGCCAGGCATCATCAAACCATTTATCTGTACCATGATGTTCTTCAGGCATAATAATCTCTCTATCTCTGATAGAACCATATATCTTATTCAAATACCATTCTGGATAATCTCCATTATTATAAGTACCTTTCAAATTTCTCTTATATGCATCAAAAGTCATTTGTTTTTTAACTTGAGGACTATGTAAATCGGTATTTAAGATGATTATAGAATATGATAGTACAAAAACCGAATCACTATCAGGTTTAATAAATTCTTCTTCTCCTTGACTTTCGAAATTCTCTTGACATTTAGCATATCTTTCACCAAATAATTCCACAATTCTTTCAATCTGTTGAGATTCTCCTGGTAATCTGAAGGATTTTAATAACACTCTTAAAGCTTCATCAACTCTTAACCCTTCGAAATCAAATAATTCTATAAAATATTTCAAAAGTTCTTTGTTACTGGATTTTCCTAAGAATTCTCCCAAAACTTTCTTATTTAATCTCCCACTCTTATTATAGATGAATTCAGCTATTTCTTTGATATCATTTTCATCTTTAAGAAATCCTTCATCGAATAATGCTTTAATACCTTGAGAAGGTTTCTTGTTGAATATATCAGTACATTTGATGAAAAGATTCTTATTCTTCTTATTCAAAATCAATTTTGGTGGTTTAGAATCATTGATATTTAAATCAGGGTTCAATTTAACTCTCTCGTTAATCCCACTAATGAATGATAATAATCCTTCTAAACAGATAGGTGGAACGTTATCAGTAGTAATTCTAGCTGATTCAGGTAATGTCAATTTACAAATAAACTCAATCAATTGTTTACATAAATCAGATTTATCAAATTCACAATCAAAATCTATGAATAAATTTGCAAAGAATTGAGGTTCTCTAATCCACATTAATGATAATGATTCAATCATCATTTCCTTAGAACTTGGTAATCTATTATTAATAGAGGTTTGGTTACCTTTCAAAGCATCATTTTTCTTTTCTTCATTCACAGCAGGTGGTAAAATTGAATTGAATAATAAAGTCAATGTTAATTCGATTTGAGATTTTAAATGTTCACCTAATACTATGGCCATAGTGGTGAATAATTTCAATGAAGCTTGTAATAAAGGAGGAGAATCGACTTTGGTAATGATTGATAAAACATGTTTGGAAACGGGGTCAGCAATTAACATCATAAGAGAATGATGATTTGGAATGTCTTTACCACTAACTTCAATCGCAGTATTAATTAAATTAAGAGCCAACACTCTAGTACTCTCCATATGTTGATATTGATTATGTGGAGATATCATGGATATTAAGATCCCCATGAAATCATTCAAACATCCTATACCAAACGGTTCTTCCGTTTCGGTATCCTTTTCTTCTTTGGCATCTTCATCAACCTTCTCAGTATCTTCAGAATCCTCTTCTACTTCTTCAGATTTTTCAGTTTCAGAAGTTTGTAAATCAGTGACAGATGTATTGGCATTTGCACTTCCAATGATATCTTCAGGTAACTTATTACCAGTGAAATCAGTTTTCAATTCCTCAACATTAGATTCAGGTTCAATTAAATGTAATTGTTTGAATACTCTGGCAGTAATCAAAGAAATGGTCATTTCAGCAGCCTTTCTTAAAACTTCACTTCTTTTCTTATTACAAGCCAATGATAAACAAGTTTGAATGACTTCAGAAACGATTTCATTAGGCAAATAATTGGATAAATCTGAATTCAAAACCGATTCCATTAATCTTAAAACTTTCAATAATACTGCATCATCAGAGTTTTGGTCAGCAGCTTCAAATCTACAATGAGTTAATGATGAAATTATTTGAATTAAGGAGGTTTGTAAATTCTTTGAATGGGTCAGAATGATATCATAATTCAAGAATTTTGAAATGGAATCTAATGATAATGAAGTGATATGACCTGAGGTGGAAGAAGATTTAATCACCAATAAGAAAGGTTGTAAAATAGTCAAACCGTCAATATCATTGATATTTTTAGCTTCGGTTAAAATTGACCTTAATTGTAAGAAACTCGATAACAAGGGATTATCATTAGAATTCCTTTGGCTTTGATTATTAGATAAGTTGTTGGATAAACCTAAACTTGAACTAAGCAGCTTATCATCACTGAATATATCATTACCTCCTAATATAGCAGCAACTCCACTTTGTGACCATCTGTTAACTTTTCTCATGGCAGATGATATAACCATACATTCATTAATTACAATTGTGATGGGATCAATTGCAACATTATAATTATCACCATTGATGAGTTGTTGTCTATTTTTTTCAAATCGTTGTTTCAAGATATTCGCCGGGGTGGGCGACTTAAAAATCTTATGGGGAGGAATAGAGGACATTCCTTTGATTCAACGATTTTTAGATTCTGATTAACGCGAAAATTCTATTTACACTATTTAACTTATTTAGTCGAGCGCAACTTGACTGTGAGGATGGAAGGGGTGGTAAGGTTCCACAAAGTATGACAAGGTATGACAAGGTATGACAAGGTATGACAAGGTGTGACAAGGTATGACAAGGTGTGAGAAGGTCTCAATCAATTAATCAACAATAACTTAAATTTTACGTTGATAGTAATTCTTAAACGAAGTCCATGCAAGTCTCCATTCCTTCTTTTGAAGATCTTTACCAAAGATATCGAAATCATTCTTTTGAAGTTTATTCAAATATAAAACTGTTGGTATGCCTACCATGAAAGGGGTGAATATCACATCAGGAACTCCTTTCTTCCAGTTTTTGAATTGTTTTTGAATCAATTCATCATTAGTATTATTCTTGATGTCTTTGATTTCAGTGGTAGCTTTTGATAACTTATCTCTAGCAGTTAAAATATGATCATTAGCAGTGGTTGCCATTTCATATAAGATATTCTTTAATTGTTCACGTGCCTCTGATATTTGGGATTCATCGTTTAAATGACCTTGGGATAATCTGAATAAAGTCTCTTGAGATAAATCATATTTTGTCATTAAATCTATAGGTAAAGTGATTCTATTTTGACTGGCATAGAAGTTCATTCCTAAAATCATAGATCCTATAGCAGTAGCTTGACCTATATGAGCAGATATATCACTAACCAAGGATTGTAAAACTGTGGACTCTTCAAGCAATTTAATAACTGAAGGTGAAATATTTGGTGATAAAAGTAATCCTTGAGTTAAGTAATTCAATTGAGAATATGTCCCTTCACCGTATGAGCAAATATCGTTGGTGGTGGAGAATGAAGTGTTTTCAACGAAATGTTTCCTGGTTTGTAAGAATCGATGAAAATATCCGATATCTAAGTTTAAATCATTTCTTATAGCATCTCTCAATAATATAGCAATGGGTTCACCAATATTGCTATCATTCATAGGATTAGTGAAGATCCTAGCTAATATATCATTCCAGAATCTGAATTTCATGTCGGCAGTACTTAATCCCATAGTGGACGATAATTGAGTGGATGCACCGGTCTTATTACCATGAATCTTATTAATCTCTAAGTTAAATCCTCTAATTGCAATGAAAGCATCTCGTGCTGGTTCAGGTATATACTGAGCCAAGATATATGAGGATCTGTCTTGAGATTCCAATAACTTATTCACATCCTCCCGGGCATTGAATATCACTTGTTGGTACCCATTAGAGAGGGATCTTTTGATAACTAATGATCTTAACATGAGAAGTTTCGCATCGCATCGAAATATCATGAAGGTTGAGATCGTTAGACCTTTTGCATTCTTGGATATCTCCATAGGTGGTAAACCTAAAGGTAGAATAGTGGTGGAATTGTTTGATGATTTGGCTCCCAATGCTACTACCAATTTCTTCAATCTTGTTGATAAATCTAAAACACCAAATTTTGTAGGAAACTATTTCCATAGAGTAGTGAAAAATTTCGTTATACAAGCTGGGGATGTTGTGAATTGTATTCCTGACAAAGATTACGGAACTGACGTTGGGAAAGGTAACATTTCAACTATAAATGAAGGAGAACCATTTGGAATTGAAAATGGTGAAGAAATAGATGGTCCTTTCAAATTATGTACTGCCAATAATGATCCTAATGCAAATGGGTCACAATTTTTCATCACCACATATCCTAGTAAGCACCTTACTGGGAAGCATAGTGTTTTCGGTGCCGTAAAGCATGGAAAATCAGTGGTAAGGGAGATAGAGAGAGTCAGTACCAATGATGATAATGTGCCTAAACCCAATGAAAAAGTAGTAATTGAAGATTGTGGAGTTTGGGATGAATCCATGGATATTCCTATTTATAATGCTTGTTATGACCCTATAGGGGGAGATATCTATGAAGAATACCCTGACGATGATGAAAATATCGATAAAGAACTGTCTGAATCAGTTTATAATGCTTCCGTAATAATGAAAGATAGTGGAAGTCAATTACTCAAACTAGGAAGACTTCAAGATGCTTTATTCAAATACACAAAATGTCTTAGATACGTCATGGAGTATATTCCTGATGATGAACAAGAACCTCAATGGTACGTGAAGTATTATGATTTAAAGAAGAAGTTATATTTGAATATGTCTCTAGTCAATCTTCAATTGAAAGATTATAAAAGAGCCATTGATTTCAGTGATTATTTACTTGACATGAATAACTTAAATAATCAAGACAAAGGTAAAGGTTATTATAGAAGAGGGATGGCAGAATTATCTTTAAACAAATATGAATTGGCAGTAAAAGACTTCACAGAAGCTGTAAAGTATGTTCCTAATGATAAGAATATTCAACTTCAATTGGAAAAATCCGAAAAGTTGAGAGATCAAAAGAAAATGGATGAAAAGGCCAAATATGCCAAATTCTTTAAATAATTTATATGTATATATTTCCCTATGCTATTCCTGTAAATTTCTTAAATTCAAATAATCCAATATTTCATCGGTTAGTGAGTTACTATTGGTCCTTGGTCTATCATCTCCAGTATTTTCTGATGCTTCGTCATTATTTGCTGCATCTTGTGGTCTAGTGGTTGGTGTTGATTGAGCTGTATTATCTTCAGGGAAGATCCTAAAGAGTTGAGTGGTTGGAGGTGGCGGAGGAACAGATGATGGTAATGATTCCGGTGCAGGGTTGGAAGGGATAGTATTAGTGACTACCCCAGATGCGGTTCTTCTACTTTCAACTCCTGATGCAAACATGTCATTCTGTGGCCTTCTTCTAATGTAACTGAAAACATTTGATGGTCTACTGATTATTCTTCTTCCGAAAGATACCAAGGTTGATCGATCATTCTCTGTAGTATTGTTTCTTGGCTCTTGGGTTGTACTAGTGGTGGAACTGGTGGTAGATGGGGTGGTGGACGTAGTGGTCGTAGAAGGATTTAAATTGGCTCTGAAATTATTGAAAATTTCATCAAATTCAGTGCCACTGATTGCCATCACGTTAGAGCCGTCAACATTCCATCTATTTTCCCCCATTCTCAAAATGTTTTCTCTGATGTTATTACTATTATCCTCACCAGAATCAGCAGTGGCTTCTGGATCTTCAATGGCTTTCCTACATAATGGACATGTGGAATGATTCTTTAACCATTCACAAAGACATGATTTTCCAAAAATATGCTTACAAGGCATTTCAATAGGAATATGAGGAAATTCTGTAGTTAACTCCGACAAATATTTCTTTCTTTCTTCGGTAGTTGGTTCAGAAATTACAGAAGAACTATCATTCAACTTTCTCTTTTTGTTACTTACAACATCGTCATTTATTTTATTATTGATCAATTCCACATTGAAATTATCAGCTTCAAATGTCTCTAAACAGATTGAACATTGAGTATCATTGATTTCACCTGCTGTTAAATGCTTGAATGAATTAAACTTATCAATGGTTACACCTTTATTACCTCCATTGTTATTATTGATGATGGTAGCATAAGCCATTTGAGTAGCTAATCTAATGAATTCTTGTAAAACTCTAGGGTCACGATTAGATGCACTATTAGGCAATGTTAAAGTTAATATCCCCGATCTATTAGGATTACTAGGATTATTTTCATCTGAAAACACATAGTTGATAGATATCACTATAGCTGCTGAATCCTGACGAGTATCATTAGCTCTAGTTAATTCATCTTGGAAGAAATTTCTTAAATTATCTTCAAGAGAACTTTGCTCACCTCCTGTTGGGTTTGTGGTTGGAGGTAAATCAGCTGTGGGTGTAGTTGATCTTGGAGTTGGTTGGGGTGTAGTTTGTGGCACCGTAGTGGTTGCCGATTGCTGACCCGCTTGTACATCAGCGGAATTGACTGATGGTGGTATTGAAGGGGTTGTTTCATCTCTTGTGGTACTGTCAACAACATCATTCGAACTGGAATGGGTCTCAACCTGTACTTCCTGAAGTTGGGCTGAATTCCCATTGTTGTTTGACCCAGTTGAAACTGATGCATCACCCCCTGATTGAGGTGGAATCTCAGAAGTAGTGATCCTCCCACTTGATTGATCCAACGACCTTGAACCAGTCGGACCTTCATTATTATTCTCACTCATCCCCTTGAACTTGGATGGCACTATTCTCTTTATAAAAATTTTGACCTTTCTTAATTTATTCTTTGTGACAATAATCTTTACTGATAAATTTTGTATGATAGGATTACAAATTCAAATGCGCATAGATTAGTGTCGTGACAGTTATTCGCATAGTGAGATCAAACAGGAAGAGATTACGTATAACGAAAATGACGCTATCTATAAATGTATTAAACTATTTATAATGAGATCATTGAAACCATAAGTAAACCAAAAGTCATAAACAAAATTTTTGGAGAGATTGAAATAAATGAAGCTCCGGATTCAGCATCAGAGTCTCCTGAAGAACCTGATGATGATCCTGAAGAACTTGAGGATGATGATCCACCACCAACAGAAATTCCTGAAGTAGCAGTAGATTCAGAACCTCCAGTGAATGCACTGGTAGCAGCACCAGAAGCTGTTTTAGCACCAGGAATGGAAGATCTGATTTGTTCAATATCTTCGTCGTCAGTATGTTTGACTTGAGCTAATGAAATAGTGTAGTCATCTAAATCGTAAACCACATAAGCATTTCTTAAAAAGTTATCTCCTAATAAGATATAATCACTACTGGAATCTTGAGGTAAGATACCGAAATAACAAGTTGATCTTGAAGCTGATAAAACATAATCTTTCAATGGAACGCTGATAGAAACTCCACTGAAATCGAAAGTTAATGCAATATCATCTTTGACATTACAATCAATGATATAAGCACCAAGGGAACTAGAATAATCTAAATCTAACATGGACCCAAGTTTGATCAATAATGATTGAGGGAAATATGATAAAGTTGAACCAGTATCTAATAAAGCAGCATATCCATTAGATGTAACGCTTTCAGTTGATGATCCAGATGTATTTAATTTGATATCATTGACATTGATTTCTAAACGAATAGGATCTTCATAACCCCAACTCTCTAATGAATTAACAACAGGCAAAGAAACTAAATCTCCTGAATATTTGGCGTGATCAACAGCTCCAAATAATATAGTACCGGTTTCAGAATTGGTATCACCCAAGTACAAACTATAAGCAGCTTTTTGAATAACTCCTTGGTTACGTAATTTGATAGGTAAATTTTCATATTGGTAACGACGACCTCCGGTGTCAGAAGAATAAGTGGTTTCCAATCCTGGTAATCCAATACCCAAAACACCGACGTTGGAAGAAGTTTCATTGACAACAGCAAAACTTAAACTATTAACAGTTGTGTTACCAATTTTGACGTCATCGTGTGCCCAAAATCCATCGGCTTCAGTACCATCAGCATATTGAATTTGGAAACTAGAAGCTGAGGAATTAGTTTGGAAACTGTCTGAGTTAGCAGTAGCGAAAGACCCGTAAGAAGTACAGGTATTGGCACTATCACCGAAATCTGAACCACTACCACTGTCAGGATTAATTACTGGAGCATCAGAAGCCGAAATACCTAAAGCACTTAAAATCTCACCTGAAAAGTCTTTACCCTTGACATTTGTTTTAGATGGCATTGGAGTTTCGTTTAATGAATCAACTTTAATATTACCAACGTGAATACCCAATTCTCTTTCTTCCAAGTCTCTAACACTGATACCTCCTATAGTTTCAGATAATCCACTTTGATATAAACTTCTCTTACTTGAACTACTACCAGAAACATCAAAACATGCAACATCGTGACTCATAACCCACAAATCTGACGATCCAGTATCAACTAGCACTCCGACCTTATCACCATTCGATCCCATTTCCAATTCGGTTAAATAAAAAGTTTGTTCATTGGTCATTTCCATGAGGAAACCATTCCGCTTAACGAATTTCGGTTTGGCATTAGGTGACATATCAAACTTATTTGAGCCTCTATGAATACCGAAATTCAATCTAAAGAAGTCATCATCACCCCTGGCAATACCCAGTAAAACCGCTAATGTACTTAAAGTAGAAATTTTCATAACTATTACAATGAAATTTGGAAACAGGAAAGGTCAACTAAATATAATTTTCACCGCGCATAGAAAATAGGCAGTGACTATTTTTAGATGATTACAGCCAAGGTTAGTGACCGAGATTATTAATACGGATCGAAATCTAAGGGGTAAGAGTATGGGGTTTTCAGCCTCAAATGTATCATTTCTTAAAATTGACAGTTATTTTGATAGTTAATTGATAAAGGATATGACCATGTCATTTGAGCCCTTCAAATTTGTATAACACCAGAACATTGTATATGCACCTGTACATAATTTTTCACTATAAAGACAATAATAAGCCCAATAAGAAGGATAAAACCAAAATACCAACAGTGTTGAATGGTCTATAACCTCCATCGAATAAAATTCTAGGACTTGAGGCACCACCTCCTGCACTTGTACTTCTTGAACCAGATGTCCTTGAAGAAGACCCATAATTTCTGGTTCCTGAATAATAGTAATCAGCATATGTAGTTTCATAATTTGTGTTGGTGACATAACCGGTGAAAGCTTCAGTTTCAGCTGTTGAGATAGAATCAGCTTTTGGGATGGATGATTCAATAATTTCAATATCCTCTTCATCAGTATGTTTAACTTGAGCCAATGAGATAGTCAAGTCATCTAAATCGTAAACGACATAAGCATTTCTCAAAAAGTTATCACCTAATAAGAAATAAGTACTGTAACCTGGAAGAATACCAAAGAAACAACTCGAAGTGGTATTGGTTTCGTAAACGAAATCGTTTAATGGAGCATTGATCTTAACTCCACTGAAATCGAAATCGATCGAACCTTCATTATCATAATCACAATCAATAAGGTAAGCCCCATAATAACTATTGTACCTTAAAGCTAATTGATCCGCGAGTTTACTTAAAACTGCTGATGGGAAATATGATAAAGTTGAACCAGTATCAAGTAAAGCAGGATATTTGTAATAGTTGACAGCCACCTCACCTGAAGAATTCTTCAAGTTAACACTATCGATATTGATTTCCAAACGTGCGGCATCAACATAACCGTAATCTTCCAACGTATTGACGATTGGTACTGATTTCAAAGTACCTTCATATTTGGCATGATCAACAGCACCAAACAAAATTGTACCAGTTTCAGCATCATTGCTTCCTAAATATAAACTATAGGCGGCTCTTTGGATGATACCCTCACTACGTAATTTAAGGGGTAAATTTTCATACTGATAACGGCTACGACGACCATTGGTTGGATCATAAGTCATTTCCATACCTGCTAATCCAATTCCTAAGACAGCAACATCGGAAGATGTTTCATTAACAACAGCAAAACTTAACCCACTAACAGTAGTGTTACTGACTTTAACGTTATCAGTACCCCAAATACCCGTAGCTCCAGTACCATCTGCGTATTCAATGGTGAATGCAGGAGCGGAATCATTCTTCTTGAAAGTATCAGACTCACCAGTAGCAAATGAACCGTAAGTAATACAGGCATTAGTTTCGCTGGCCGAGGCAGAGTCAGCAGTAGCAGAGGCTCTAATTGAAGTTGATCTTCTACTGGAATTTCTTGTGTTTATACCTTGCCCAGGAGCTACAGAAGCAAAGACGAATTCCGAAGTTTCTGTTCCGGTTGATGAACTTTCATCTTCTTCTTCGTCACCATCAGCTTTGACATGAATGTTCTTGAGTAAAGTTTCATCGCCAGATTTTCCACTAATAGCATCCACCAAAACATCACCAACATGCATTCTGTCTCTCTTAGAAGTCTTGGAATCTCTTTTGTAATACGATGGAGCATAACATTCCACATCATTACTTGGGATCCATAAATCAGATGACCCCGTATCTACTAACACTTTTACCTTATCACCATTGGAACCAATTTCTAAATCGGTGACATAAAAAGTCTTTTCATTAGTCAATTGCATAGTAAAAGAATCTCGTTTAAAATATGGCTTACCTCCCAATTGCATCTGTTTCTTGTCGTCACCTCTATGGAGATCGAAATCAATTTTTAAAACATTCTTACTGGTTACCAAAGTAATCAATGATAATAATACCGAAACTTTCATCTTGAGCTACTCTGAATAGTTCAATTCCTTTGATTCTGCTCGATATATATACAAGTCTTGGACAAATTTTCATCATTTTTTTCTCCTTAAATACGAATAATTCCTGTGTATACAGAGGTCAATGTTCCTAATATCGATCATCCACTACCCTCAAGATTCCTAAGTAAAGCTCAAATTAACGTTCAGATGACGCAACATGGAGCTCCAATAACCATATAATCAAATCAGTGACCATAATTGGAGAGTAATCAGTTACAGGGGGAATGTTTTTTTTACATGTGCCCTTTACAGATCTCGGAAAAAATATGAGGTTGCATTTAAAAGCCTCTTATCTTTTCGAAGCCTCTTTTAATTCCACCCCTTAATCGAAAGATTTTAAAGAGTGGGCTTTAGGGGTGAGATTTATTTTGAAAGATGACGTTCAAGATCGGTAATTTTAATCGACTAAATTGGTTATAAGGAATGTGAAAGTTGGAAATTAAAGTTAAATTTTCATTCTTGATTTCGTCAGTCATTACAAATGTGATTTTGAAGGTCATAATAGGCTCAATGGATGACTGCTAATATACCTATGGTGTTCACCAATGTTAATTTTACGATCTTCGTAAACCTCATTAAAACGTGGTGAAGGTACATGGTGATCAAGAAAAATTTGTGTAAATTTAGTTCCGCTTCCCCCAAAGAGACTGTATGCAATATTTTCCCTCTAAAACATCACTTGAATGATTACAGTCTAATGATCAATATGACGACATCGAAACAAGTAATCCAGTTAAGATGTTCTTGGAATGTAGCTTGTCTCCTAGCTAAGTCACCGAAATCCGATGATCTACATTGCGTCAGATAGATAAGTTATTGCATATGAAAAGATCGCGTGACCTTATCAAAGATCTTATCGGAGAGAGGCTTTCAAGACATGATTCAAAGCATCATTCATTAAATTAAATACAAGGTAAGTGGTAATAGATACAACATCCAAGGAAAACTGTAAGTTGAAGCTGAATTAAAAGCAATTTCAGTGGAATTTGATCCTTTTCCTACTACAGTAATATCATCCTTATTATTGGGAGAAGCTGCTCTTCCAATGAATAAAGCTTCATCTTCTAAGTCCACTACTATATAAGCATCTATAAGGAAAGGTCTTCCTAATACAATCTTCTCTTTCGATTGAACTATTGAAATTAAGCCATTACTATCAACTAAGTTTTGAAAAGATATAGGTATAACCAAATCACCAAATTTGAAATATATCGTATCATTAGTATTTGACGTTTGATAATAATCGGGATAATCCGATGAAATATTAGCATTAAGAAGGTTCATAATTGTGTTGAAAATCAATGGTGGTAACCCCAAATTATAAGAATTATTATCAATTATTGTGGTGATGGTAGAATTTGAAAGGGCCAAATCATTCAATATTATCCCATCAGTTTTGAATTGTAAAGATTTATCAATCAAAGGAATTTGAACTAAATCACCTCTATATTTTTCGTGATTTATGGCTCCAAATAAAAATTCTGACATGGAAAATGGTAAACTATTTAATGAATACATAGCCTTTTTGATTATTCCTTGATTCTTTAATTGGTAAGGGAAATTTAAATACTTCACAGAAGATTGACCATTATTCAAATTATTTCTATTACAGAATTCATCTTCAATAAATCCTACTCCCAATACTCCGTAAACACTAGTTGATTGGTTCAAAAGTGACATTTGCATACCTTTAATAGTTTTGTTACCAATGTTGAAGGTATCAATTCCCCAAACATTCCCATAACCTACTAAGTCACCAGATTCAAAGCTATAACTGTATTGGGTACCATTCTTCACAAAACTTTTCGAATTCCCATCATGAAACACACTAGCTTGCGTACTACATACCTGATATAATGCTTGGGCGTCAGTGGTGTTGGAATTTCCTGACCATGAACATGCGGTGGAACTATTGAATAATAACAAATCTGATTTAGTCATATCAATATTTATACTAACTAATTCTTTCTCTGATCCAACATATGTATCTATTTTCAGATTGGGTAATCTAAGATATCCCTTACCTAATACATGTTGAATACATAGGAGGAATATCAATAATATCATATTTGGTAATAATTAATATTTTTTATTCACTGGCTCATGAATTTTTTTGCAAGGATTTCTCGATCTTAAATACTTGAGAAGTTTTTACGATTTATTTTTTTACGACGAGGCGAAGGAGCTATTAACCTAATGAACTTTTAGTTGAGATACGTTAGACGTTGATGGGAAATACCGTTTGAATGTATGGAAGATTCTTGAAAAGTTGTCCAATAATGTCCATTGTAAGCAACTAAGCTCCTTTTATTGATTTTGAGGCGGTTCATTAATTAAGAAATCATACATATATGGAGAGATGAGGTTTATGATAGATTAATTGTCACATTAAATTTTGGCATATTCATTGATGAATACCGTAATGACTCGAAGATCTTTGTATAACTCGTATGATAAACGTTAATTGTGTTGATCATTTCATGATAAGGTAAATTATCATAACATTCGCTTGGACATTTCGCCTAAAATAAATGCCAATGAAATAGTCGATGTTTTTAATCTTAGGGCTATTTTCACTAAATAAATAATAACCACACCATTCTAATAAGACGTGTAAGAGTAAAAATTCCAACTTATTCTCGTAATCCTCATACATTCACTATCAACAGTCAACCGAAGTAAAAATTGTTTAAAAATGCCTTAAATGAAGATCTAGTCCCAGGCTAAAAATACCTGAACAATATTTCCCGATGGGGACGAATTTATCGGCGTCAATGAGTATGTCGTGCATCATCGATTTTCGCTACATGCGACATTATGCCACACTTTTGAGAGAATTTGTTTAAAATTATACATTAAAATATCACTTTAAAAATCGTGTTCTTCTTCACTTAATGATGGTTCTACAACTGCCTCTATGTAACCATTGATAACTGTGTCAGTGATTTCAAACCCATTGAATTTATCTTTGTATCTGAGGAATAATTCATCATTCATTTCTAAATCTTCAGTGATGAGAATCTTTGTCTGAGGATCACATTGTTGAATATATTCGAAGAATTCCCATATTCTCGTTATATAGTTCAACATGGTCTCTGTACATCCAAAGAAATTATCAATGAATGGTTTATATAAGTCAAGTAATTTGTTATTCAAATCCCTACAGAAATCATCCAATATAAGTTCACTATTGTAGACTGTGTTATTGAAAAAATTGTTCAACTTGATAAGCATTTCTATTGATTGGTTGAAACTAGTAAGATGTACTAACCTTGAATTCTTAAAATCTTTGATAAATTTGGTGAAAAACCTACTGAAATTTCCATTCATTATATTGAACAACTGTTTTAAATCAAGCACATATTTCTTATCATCATTCAAATCATATTTCAATTTGAAACAAATCAAAAATACTTGTGCTACTACGGTACTGTGCACAATGAATCTAAGATGATAAACATTGGATTCATTGAGCACCGAATTCAATAGATTACCTCCATCTTTTGCTAATATATTATCCAATCTCATGTAATGATTATGTAAACTTATAATCGTGGTAATATAGGAAGTGTACCTCAAAGAAGGGAAATAATTCAGTTCAATTTTTATGAAACTTAACCATTTCACAAAAATAGTATTAACAATAGTATTTTTCAAAAATGATACTACATTTTCTTTAGTGCAACTATTGAAATTTGATTCAGCTTTAACAAACTCATCTCCCGATTTCTTATAGAATTCGTCATAAACCGATAAATAAGTCTTAACTACAGTTTTGAAATCATTACCTACATTAGCATTGAATTGCTTGAAATAAGCTCCCGACAAAACCAAAGTATATCTCTGACATTCATTTCTTATCCCCGTCAAATCATTATCATAAACGAAACTTAAAATATCAGCTGATGGTATGATGGCATTTTTATATTGAAGATTCAGTTGTAATAACGATGACTTATATTGGAAATATAAGATGTCCAATTCAATGGTTCGAATTCTCATCCAATATCTTAAGATTAATTTGATTTTGAAACTATCAGCATCTGACATCTTTGTAGAGCAAATTTGCTTATTCGACAATACACCCATGTAAGTTTTATTGAATAATAAGTTGGAAAGTAAATTATTGTACTCGAAATGATTCTCTTCACAGTTATTAGAATATTCATAATAATTTTCTGCTGTTAAATACCAAACAAGCATACATGTAATACCCAAAAAACTATCAATGTTTTTACACCTATCACGTAATTCCTTACTGAAAGCTATACATTCCCTAGCAAGCTTTTCATGAGAGGACTCACCACTGTAACATAACTTAGGATTAGCCAATAAACCAAGAGCTGAAATAATCAACGCTAAAGATAAACATCTAAAACCAAACAATTCAATATAAATCTCTTCCTCGTTGGAATTAGCAATGTCATTACTTAATTTGATTGACCATCTTATGATCAAAGGTATATCGATCAATTCAAGTAAATCAGTGTAAAAGCATGAAAAGTAACTCAAGAGAAGTTTTAAGAAATGACCATTAGAAGGGAAAATTTCACGAAATTTACGAACTTCTTCTTTGGTCAATTTAATCATTGAAGTCTTCTCAGCTTCAATATCATCATGGAAAACAGATTTCCCGTTTTCTAAGATATGAACTTTGAACGGATTAAAAGAATCTTCTTTGAAAGAAAATTCCATATTATGACCAGCAAAGAAGTCAATGATTGCCTGTTTATCCTTTTCATCACCTCCAATCAACGGAGTACTGACACTTACGGGTAAATATTGATAAATATTTGGAGGATTGGTCATTTGGAGCGACTGATGAATCGGAGGTAATTGATTAGTGTATTGACCTTGATGACCATATTGCCCACCTAAAGGAGGTAATTGGTTTGGTAAAGGAAGTGGTATTTGAGTGAATTGTCCACCACCAACCATCATGGGTGGATTTTGTAATTGATGACTTGGTAATTGATTCAGCATTTGACCTGGTGTTTGATGACTCTGTAAAGGTTTCATATGCATCAAAGTATAAGATAAAACTGGTTCACTATTAACTTCAGATACATCAGTTTTCCTTTTATTGATCCTTTCACGTCTTTCTTGAATTAATTTTAACTCATCTTTATTTGGTGGATTAGGGGGATTTAATCGACATTTATCCTCTCTCTTAAATTTTTGACAACTTGAGCATGGCATTTGTAAATCACATTTAATCTTTAACATCTTACATGGACCACAACTGTAACTCCTTCTTTGTCTCTTCTTAGTCATCATCTTTGAACAAATAATTAAATAAACAAAATATATAAAAAAATCACTATTCGTAAAATATGCAATACCCAATCGGGATTATTCAAAAGTTTATATAAACTTATTATAATGTTCCAAATTAAAGGAGATTAAAACAATACGATAAATAATAAGTTGACGTGGAAATATTATTTAAAACTAAATCTCAAAACTTAAAATACTTTAGTTCACCGAAAAATCGCTTTCAATGTGATATGTATAATTCTGCCTCTTAAAACGGAGTTGTTTCAAAATTCTCAATTTCTCACCATTCGCATTTCCATGGTGAGGGAAAAATCTCTTTCGGTGTGCGCGAAAAGTGAAAAACTTTTGTCCAATAATAATTGTGAGAAATAAGTCTAGTCAAATGTTTAAGATTAATCGTTTGATACCTTTAACTTCAAGAAGATTCATATCTTCTAGTTATGTTAGATTAAGTGAACATGAATTACCTGATTTAAATAAATTACCAAGAAGAAAACCTCAAGATATTAATGTACCATTAGTTAACCCTGCTGACAAGTATAAGGAAGTTAGTGAAGAATTACATAAATTTGGTAAATATATTATGGGATGTATGCCAAAATATATTCAACAATTCAGTGTTTGGAAAGATGAATTAACTGTTTATGTTGCCCCATCAGCTATAAGACCAACCATGGCATTTTTAAAAAATCATACTTCAGCACAATTTAAAGCTGTAATGGATGTTACAGCCGCTGATTATCCTTCAAGAACTAATAGATTTGATGTTGTTTACAATATGTTAAGTGTTCGTCATAATTCTCGTATTAGAGTTAAAACTTATGCTAATGAAATTTCTCCTGTCCCATCAGTTGTTCCTTTGTTCGCTGGTGCTAATTGGTATGAAAGAGAAACCTATGATTTATTTGGTATTTTCTTTGAAGGTCATCCAGATTTAAGAAGAATTATGACTGATTATGGTTTTGAAGGTCATCCTTTAAGAAAAGATTTTCCAACAACTGGTTACACTGAAGTTAGATACGATGAAGAAAAGAAAAGAGTTATTTATGAACCTTTAGAATTAACTCAAGCTTCAAGATCTTTCACTGTTCCTCACTCTTCTTGGGAACAAGTTGGTGAAGGTAAAGATTTCACCCCAGAAAACTTCAAATTACCTGTTCCTGAACCAGAACCAGAACCAGAATCTGATGGTAAAAAATAATGCATATATTTATTCGTTTTGAAATCTCTAGATTTATGTTTCGAGGCTCTAAAATGACTTTGGGTAGGCTCTGAAACAGCTCTTGAAGAGGCTATAAAAGAATACTCTTTTTATATATTAACTTAATTGACTAATTTCTTCCTGTAAAACTGACAATTCATTTTGTTTCAGTTTTAAAAATTCTTCTAAAGTTGATACTTGAGTTTCTATAACTTCAATGTCATTTTTTACATCAGTTAAATCTTTTTCACCTCCTGAATTTATTTTACTTTCTTTAAAATTTAATAATAATTCCAATTCATGTTTAACTATACTACTTTCTCCAGAACTTTCTGTTTCTTTTGTGGTTTTACTCAATAAATCTTCAAGATTTGCGAGTTCTCTTCTTAATCTTACAACTTCCCAATCAGTTCCTTCAGTGGCTGAAAAATCAGTCCCATTATCCTTAATATTGGTAGATCCAATCTTATTCAAATAATCATTGGCAAACCCTTTTGTACCAACACTGACATTGGTTTGAGGGGTAACTTTTTGGGCATTCAAATCATAATTTGGTTGTTCTTTTGAAAATGTTGCTCTTAATGATGCTGGTACTCCACGAGGTACTCTTTTTCCGTTAGATCTTTGATTTAATATATGTAAGAATATGAGAACTTGATCTTTATCAATGGTTTCAAATTGCTTAGGATTGACTAAATTCCATGCTGACGAAACATCTAATCGAGGTACATTATTCAATGTTTTGTATAAATCCTCCAATGATTCAAATTTAACTCTTCCATAATCATCACAATTATTATCATAGATAGCTTCATAAGATGCTTTATCAGTGGGACTTATATACCAATCAAAATTATCGGATAATTGTTCATCTTCGTCATCACCACTTGATCCTACATTATGGAAATTGTTATTACCATTATTCACAGCTTTATTTGCATGAATCAAATGAGCTTTAGATGCCGGAACTAACCAACTAGGTAATTCCGATGGTACTCCAGATTTATTATCATTCACCATATCATAGATAAGTCTCATAGTGATACAAAATTCTTCGAAATCTAATTTACCGTCATTATCGATATCACTCAATTCCCAGATCTTAGATAATGTATCATCGGGTAATCTGGAATTCTTAAGAATCGGAGATACTCTATCCCCGGTTAACTTATTGTCAGAAGGTTTCAAACCTTGGAATATCTCCCAATACTTTTTAATTTCCCAATCTTCTAATCGTGGCATATCTCAATGGGTGATCTTGTGCGACTCCTGAATCAACAGTTTTCGACGATACCGTTTGAGGCCATGCTCGCGCCAGATGGGGCTAAAATTTGGCGAGAGGTGGCTCCAGTAAGTGAGAGCCAAGAATAGAACAAAGTACAATAGATAAATTATTTATTCATGTTTTCGTCAGGAAGTTCTTCAGAAGAATGTTCTCTAACCTGTTTCTTCCTATCATAGTATGCAACAACTTTGAATGATACAAGGGATAGAAATATAACCCCACTTAAAAATGTGAAGGTTCCTCCAACAGTCATTGATTTCATCATTGATTCTTGAGCTGCAACAAAAATTGCTGATAATAAACCTCTCATTAAATTCAAGCATGATGATGCGGCTGATGCTTGCGATGGGTATAAATCTATTAATAATGTCTGCAGAATACTTAACATGCAAACAGCTATAAACGAATGAATGAATGAAGCAATGAATATTGGTGCTAAGTTTACTTTGTAATCAATGCACCAGCCAAAAACTAAGATTGATGCAATATTTACCAATATCAACCTACTCATGAATTCAGATCTTACTTTATGAATGTTAAATGGTTCTCTAGGTTCGGGAGACTCATTCCAAGCCGACTTCCTTCTTTTATAGTTCCAATTTAAGACTCTACCACCAATGATTGATGCTAAAATACTACCAATACCTGCAGGCAAATAACTTAACCCTGATTGAATATCATCGAATCCATAGGAATCCTGTAAGATGGTCGATAAAGCTACTTGAGATACAGTCCAACATGCAAATTGTAAACCTGCTGGTAATATAGTGAAGAATACTACTTTATTAAAAAAAATTTTCAACGTATTGAAAACATTGGACTTCTTAGTTCTAGGCATGATAGTTGAAGTGTCGTTGTTAAGCCTGTTCTTGAATCTATTGTGTAATAGTAATGGACACCATTGGTAAAAGTGTTTAGGAGTTACTGATTGATTTCCAACTAGCGTACGGTTAGTCTCTGGAAGGAAAATAAAATTAAGGATCAATGTTAAACCTCCACCAATTGCACAAAATACAAATATACCTGGCCAATTCCATCTACTTACTAACAAACCCCCTAAAAGACCCCCGAAAGCTTGACCAATTAAAGTGAATCCGTTTACAAATCCAGCAAACCCTCCACGCTTAGACCTTGGAGCTAAATCTCCTACAATACCAAAGGATGTGGATATTATTGAAGCAATAGATATCGCTTGAAATGATCTTAAAACCGCAAGAGCCCAAAAAACTCGAACTTGGGAAGTACCAATGGAAACACATGTAAAGGAAAATAATAATCCAAGGGTAATTGGTCTTCTCCCGTAGGTATCAGCTAATGCAGATATAAATAATGGACTTGTACTCTGAAAGATTAAATATATAACGATGACTAAATTTGCAAGTCCTACAGAGATATTGAATTCTTCTGTGATGTTTGGGATAGCAGGATAGAAGAAAGATGACGACGTCACTGACCAAAAACACGCCATCGCTATGAATATTCCCAAGACATAAATTTCTCTTGTGTCAAAAATTGAGTAAAGAGCATCTTCCTGCTTTTCTAAATCTTCAACTGAATTTTCTGATACATTGTTTGCATCATCTGGTAATCCCGTTGTCGATACTTTACTCTCACTTTCATTAGTTGTGATATTAGGTCGAGTTGCATTTATCTCGCTCATCGTATTCAGTTTATCCATGAAGAAAATGTGTCATCAGAGCCCTTTTATAGATTTCGGCATTATTCCGTTAACATCGCTAAAACTCCATCTTACCGCTTACGTAAGATGTGCGTAAGCGTATGTGCGAATGAAATAAAACGGTTGTGAAAAAAAGGGCCGAATCCATTATCTATTACTAATGTAAACTAATTAAATCTACGACTATGTGCCAAACATCAGGAGCGAATGTTTTAACTTTGACCAAATCTTTGAATTCGCAAGGGAAATAGTCAAGTAAGACCCCTTCGAATTTGTTAAATTCATCTATATGAACATTTTCATGAACATGTATATATGTAGGAATGGTTGACAATTGCAATATCTTATTGGTCGTCTCCCATGATTGTACAGATGATGGAAGTAATCCAAGATTTATGTGACTAATGGGTGCGCTTCTCTGGAATCTGTGTAATGCAAGTTCGTTAGTTTCGTTAAATATGAATACTTGTGTATCGTCATCAATTATATCTTCACCTATTTTGAATTTGAATCCATTGGCGATACAATTGCGTTTAAGAGCCTCAATCGACCATGGATTGAGTTCAAAACATACAACTTTCCCTCCATTTTTCAAATAACTCAAGGTAAAATAACCAATACCCGCATATAAATCAAATACCCAAGTTTTGTTTAAATTTTTGAAAGTATCCAAGAGTCTTTTCTTTTCTTTGATATTTCCTCGTGAAAACATGGTGAATCTTGGTGCCCATGTTTGGTGAATTCCATTTTGTACTGTACTACACCAGAAAGCTCTGTCGAAGTCTTCTTTGGTGGGTTTAGTCAAAAGGGTTAGGTCCACTGGTGGTCCAAAATCTCCATAGATAGGGTTGATGTTAGTGGGTATCCTCATTACATTATCGTCAACAATTGGTTTATTAATGGCAATATGTGAAACTTTGAAATACTTAGCTATCGCCTCGAACAAAAGTGTTTTATCGTATTTTTTGAATTCCTCATCCCAAATCGATGCATCTAGAGTCTCACTATTGAACAAGATCATAGGTTCATATATTATCCATTTCTTAGGGATATATTGTACGAGATCTTCCTTAAATCCGACATCAATCTTTTGATAGAAGTGTCGTATGGTACTCTCCAAATTATCATTTATAACGGTATACTCGTAAATATCGTATGGAAGGTTATAAGGAACAGGTTCACTTTCTTCAAATAAAGTATATATAATTGATTTCCCCTCAATTTTCTCGATTTTTCTGGCTTTGTTCAACTTATTCCTCCTATCTAAGTCATTCTTCACTTCTTTGATGGATTTGGGATCATTAATGATCAATTTGTAATATTTCATCTCATCTACAAGTTAAATCATAAACCGCGAATTTTCGACCAACCAAACTTCTCAAAATATCGACTGAAAAGTTTTGGCCATAAAAGTATGTATCCAACATTGATTATTTGACATATCTCCCAACGTTATTGAGTGCAATTACTTCAATAATTGGATTTGTGTTCCATTATATAGAGTTTTGTTGAATAAAAATTTCAATGGGTCACCCACATAAACAACAATTCCATGAACAAATACTAACAATCTAGATGTCTGAACAAAAATTATTATCCCCTTCACAAAGCTTATTGAACGACAAATGGGATGTTGTCTTATCAAACACTTTAATTAAAACTGGTTTAGGTTTCGGTGGTGGTGTTTTAGCATCCGTTTTATTTTTCAGAAGAAGATCTTTCCCTGTCTGGATTGGTGTTGGATTTGGTTTAGGTAGAGGTTACGCAGAAGGCGATGCTGTGTTTAGAGGTAATTACGGTTTAAGAACTGCTAACAATTAGTACATTAGAACGAAAATTTAGAATGCATATTCATGTAACTTTCATGTTTCTCTAGGGTTTTTGAAAGGGTTTCCGGTTGTATGATTGAGGTTTGATATTTCGGTCAAATTCCTTAGGTTAATAAATCGATCTGACGATTTCCTTACTTTTCTCTGATCTCTTGATGTACAAGTCTTTAAATCCATCCATAAGAAATTCGCAAATGTCAACTACAGACCAAATTATCAGTGGTGATTTGGATCTTTATGAATTCTTGGAAGTCCAACCAAATTGTGATGATACAATTATAAGGAAACAATATAGGAAGAAAGCTCTTGAGTATCATCCTGACAAGAACTCCGACTCCAAAGACAAATTTCAAATATTATCCCAAGTTTATGAAATATTGAGTAATGAGACCTTAAGAGAGCAATATGACGAAATACGACAAAGGAAGCTCAACCAGAAACATATTGACAGTCAATTAGATGAACAAACTAAACGTTTCAAAGAAGAACTTCTCAAAGCAGAAAAGAAATTCGATAGCAAGAAAACATTCAGTTCAGTGGATGCTATTGAGCTTCAAAAGATAAGAGAGGACGGTGCCAAAAGGCTCAAAAAGCTAGAATCAAGAATTTTAAACTCCAGTGCTGCATACGTATCGTACAAGGATTTAGAAGTGGACAAAAAGATAGACATAACGGACAATTCAGAAAAAACAACCAAAGTTATACTCAAATGGAAACTTAAGCCTGAACTAGAAGATAAGTTAACCCTCTCCATGATCAGTGAAATTATGACAGTTTTCGGGCCCGTAGAATCAATTGAAAAAATTCCTAGTAGTGACAGATATGAGTGGGCATTACTTAGGTTCCATAATGAAGAGAACGTTGATAGAGCTACTCAGCATAATTATAGAGAGAGTGCGTCATTATGGGATGGAACTCCATATCGAAAGTTGGCTAGCTTACTTAGAGATTGCATCATTTATAATCCCACCACCAAGGACAAGAATCTCGATTCTAGGTTTGAAAAATATAAAAAAGAAAGTGGCATCACGGAAGATATTTTCACCGATAATGAAATAATTAACGACGTTATGATTCAGAAGATTAATGAAGAAATATCCAAATCGTATCTGACTTGAAAGACGTAGAATTCTGTCAACAAGCCTTTTGAAATTCGATTGATGTTTGACGAATTATCCTTAAATATCATAAGATATTCAGTGACAATCATGTCAATAAAATAGACAATTTTTAAATAAGGATAAATATATTAATCATCTCTCCAACTTACAAAAACTTCATCAGTTCTAAATCTCTGAGTACAAACAGTATCTTTTAAATCATTGATTTGTCCCATTCTATAACTTAATAACCCTGCATGAGCAATCATGATTCCATTATCTATACAAAATCTTTCATCAGTAGCATGAATTGATCCATTTTTACGTTCATTAACCATTAACTCCATCATTTCCTGTAATCTTTCGTTACTTCCAACCCCTCCTACGATCAAAACTTGATTACTTTGAACATGTGCCATAGCTCTTTCTGTTATTTCTACCAACATTGAAAATAATGATTCTTGTAACGAATAACAAAGATCTTCAGGGGTAATCAATTCCCCCGATTCTTCATCTATTAAATTCTTATTCTTTTTAGGGTTCGATGAGAATAAATCTTTGGCTAAAACCTCAATGTATGACAATATACCGGCCATGGATAAATCCATACCTTTAACAGTGTATGGTAATGTTACTAAATGTTTACCCTTTTTAGCCATTTGTTCGATGTTATAACCAGGGGCTGGGTCATTAGAAATCTTTAATACTCTGGCAAATCTATCGAGACAATTCCCTATAGCAATGTCTAAAGTCTCTCCAAAAATTCTGTATCTTTGTCTCGAATATGCAATGATTTGAGTGTTTCCTCCACTTACATATAAAACCACCGGATTGTTGGCACCAGTGATTTCTCTTCCCATTTCAATATGCCCTACACAATGGTTCACCCCAATTAAAGGTAATTTCCATAATTGTGATAAGGTTCTAGCTGCTATTACTACACTTTGTAATGGAGCACCCATTCCTGGTCCTTGAGTGAAACAAATGCAATCCAAATCGGTCCCCTTGATACCAGCATCAACCAAAGATTTCTTTATGATTCTTACTACCCAATTACGATGGTGACGAGCAGTATCCCTGGGTAAGAAACCTTCTCCTGGTGGTGTAATGTATGTATCTCTAACGTTAGATAACACTTCAGCTCGATTTTCCGATGAAAGTTGACCTAAATTATGTTTTATCACACCTACACCTAATTTGTTAGCTGAACCTTCAAGTCCCAAAGCCAAATAATAGTCTTTTCCCGGTTTCTTAAATTTATCTAAATCAACCGTCATCTCACCAACTTTCAGTATCTTTTCGCAGTCGCACTGAAATCATAAATACCAAAAAACAAACACGGTTAAATAAAACGCAAAAAGGTTAAGATTTAACGAGAAGAACCTGAAGATGCCTACACTACAACATTATCTTGAGAGAATAGAACAGCTGAGTGGTACTATTGGTAGCTTGGAGTTCGACTCTCCAGGGATTTTTACCAATGCCATGACTAAAATATCAGGAATTACTGAGATCTTGCAAGATAGGGATGCTAAGGCTAGATCCTTATATAAGATAAGTAAACCTATTGGTAATAAGACTTCATATGGTAGAGTATCAGAGATGATTCTAGAAAGAGTGGATGGAAAATCTACCTTCGTGATAGATGATCAAAATGATTATTTAGATCCTGAAACTAATAATTATGGTAAAAGAGTTGCCGCCAAAGTACCTCAATTAATAGACTTAAGTCAACAACAAACAAAATCGGAATCAGATTTCAGTAGCTCACCCACCAGAACAAGTATAAATCATAAATCAGGTGAAATCCAAAATCTTTATGATGAATTAACTACCCTCATGAATCAATTACCTAATGAACAAGGATCACATCAATTAGATGAAGCAAGAGAATTAAAACCTAAATATGAATCCTTAATTGATGAAATAACCGAATTTGAAAAGGAGATTGGGGACGATTCGCATGATCAAGATATTATTGATGAATTTAGTAACTTGGATGCTGATATAATGAGAGAAGAAGAAGAAATTAAACAAATAGAAGCTGAACTTAAGTCTTTTGCTTCGTAAATATGTATTTTAGTATATAACGGATGGATCAATACTTTCTCTCTTTAATTTACTTATTGAGATATTGACATCAACTCACAGAAGATCAGAGAACTAAAGATAATTAGATTAAGGATGTCTATTATACAAGAACTACTTAGATTGAAGTTAAGATATCAGAATCACCAGCATCTAAAACGGCTAAAGTACCAACTCTGAATAATTTACCACAAACGGTACCTAATTCATTGTTACCACCTTGGAAGTAGTAGACTTGAGTTTTAGATAACATAGCGTAGTATTCTAATTCAGATTTTCTTAAAACTGGGGTGTTACCAGCAATAATGATTAATTTGGCTTTACCAGTTCTTAAAGATTTAACAACTGATTTGTAACCTAAGGTATATTTACCTGATTTAACAACTAAACCTAATTTAGCGTTGATAGTTTCTTGATTTTTTGCTTTTGGGGCCTATTATAGTTAGTATATAACTCTACTGAGTAAAATTATTGGTATTATTAACATAAGTCCTGAAATTTCACATTTTCACCATGATTTTTCACCTGTGAAAAAGTCTAGTAAAATTAATGAAATTTTGCAATAAACATCATCAACAAGATAAACTAATACCTCATTGATATAAATCAGTATTATAATTAGATGATATATGGACTCATATTAACCAAATGAATGTATACTGACCATCTCTGTATTTTCACTCCGGTCTTGGATATAGAAAAAATTTAATCTGGTGCGAAGACTTTGATGTACTTCGTTCCGCAGTCACAAATTAATAAAACTTCTATTAGGGTTTTTGCCCTAGATTTTTGCGGGACTGTTTTTCGATTATTTTACTTTGGCACGACTAACAAGTTTAATGTTAGAAAAAATTCTCATTAGTGGAAATTTGAAAAAATCTATTAAGAATTTATCAAAAGTATGTTTCCATAATATTGAAGATTAACGGGTTATTGAAGTTATGAAAAGTGAAATGTAGATACAGAAAGGAAGTTATCTTGAAATATTGTTTACAGTGAAAAGACAGATAGAAGTTTTAACCACAGAGAATATCAAAATAATTCAACATGACAAATGTATTAAAAACCTTGAACAAGCCCCAAGGAAATGAATTTAATATACCGTTAATCTTATTAAACCATTTTGTGAATGAAATACTAACAAGTTTTTAGTGAAAGTTGAAATTGATTCCTTTTCAGGTTCAAAAATTTACCCAGGTAGAGGTACTTTATTCGTCAGAGGTGATTCAAAAGTTTTCAGATTCCAATCATCAAAATCTGCTTCTTTATTCCACCAAAGAAAGAACCCAAGAAGAATTGCTTGGACCGTTTTATACAGAAGACAACACAAAAAAGGTATCTCTGAAGAAACTTCAAAGAGAAGATCAAGAAAAACCGTCAAACACCAAAGAGCTATTGTTGGTGCTTCATTAGATTTAATCAAAGAAAGAAGAAACTTAAAACCTTCTGACAGAAAAGCTGCTAGAGATCAAAAATTAGCTAAAGATAAAGAATCTAAAAAAGTTGCCAAAGCTGCTAGAAAAGCTGAAAAAGCTAAATCTGCTGCTAATGTTGCTCAAGGTAAATTATCAAGACAACAACAAAAAGGTGCTTTCCAAAAAGTCCAAGCTACTTCCCGTTAATAATGTTTATTAATTATGATTATATAAAACTGTTAATAAATATTTTGTATACGTAAATCCACAAGTATCATTACTATACTCTCAAAATTCTTTCTCCCAATGCGTAGTTTCCTTTATTCCTGCTTTGAATTACTTTGATTTTATCTTTGAATCGATATCCAAAGTAAAATGATTCAGTGGTATGATAGTAAATCAATTGCTTGTAGTTATCTTTTTTATGGTTGACCAATAAGATAACCCCTACATAGAGCTTGGGTTTCCCGTTGATAACAATATTTAATGGGACCCTTTCACTTTCTGCTATTAGAAATTCATGAATATTGGTTTCAGGGTCTTGTAATAATTGATTAATCAACAAATTGGATAGGTTCAATAAAATGATGTCTTCGCCATTACCACTACACATACAACTAACCTCTAGTTCGTTGTTGCTTTTTATACCAAGTCCACTGCCTATGATGCCAGCACATCCTATTCTACTAGGTAACTTCAAAAAGTTCCCTCCAGAAGATGCTGCAACTGACGTTATGTCACCAACTTGGTGTATGAGTCCAATAGTATCTTGAACTTCTTCTTTCGGTATATCTATGAAGCCTTGTTTGTAAATCTCATACTTCTTATTTTGATTGTCCAGTACAAGATTTGATTCTTCTTCATTCTCCAATCCAAGCTTCTGGTACACAAATGATTTTATTGAGTGACGTAAAATCAACGGTCTGGTAATGCCAATCTTATCAAACTTTTGTTCCAGGTACATCAAATCAATCTTGTTGAAGATATCAATTGTTTCAGATATTGGACATGGTGAATGAATATCATGCATCGATCCATATTTGGTTATCTTGCCTCCCACATTCTGTAAGAAACTAGCTTCATTGCTCACCTCTCCATTGAAATTCAAAGAAGAACCATATCCACAATTCGTCAATGGTGATTTTTCAAGTATGGAGCTACTCCGACTGATACACTTCAAACTATCATTGTTTTGGATCAAAGCATCCTTGATAAGCGCATGGTGCTTCTCGTTCTGCTTAAGCAGATGGTTTCCTGCACCGATATGCAAAACCAACAACTCATCCATCCATACAGCCTGTTAACAAAAAATAAAAAGGTGAAACTAAGAGCACTATAACCAAGTCTCACAGAAGAAAAATACAAAAAATAAATGGTCCCTAGCAGGATCGAACTGCTGATCTCGGCGTTATTAGCACCGCGCCTTAACCAACTGGGCCAAGGGACCACTTGTTGTGATACAAAATGATATCATGTCTGACGAATAATAATTTGGGTATTTTTGTGATTTTTCAAGTTTTCATGGCAAAATAGGTGGTTTGTACTGGTTATATTGCCTTAAATGTAACCCTGGACGGTGTTTAGATCCCGTGAGCTCTTTAATTTTTCTTTTTGTCAATCCTATGAAGATTTATCGACAGTTTAATTGTCATAAAGTTGGTTAAAGAAAATTGGTTGCGTAATGAAACAAAGATTCATTTTTTGGAAGAGCAATTTTGTTGCATATATCGACTTTCTAAACCCATTTGATAGCTTCAATCCTAATAAGGAAGCTCAATAATGCCTTACAAATGGTATTTTAACGGTTAAGATGATTTTTCAGAATTCCTGGCTTTCTTGATTTCAAATCTGTAGGCTTTGTATCCCAAATTCAGTTGATTACAGGAAGTAGAAGAGCTATTTTACTATCCTTAAGAGTAATCTAGGATGATAATGAAGCCTTATGATGAGAATGGCTGGATAATTTTAGTTCTTGGAATTGAAAAACTGTAGAAGATAGTAGAAGATAGTTGGAGATAGTAGAAGATAATTTCACTACTGTTTCTAATAAAATGTACTAAACAGCTCATTGAAAGGAACATGGCAATACTTAGAATTACTTATTATGTTTATTGTAACCTAAAAGGAAAAAGCCCACTATTTGACCCCTTACCAACAGAACTTACCAGTTGGTTATGACTGGCAAAATCTCAATTTTTTTGCAGCTAATTAATCTGCGAGATTTTGACACTGGCCAAATCCAGACCTCTTTATATTCCTAAACTTTCGCTAACACGAACGGTTATATGATGATAGCTAGAGCGAGCTAATTGTCAATGAAGACAAGTATTCGCTACCAAACAGTAGTATTGAATTTTTCTTTTTTACGGTAATTTTAATATGTTATTTTTATATTATATGAATTATGTAAAAATCACAATTCGTAAAAATTTGGAGTGAAAAAAATTAATAAGGCCCTGAATTGACTGAATGACAGCTCTGGTGTGTGGTTTTACCTAGAGATTGAAAAAATCCTTATCGGATGAAAAATTGTATCATTAGAGACAAAAACATAACTCCGCAGTAATACCCCGTACTGCCTTAGAAAAGGATTTAACTCGAAGTAAGTGGTCCATTCAAGATTTCAGGGTGAGCTGGGTGGTTGATTAGAGTGTCACCTGATATTCTTCTAGCTCTTGATTGATCATTATACTGGGTTAATGGACAATATCGATTTCCGTCCAAAAAAAGACCTCTTCGAAATTTAGATCGAAACAAGACCGATGTAGCAACAACCAAAGCACATGCACTTCGGATTATGTTCCCCAATCTCCTCATGCTTCAAAGAACCCCTAACCACTGATTTCGTCCGTTAATAGGTAAGCATAAGGTGATATGATAACATCATTCCTGCACACAGATAACCAGTTCAGTCCATCATTGGCCAATGTCTGAACCAGTCAATATATGGGTAGCATAGAATTTAATGGGTCTTTTCACCCTAATTATACCTAACATTATCCAGCAGTGCTAGATACCCACCAAGGTACGTGTTAAACCATTTTTTCACCCCCAAATTATTATAGGGGTAAGGATAATAGGAATTATACAAAAGGAAATATACAGTTCGCACTAAAAAGCAATTTTCTATGACCCTCAACAAAATTTAATCATCAAAATATATGAACCAACTATAGTTTAACAGAATGAATCAATATATATATAACAATTATGGCCCAGGACTGCTGCTGCTGTCAACATCTTCACAACAATATTCACCTCCAATTTCCAATGGAGTGATTAATAATTCCAGTCCAACTTTTAATTATGATAATTTAGGATCTTCAATTTCTTCAATGAGTTCAACTTATTCCATTAATAACCCAAGATTAAGATATTACTTAAGTAAAAGCTTTGATTTAGAGGATGATTTGGAATTCTGTCCAGAAATTCCTGATCATTTTAATACGTCACCAACGATTAAGAAGTTTAATCCATATACTGCATCTGTATTTTCTCCTAATCAGAGTAATAATGAAAGTCCCCAACCTAATCATGCCCAAAGTCCAAGAGTTTCAACTCCAAGAGTTAGGAAACCAATTGAGATTATTAATCCTCAAACAAAATTGAAGATTAGTTCTCCTAGTATTCCTAAATAATGATTAATGACATTGTACGATAGACAATAAATGTTGAAAATTTATATTTCTCTCTCTTCTTCATATTTGGCTTTAACCCCTATTTTTTTAATTTTAAAACTTCATATTTGATGGAAAAGATATCTCATCTTCAGAGATAGTGAGATGAGACTCTTATCGTTATCAAAAGTGTGTACTGACTAGTATCACCATTTTTTTTTTGAGAATCGAGACTGAGGAAATATCTTATGGAGGATAAAATCATACAACCATTGATAATAAAATTATCCCAACTCCCTCATGATTTAGCAGTGTTACCTGACCATATAATAACTAAATTGTATGAAGATATCGAATTGTTGACTAGTTTTGTCAAAAGTCTACCAGAATATGAACAATTTAATGATAAAGTCATTGGTAAACTAAATGATCAAATATCTAAGTTGAATGACATTTTGGTTATATTTGAGAAATATCAATCAGTTTCAAAAGAGATAGAAGACAAGACGAATAAGTTGAATTTAATACATCGAGAATTTTTAGATTTGGAGACTATTCAGTACAAATTATTATCATCTAACTTCAATCAAGATTATCAGAAGTTGAAATTTCAAAAACTCATTAATAAGAGTCATGAAAATTCTCTTAAACTAGTCGAAAGCATAAACTACAATGAATTCGATTCATTTTTGAAAAGTTTCAAAAGCTCAAGAAAAGTATACCATTTAAGGATGGAAAAAATGAATAGATGGAATGAAGAACGAATTACGGGGTTTGTATAGATAATGAAATAATGAAAGATTTTATGCTCTTAAGAAGAACAGATCGGTTACCGACTCATGGCTTTTTGGTTGAGTACATGATTGGACCGCATATTCTCTAAGAGCGAACAAAGATCTAATATCCGAAAAGTATCCAGTAGCGTCGCTTAAAGGGAAAATAGACGCAACTTACAAGCTCCTTTGGAATATCAAGAAAAAGCTAACGTTTATATACTTCCACCAATAATATTAATCGCACTTTAAACTATGGGTCGTAATAATACTTCCACTTTACGTAAGCTGTCAAGGTATTCCATAAAATCTATTTCATAGGACAATCTCCTATTTATATTGGGAGAAGTGGGGTTTTGATCAATTGCAACCGATACCGATGGTTATGGTTAGTCATATGTCGTATTATTACCCCAATAGTTCATCAAAATTGAGTAAATAATAAATGATTTATCAACTCCGAAACCTCATCTGATGGTTGCGTGAAACAACCAATGGAATAAGCTAAGAACTAAAATAGTATTAAACTTCATCTATTTGTTAACATCTCAAAGATTCAATGAACGGGATCTCTCAACTTCCTCTTTAAAGTTACAAAGCTCCTGATAATCGTCACGAAAAATGGATCAAGTGGGTATTTAAGATAGGGTTAATTGAGATTTAATGTCTCGGCTTGATGAGTCCGAATTTCTCATCGAACATTTTATTATCCTTTGTGTTTTCCAACTTAAAGATTATAAATAATTTCAGTACATAATTTGAAATTTTCATCGATTATTCAAATTAAGATCATTGAAACCCTTCAAAATGTTTAAATCTATCAATAAAGTTGGTAATCAATGGTTGAAGGTTAATAGACCAATCAGAAGTCAATTTACCTCAATTAGATTAAATTCAACTATACCACCACCACCAAAGAAGAAGGCAGGTTTTTTCAAAACTGCCAAAAGATTAACATATTTATCTATTTTTGGATCAATTGGTTATATTGGTTATAAAGTTTACATGGAAAAAAATCCTGCTGATCAAGTTAAACAATCTCCAATTTTCGAAAGTGGTCAAAGAAAGAAAACTTTAGTTATTTTAGGTACTGGATGGGGTTCAATTTCATTTTTAAAGAACTTAGATACTTCTTTATACAATGTTGTTGTTGTTTCTCCAAGAAATTATTTCCTTTTCACTCCTTTGTTACCTTCCTGTCCTACCGGTACTGTTGAATTAAGATCAATTATTGAACCTGTCAGATCAATTACTAGAAGATCAAGTGGTGAAGTTATCTATTTAGAAGCTGAAGCTACTGATATTGATCCTGTTAACAACAAATTAACTATCAAACAATCAACTACTGTTCATTCTGGTCATTCAGGTAAAGATACTTCCTCATCTAAATCAACTATTGCTGGTACTGAAGAAATTACTACTTCATTAAACTATGATTATTTATTAATTGGTGTTGGTGCTCAACCTTCAACTTTTGGTATTCCTGGTGTTGCTGAACATTCAACTTTCTTGAAAGAAGTTAGTGATTCAATCAAAATTAGAAAGAACTTGATGGACATTATCGAAGCTGCTAACATTTTACCAAAAGGTGATGCTGAACGTAAGAGATTATTATCAATTGTTGTTTGTGGTGGTGGTCCAACCGGTGTTGAAGTTGCTGGTGAATTACAAGATTACATTGATCAAGATTTAAAGAAATGGATGCCAGAAGTTGCTTCTGAAATTAAAGTTACTTTAGTTGAAGCCTTACCGAATGTTTTAAATATGTTCAACAAGAAATTGGTTGATTATACCAAAGAAGTTTTCCAAGCTACCAACATTGATTTAAAAACTAACACTATGGTGAAACAGGTTACTGACAAAAATGTCATTGCTCAAGTTAAATCAGCTAAAGACGGATCCACTGAAATGGTTGATATTCCTTATGGTATGTTAATTTGGGCTACTGGTAATGCTTTAAGACCAATCGTTCGTAACTTAACTTCTAAAATCGATGAACAAAAGAATGCTAGAAGAGGTTTATTAGTCGATGATAAATTTTTAGTTGATGGTACCTCAAACATTTATGCTTTAGGTGATTGTACTTTCACTAAATATGCTCCAACTGCTCAAGTTGCTTTCCAAGAAGGTGTTTACTTAGGTGAATATTTCAAGAAATTACATGAAATTGATACCTTAAACTATCAATTAACTAATTCCAAACCTTCAGATAACATTAATGTTGAAAGAGTTTCAAAGAAATTATCCAAATTGAAAGAAAAATTACCAACTTTCAAATACAACCATCAAGGTTCTTTAGCTTATATTGGGTCTGAAAGAGCTGTTGCTGAATTAGCTTGGGGTGATTGGTCAAACATCCAAACTGGTGGTGCTTTAACTTTCCTCTTCTGGAGATCAGCCTATGTCTACATGTGTCTTTCAGTCAAGAACCAAATTTTAGTTTGTTTAGATTGGGCTAAAGTTTCTTTATTCGGTAGAGATATTTCCAAAGAATAAATTATTTTAGAGATTATTTAGTTAATATATTTTTCATATAATTTTTCCGTAATTATATATTAGTAGTATTTATCTCTAATGAGTCTTATATGTAAAAAAAATGTTAAAGGTTCTTAGTGAGTACAATCTGATTCAATGAATCAAAGATAGTCTGATTGGGATTGGTCAATTCAAAATCAATGAGGCCGTTAGTATTGGAAACAACTTTGAATAATATGATTTCAGTAAATGTTTTAGGTGGTAAGTTCAATTGTCTGAAACTATCCTTGGCTAGATTCAAGATCTCTGCACAGCTGAAGATTCCCAGGAATGGTAGTAATATTTTGTTTTGAAGCTTTTCATGTTCAAGAGCCTTGAAATGTAATTCTGCTATATCTCTGACGTCGCTAACATAACCAAACAAGTTAGGAATTTTACTCAAATCATCAGGGCCACATCTTAAGATTATATTGAACAATTCATTAGGGGTGTTGAGTCGTTTCAAACATCTTGAATCGAACGGTTGAGGACCAAACATAAAAAATGGTGAAATAGCACATCCAATTATGGACGCCAGGGAATTTATAAAATTCCAATAAAGAATTTCACTTTGTGTTTTGGCATAATGATAAGCTTTGAAAGGATTTTCAACTGCTTCTTCATAATTATAACTGCACCAAGTTTTTTCAGTTAAAATAAAATCTTCGTTACTATACTGATCCAAATTATAATGACATTGAGAGCTAGAAGTTAATACAAAGTGGGTGACAGGGTAAGTCTTGATAACCGAGATAAGAATCTCCATCCCTTTAATAATCGGGTTTATGACGTTATCTACGAAGTTTTTGATACCAAAATCATAAGGTGCAGCTGAATGAACGATTTTACTTATTTTATACTTTTTCAAGATTTTTTCTAGCGAAGCTTGATCAGTCAATTCCCAAATTTCCCATTGGAAATTACCAATATTCAATTGACTATCTTGCTTCAATTCTTGTACTAAATTTTCACCCTTATCCTTTGATCTTACAGTTCCTATTACTTTATACTTCGATAATAATTTCTTCACTAAGTGACTACCTAAGAACCCATTACTTCCCGTAAGTAGCACTGTTTCCATCATTCATTATTACTTAAACGATCGGTCTTGGAGTTTATTTTCTTCTGTAGATTAATTCCATGATTTCACCACAGATTAATACTTTTATTTACAGCAATTTTGACTGCAGACATTTCGTAATATGTAGACTTCTCGGGGCTCATACGCGAAGAATAAAAAAACTCAATGTAGGTTTCGGATTTTTTTACATTCAGAACCATTCAATGCATATAAAGTGACAAAACTCGAAGTTAAATTTACCTAGAAATCAAACTTAGTTTTTGGGAAATGATTTACTGTATAATCGATCCAGTTATTAGTCGATTTATAACCAGACCAATTCCTTTTGTCAAGGAATAAACAGAAAAGCGAAAATAGTAATTCTCAAGCAATTACAGTGAAGTAATTTAACAGAGGAACATATTTGCTGAATATTAATAATTTACGTGTTTAGGTAGTATTGTCGAAAGCCAAATAGGAGATGGTCGGATATTCCTCAAAATGGATATTTGTATGCACAATTATTACTACATATTCAAAGTTCTGGGGCACCTCGATTTAAAATTGTGGAAAAGACGAAACGTCTGAGAACTTTCGATCGGCAAATGAAATCATTCCACTTCAAGGTGGAGAATGATTGTTCTATATGAATCCGGCAATGAATCTGGAAGTAAGCGATTAATTATTCCAAGCGATTTTCATCTTTTATATATATTGTCCAGAGTTGTGTCTGAAAATGAGCCCCCGTCAACTACGCTTTATGCTGCATTTCTTAAATAAATGAAATTCTTTCGTTGGCGACGAGTTTATATCTATATGAACAATTGATCTAATAAGGTTTTATTCATTTCATGTTGGTAAACCTTATTAATTCGTCGGTATTTGAAGACAAGGAATGGCACAACTTATAAGAATCTGAAATTCATCACTGTTGTTCTGATTTACATAAGGTGATTGAAGCCCGTACTTTTCGTTTGACCAGAAATTTTTCTTTTCGGTAAACTAAAGGAACATTATACTTTGCTTAAGGAGTCCATTACCTAATAGAGTAGACGTTATGGGCTTTAGTTAACTGCGCCACGGCTGGGGTGATATGACTGTAGATGGTTTGTGGCATGGCACAATTGACTTTTTCTTGACGTAAAAAAGTTTCTGATTCAATTTACCAAACAATTCAATATCGGGACAGGCATTAACAGATTTTGAAAAATTTAGAATTAAGATTTGGAATTGGGGGATGTCGTTTATGAACCAAGATTATCCTGTTTTCAAATCAATGGCAAAGTGTGAAAATTTCAAGGAAAACTAATAAATTATCGCCGGACTCAATATATTTTGGGGGAAACTCCTTATTGATTTCACTGTAATCAATGTTCAATACTTGTAAGTTAATTCGAGGTATTACATCAATAATCATCCTGGCACTTGTCGTTGTATTCACCCATTTTGTCGTCAAAATCGTCTTCAGATTATTGGTAGTCACCTAATTTCGGCCATGTAAAGCATGAAAGTATTCTAAAGTTTTCCTGTCAAAACTTTCCGCATTGTGACAGCTCTAGAGATTCTTTAACTCCTAAATTCTTATCAGTCAAAATGGAATAGTCCAAATTACATTCTGACGCATCTCATTTACCGAATTAGGGAAATCTATAAACAAAATATACCATCAGATGTGAGATGAGGTATACATGTTGAATGTTACAACAACTACCTTCTCTACGTAGCTGAACAGCAAACCTGTCAAAATATGACACCCACTCAGCCTTCTGGTAGACATGGCTCATTCAATACTTTTTACGAAAAAGAATTTGGCTATATAATAAATATTGTGCCACGATCCGCAGCAAGATGAAACGGGTAATAAATTTGATCCGAATATATATTTCGCCAAAAGGACATTTATAGAATTATTCATTGGATTTGATAAATTATAAAGATGTTGAAATTGGTGTCGATTCTTTTACATATTTCTGTGGTTTTGTCTGCACAATCAAATGTTCTTCAATTTGAAAATTTAGGATTTGACGGGACTTACTGGTCAGTAGCCTCGATGAAGGATTTGTACAGTGATAAATGTACTTGTGAATTAGATGATGATAAAACTTCTTTTTCGGGTACCAATGCTCCATTGAATGAAGAAGTTTCAGTTCATTTCAGAGGTCCATTGGTATTGAATAAATTTGCTTATTATGTATCTTCAAGCTTTGCAATTGATGGCGATGATAACCAAGATTGGGAAAGATTATCATACTACGATTCTTCAAGTCAAACGAGTGAAAATGTTACATTTTTAACTAAAGCTGGTAAGAATTCCACTTGTCTTGGTGTGGGATTAACCTATGCTGATACTGATGGTATTTCAAAATCAGATTCTTCACAAATTTTAGCTGAAGATACTTTAATCAAGTCAGAAGAAGAGTTTGTTATCTTCTCTAATATATCTTGTGGAAGTTCAAAAGTTGGAGGTGATTGTCAAGTTTATAGAGACGATATCCCAGCTTACCACGGATTCTATGGTACAACCAAAATGTTCTTATTTGAATTTAAGATGCCTGAAGAAGATAGTGTTGAGAAAGGATCTGTTTATAATTGGAACATGCCAGCCATTTGGTTATTGAATGCTCAAATCCCAAGAACCTCACAATATTCTTTGAACAGTAATTGTTCTTGTTGGGCTTCCGGATGTGGAGAGTTTGATATCTTTGAAGTTAAAAATTATACCGATAGTGATGTCGATAAATTATTTGCTACAATCCACGATTATCAAGGTACTGGATATATCAATGAAGGTATTCAAATTGACAGTTATATCGAAAGAAATTATGATGAAACTATGAAAGGAGGTGTTGTTTTTGATAATGATGGTAATGCTATTGTCTTTGTATCGAACTCCACTACTTTTGATCAATCAATTGGTGCTGATGATATTAATTCCGTCATTAAAGCTTTAGGTTCAGCCAGCACCTTGGAATTATCTAGTGTAGAACCAGTCTCAACTTCTACTGCAGGTGGATCCTCAGCAAGTTCATCCAAAGATTCCTCTGGTTCAATCGCTAATGTTAGTACCTGGATGATTACTTTGTTCACTTTCTTACTTTTCTAAGAAGGGACTCCGGCGATTTTCTTTTAACTCTTTTTTTTAGGTGAAATATAGAATATAAAAGTATGGGCACAAAGTTATTTGAATGCATCTGATTTTTTACACAAGCTCTTTGTTTCACGTTATTGATTGTTCGAATCGAGTTAAATTATGTAATGCTCAACGTTTATTGCCGAGTAATGCGATCAAGTCGAAGCTGCCCTTGGACTCGTCGTCTTTTCTTCTTCAGCTGGCTTGGACTGATCTATTGGAAATTTACGAAACTCTATCAACAGATCAAACTTGAGGATATTTTTAAAGGTCCATAGAAGGATTGCACCGTTATATTGGACCCGGAAATATCCATTCTAGTGGGGCAACTAAAATCACATCTTAAGCAATATTAGAATTAAGCTTCGACTCTAAATTGCTAAAACAAAAATATCCTATTGTTTGGTTGCAAGTGTTAATAGTACAAATAATCGCACTAAAATTTTTATTGTTGCAAAAACTGAATCTCAGTTGAAATCAATAGTTCAGGGTCTAAAATCTCCATGCAAGGGTTTACATCACCAGCTGGTGGGATTAATTTGAGTCTCGATTGGGTATCTACAGGGTTTTAGCGCATGAAATCGTTTTCATAGCCTGAAATATTGCTAGTTTGAAATTTAAGGACCTTGGCTGCAACTATAAAATCACTCATGAATCTGTTTGAAAAGATTTATATGCAAAGAAATCGTCAATGAATTTTCTGTTTTTCTATTTAATTTCATTGATATGTTGTTATCCTTGTAAAAGAGATGATAATTATGGAAATTATTCCACTTCAATCACACCTATACAAACTGAAACGCCACAATACGACGTTTATGAATTAGCTGATGATTTGTCTGATCAGTTAGTTTGGCTATTTTTTGCCAATGGTACTTATACATGGTCAGATAACTGTAGTTCCACGGTAAATCCTGTAGTATGGCAAGTCGCCATTGCAGGTGAAGTCATGGCTAATACCAAAGATTCCAATAATCTAGATCGTGCTACTAGTGCTTTGAAAAATTACAGAAATTCCACTGGAGGATACAGTGCAAGCATGGCAAAAAATGGTGATATCTACACAGACGATAATGCTCAAATATCGTGGGTTTTTACTTCTGCCTACTCTGACACTCGAACTGAATCATATCTCGAAGAAGCCAAGTCAATTATTGACCTCATAAGAGATCATGAATCTCCTAATCAAAAAGGTGGAATTTATTGGAGTATTAACGGGGAATATATTTCTCTGATTTCATGTCTCGAAACAGCTGTGGCAGCACTAAGGTATAATGCATTGTCAAAAAACGATGATTATGTTAAGTTAGCTAAGAGAGCTATAATTTACATCTTGGATAATTTGGTAGATGAGAAAGATGGTTTTATTTATGATGGAAAATATCCCGACGGCAGTATCAACTACGGAAAACTAACATATACAATAGGGGTTTTGATTTCAGGGTGTGCATACTTGGATCAACTAGGAGATACAGAAAAAAATTGGAAAGCCATTGCTGTAGAATTTGGAGTAAAATTCATCAGTGGTGGCACTTTAAATAATCAGTTTTTTTCGGATGGGCATATCAACGATATCATTGAAAGATCACATTTGGTGTTTATGGGGTTAGCTGACTTATTGAGTTTTACAACCCCTTCGACTCTGTATCAGAAACAAGCTTATGATGACTTTAAACAGTTGATTGTCAGAGAAGCAAGAAACTTCAGGGATAACAACGAAGAGATATTCGAAAGTAATCGTTGTCCTAACAGTTCTGAATATGGAACTTTAATCAAATACGCTTCTCTAGCTCAGGTCTTCAAATCGGTTTCGAGAGTTGTATCTAGAATATAGATTTAATAAATTTGTTTGTCATTTCATTTCTTCATTTACATTAGATACATCATTAACGCTAGTATATACAGACAAAGTTCCTTATGCTCATAAGCCACGTATCCCTCGTGATCAATATTTGGAAGGTTGATTATAAGTTCATTCCTGATGATTTCATATAATGCACCCTCATTAACGAGTCTCAAAGACTCTTCATTGGGGGAATCTGAGATGATTTCACTTAAACCTTCTCGTATACGATGTTCAAGCATACTTTGATAGTGTTTGATGAAATCGGGCATAGGATTGGTATTTCTGACTACACTCTCTGGATTATTTATCTTGTATTTAATAGGAAGATGAGACTTCCACATCTGTCTATCATCTATCATTTTCAAATACTTTTTATTGTTTATGACGTAGCTCGGTATAGCCAAGCTTTTGACATCAATTTCGTCTATTGTCGGTATCATGAGGTGCTGGTTATCTTTGGTTTCAGTGATAATTTTTAACAAACTTCCATTAGGAAATCTATATGTTTGATTTGAGCTATTGGTTTTCATCAAATTACGAGCGAATGGGTTTCTTTCTAACAGCTGAATATATTCACTGCTTTGTAATGCATTCTCTGTTTGGTATTTGGGAACTTTTGTCCAACGTGCTGGATTGATTAACACAGGATGTTTTAGATATTGTTTCATATTACTGCAAATCCTCAGTGAGAAAACTTTTGTTTCAGATTTTGCAGCGATTTCAAAATCTGAAACATGCAAAAAAAGATTATAAAATGGGACGTACCCCGAATGAAGTTTTTATATTCGAGCAATATCTGTCTTAATCACTTGCTTTTTCTTAAGATACCATGAAAACAATTTGGACTTTTTTAACTTTGGTATTGACTGCTCCTTTGACTATTACTGTTAAACATACTAATATAGTTACTATCACTGGTTGTGAATGTGTTGCTTCATGTAAAAACAATGGATATGTAAGAGGTTTTTCCTTTGCAAGTACTGAAACATCTTTACCTACAGGTAATTCAATGGGAATGCTGACGATGAAGTCAAACTTAGTTGGATTAATACCACCAAAAGTAACTTCCATTGATCATAAAATCCCTACAGTTACCCAGGTTACAACCGTCGTTTCAGACGTTCCAGTGAGTTATTCAACTACTTATTCTTCTTTTACACCATTATTTGCCCCGAAGGGTCTTTCATCTGATCCCCCTGTAGTATCAACTGAAGCTGAAACTTCTGAATTGAATCACTCCTCAACATCAACACAAATCTTCACTTCAACTACCGATGAACATCCAATAGAAACCATGAATACACAATCAGATACATTGCCATCTAATGTATTAGAAAAAATGTCAATTGTGTATTCAAACTTTCTGGGACATTTTTCCAACTCGAGTGAAAAGTTCTGGTCAAGGTTTTGGAATGATGGGAAGTTCAATGCACAAGATCAAATATGTGTTGGTCATTCATTCACTGAACCTTCTGTTTGGGAATTAGCGGTCGTTTCTAGAGCAATTGTATTTCTGGGGAATACTGATAAAACCAACAAAATGCTTTCTTCTTTGTATGAATACGAGAACAAGAATTTGAAGGTGTTTTCAGCTTCGACAGCAGGGGACGGAGATATTTACAATGACGATAATGGTCAAATTGCTTGGAGTTTCATCGATGGTTACAAGCTCACTGGGGAGGATAAATATCTTAACTCAGCGAAGGGTATAGTTAATTTCTTGATGCAACAAACCGATGCTAATGGAGGAGTTTATTGGCACTATGGTCAGAATTATATTGCTTCTATTTCAACTTCGGAGGCGGCATTGGCGGCCATGAGATTATTTGAGATCACGAAAGACGATAAACTCTTAACTTTTGCCAGAAATTGTACCGAGTTCATGTTCACATATTTTCAGGACCCCAATGATAAGTTATTCTATGATGGTTTGGACTCTAACGATTACAATAATCTCAATAAAGGAAAACTCACATACACAGTGGGGGTGACCTTGAGTACATTGAGTTTGTTGCATAAGTATGACACCTCAGGTAGTTGGATGCCAAAAATCATCCAATTAACGGATGCAGCATTGAATAGTACAGGAGCTTTTTATAATGGTGATGGAATCTGGAACAATGCCATGAGATATAGTCATTTACTCTTCACCGGATTGAATGATGTTCTCCAACTTAACCTTCACCAATATAAACCTTCTATTTTGAAACAGGGTAATTTCATCATTGACTATCTCCAAGACACTGATGAGTTGTTCTTCGATTCCATTGGATCGTGTACTTCCTCGATGATTGGTCGTTATAAAAAGATTTTCGATGAAAATGTCAACAGCAAAGACATCAAGTTCTGTAATAATGTTGCTACTAAATCTCTTATGGATAATGGATCAGTATTGCAAATATTATTTCAAATGTCAAGGAATTTTTGAATCAAATAATCATGCTGGCATGATATTTGAATGGGTTAATAGAGAAGTGAAATAAATAAAAGCGTAGAATAAACAACTATAAGTTTTGAGCGTTGTGGAATTTGGCACCAGCATAAATAGCTTTGTCACCAAGCTCTTCTTCGATTCTTAAGATTTGATTCAATTTTGCTAATCTTTCAGATCTAGCTGGAGCACCAGTTTTGATTTGACCAGTTCTCAAACCAACGACTAAATCAGCAATGAAGGTATCTTCGGTTTCACCAGATCTATGGGAGACCATGACACCCCAATCATCAGAGAAGGATAACTTGGCAGCATTGATAGATTCGGTTAAAGTACCGATTTGATTGACTTTCAATAATAAAGCATTAGCAGCTTTGGAATCAATTGCTTTTTGGATGAAGATTGGATTGGTAACAGTTAAGTCATCGGCTACGAGTTGAATCTTTGATGCTAATTTAGGATATAAGTTTGACCAAGCTTCCCAATCATCTTCAGCAAAAGGATCTTCAATAGAAATGATTGGGTACTCAGTAATTAATTCTTCATATAATGCTGCTAATTGTTCACCAGTAACCCATTTAGCTGGATCAGAATCAGGATTTTTGAAATCCAAATCATATTTCCCATCTTTGTAAAATTCTGAAGAAGCAACATCCATGGCGATTTTAACTTCGTCAGTGTAACCAGCTTTGGAGATGGCATCAACAATTAAATCCAAAGCTTCTTTTGCAGTAGCAATATCTGGGGCAACACCACCTTCGTCACCAACGTTACCAGCACTTTGACCATATTTCTTCTTAGCTAAAGATTTTAAATTATGATACACCTCGGCACCAATTCTTAAAGCATCAGAAAATGTTGGAGCATTGGTAGGAGCAATCATGAATTCTTGGAAGGCTAGTTTACCACCAGCATGGGATCCACCATTTAAAACGTTTTGGAATGGCACAGGTAAAACAAAAGAATCAGTGTTCGAATCAGCAATTTTTGCAATATATTTGTATAACGGTAAACCTGATTCAGCAGCCCCGGCTTTTGCTGCTGCAAGTGAAACACCTAATAAGGCATTGGCACCCAATTTAGCTTTATTTGGGGTCCCATCTAAATCAATTATGAACTTATCAATCTTTTCTTGGTCGGTGACAGAAATTCCTGATTCAATCAATTTTGGTCCGATAATAGAATTGACATTGTCAACAGCTTTAGTAACACCTTTACCTAACCACTTAGATTTATCACCATCTCTTAATTCAACAGCTTCAGAAACACCTGTTGATGCCCCACTTGGAACAATTGATCTGAATAAACCTTTTGAAGTAGTTACTTCAACTTCAACTGTTGGATTACCACGAGAATCATAAACGTAACGGGCATGAACTTTTTCAAATGACATTTTAGGATTATAATTTATTTTATATATGATTACTTGAATCTAATATGATTTGTGGATTTTCAATTCCTAGATATTGTCTAATATTTATAGTGAGCAACAGTTGCCGGGACAGTTCGGTATTATGGATATATTTTTTTTGGATCATATGCTCCACAAAAAAAATCCGGGGACACTAATCAGAGCCATACAGGAGAAAACGATAAGTTTTAGTACTTTTTGACTCTTTTATGGGACCATAGTCATTATAAAAATGACACAGAAATCAATACTAGAGTTGCTGCAAATATGCAAGGCTCAGGAAAAACACGCTAATCTCTCAAGAATTTGCAGCAAAAAGGTCAATCAACGTTTTGGGCCGAATTGTCGAAGAGATTAGGGTTCTGAGAAGTTACGTTTAATCATGAATTCATCTATAAGATTCTATTATAGAAGTCAACTACTCTTGATAATGCATATTTATCATTAAATTTACCATCAATGGCTAATTGACCTCCATTACCAAGGTAGTCTAAACTTTCAACGTAAAATAAACCATCATGGATTCCACCGGGTTCTAAATGAGTTTCCATGTTACCAAATGATTCAATGATTTTGACAAATGATTCAATACCATCTCTAAGAACCTCTCTAGAACCATAAATACATAAACTGTGGCGATTTTTGAAGAAATCAATTTCCATGTATTTGGAAGGATCAGTTTTAGTGAAAGTAATCCAATCCTCAAAATCGGATTTATCAGTACTTACACCTTCGATCAACCAATCTCCCATTATGGTTGTTCTTGCACCCAAATCACCAGTAGTATCTACACCATGAACATTTGAATTTAAATGAAGTGGTTGAACCCAAGGACTGATAAAAACAGCTGATTTAGGTTGTACAGATATGTTGAATGATTTGAAATCGTATTTATCAAACTTACTAAAATATTTCAATGCTTCTTCAGGATAAGCAATAAATCTTGATAATGTTAAAACTAAATTACCACCAGCAGAATCACCAATTAAATGAATATTTTCAAATCCTTGACTGAGCAATTTCTTAAAAACTACCAAAGCTTCATAAAGTTGGACTGGGAATTGGCCATCTTCTTCAAAAGTTAAAGTATAATCAAGACCTAAAATTGAAAATTTCGATTTCTTATCTTCAGGTAATGCATGATATAACATCAAAACTCCAGCAAATTGAGCATCAAAACAATTCAAAGCAAATCCTCCACCATGGAAGAATAATAACACGTCTTTAGATCCTTCATTCTTAACAAACCATTGAGATTTAACAGTTTCATCAAACACCCCTCCATATCCAGGTAAATTACCCAGCTTAACCATGGGGTTGGACTTGAATTTCCTGAACAATTTTGACATTGGTTGATATACAACAAGGGGAATATCTGTTAATTGGAATTGATTTGCAAGACAATTTTCCACTGCTAAATGAACATTCTTGTAAAGTGTGTTGAATTCTCGGTTAGTCTTGGTGTAGATGGTACCGATGGTGAAGTATTGAATTGTTGTTGATAAGATAACTCCAGGAATTCGAAGTATTCTTAAAAGGAAATTAAAACTAATCATGATTGAATATTTTATTTTTCGGCAGAAGGATGTTGAAATTCAAGGCTATCGAACTTTCAGACCAACTTTCAGTGGTGGAATTGTCGAGGGTCTTAAATTTTATTTTTTAAAGTTGGTCGGTGACAAAATACGAACTTTTGAAGGGGTCAATTTTTTACATTGTCCTTTTACCACAATACAATTTTTATTGCCCTAAATCTTAAAACTTAAAATGAAGGATTATTGAGTTACTTAATCAGACAATTGCTTCATCAGCCCCGTCGCAGATGTTGCAAATTTTACGTCCATAAATGCCTCAGATTTCAGTGGGAGGATTTCGATCTCAACTTTACGAGTTTTCATGTGTCACAATAACTGAAGAAATTCATATTCGGTATTAAAGATTTGAGAATTGAATGATTTAGCGTGTTTTGAGTTAAAAATAAATCAAATCTTATCCATATCGGTCTATTCGAGTATGTATGGTCGGAATCAAAACCATAATCCTTATCCTATGGAAATTTTAGCCAGTCGTGTGTGGGACACTTCATCTGTTATAAATCCATTTTCGTAACGGTGCGGGTCGGCTCTATTATAAAGAAGTTACTGATAAGTTAATGACTTCTGTGGCAAGTTTGTTGACGAACTATGACTTGCAACAGGGTGTTTCACTGCCGGGAACTGATAAGTCTGAGAAATTAAAGAAGCTGGCATGTACTTTCTGCAAAAAAAGGAAAATTAAATGCGATAGAGCCTACCCATGTTCTTCTTGTTTAAAGTATAAGAATTCGACTTGTGAATACGTTGCTGGAACTAATAAGAGAATAAGCAAGAAAAGAATATTGGAAAATGAAGTAGATATGTTGAAAAGTAAGATTCTGAAGTTGGAAAAGAAAGATGATCCAGTAATGAAGAATGGATCATATTCCTCTGAATTTGTGGAGAATAATTCACCGTATGGGTTGAGACATATAAGCAATGGATTTCCCACCGGAATGTATGGAGATACCTCAAGCGAAGAGTCTTCTTCAACGTTTGAGTTTCAATCCATGGAATTGAATTTCTTAATGCACGATTCTGCTGATGAGGAATTCGATATTTTCAAAGATCAAGAAACTTCAACTTATTTAAGTGTTAACCCAAGTAGAGCTTATGGTCCTTTGAGTTGGAGAGGCATGTGTAATTTAGATCCAGCTTTAAAACTTCATTGGGATTATTATACTCAAGCTATAACCAAAATGTTGAATAATAAATCGGCCTCTTATATTAAAAAGTTAGATGATGATTTGGCTACATTCAGGAAGTGTATATATAAAAATGTCAATGTAACAGAATGTTTCAGAGATCGTGTTAATTTTGTAAGTTTTTTTCGTGGTGCCAATACCAATGAAGATAATGCAGCATTTATGGATGAAATAAAATGCATTTTACCTCCTAGAAAAGTTTTGTGGGCTTTGATAGATGTGTTCATCTCATGTTTCACATTTTCCCATCAAATAATACATGAAGAAGATTTCAGAAGAGATATGAGTGAATTGCTAGGTGGTTCATATCGTGATTTTTCGTCTCCTGACTTGAATTTTAAATCTATAGCAGACACAGCTAATGCTGGTATCTTGTTGATTTGCTTACGATTCGGTTATTTAACTTTACAGCCAGTGATACTGAAATCAAAAGAATTGAGTCCCTCTCATATACTTTATGTGGATTCAGACGTTAAAGAATATTTGTTAGCACATCCGATTGAGGTGAATTTTATCGAGTATTCAGAAAGTTGTTTGAGTCGATTCAACCTTTTGGATCCTTGTTGTTTTGAAGGTTTCTTCCTCTTAGTGTTTTCATACCTATATAAATGTTTTGGACCAGAACACGGAATAGAGCCAAATAATGTTGAAGTTGGAAACATGAGAGCTTTTATTTTACAAGTAGCGTATTCTATGGGTCTTAACAGAAACCCTACGACAAAGCATGGTATAATTACTCCTTTTGATCGATTGGGCCGACATATATGGAGTCAATTAGTTTTCGATGATATTTGCACAAGTTTGGGGACTGGTCACACTTTGATTCATAATGCATACCCTTATGATGAGGCCGATTTCAAATTTGACCCTTCATTGTTTCCGATAACTACCGATAACATGTCATCAGTTGAATTGAAAAGATTGAAAGAAGCCCAAGTGTTCATGATGTTCAATCAATTAAATAAGAAAGTTCAAGATATCACCAAAGATTTTTTGATGAAACTTACTGATCCCACGAGATCTTTAACAGCTAAACAAGTTTTTAAATTCTTGGAGAATCTTGAAATTGAATTAATCAAATCCAATGGTATTCTTGACTATGCTACTTCAAACTTCAAGAAAGTTGCTGATCTTTCTGAAGATTTCTTCAGATCATTTGTCTTAAAAGTGGAGATACTTTTCAAATTCTCTACTGTTCCTTATTATTTCAAACTTTTCAATATGTTTGAGAAGAAAGGTGAATATGATCTAGCATGTTACTGTTTGAAAAAAATCATTTCAAATCAGTTGATCAATTACGATTTGTTTCACGAAGTCGCTAACAATGATGAAATACTTTCCATATTATTGATTCCTCAAGCTTTAGGGATCCTTCATAGAAACCTATTGGTCAATTTATCAATCAATGTAAGATTACAGATAATTAATGAAAGGGATGATCTTGTGAAAATACTTTTCAGTAACATTTCCAAGAACACCCAACTTCATTTCGGTTTTATAGAGAAATTACTGGATAAATATTACTACGCTTGGTATATAAAAATGATCGTAGTCTGTGGGTTTGCAACCAGTGAGAGGACTATCAAAGAGGTCAGAGGTCAAGAATTGAACTTCAGTCTTGATTTCCCCATGTTTAAAGATGCAAATTATCTTCAAAAAGTCAATGAACTTTATGAAAATTCAAACAACGATCATATGAGATTGTTTTCTAGATTCAAACCTACCGACGAAATGAGTAGCAAAACATCCACTGAAACCATCAGTACTGCTGCTTCTCCAAACTCATGCCAATTCCCTGATTCAAGTACATCTTCGCATCCTTCATCAACCTTCCCAGATAACGAACCAAATCTGCAAAACGAATTCAGTGACGTTTGGTCCTATTTGAATGAGATTGGTAGTGATTTTGTGGATTACAAAGTAGCTGATGAATTGTTGAGAGAAATCAACCTCGATCCAAATCTATAATAAGAAACAGTCAGGAATTGTTTAATAGTATGAATATAGAATAAAATAATCTTTTTTTAAGTACATTCACTATAAACCATAATTTATCTGAGATGAATCGTGGCCGATTGCGGATATGGTTTAATCCTTTTTGCTGCATGAGCATGATTCACCTTTAGCACAACCATCACATTTACAGTCAACACCACATTCACAACCTTGATTTACCATTGAAGTTTTAACAATTACAGCCATTTTTAATTTAATCTGATAAGTTTTTATGAGGAGATAATGCTCAGTTTTTATATTGGGGGAGTGGGTTGGTGCACGACGTCATTTATCATATTAACCTTTTTATAGCAAACTTTGATAAGAACATATCCGGAATTGATTTATCTATGTTGAACAAACAGATTATGTAATTTATCAATCCACAAGTCAGTTCGTGGTATGTTATCTCCTAACAGCTTCGAAATTCGCAAAGGGTCAAGATCAACAATGATCGAAGTATTAATCCGGTGATTCTTGAGGCATTGATCGAATATTCCTTGAGTGATACTTGATTCAATAACCTTAATAAGTCAATCACAAACCCTTATGAAGCTACAGTAGCAGGGATCCCAATTGATGATTGTTACTGGCAATTACTTTTCCTAAATCAATTTATTACCAATGTTTACATATTTCCTTTTTGGGAATGCTGCAAGATCTCAAATTTGTAGCATTACGAAATTATTTCAATCATCGATTAGAAGACTTTTCACATCATTATGCTGTCTTCGTACAATCCAGGTGGTCAGAATGTTAGAGTTGTAAGTGATTTATCAAGATTTGAGTTTGAAAGTCCAACGCCCAAAATTAGATCGAGAAATCCCACTCCTCCTTCGAATAATCATAGTCTGCAAACTGAGAGTCCCCAGTTACTTCATAAACCTTCATTTCATGACGAAATACTATCTGAGCCAAGGCCACCTTTCACTGGCCGTCAAAGAAGTAGGACATTGATTGAAATCGCCGAATCTAGTACGCTTCCTAAGGCTAGAGATAATACTTATGATTATGATGATATTTACAAATACTATGAGAAACAATCCAATTCTTCAGTAGCTGATTTGAGTAATGCAGAGGGCTTTTATCCATATCCTTCATCTTTGAAAGACGAACCTGTACCAACCAATGGCTTTGGTTTATCAACATTCCCTGAACAGCATTCTGTAGGAACTCCAATAACTAATCAAACATCTATCATGAATCCTCATACTTCAGGCACATTGACGAACAACAATTACTTCAATAATAATTACAAAGACAAAGATTTACCTCCTATAATGGATACTCAACAATATTATCAATTCACTAATAATGTTAGTGATGAATCAGTTTACAAATCTAATGATACTTTAAGTTTCTCATCCAAACAACAGAAAACAGAAAATCACCTTGTGAAAAGTGTTATGAACAGAAGATTATTCTCGTTTAGACCAGGAAATATTATGAATGATGAAGGTTTCGAAGGTAGAGAGATAGTAATTACTGTTAATTTCCTTCTTTATTTCTTTGAGATGATAGTAGCTATCATAATTATCATATTATCTAGTGTTCTAGTGAGAGAGGATATGGATATTGCTTCTGGAATTTATAGATACTTTATTGCTGATTCGGCGATATCATTGATTATCTCAATACTTTTCATGACCACCGTTGTCAACTTTGAGAAACGTAATGGGAGTTTTTACGTGACATGTGCATGTATTTTATCATTGGTTTCCTTTATAATAACCATAAGTACTGTCATTCCCAGTGACGCTTGTAAAACTGCTTCAATCTGTAGCACCAGGAAAGCTAATAGTGCATTCCTCATCATTTCATTCTTCTTATGGTTGATTGATTTGGTGATGTTTTTAACCACTTTATATATTTCAAGATTGAATTTGTTAACGGAATTGAATTTCGATTATAGTCACAAGGGTTTAGAAAAAGAATTTAATAAATCATTATCGGATGGATCAACTGTTAATTTTAATCAGGAACATAATGATGATTTATTAGACCCTAGAAGTGGTCAACCTTTAAGACAATATTACTTGAATGAAGTTGGTGAAATGTATGAGTTGACAGATGACTTCGATGTAAGGGGTAAGAATAAAATAATTGTTTATACTGTATAATAGATTTAATGAACGCATTATCATGATGGCTGCAAAAAAAAAACTTATTGTGCGGATTTGAAAGTTTTGTGATTAACTAACACAAGATGAGACTTTTAATTGTATTGATTCTTGTATTCTATGTACAAGGGGTATGGATAAATCCAGAGTTCAAATCTGGAATCAGTAGCCGTATCAGTCTACAAGGATTGAGAGACATCAAAAGTTCATTAGAATCTGAACTTAAATCATTGATATCTCCATTATATCTAGACAATAGTCATACTCCATTCTTATCAAACAAAACCCAAGACGATGATTTGATCATTTTACCATCAAACACTTTAAATGTAGAAATTTTCAATAAATTGGGACTCAACTTCTTGAATGAGGGAGGCTTCACTTTCACCTTCAATAAAGAGAGCATTCGAGTACCTAGAGAATTCAAGAATTTATTTATATTCAACACTTCGTCATCATTAACAATTCCGAACTCAAAACACCACAATTTTGCCAATTTTGTTGACCAAAGTTTACCTTTCAATCTTCCAAACTATATGAATCTAAAGAATTATTATCTTGTTTTGCCCAAGAATTACTTGCAATCCAACTTGAATTCAACCGACTTACTTTATGACTCAACCAGTGTTTTTTCCAGAAGCGTTTTGTCAGGAAAGATATCCCAATTGCCAATATTCAGGTCCATAATTAGTGAAAACAAACCATTGATGGTTTTCATGTTTTCAGACTCCAACATAAAGAAATTTGAATCCTTCAAGAACCCCATAATGAACATTAAAAATTATCTCAAGACTGAAAAGGATTTAATTTCAAATTTTTTTGATAGGTTTGCCCAAAACTGGATCAAAATGGTAAATTACGATAGTCTTGTGCAATCTGTATTTTGTACTACCAATGCCAATAGTGTTGATAACAGCTATTGCTTACAAGTACATGATGCCAGAGCGCTTTACCTATTCCCAGCATTCTTCGATATCTCCCAACTCATGTATTTTGATCTGGAGGTAAAGGCTAATCAAGTCGAAGCATTTGAAGCTCAAGCACCATACAAGAACGTTCTGGTCGAATTGACAAGAAGGTCAGATGACGTGGAAACTCAAGCCATAAGACAACTTCATGATAAAGCCAGTCATTTGGCAGACAAAATCAATGATGTAACTTATGAACTAGCTACCGAGCCTAAACCTGTTATTGAGAGAATAGATGAAAGGTTTGATGAAAAAGTTTATGAGTTTTATGATAAAATTGAAGATAAAAAGGATACATTGCAAGAGAAAAAAGATATGATCAAAGAAAGCTTGGTGGCTAAGATTGATGCCTTGAAATCAAAATTTGATTTGAAACCAACCGATGTGGAATACAAATTCGGTGATAGTTTAACCAAAAGGAGTTTTGATGAAGAAGAGGAATCTCTATTACCTTTCCAACCAGAAGGTGGATTAATCTTACCTTTATCGTTGATCAGGGTGGCTGAGAAAACATTGGACAGTCCAAGACACAAGAGTTACGCTCAAGTTCTTGTTTCAGGAACTACGGGACATTTAACAAAGAGGTTCTCTATTTTCAGTAAGGATATTCATGATTGTGAAAAAATCACTTGGTTTAATGTATTCCACCATAGTATATTCGGCAAACCCAAGTTTTGTCTTGATGATTGATCTATAGAGAAGACAATATAAAGATATCTTGAAACTTTTTTTATTTACTAGAAACTAGTTCTCTACTATTCATACATAATATAGTTTGATGACATTTTACTTGAAGTTGACGTTATTAGCATTGGTTGGTCTACCACTATATCCACCAGTATTGTATCCTTGGTTGTATCCATTGAATCCACTTCTCTGTTGATAAGGATTATTGAAACTTGAAGAACTGTTGTTATTGGTTTGATAGGCAGTGTTACCAAAGTTGGTAAATGCAGCTCCTGGATTACCAGTTATGGTTGAAGTTGGTTGTGTTGGTTCAGCATTATCAGTGTATAAACTGTTTCTTTTTGGATCATCAGTTTTGAATTGTACTTGATTTTGTCTATTTTGAGCACCAAATCCAGAAGAATCTTCATCATAAACTGAATCTTCTTCATCATATGCAGCAGCTTTACCACCATTTTCATGACCTCTCATAGCAGTAGCACCTAAAGCCATCAATTCATAATCTTCTTCATTTTGAACAGCTTTATTATCTCCACCTTTAGCATCGAATCTTGGGATAAACGAGACTCTGTCATCTTTCATTGGTTGATATCTAGTATCAGGGTTCTTGTAAACCAAAGCCAATACACATGTGACAATGGTGAAAATTAATAAGAATAAGGCAAAAGCAGCATTCAAAATAAAGTATACAATACCCATAATTGATCCAACAACTTGAGGTTGTCCGAATATATATGAGAAGAACATAAAGAATAAAGCATTGATGGTTGAAATAACTGCAATAGTTATATTGAAAGCATTGGTTCTTTTATCCATAAATGGTCTATAGTAGCATACAGCGACTAAATGAATTAATTCAATAGCGAAAATAATAACAGATTGAACTTTACCTTGACCTTGTAATACGGCAACAAACAAACATTTCAAGAAAACGTACAACAAAGTTACAATGACGAAGAAGTAAGCATCAGCTCTGAATTGAACATAAACAAATCCAAATTTGTTCAAGAATTTACCATCACCAAATAATAAGTAAGCAGGATTCTTGAATTGAGAAACTGATCTTCTACCTTTCAAAAATACTTTAACGGCAGCTTGGCATAATAAAACAAAAACAACGATAAATAAGAAAACTGCAACAACTACAGTACCAGCAGAATCTCTAGTAGTTAATTCCCAAAGACACATAACTGCAACTTGTGGGAAAGCAACCAATAATAATCTGTATAAGGCTCCTTTGATGATATTACCCCATTGTTGTCTATATTCATTGAATTTACCTTCATTCATCATTTTACTTCTAATTAAAATTTCAATAACGGCCTTGAATGCCATAAGAAGGGCAACCATAACGAATCCAAAGAATAACAAGAAGATTATACTAGTCAAAAATAAAGAAGTAATTTCAATACCTGCTAAATAAGCCACTCTTTGAATACCTCTTAAAACTAAAATTTTTGAAACCAAATCATCAGCTTTTTCATTGGTTGAATAAATATCAGGATCTAAACTATCAGCTTGACCGAAATCATCAGTTGCAATAGATAAAGAAAATCTCTTGAATAAAGTTAAATGGTTGGATAATTGAGTTTTATCGTAAGAACTTAATAAGAATTCAGATACTGATCTCTTGGCTTTTTGAACAGAAATAGATAAATATCCAACATCAATAATATCAGTTGAAGTACCACCAGTGGCTTGAACATACCAATTGGCAATATCTTGAATGAAACCCAATTTAATGATACCTAAACTCCATTGGAAATTTTGAGCCCAAGCAGCAGCGATTGGTGGAACTTTAGCAACAGCCATCATAGCAGTGACAGCTAAACTTTGGAAATAAATAAACAAGGACATAGAATTGGATGCAATATGAGCAGCAGTATTAGAATGACCAATAACTGACACTACCCCTGAGGTAATCAAACCAAGACCAGAAATAGCAGCAATAGGCCATGAAGCATATTTTGTTTGAACAGTTTTACCATTACTTAAAATAGCTTCAACACAAGCCAAAGTTTCATCACTATCAGAATCAACCAATACCACTCTAACTCTAGCATCTAAATCAGGAATAGTATAAGCAATTGAAGGAATTTGATCGATTTGAGAATTCGTAAGTTCGAAAGCTTTACTAATTTCCAAATGACCAGTTGAAAAAGGACAAATGGTTTCATAATTCAAACTACAGAAGGAAATGTTCGTCTTTAAAACATTCAAACCATAAACAATTAATTCCACATCAGCTGTAACATTAGCATCAATATTTGATAAAGCTGTAATATCAACTACAGCTGTTTTATTATCAGGTAAATATTTAACATCGAAATGGGTTGCTGTGAATAATGAATTATCCATACATGTTAATAATGAAGTTGTTTGAAGATAATTTTTAGCATTTGCAAAATTGAATAAACAAACGAATAAACTAAAATATTGAAAGAAAATCATAATGGATAAATGATTTTAGTATTCTTTTATAGTGAATAATCAACCAGATACCTTAGAATTTATTTGCCAACCTTATAAAATTAAGAATTTCAACAAGGCAAAGAAAATCAAAAAAAAATTATCACCAATAATTAATACCAAGATCTAGGTGATTCAGATCAACCACGATTTATAATAAACTTTGGGTTAAGAATGAATAAACGATAAGAAAATCTATCAATGAACAGTGATTCACAGATTGAATGATTTTGCTATTCCAAAAGATTAAGGTAGTTCTAGATCTTCTCTTTTTTATCAATCACAATGATTAATGATGAAAAATATCAAGACTTATGTTTTCTCACTCTCACGAAAAAAGTAAATTTAAGGGGATTTTTTTTGCAGGAGTGTTTTGGCGAAAGACTTAATTAGAATACTTTCAATAATCACAAAGCGTAACAAATTATGAAGAATTCAATAACAATCTTGATGAAAGAAGTTTGAGTTTAATAGCCAAGATTGATGACGGGTCATCATGGCAGAGAGAACATCCAAGGATTTTGACTAAATGCGCCCCTTGTTTACATAACTTTTTCAGTGAGAATCTAATAATAAACCAACCCATCACATCATAGAAAATAGTTGAATTTTCAGGGGCACAGACTTTACGATATGTATAACTATAAATTCTAATAAGGAATTCCATTGGTTAATCTTTGGAATTCATCATAACCTTTAGTATAATAACTTTCCATAGCCTTTTTAATAAGACCTCTCATATGAAGTACAGCATCCTTTTCTGGTTTATTAGGAACGAATCTTTGTCTTAATTTCTTGACAGTAGTATCTTTGAAACAAGGTAATCCGCTTTCTAACATTGGATTAACACATCTAACAATGGTTTCCATATATGGTCTACAAGCTAAGAATCCTTTGACACATAATTCTTCAAACCATTGGAATGCTTGAGTTTCATTAGATCCTCCTAATACCATAACCATTTCATGAGTTAATTTGAATGGTGCAACTTCAAATTTAACTCCTCCAGGAACAATATCAAAACAGAATCCAAAATCAATATGGATCACATGACCTTGGTCATCATACATAATATTACCATTATGACGATCTTTGAATTGTAAAATATATGAAATAATAGAATATGCTGCCAATGATCTGATCAAATTATTTCTGGCTTGTTGAAATTCAATTGAATTTTCAGGTCCAAATTTGGTGGTAAAATATTCATACAAGCCATTAACTGCTTCTCTACCTAACATATCTCTAGAAGTAGAATTTGGTAAAACATCAATCACACCACATCCTGGAGCTGTAGCTGTTACTCTATAAGGATAAACAAATAAATCTAACCCAGCATTAGTCCAAATACTTCTAAAGACTGAGATCAATTGTAATGCTAAAACATCTTGTCTACAATCATCTCCAACTTTGAAAATAGCACTTTGCCATCTTTCAATTGGTAAATAAATCTTTTCACCATATTCATCAATATCTTCAATTTCTTTCTTGATTTTAAATGTTGCCATGAATGGAGCTTTAGCATGACTTTGTAATGGTTTACCGGACTTTCTATTGATATCAATAACAACTCCATCAGGATTACTTGGTAAATAGACTCCTGGTAATACTTCAATTTTACTCATTTCTTCATCAATCTTAATTTTCTTTTCAGCCTTGGATTTTTTAATGTATGGTTTTAATTTACCTGAAATATTAGTAACTTCATTGAAGAATCCAAATTCTTTTTCATAGAATTGTAAATCTTCTTCACTATAACTTTTAAGCATTTTATTTTGCACTCTATCAAGAGTTGGTTTCAATGCATCAGGTTCATTACCATCATCATCTTTATAACTATTAGCTAACATATTCCAAATGATTTGATGAGCAAATAATTGTGACACACGAGCTGTTTCAATGATGAATCTTTCAACATATCCTTTGGCATCGAATCTTAAACTTTGAACGATTTGTGGTACATAGAAGAATGTTAAATTAACATCATGATGTTCTAATGATCTCATGGTATATTGTAAAATGTAAGGATTACTTCCAAATGGTGGTAAAAATAATTGAATAGCATCAATTGGTGATAAAGCTTCCCAGAATAACAAATGATGGGTGGGGAAGTTAGTTCCAGCATTAATACCAATCAAATATTGAACAGCACTTGGATTTCCAATAGCAGGTAATGGATCATCAGTTAATAATTTTTGAAGGATTTCGTCTAAATTCTTAACTTTGTATCTTAAAGCCAAGTTAACAGCTAAAGTTGGATCCACTTTATAAGCTTTAATAATGTGATGACCATCAATTTTATTGGAAATGAAAGAACCTCTGACATCAACAGGGTTCGATGGATTCAACCAAATACTAATTCTACTGATTTCATCATCAAGGAAAAACATAATAATGATTTTCTTACTTTCTAAGCTTTCATGTCTATGAGTATTGATGGAAGACATTAATTTGGCAACATCCTTCAATAATCCCAAATCACTCTTTATTTTCAACAAATTCGATCCAAATGGATATTTAGCTGTTTGTTTGAACCAACTCAAACTTGCATCTAAGATGAGTTCAGTTAAATACAATTCACTTCTAGTTCCCAATGAACTATGATAATTCACAATATCAAAAGCAAACTTGATTAATTCAAATCTGGTGTATCTGGCATATGGATGTAAACTTGCAATATCCAAATTCTTCAAACTGACTTCAATGAATCTAGTGAAAAGTTTCAATAAATGATCACTTTGATTCAAAGTAGATTCAAAACTTGATGAAAATAATTTGATTATCTGTAAATGAGGTTCAAAGTTCTTAACAACCACTTGACTAACTTTATGCCTATGCTTATAGTCACTTGGAGAATATTCCATTTTATCGAATTCTGCTCCGATTAAATCATTAACTTTAGAAAACAAACCTTGTCTCAAAGCGATACTGATTTCCCATCTTTTACAAATTTCTGATAACAACAAGCCAGAAATATTGGAACGATCTTTCATAACTGCAAACCAAATACCAATTGAAGCATGCATAACATTAGATTCAAGGACTTTGAATGGAATTTCTACTAGATATCTTACCATTTCTCCAACATTGTCTTCACAAATCAAAGTTAAACCAGCAATATCACTTAATAAATCAACAATTTCTTGTTTCGAAACATGGACTGATTTATCTTCTAATTTATAGTTCAAATCGATAACTTTAGATCTGATATCATTGAATGCACGATCAGTGTCTTCACTTGTATGTAAAGGAACTTTGTTCAATAATTCACTGATGAAATTGGATCTCCAAGTTAATTGACTAACAAAACTTGGTAAAGAATTCAAATTCTTCGATTGGAATCTTGAAATGTTACTCAATTCTCTTTCATTAGGTAAGATGGATCCTGCCATTTCTAAAGCGAAGGAAACACCATATTGAACTTCACTACTGGATTGGAATTTATCTAAATCAGAAATATACATCTGGATTAAACTTTTGACGTCAACATTACTCTTGATCAATACCAATTTAATCCAATGTCTGGATTTTTCATTAAATCTCTTAAAAGTGTCATTTCTCCATTTATAATTATCTGATAACAATAAATGAATACCGGTTCTTTTTGCCCTATAAGATGTGGTAGGTTCGTATTGATTTTCGTCAGCATCAATGACACTATCGAATAACAAGGTTAATAAATCAAAAATAGCAAATAACGATTTTTGGTGGCATAATGCTGATGGTGATTTGTTAATCAACAAATCACAACATTGAATAGCAGAATCTTGTAAATCTTCTAATCTATGACAACATAAAACCAATAAGTTGGTCAATTGTTCGGCTATATTATCACTGCTGAAGTTCTTATTGGCTCCCAAATCAATATATTTGATGTATTCCCTGACAATTTTGAAAGAAATATATCCAATATACCTATCAACACCACTAATTTTAATAGATGGATCTGAGTAATAATACAAAACTTTTGAACAATCACCAGTTCTGACTCTAAAAGTTTCAACTAAGAAAGTAGCTGATAAAAACATCAATTTAGGGTAAGACAAAGTTCTTGGGACTTCAAAAATTTCGTTCAAGATATTTTTGTGATCTTTAACATTGTGATTTGATGAACCTCTTCTTAAGACGGTATTCAATTCTAAGGATGTTTCAGTTCTATCCCAAGATAATTCTGAAGCTAAAGGAGGAGAACTATGAGCGACTCTTTCCAATTCCTGACTGTACTGTTTGACATTCTTGGAGTTATTTGAATAACCATGAACAACCATATTGAACCAAATATTTCTGAATAAATTGATTGTTTTGGTATCCGTGATTTGTAAAGGAGGTTCGTCAGCGTAGACGTTAGGCAATAATTCAGCTAAAGGTTTCAAGTAGATGGAAATTTGATCACCAATTTCACTTATTTCATTATGAGATCTATGGTGTTCTAAAACTTGGACATCTCCTCTTCCAACGATTCCAGCTAAAATCTCTTGTAAGTAAACAGTGAACAATGGATGTTCTTGTTTGATCTTGTGGGATAATTCAACTCTAGCTTCAATAAGGTTATTCAACAATTCAACGTTGCCAGAATTAAAAGCGTCTAACGATAATTTATTGATCAACTTATTTAAGATCAAAAATTCTCTTTCAGGCAAACAAGGAGCACACGAGATTAATCCCTTCAATAATAATGAACCGATGGAGGAATCCAATCTGGTAGTTTTTTGGGATAAAATAGTTACAGCCAATGTGCTAACACTTTCATCATTACATCTTTCTACAATATGGACGATGGCATTGATAGCATTCTCGCATACATGTAAATATTCAGTGTCTTCAAAAGTCATTGATTTAACCCCATTCAAATGGGATGCATTGATGGAAGAAATAGAATTTTTTCTTGAAACAGCTTTAGAATTCCCATTCAAGGACAAATCCTTCATAGACAAGTTATCAGGTCTAGAAAGAGTGTTCCTTCTTATTGAGCCTCTAGAGTCATTGTTCACAAACAACAAATTTGTTAATGCATAAATTGTAGTAACAACGGCATCTTGTGATAAAACTTTGGATGAAGAACCAACACTTTTAGATGCTAAATCACAATACAATTTGCCAAACTTCGGATTAGCAACTAACGCAGTGAAAGCTCTAGTAAGGGATGAACCAATGGTTTCATCTTTGAAAACCAATAAAGAACCCAATTGAATAACGGAACCACCCAAATCAGAATCTAACATAACATCATAAATGGATAAACAATTTTTAAATAACTTTCTACAGATGGCTAAATCCATATTATCAGTGAACATACCACATCCAATCACTTGCAAATTATAAGATTTAGCCAAGTAACCGATTTTCAATCTGTTGAAGGTTGAATAAACAATAAAGGATTCACCTCTATCCAAAAATTCCATTTTTTGTAACGCTAAATTGGTCAAATTCTTAATAATCGACATATGGTGTTCTCTAACTTCTAAATCGATCGGTGAATCTTCATCAACTTTCTTGGAAACTTTCTCTAATAAAAATTCTAATAATGGTAAACTCTCGTTATTCAAAATAGCATTGATGATAGAACACATTAACTTACTCAAGGATTCAATGAAATAGATTGGTGATAATTCAACAATATCATCCGTAGCTTCAATCAAATGAGCCAATTCTGTGTTGTTTGAACGATAAATGTTATTCAGATAAATTTCAAGATCATTAAGGAATTCGAAATTATCAATGCAAGCATCTAAAGTATTGAAGATTTTAAATGAAGCTGATGATTGAACTAAAATCTTGGAGTTTTGAGTTAAACTTTCAATATAACCCAAAACAGCAAAATAATTGGAATGTTCTAAATTTTTATTATTGAAGAAACTAGAATTGAACTGTTGGAATAATTCAATCACTTGATCCAAGAATTGATTATCGAACTTGAAACTTAAGTTTATAGCAGCCATTGTTAATTTTTCCCCCAAAATAAACCATGGAGTTGGTTTAACATGTCTCTTAAGTACTTCATATTTAAATCTTTGATATGGTAATTCTATCAAATATAAACCTATTTTATCTAATAACAAACTTGCCTGCTTGGGAAATTTCATTTCACCATTAGTCGATTCACATAAAGCAACCAAAACTTCAAATTCTTCAAGAGACATTTCAACTTTTGATAAGTTTTGATTTCCTATCTTATTCATAAGTCTACTAAAGCTATCTTCATTATTGGAATTGATTTCTTTTAAATTACTGGGAGTATTCTCAACTGATAATTTGGCTAGTTTTTTATAAGCTTCGGATCTTATGAATCCTCGAGGAATGCCATAATAATCCATTGTAAAACTATTCAATTGATAATTGAAATATTATTGTGAAAAAAATGGAGACGCTCGTTGATTTTGTTGTGAGCTCGATCATATGCTTAACCCTATTAAGGGAATAAATGAGATAAACTCACAAGCTTAAATTGAATGAGACTTAAAAAGGATAGTATAGGTGGAGAGATATTACAAGTGAAGGTAATTGTATGTATTGTAAAATATTATACAGATAATACGAAAGGTATTAAATACTCATTAGTCATAAAAGGATGCAAAAAACTTGAAATATGTTTTAAAATAAATTAAGAATAAGTTTCAATTAATGTATCTCTTAAATTATGAGATATATCATCTGGTTTACCATTTTGTAATCTAAAGATGGATTCAACAACCAAATTTTCTGGAGCAGTGGTATCAGAACCAGTGACAGCTAACCAATCATTTACGACCATACCAGCACCAACAACAGCTGAACCTCTATTAACGGTACCAGCAACTAATGGAACTTGTAAAAGGGATGATAATTCATCTTGATCTTGAATAGAAGTTTGAGGGTGAACTAAACCACCTTGATTTGATAATGAACAATATGAACCAACTAAAACATTACCAGCAATAGTTTGACGGAAAACTTCAACACCTAAAACATCAGCAATTAATTCTTCGGTTTCTCTTTCAATATCTGGATGAACTAATGCAACATAATCATTACAACAAATAACATTACCTAAAGCTGATAATCTTTCTTCAACTCTTTGAATTTTAACAGTATCTGGTAAAGAATTTCTTAAATGCATTAATTCTTGATCAGTAGTTTGAGTTGGAACTAATAAACCACGTCTATTACCAGCGGTCATTCTACCAACAATTCTAGTACCAGCAATAGTGGAGTGAACAATTGGGATAACATCACCTAATTCAGCTTCAAAAGCAGAGTAGAAATTTTCAGATCCACCAACAGCAACAAGGGCATATGAATTAGTTAATTTGGAGAAGACACCAACTTCATTGGAGTTTTCAAATTGAGTTCTAGTAGCCATCTTCTATAAATGTATTAATAAAAATTTTTTTTTTTTCCACATTACTGAGATGGGTCTTCTCGAAAGTCGTGTGCGAATGTAATCGGAAGTATTACTCTTAGTTTCTGAATTAGTACATTTATGGATTTTATCCAAGGATACAATTCCGATAGTGAAGAAGAGGGTAATCAGGATCAAAATCAACAGGTCTGTACACCTGAAGAAACAAGAAATTCAATAGGTCAAATTGATCTAGGGTTTGATATTGAAGACATAAATATTTATCTGCAAAATTATACCACCAAAACTGATATGACATCAATATATTTGATGATTCCATGGAAACCATCAACAAGTGTTGTCAGGAGGTTAGAAGGTTTGTCAACTGAAGCATTAAAATATCTTAAAAGCAAAGACTATAAGTTTTATAATCAGTATAATTGGGATTTGAACCCTTTAAGTAATCCTAATATTAGATCCAAATATGATTCATTACACATTTCCTTGGGTGTTAATAAACTCATACCCAATGACAAAACACAGCTATTTATCGATAATTTGCAAAATCAATTGGCTAACTTGAAAATACCACCTCATATGATCAAGGATGATAGTGAGACTATTACTAGATTATCTAACTTACAAAAGATATTCCAGAAGAGACCGGAGATTATGCAAGAGGAAGACTCTAACTCAATGTCAGAGAATTTTGAAGAATTCTTGCAACGAAAGCATCTACTAAACATAACCCAAGAAGACGACTTGGTAGGGAAGGTCCTCAAGTCGAATAATAGCGAATTGTCTTCTAAGTGTATTCAATTGAAATTCCAACCAGAATTTAAGATTCTAGATAGTGCCAGTTCTCCGACATTGTTTTTGGGACTCGGAATCTTGATGTCAGACGAAACAAAGGAATTTTTCAACCTCATCAGCCAAACAGTGAAAGCTACTTCCAAAGAGCTCGATATTCCAAACCCTATGGAAGGATATGATTACCATCATATATCTTTAGCCAGAGCAATTCCAAAACTGAAGGTTGATTTAGGAGATCAACTTCAAAATATTAACCAAGCACTTGGTTCTTTTAACTATTCGACCTTTGCTAGCGATTTCGAATCCTTGGATATCAATATTAATTGTATAAATTTGATCACTACTTCAATGTTAAGATCCTTGCATCATTTCGATTTACCTTTATAATATCAGCATCAAATAAATAGCATCTACTTAGTCACCACACTCTGTCAAACTTCAAACCTAGCCGAATCCTTCTTGAGATCTAAACTGTAGGTTGCAAAATTCGGAGCCCAGTATGCAGAACTCTCAATTCCCCGTTGTGTCCAGAATTTAGTGCGGTAGAAATTAGATAAGTAACACCATCATGTCTAAGCTTCAAAAACAGAATGAAAGACAATTGATAGATATTATAAACAACAGGTCCAATGAAAATAAGTGTGGAGAATGTGGTAGTATGCATCCAACTTGGGCTTCTTGGAATCTTGGGATTTTTTTATGTGGTAGATGTGCATCTGTTCATAGGAGAGTTTTACCTTCGAATGTTTCCAAAGTCAAATCGCTCACTTTAGATACTTGGACGTCTGAACAAATCGATAGATTAAGAAGAATTGGTAATAAAAGAGCCAAGAAACAATGGAATTCTAAGCGGGAACCTTTCCCTTTTGATGATGACGATACTTCAGAAACTGAACAATATATCAGATCCAAGTACATTGATGGTAGATTTAGAGATGAACCTATTGATAAAAGTGAATATGAAGACAAGTATTCCAGGTACTCCGATGAAGATGATTATTCGTCCAAGACAAGAAGACTGAGATCTAATAGTTTAAGACTGAGGCTGAGACTGAATAGTGTTAGACAACAAGTGCCCAAATTAACTCACAGAAAATTGACATCGTTTGAATCCACCCAATTCAAAAGTCAAGTAAATAAGATCCTATCCTTCGGATACAAAAACCCTGAAAGTATTCAAGAAGCTTTAATTTTGAGTAATGGAGATATAGATTTTGCTTTGGATATTTTAGAAGAAGATGCAAAGTCAAATCCTTCACAAGAGGAAGTTGCACCATCATTACCATCAAGACCACGGCCTTCAATTTCACAAAGCGACTCATTCCTGGCAAATAACCCTTTGGCATCAATGGCTACTAACCAAACTCAAAATTCTAATAACTGGTGGTCTGGGTCTAACGTTTCTTCCAATGCTACTGGTTTCAATCAGCAACTTCAACAACCTCAAATTTATCAATACACCGACCCTGTCACTGGTAGAGTTTCTTATATCGACTCCAATGGACAAGAATATTTGGATCCAAGTAATCCACAACATCAGCAGTTACTTTATCAACAGCAAAATCCACAATTGGTTGCTCAACAAACCCACAAGCAACAAATTTTGTCCTTATATAATCAGCCCGATAACTTTTCTTCCAATGTAGCTGTGCCTGTTGATCAATTGAACCAGTCTCAACAACCACAACAACCACAACAACCACAACAACCTCAACCTCAACAACCTCAACCTCAACAACCTCAACCTCAACAACCTCAACAGTTCCAACAGTTCCAACAACAATTCCAACAACCCACACAACAACAATTCCAACAACCTACACAACAGCTGTTCGGTCAACAACCACAATATCAACAGCAACAATTTATGCAACAACCAACCGGAATGGGATTTCAACAACCCTATAACGGACAATACCAACAATTTCAACAATGATTGATCATAGGGGTCAAAGCTTTGTTGTACAGTAGTCTCTAGGATCAATGAATGTACCCCATGAATCTTAGATTGAACATAAGATCGTTTGAGTTGTGAATATGAACAGTCTTCACATGAATAGATATAAACCACAAGCTTATTTCCTCTTCAAACCTTATTTTCTTCTCAGAATTGTAGTCTATAATAGTTTATTACGTAGAGTGGTGCGTTCGAAGCATAAGGAGAAAAATCAGGAGAACTATGCTTTCATTTCGCTGCCAAACTTGGCAGCCATTACCACTGCATGGCACAGAGCATCTGATTGTGGAACGACAAAATGTATTCAATGTCTTGTAAGCTCGTGGGATATGTCTTGATTCATGAACTGTTATAACCATTAGTCTCAAAACCTACCAGGTCATAAGCACTTCAGCATTTCTGACACAAAAATAAATCAATCGTCTTAAGAACATGATTGTCGAAACTTCAAAGCCACAAAGGCATACGAAGTTATCTTTCCGATGATTGTATTGTGTCTCAGTATACGTAAGAACAAAAAGTAAAAAAATAATAAATGCCTTCACTCGGATTCGAACCGAGGATCTCCTCATTACTAGTGAGGTGCCTTACCAACTTGGCCATAAAGGCTTTAATACACTCTTTTAATGTCGCGAGAGTACATTAATACACTAAAATATACTCCCGACATACCCCATGCATATTGCCTCATAGTTAAACAGTGTATTAAATTTATGCAAGATTTTGATGATTTTCATAAATTTGAATTATGGACAAAGCCGGTAAACTATATATTTTTTTTTTAAGCCTTATATTTTGTCCTTGACATGAATTTTTTATTTTGAACCAGAAAATGTAACATTTGCAAAAAAAGACTTAAAAAAAGTAAAAAAAATAAAAACTAGCAAGGACCACCATACAATCATCTAGCACCCCAACAAACGTAATATTTCACATCAATTTGGGGGCTAGCTACCAAAATGGCTTGGTGTAAGATTGCAGCCCTAATTAAGCTTATATTGACATTCGCAGAAAATCACAATCGGTTTTGTGTTACTTTATAACCTGTTTCTCCTTAGGTTGTGACCACACTGCAGAACATCTCCATTGATTGAAAGATAGTTTCGAAACCAATAGTCAAACAAATATTCATTACAACTTTCTAGGAATTCTTAAGAAACTTCCTGACCCCAATCAATAAATTTAATTCCAAGATGATGGCTATACCAAGTAACAATAATTTGCGTCCTAAGGATGAATTGATCAATGACGAGAACGAGAGACCTCCTATTACCACACAAGAACCTTTGCTTAATGGTGCTCAAGTCGAGATAAGGACTGAAAATCCCGAATCTAAAAAGGTGGCACCTCGATCATCGGAACTATTCAGAGTCGGACCCCAATTTAGTCAACCAGAAGTTCACGAGAAGGTTTTCAATCTTCTGACGGGAGAAGAGGTGAAATTGAACTTATACGCTCGAATTGATAGAGGGTTCGAATTAACTGAGGATAATATTTGGCTCAGTTACAAAAGAAACTACATTACCTTAGTTACCTCATTCGATATTGATGGATACGATTTGAATGATTTTATTGGCACTAAGTTTTACCTTAATGGGAAATCGACGCCAAAGGATGAACTGACAATCACAGACTTACCTCCTTCCAAGAGAAGAAAGTTCTTGAGAGAAAATAGACCAGAAGGTGAATTGGATGAAGATGAAGTTGAAGTTAGAGGATCACCTGTGGAGATAAGCTATTTTGCTATAAGGTTGGTGGCAAGGTGTAGTAACGATGATGTGAGTATTACTTTGGTTCAACACACATCCAAAAGGGATAAAGGACCACAATATCCTCCACCAATTTTACCATCGATACCTGGATCGTTACCCACTCATGAAATTATTAAAGCTTCAACTAACAAAAGAAGTGGATCCAAGGTGAGTACTTTCAATAAAATGTTCATGTTTGACAGAAATGAATACTACACATCTTGTAATATAGATTCAGCCAATGACAAGTCAATTTTGAAAAATTATCCATCAGAATCAATCGCTAGGGTTGCTAGGTTCGAAAGAATTCAGTTTGGTACTTCCATCAGAAATGCTTCCACAGGTAAGAGATTTTATAATTTATGTGTTGAGCTTTTAGGAGTAGTTGAGGATGGGGCCTCGATTCAACCCATACTATTAGCGTCCATCGCTAGTCCAGACCTAGTAGTTAGAGGCAGATCCCCCGGTAATTATAAAAAAAAAAGATAACGTGAAACTGGAATAAGATTTCTCCGGTTGACTTGGAGTCAATTGATCATTGGTGGAATTAGGTTGATTAGTTAAACTTTACCGAAATGACGGGAACAGATTATAGAGAAAAATGTAGTAGAAAATCGTGAACAATTTGATTACAAATGAACATCCTTCAATGGAGTTCATAGAATTGGTTTCCCACAGAAATTTGTTCTACTAGCCTCTTTAAATAAGTGTAAAATATAGATGTAACTTTAAGTGCATAATCTTCATAGGACTTTTGACCGAAAAATTTTCGTGATGCTCGACCCCATAAAAATAAGAGGCCCGCTAAACAATTCGATTTAAGGAGAATCGTTTTTTTTTTCATACATTCAACAAAAGCTGTATAGAATTCTTTAGTGGTGAAGAGAAATAGAGATGCCCAATGAGAATGATACCTCGGTATCGATAAGCAATATACGAAGCTTGTTTTTCAGTGATAAACAAGTTACACAAACTGTTAATGATCAAAGCACACCATTCTTAACTTCAGCCAAAGTTATCGATAAACAGAGTCTAGAATACGTAATAAGACTAGGAATAGCGGGAGGTATAGCAGGCAGTGCTGCCAAAACTTTGATAGCACCATTGGATAGAATCAAAATTTTGTTCCAAACGTCAAATCCTGAGTTTATAAAATATAGAGGCACATACTCAGGATTTTTCAATGCTGGAAAGCTTATATATCTCAATGATGGAGCATCAGGATTATTTCAAGGTCATTCCGTTACGTTGTTGAGGATTTTTCCTTATGCTGCTATAAAGTTTGTGGCATACGAACAAATAAGATCATTATTAATTCCATCGGACGAATTCGAAACACCAGGTAGAAGGTTTATGGCAGGTTCATTATCAGGTTTGGCCAGTGTATTTTGTACTTATCCTTTGGATTTAATTCGTGTTAGATTAGCATTTGAAACAAAAAATTTACAACATGAAATGTACCACCATGATCATAAGCAATTCATTTCAAGTCACAAAGGTAGATTATTCTCTACCATGGTATCCATCTTCAATGAACATCCACAAAACAGACCTACAGATCCAAGATGGTTGAAATTCTTCAGAAGAATTTTACCTGATAGTATAGTTTCAATATCTAATTTCTACCGAGGTTTTGCTCCCACCATATTGGGTATGGTTCCTTATGCTGGAGTTTCATTTTATACCCACGACTTGTTTCATGATATTTTCAGATCAAAATACTTTTATCATTATACGGTGAAAGAGTCGTTCATAAAGAATAAAGTTAAAATTAAAGACAAGATAAATTCAAGAGACTCAAGAGCTCCATTGAAAGCTTATGCCCAATTAATAGCAGGTGGATTTGCCGGAATGTGTTCACAAACCTCTGCATATCCGTTTGAAGTTATTAGAAGAAGAATGCAAGTGGGAGGAGCTGTTGACAAAGGTAGATTCTTGTCATTCAAGGAAACAGCAAAGTTGATTTTCAAAGAAAATGGATTTAAGGGATTTTTTGTTGGTTTAAGTATCGGATACATGAAAGTCATACCAATGCTGGCTTGTTCATTCTATGTTTATGAGAGATGTAAAATATTGTTTGGAATTTAACATTATAGATGTTCATTTTTTATTCAAACAGGTAAACTGTTTGAGATTATTTATTATTATGCTGCATTCATATATCAATATATATATATATGTATTTTGAGTCATTTACAAGATCTATTTACTATTTAATTTGTCAGTTTGAAGTTTGAACATTTAGAAAAAGAAATCAAACCACTTTCTCTTTCTATTACCTCTGGTACCGAATTTTGGATTGGAAGCAGTGTAATCTTTGACATGAGATTTCGCTATTTCAGCTGTCTTCGACACTGATTGGGAACCGAGTTTAAATCCCCAGCCTCTTAAAGTTTTAACAACCGTTGGAGTGATGGCAGCAGCAATAGGTAATCTAATGAAAATGAAAGCTTTATGAACTCCATAAGCAAGTATGAATTCTGTAAGAGAAAATTGTGATTTGATATATTCAAACCAACTCATTTTATCTGTTGAAGTTTCATTAGCACCTTTTTCTTCTTCTTCAATTCTACTAATCTCTTGCTTTCTACTCAATTCTTCGTCGCTAACACCATAGCCAAATTGCTGTTTTGCTTTATTCTCATAATATTCAATTTCATCCTTACCAACAGAGTGAACCAAAAGGTAGAACAAGGGTAAGTCAATAGCGGTTAAAGCTAAATAAATACCTAATGCCGAAAGTCCGTATTCTTTCATTAATGCTCTAATACCTGTGGGCTTTTTTCCTGGCGGAGGAACGGTAGTTGATTGAAATCTTTTAAAAGATGATCTGAACATTGGTTTCATTATTGATGTATTCCTAGGCATCTTCAAAGACATCCTTATGGGATTTAATATAATCCTTGATGCTTTGATATTGATTAATCTGAACATGATGATTGAAAAATTTCGCAGTCTAGAAATTTTACTTTACACAATTTTACTTTATGACCAAAATTCTTTAAAGTTTGTATTATTTATTTACACTATCTCTACATGGTAAGGTTATCCTGAGGTGATTTTGAGGATCCTTAGAACCCACTTGGGGTTTTAATTTGACATTAATTAACGAAATTGAGACCAATATCTTTCGTCTTCGAATCTTTTTGCAACCAAATCAAGAACTTCTTGAGAATAAACATCCTCTAACTTTTCACCACCAATCAAAACTCTCTTTTCATGTATTGATTGTTCTTCTTTTGTCATAATCACTAAGTTTTGACAACTGATTTCTTTAGAAGGATCCCATCTGGATAATGTCAATTTAGTTGAATAGTTGGAAATGGGTGATTTTCCATGGAAAATTTCTTCTAAGATATATGGAACTTCACTTAATGCTATTTTAACTCTTTGATCAACTTTTCCAATTCTTGTTTGTTGGCCGGCAAGACTTTGGAAGATACCATCATAGACTTTGATTCTATTTTTACCTTCGACGGGTTCTATTGGATATCCAGCAACCGATGTGATCACATAAGTGGCAATACTCAAACCATACATACCCGGCATAGTACCCAATACAGGTAATATTCTGACTCTGAATCTTTGCAATGCAGCTAACTCATCGACTTTACCCTTGGCAATTTCTTCTGGAGATAAAGGTAATAATTGAGCTTTTCTTGGATCAGGTTTTTCAGCAGAAAAAATAGTTGGAATGTTGGTGACAATTCCTTTTTTCTTTAATCTGATTCTCACAGATCTTGTTAATGGATCTTCTTCAGTTTTACTTATATCACCAATATTGATACGTGATGGATCAGATTTACAAGCTGCACCTCCTGATGATACGACCAATAATTTCTTCTCATAACAATAAGCTAATAAATCAACTTTGGTATCGATATTATCAATACAGTCGACGATATAAGTAGGATTGAAATCATCTCCAAAGATCAAATCGTCAGCTGACTTTAAATTCCATAATTCGTTTCTTACTTCAATTTTCACCCATGGTGCAACTTTAACTAAATGATTCTTTAAACATTGAACCTTTGAGATCCCAACATCCTTTAAGTTTGCAACTGCATGTCTATTCAATGAACTTAAGGTAACTTGATCAAAATCAATAACTCTTATCTTACCAACTCCTGAACGAACCAACACTGTAGCTACCCAAGAACCAACACCTCCAGCACCTACAACAACTATATTTTGATTTCTTACTTTATCCATTCCTTCCTCTCCTAAAAATGCAATATTACGAGCCAATTGTTCTTTTATTAAATCTTCTGGATAATCTTCCACAGGTTTCTGATTATTTTCAGATGTGACCAATTGTTTCCTGCTTGTATCCAAGTAATAATGGATACCCTCAACTATTAAGGCGGTTGTAATAGCGGTGGCTACTGCTACGCTCCAGATCTTAGACATGTTTGATTTTTCTCGATGAGCTGCGAAATTCTGGTAATCTATCTCAACCTTTGAATGGAGGGGGAAAGGAGGGGGATAGAGTTTTTTTTAGAGCTGAAGTGCCCTTGATGTTAAATATTAGTTTTTACGTAACGAATGAATTCATAAAAAATGCAGGATGGACTATAACTTTGCAGCAACTTTTCTACCGACAGTAGATTTGATTAAACCGTTTGGATCTGGGGAAGGGTAGAATAAATCATCATTATTTTTAATACCTTTCCATTCCAAATTGAATAAGATATAATGTTTGTTTGGTAAGACATAAGTAACAGTGTCAACTTCTTTGATTTGTTCCAAGATCTTATGGGACATATTGTACATAGTAGCTTGAACTGAAGCGGAGTTTTCTAATGCAAATAAATCCAAAGTAGTTTTTCTAGCAGCTTCGTAGGTTTTGTCGAATAATCCATTATCAGCGTAACTGAAAACGTCATCTAAAGTTTTAATTTGATTTTTGTCATAAACCCATGAAGCATCAACATCAGTTGATAAGATTCTGTCTTTAGTTGGTTTTAAAGTAGTGTAATCACAAACATTGTAACCGTAGAACATTGAACCGGTTGATTTTAAAACAGTCAAATCTTTGATAGATGAAGTAATGCTTAATTTGTTACCAGCTCTAGTGTAATCTAAAACAGTTCTTCTGGTTTCTGGACCTTCATGTTTGAATGAATGAGCATGTAATTTACCATCGACTTCATATTTTGTCCATTTAGATTGAACAATTGTAATTTCAATTCCTGAGACATGGGAATATTTATTAGTGAAGTGTTTAGCTAAATGAGCAGCAAATCTTTCAATAGGCCAAACGTTGGTATTTTTAGCTTCAACTAAAATAGTATTTTTAACAGTATCAGTTGGGACAATTGGTGAGTTATCGGCTTTGGTGTATGAAACATCAAAATCACCTCTTAATAAACATTGAACATTAGCTTCTAAAACTTCTTGTTGTTGTAAGTTGGAAGGATTCTTTTTAACTTTCAAGAATTTAACATTACCTTTACCGTAAGTTGAGCTGACTAATTGTGATTCCATTTTTTTGATTTTGATTAAATTATAAAAGCTTTAAATCCTTTATGGTAAATTTTTCAATTAATGGAAGCAATTCCAATATTTATAGGATATGGGATCGATTCTTATCATGTCGTACGACATCTGATGGAAGAGAAATATTCCATCTCGGTGTAATCCGCATACTTAAAATCGTGCAATTATAATGGAACTCAGGACTAAAAATACGTCATTAGTGTAGTAAAACTTGAGGAAACAAATCTTAACTACCATAGTTGCTAGGAGATCACCTTGTTTCCCCATGCAAATAGCAACCCCATGAAAGATGATTTGGCTGCAATAAAAATTATACGGAGAACCTGTTGTATGAAATCACTTCACTATTCTCTATTTGAACGGCACTGATTCGAAATATGCTAAATCTCGTCTATCATTTTGTTATCTTGATTTGTCTAAGGATCTATCGGTATTACGAAGGAGCAAAATATTTCCATGGCGAGGAAAATCAGACAATAATTTCGGTACCTTATACTGATAATGTATGTCTCTGTTCCGCAGTTTCTCGATTTGCAGTTAGGTGGCAGATCGATGTTTCGATAAGACGGAGAGCCGATTTCCCTTTTGGTATCTATTTACTGTTGGTGATCAAATAGTGAGACATATGGAAATTTTGGTGACAAGAGCAAGTGTAGTTACTTAGAGTTGACTACAAGTTACTTATCGGACAAGAGCGAGTTAATCATAATTGTAAGCTATTAAAATATTTAATTTATTCATTCTTTTTATCATCAACGGAATTAGAAGTTGCAATGGGTTCATTGGAGTCACTAACAGCATTAGTGGTTTTGATATCCTCAATTTCAACTTCATCTGTCAAAACAGGATCCAAAACCTGTTTTGAAATATCTTCTGGTGAAACATTCAATTTATCTAAGATGCTCACGACCTCTTCTTTCGAAGGTTTTTCATCAGCCGGCTTTGAATCGGATTCCTTGATAGAATCCAAAATTTCAGAATCAGATACTTTGTAATCTTTAGAATCTTCAGATTCTGAACTTTGATCGGGTTCAGCGAATCTCAAGGATTTTTTTGCTCTTCTAGGGGAAACGATATCATCATTCATAGTTGAATCAACAGATTCGTCAAATGTATTGGTATTTGAATCATCGTTATCAAAGACCAATTCAGCCGTCCTGATCCATCTTCTTCTTCTTGTATATTTTGAGTAAGAATCTTCAGTTGAAGGCCTCTTCCAAGTATTATCGTAGTAAATGAAACCTTCATCAGAACCTGGATCCGCAGTAGTTTTTGATCTCTTGGACAGGTTCAAAGTGATAGCTCCATCGTTTGTTAAATCCAATCTCCAGGTTTTGTCAACCCATCTCCATTTAGCATTATTCATCGATAATTGAGACAGTTGTTCTTGACCAAAAGAATAATCTTGATGATTTTCAGGATTAGGTAATTGGAAAGATTCAATGGCTGAGGATTCATTCAAGAACTCATCAGTCCAAGGGGTTCTTTCATAACTCAATAAATTAGATGTCCACCCAATACCTAACCATCTTCTTTGATTTTCGTAAATGACATAAGTGAATCTTACTGGTCTATTACTTTCACTATTCAAAGGATTCAAGTTGTAGCTAGAATTCTTTTGTACTTTAGCAAAAGCAGCAGCAAATAACGATTGATTTCTTTGTTTCAGGAAATCTAAACCAGTCAAATAAAAGAATAAGACTCTGGTTAATTTAATTTTCCAAATCATCTTTCTTGTCACTGACAGATACGATGAATGATAAGTCAATAAATATAAACCAATTATTAATAAGATGATTCTTGGTTTTACGATCAAAAAAGTAATAATCAAGTATAACGGAGTTAAAAATACTGTAGTGAATAATAATCTTTTAATGTCGTATCCAGTTAAAGACAATGAGATGATTGGGTCCAACAATCTATCAGCTTTAAGGCAAGTGTTGGTTAATGCTTGAACGACCTCATCAAGGGTGGGATTCAAACTGGCTTCTTCCAATATCTTGTTATTCAATAATGCATATAAAGTTATAAATCCAACAACTATTAAATGGCCGAACCAAGTAACCAATTGCTCAAAATACAACACTGCCATAGAAAAACAACTGATGATTATTACATTAATCCAGTAATCATCGTTTGTCCAAGTAATTACCGATAAAAATTTGTTAACAATCAATAAATATGGGTAAGCTCTCACTAAAGCTTTTGAGACAGTTGGTGGGGTAGACGATAATAATGGTGAAGATTGAGTCTTGGTGGCAATAGAATTATCATCAGACGATGAAAAGTTGGCTCTCACTTGATGGGTTTCTTTTGATTCTTTATCACCAATAATCTTATCCGGTTTGGATACATCACTTGCTCTAGTGGGTGATGCCATAATTGATCAATATCAATCTTGTGAAGAATTCAATTTTTTCAACTAATCCGAAATATTAGATTTATTTGTATACAATCTTATTATTTTGAGGAGTCAATTAGATTATTGAATCGGGCGATTGTTGATTAGTGGTTTCGAGGAACAATTTTTCAACAAAAATTTAGTTAACGTCCTGTGAAATGGAGTGAGGGTTTTACAGGATTGAAAGATTTCGCAAGTTTTCGCACTCTGATATTTGAAAAACCTTTGGATATCATGGCTAATTCAGATGATGACGATGCTTACCTTTATGGTTCCGACGAAGAACAGCAACATAGTACGAAAAAACAAAAAGTAAGCAATACCGAAGAAACTGCAGAAAAAGCTGTAGATGAAGGCGATGATGACAATGATGAAGATGATGATGAAGAGGAAGAAAGTTCTGATGATGATATTGATATCGTTATTGGAGATAATACTGTTGCTTCTGAACCTGCCAAAGCTAAAGCCAAGGAAGAAGAAGTGGAACAAGATTCAGTGAAAATCGTATCTAATAATCAAGAAAAAGAGTCATTGGATATTAATAAGGTGGCTGAATTAGATGGTAAACCATTAACCCAAGTTGACCTTGATAAATTAAAAGATAAACCATGGAGAATACCTGGTGCAGATATAACGGATTATTTCAATTACGGATTTGATGAAATGTCATGGACTCAATATTGTGTCAAACAAGATAAATTAAGAGGTGAATTTAACCCACAAAAATTGATGGCTTCTATCATGAAAACAGCTAAAGAGAGTACCACTACTAATCAAATGACAATGCCACCAGGAATGCCACCAGGTATGCCTCCAATGATGCCGGGTATGATGCCTCCCGGTATGCCACCAATGATGCCAGGTATGATGCCTCCTGGTATGCCACCCACTAACAAAGGTCCACCAAAAGGTCCACCTCCCAAAACGACACCAAGATATAATAATAAGAGGAATTCAAGAAGATAAACATTGAATAATCAATAATTGTATATTAATATATAAACATGAATTTGTACAAAAAATCATAAACATTTACCTTTCTCTCCTTTGTATCAAACAAGAATCTTTAAACATATTAGATTTTTAATGGAATTATTCTTCATCACTTTCTTCATCAGCTTCTTGTAACCAACTAATGAATGGTTTAGCAGCTTTACGAACTTTCTTAGAAATATCTTTAGCAACATATTTTTTAGAAACTTTAGTACCCCAATTCAATATGACTTCTTCAGAAATTAATTCTTTATCATAAACAGTCATTAAGATTTTTGGAACTTTTTCGATTAAACCTTGATTTTCTAAACCAATATATCTTTCTAAACCTCCTAAGAAAGCTTTTTCCGATTCTTCTTCACCTTTAATTAATTTTTTCAATAAACCTAAATGTTCATCAATTTGTTCAACAACATCATCATCGAATAAAGTTTGAGCTAAAACTTGAACAGTTTCAGGATTTTCTAAAATTTCTAATTCCATGATTTTCTTGTAAATATCAATATCACTTGGTAAATCATCTTTTGAATCTTTTGATTCTTTTAATAACCATTCACCTAATTGAGTATAACCATCAGATTCAGCTAAGGTTAAGTTATCTAATTCTTTAGCTCTAGCTTCAATAGCTTCTTTTGACATATCAACAGCCCAATCATCATCATTAACTTCGATCTTAGCATTAGCCAAAGCTGCAGCTTCAGCATTTATTTTTTTGGTTAAGATATCATCATCATCATCACCAGCATCAGCGAATGAATTGTTAGCAGAATCTCCATTTGAATCATTTTTAGCTAAATCAGCAATGGATTTACCACCACCAACAACATTGGCAGTAGCAGTAGCAGATTTCTTTTTACCTTTTTTGTCAGATGGAGGATTCTTTAAAATATATGTAGATAATTTATGTCTAATATCAATCATTGATAAATGACCACAAGCTTTACAATCTCTTTGTAATAACCCTTTTTTGATTTGAATTTCAGTTTCTGGATTCTTACAAGAACCACATAAAACGAATTTATTAATGAAACCATCTAAAGAATCTTGTAATTCACCTGCTTCATGAACCCCATTAATTAAATAACGATCTTGTGATTCATTAGTTAAGGCACCTAATTCGTAACCAAAGAATTTTAAAACGTAGGTTGGAGGTCTACCTAAAGCTCTGGCAACTTCATTTAAATTTACGATCACAGTTTTGATACCATTACCTCTTCCTTCAACTTTTGATTGAATTGGTGGCATTTTATAACGATAAAACGGATCGGTATTATCACGACATATATTTATGAATGACATGGTGGATTGATTTCTTTAGTAAATTATTATATCATATACTTGTTATATGTAACAATGTGTTTAAAATTGGTATATCTATAAACAGATTTAATTCACTTAGAAGTGTAGTTAATTCTCAGTAATGGAAAATTTTTAATTCTCGATGATTGAGATTTTTCACCTTCGATCTGGTGTACGGGTGTGAGAATTTATGGGGCAAAAGAGATTTAAATAGTACAGTATATGTATAAATGCTAGGGGAAAGGAACTGTCTTTGACAAGACAATACACTTATTGCTATGAGACAAATAACCTTTTATGAAACCATCAGCTATCAATGAAGCTAGGATACATTCAATCTCATCGAAATTCTCTGTATAATCTTTTTGAGATTTCCCATGAGTTGAATAGGTAATTGTCACATTGAAAGCACTGAAAGGTATTATGTGGTTAGTCTTAGTGTCCTCATTCAAGGATTGATGAATATGGACAGTTTTCTTGATCAACGATATCATACACAATCTTTTGAGATTTTCAAATAAAAGGTAAAGATTAGATTTCAACAAGAATGCTTGAACTTTGATGATGAAGTTGTTTAATTGGAAGATTTGCCCCTTTAATATGAATTCGAATAAATTATCCTTGTACAAATATTTGAGAGTGGGGAACTGTTTCCAAATGATATCTTTTGGTATCTTCTTGTCATTGTATAACTTTAAAGGTAACAATAGAATCAATATTTTTTGATGGTTTTTCTTAACTCTTGAAATATCTTGGTAATATGATAATAAATTAAGTGCACTTTCAAGTTTTGATTGACTGGATTTGAAATCTGAATCCTCTAATGATAAGATAGAACTATAATATAAATAAGTTATTGCTGATGCTTTGTCTTTTAATTTCTTATTAAAAGCTGGTAATTCGAACCTTGTACCTTTTAAAGCTTTCTCAATTGATTTAGCCAACTCAATATTTCCCAACTTGAAGTAAATTTTGATTAATATACTCAAAAAGAAATAGATATCGATCCTTTTACTTTGTGATAAATCAAGATTTTTATCGTTGAGTGACAATTTGAATGATTTGTTGATGGTGTTGGCCAATATTTCTAGAGCACTCTGTTTTCTGTCGGTGAAAATTTCATTAGACTGGTTGTTATTTTTGATTTCTTCAGGGAATGACTTTTCCATCACAGAATAGATACCGATTAATTCCTTACAGCATTTCATCAAGGTTAAATTTATCCAGTTTGTTTGCAATTCTGCATACCTATTCAATTGAATAACCATTTCATTGTAATCCTCGAAACTTTTCTTAATATCGTTAACCAAGTATATCGATTTCATTAATTTGATATAGCTCTTAATAACATTTCTGAACCTCTCATCGATTTCGTATAAATCAAAATCATTCGGGTCATTGAACCTCGCTATCAAGGGGCCCTTATTATCTTGAGGATTAATCTCTAAGAATTTACATAAAGCAGCTGCATTATGTTTCTTGAGAGCATCTCTTACATCACCTATGAATTCTGATAAACTCATAGCACAAACTTGAATTCGCACTCTTCACTTCAAGTTTATTCAATCTTTGATTTTTGGATAGAAGAGGTGGAGCTGGGGTTACAGAGGGTGTCAATGTTTGGATCTAGATTAAGCTTTCGATCGAATCGGAAGAAACCTTGTTAAATAAGTAAGTAACCCCAATTTTGGAAACAAGATTGATATTCACTGATTTGGCATATGATAGGGAGACCATTTACAAAATGGGGGCGGTGTTTGGATATTCCATTCCCCTGACCCCGTGGATAGGTTCGTCAAATATCATTTCTTGATCAAAATCTTTGTCCCCCTGAAAAATAGTATTGAGCAAGATTTATCCTAATTTGATCAATTATTTAGCTCAATACAAACCAAGCTTTTTTCTCTTAATTTTGACACATTAGAAAATCTTGATCTGAACTTCTTCATCTTCAAAAACATGTTGCATATGCTAAAGGAACGATAAAATCGATCATCCTTTCGTTCGAATTTTAAACTACTGAATGTGATTTCATCCAATGACATCCATGTCCGATGTGACACCGTTGCTGAAAGTTATCCTTCCTGAAAATTGTCGAATAATTATTTTATTAGATAACATGTTAACAAAACTTTCTACTTTAGTTCTGGTCTTTTCAGTCGGTTCAATTGCTGCAATTCAACCACTTGCCAATGATTCACCTCAAACTCAATACGTTGCCATTTTTGATGGAAAACTTGAAGGAAATGTAACTTTCACAGGCTTAAATAACGGTTCAATCGAGGTCGGTGTTGACTTGGATGGGTTTCCATCAGAAGGCGGTCCATTTATGTACCATGTTCATGAAGCGCCAGTACCATCAGATGGAAACTGTACCGGTACAAAGGGTCATTTGAATCCATACGGCGGTAATATTAAATCAAACAACACCGATGAAAAGGAGATCGGAGATTTAAGTGGTAGATATGGTACTTTAGAAGGTACCACCAAGATCAGTTATGTTGATCAATATTTATCATTAAACCCAGATTCTGAAGCTTACATTGGTAATTTATCCGTGGTTGTCCATTTAGCTGACAACGTTAGATATGCCTGTGCCAACATCAGTAAAGTTGATTCAGATAAGGATGGAAGCTCCGGTAACAACTCCAATGGTTCAGTTCCTGATTATGGTTCAGATTCAGGCAGAATTAGTTTGACTGGAATCTCTTTAGTTTGTGGTGTTGCAGCTGCTTTACTTATTTAATGTACTTGTTTTTCCTCTACGAAGTTTCTGAATACTCCTTAAGAAATGCAGTTTTCAATCACGATGAGGAGGGCTGACAGACAAGCCATGATAGGTTTTATGATTGTCTTGGGATAACACACATCGATATACATGATTCTACCACCATCTACATCACTTAATACCGCTTGTAGATGATCAAGAGCGCTTAGAATGGAAAGGATCTTTGCAATTATGGGAAATTGCATGAAACTACTTAATTATGTAGGTAAACAGATCTCTTGGAGTATCAAGCTTTTCATAATTTAGCAAGTCAGTATTACCCACAATTGTATAAAGTCTCAGGTCAATCCATGAGAGAAGCAAACCCGGAGCCATGAATCCATTGCCATTATTGTTCTTTGTTATAGCAACTAGTGCTGTAATTCAGCCTTTCGCTAACGACTCACCCCATGGGGCTTATTTTGCTGCAAAATTTGATGGAACAGGGGTGATTGGAGAAGTCTCATTCAAAGGAATGAAAGATGGGTCAATTGAAATCAATGTCGATTTAGAAGGATTTCCTAGAATCGGAGGTCCATTCATGTATCACGTTCATGAAGCTCCGGTTCCAACTGACGGTAATTGCACAGGAGCCAAAGCTCATTTCAATCCATTCGGCGGAAACTTAAGTGCTACCAATCCCGAGGAATTGGAAATTGGAGATTTAAGTGGGAGATATGGACTTTTGCAAGGAGATTCTTGTTTAGCATACATTGATCATTACCTTTCTTTGAACAGCCAATCTAAAGCTTTCATAGGTGGCCTATCGGTAGTCGTACATATATATGATAATACTAGAATTGCATGTGCAAATATCACACAATGTTCTTGAAAAATTTAAAGGGCCGAGGAAACTGCTACCAATATCAACATAGATCCCCCTATTCGAACTCGGAGTTCAATTGACGAGGACAAGTTTTCAAGCATCCGAAGTCAACTTGCCTATGTACTGACTGAGATAGTACTTCTTAACTCGAAATAAAAATTTTCATTTGTGAAACATTTTTACTAACAGTGGACAGCTACAATGATCCACCACTATCTAGACATCTGTTAGTTCACGTATATGTTTTTCTTCACCTAAATCCATCTCTTAGAAAACGGATGTCGTACGTTTAGTCGAGACATTACACCATTATGCGACAATGCTTAAAAGTTAAGTGAACCCCAGACTGAAATAAAAACGTACGAAAAAAAAACTTCACTAGCTTTCTTTTTCAAATGATACAGTTCTTGAAAGATAATTTTATACCTAGAATACCCAAAGAAAACTTTTCAAGAGTTGAAGAAACTAATGAGTATGTGGGGAACTCCGAGGGGTTGAAAAAAAGCAAGGAAGATGAAGAAGTTTCAATTTATTCAAAATCATCAGCTTTAACAAATGATGCTGAGCACCTACATAGATCTTTGAAGAATGAACAAATTCAATTAATTTCAGTTAGTGGAGTTATTGGTTCAGCCCTTTTCGTTGCTATAGGTAAAGCTTTAGCCAAAGGGGGACCATTATCTTTATTATTGGCATTCATAATTTGGTCTGTTCCTATATTGTTCATCACTGTATCCACTGCAGAATTTGTGAGCTATTTACCCATAACTTCACCATTTATTAGAATGGCTGGAAGATGTTGTGATGAAGCTTTACAAGTTATGGCAGCTTGGAATTTTTGGTTCCTTTGTTGTGCTCAAATACCTTTTGAAGTAGTTACTGTGAATTCAATTGTTCATTTTTGGAGAGATGATTATTCTCCTGGTATAACATTAGCTGTTCAAGTTGTATTATATTTTTGTATAAATTTATTCGAAGTATCAGTTTATGGATACATTGAATTTGGTTTAGGTTTGGGTAAAATCATTTTAGCTGTAGGGTTAATTTTATATAGTTTCATTACTATGGTAGGGGGAAATCCTCAACACGATGTTTATGGATTTAGATATTGGAAAAATCCTGGTCCGTTAGCTGAATATATCACAACTGGGGACCTTGGTAGATTTGAAGGTTTCCTTGCATGTTTAATTCAAGCATGTTTTACTATGGCAGGACCAGAATATTTATCTAGTGTTGCATCAGAGACTATAAATCCAAGAAAAGTTTTACCTTCAGCGTTCAAACAAGTGTTTTGGAGATTGGCTATCTTTTTCATTGGTGGTGCGTTATCAGTTGGTATAATTATTCCATACAACGATCCAATTCTTTTAGAAACTTTGGGTGCAAGTAAACCTGGGGCAGGATCATCACCTTACGTTATTTCCATGCAAAATTTAGGAATTTCTGTATTACCACACATTGTAAATGTTTTGTTATTGACTTCAGCTTTCTCTGCTGGTAATTCATATACTTATTGTTCTTCTAGAACATTATATGGGTTTGCGTTAGAAGGATACGCACCAAAATTTTTGACTGCTACAACCAAAACAGGTATTCCAATTTATTGTGTCTTGATCTCCTTAGCTTGGGCTTTCTTGAGTTTCTTACAATTGGGATCAGGATCTGCAGAAGTATTGAATTGGATTATCAATTTAATCACGTCCTGTCAATTACTTAATTTTTCAGTCTTATGTCTAACTTATGTCTGTTTTTATTATGCGGTTAAAGCTCAAGGTATTGACAGAAATTCATTCCCCTTCAAAGGTTGGTATCAACCATGGTTAGCTATCATTGGAGGTGTTCTGTCATTTGTGATGATTTTTGTTAGTTCATACTACGTGTTCTTACCAGGAGCTTGGGATTATCAATCTTTCTTATTTTCCTACTTACTTTTGTTCATCGACTTGGGTGTGTTTGTATTATATAAGCTTATCAAAAGAACCAAATGGAGGAAATCATCTGAAGTCGATTTGAAAACTGGATTAAGAGAAATTGAAAATCATGAAGCTGCTTATTATGACCAATTGGAAAAAGAAGGTAAATTAAATAGACCTCCAACGTTCATGAGGAAAATATTATTCGTATTATTCGGTAGTACAATCAAGAAGTAAAATTAATATACACTATAGTGAATTGAACTCTTACAATGTGACATTTGCTAGTTCTTTGCTCATCAAATTATATTTACACGACTTTCAATTGTGAGTAGCACATGATAAGTCTGGATTAAAGAGGTTTATTGTGTTTTTTTTTTTTGCAGCAAGATTCGTCAAATCCGCGATCGATGAATGAAATTTCACCATTTCGTGGACTAATTTCAAACACCAATTGACTATGATCACTTACCATGATTGAACAATAGTATATGAAATTCATATCTCTTCAGATTATATAGATGGTGGCTTCTATTTACTCGAACTCATCTCGCTTAAATTTGCGAAATTAAGAGTTATGTCATAATTCTATTTTTAACTCACACCAATTTTTTCCATCATTGAGGGTTTGGTCAATAACCAGACATAATTTGTTGGTAGGGGAAACATATTGTTCCTGTAAGATTTGCGCCCAAAAGAAGCAATTGTTGAAGAAATTCTTGGAAATATGTAAACGTGCTAACTTTATTTGGACATTTTGGTTATGTGTGACCCCATCTTTTGAAGTTTATTATGCGAAAGACGACTTTTGGCCCTGAGGTTATGTGTGGTGTTTCTTTTTAAGTTTTCCGAATGCAGGAATTGAATAATAGCAGTTTCGACTATATAAGAGTGGGAATTCTTCAATATGGAAAAGTCAATTATAAAAGAAAAATGTTCAAATTAGCTGTATTATTATCCATTGCTTCATTCGCTGTCGCTGACAGAGATTTCCAATTAACTGCCAGAGGTGGTTATATTAACTCTGGGGTTGCTGCTGATGGTGACAAAATTGGTGTAAACGCCGGTGGAGCTGTTGATTTCCATTTAGAAGAACCAATTGGTTACTTACTTTTAGGTGGTAGATATGTTCAAGCCAGTCCAGAAGGCTTAAACTTAGTTGACCAAGATGAAGCTTCCAGAACTTGGGGAGTTGAAGATGGTAAATTAATCATGGGTGTTAATGGTCCAGGATTTTACGCATGTGCTCAAGATGATGGTTCAATCTTTGTTTCAAGTGTTGTTTGTCCTGAAGGAACCGAAGAACAAGAAATTGAATTATATACCAGTGATATTGATGGCTCAGAAAGTCAATCAGATGGTGGTGCTGCAGCCGTAGGTGGCTCATCTACTGATGGTAGTGCCACTACCTCAAGTGACGATGAAGAATCTAATTCTACTGAAAGTAGTGGATCTGAATCATCAGGTGAAGCTGGTGCAGCTGCTCTTGCTTCTGATGCTGATTCATCTGAGTCAAGTGACTCAAGTGCATCAGATGATTCAGAATCAAGCGCATTGGACGAAACTGAGTCAAGTTCCGATGTCTCAGAATCATCAGAAGAATCCAGTGCTTCCGATGAAGGTTCTGCCTCCGAATCTTCAGAATCTTCAGCATCTGATGAATCATCCGAATCAGACGAAGCTTCAGCCTCCGACGAATCCTCAGAATCAGACGAAGCTTCTGCTTCAGACGATTCATCTGCCTCCGATGAAGCTTCAGCCTCCGATGAATCATCAGCTTCAGATGATTCAGAATCTTCCGACTCATCAGATTCAAGTGAATCAGGATCCGCTTCATCTTCATCTGGATCAGATTCAAGCTCAGAATCAGCCAGTGATGATAGTGGAGTTTCTAGAGTTTCAGTTGGTTTAACTGGTTTAATCGCTGCTGCTGCCTTAATGATTTAATTTGTAGAATACCCATAAAAGTTTTGTTTCCGTATATCCACTCTTACAACATCTTGTGCCGTTAACTTCTATGCCATTCTACTATGTTAACTTCTACTACGTTAACAGCTGAATGACTACTATAGGTCATTTTTCTTCAAATTTTAGTCGCATAGATGATCTCTTTTAGGCGCACTGCTTCATCGGCGTACAATTCCAGGAAACAGGGGCTAAATAAAGGTTCTTTTCCAGAATATTTTTGTCATATATACACCTCCATACAGAAATATCTCCATCACAGGTGGTTAATAAACTCATATACAGAAAAAAATAGTGATTTTTCAACATTTTCAATTGATATTTCAGGGATTTTACCCTAAATTGAAATATTCACGAAAGAAAATTTTTGTTGGAATTAAGCGAGCACAGGGGAAAAGAATATATATAATTCCAATTATCAATAAAATAGGACATTTCTGTTATAAACAAGTCAATAACATTGTAGACATTGAAGTTAATACTGAAACGGTCAATTTTAAAATATTCAAAGCTTCGGAAATATTCAAATTTATTGTCGTTAAAAGTTAATCTGGAATAAAGTTTTTAAGACAATTGAAGTAAAATTCATTCAACAAATCCCTTAAAAACCACTTTAATTAATCATAGGATACCAAACATTTGCATTTGAGGGAGTATTAAATCCCAGAGAGTCAAGAAAAGTTCAACAATGATTCGAATAGTGAAAATAACAGCATTCAGTTTACTACTATTGAGTCTTGTAACACCTATAAAAGCATTCAATTTGAATGATCTTGGAAATTTACTAGCAAGAGCTGATTCTGTAGTAAATCAAGTTGATCAGTTCACAGACCATCAAACATATGTTCAAAGAATTCTTGCAATTTCATCATCAACCACGTCAATAGTTTTCTGTTCAGCATCAATTTATTGTTTCTTCGCTATTGATCCAAGAAGATTAGTTTTCAGACATCAGTTAATATTCTTTCTTTTATTCTTTGATTTAATGAAAGCTTGTATTTTATTATTATACCCAGCAAGAGTTTTGACTAATTATTTAGCATATTTTAATGCTAAATTTTGTCATGTAGTGGGATTCTTTACAGCAACAGCTATTGAAGGAGCTGATTTTGCTATCTTAACATTTGCCATTCATACTTATTTATTGATTTTAAAGACCAATTTAAATGTTAGAGTTGGGAATAGTAGAAGAATTGAAGGTGGTTTGTATATTTATAGATTTTATGTTTATGGTATTTCATTTTTAATACCATTAATTTTAGCTAGTTTAGCTTTCGTGAAAAATGAAGGTTATCAATCATTTGTTTGTTGGTGTTATTTACCTCAATATCCTGTTTGGTATAGAATGGTTTTAAGTTGGGTACCTCGTTACTTGATTTTATTAACAATTTTCTTTTGTTATGCATCGATTTATTATCATGTTATCAAACAAATAAGACATTTAGGTGGAGTTTTCACAACTACAAGTAAGAAAAAATTCACCGATATAAGTGAAAAACCTTCATTCTTTTCTGCATTAAAGTATTTTTTAAATACTATAAAACGTAAAATATTACCTGAATTAACTTTACCTGAACCGAACAAAGAATTTAAAGAAGATGTTCACCCTCACAGAAGTAATTCCAGGATGTCCAAGGAACATGGTGATAATTATGGAGCAGATGATGAAAATGATGATGATGATGATTTAGAAGATATTGATGATGTCCTGTCAAGTGATGATGATATTAGTGATCTTGAAGATATGGCTGAAAATGATGAAGGCAATGTTGGAAGTTCTACTCATCAAAGTCCTATCAATTATAATATCAACACGACTATGACCACTTCCAACTCTAATTTGGATAATCACGGTACTGATATTCACTTAGAAAATTTGAAAAACTTCAAAAAACGTCAAAGAATCATCAAGAAGCAAATGAAATCGATTTTCATTTATCCTTTAGCATATGTGTTCATCTGGTTATTCCCATTTATCCTTTATGTTACACAAGTCAATTATGAAAGACATCATCAACCTATATATTTCCTCAATTGTTTGGGGGCTTTTATGCAACCATTTAATGGAACTGTTGATTCTATTGTGTTTTTCATCAGGGAAACTCCTTGGAAATACACTGCTATGAATAAATTCAAACGTGATCATTCTGAAAGAATGGATTCCCTTTTGAATAGACAATATCACGACCAAAGACAAAATCTGCATACTAATCGTGACAGTAGAGGTAGTTTGGGTTTGAGTAGTCATCATAATCCTTCTATTAGCCACAGTCATCGTCAAAGTTTAAGAAGTCATTCTTTATATGATTCATCTATCTCAAATAATACCAACAGTAGAAGTGGGAGTGGAGTTGGTAGATCTGAATCATTTAGTCATCATAATCATTCATTAAGTGCCAATTTGAATGTTGACTTATCAAGATTCAAAAAGTGGAGATTCTTCTTGAATGATTTGAATTTACCTTTATTCCAATTACCTACAGAAAAGAATCTCACTAAATTACAAGATAAATTCATTTCGGAAAAATTACATGAAAATCAAGATATCGAATTAACTGATAATCAAGATATTGAAATGAGTGAACAAAAACTTGATTTTTCCAATGTTTTACAAGGTAATTTGGTTGAAGATGAATTCAGAAGTACTTTAGAGAATTTCTCATTGAATTTCAATGATGGTTCGAAAACTCAAGGTAAAAGATTAAGTAATTCAAGTCTTAATCATACTACCGTCAATTCTTCACCTCATAACAGAAAGAACAGTTTTTCCAGTAAATCATATAGATCAAGACAATTCTCAGTTGATCCCAATGAACCAGTGATTATTGAAGGTAAATTATATGATTCTGGAGATTCAACCTCATCACCCAACACCAAGAATTCTCCCACAAATTCCAATTTCCCTCATAGACCAACAAGAAACAGTTATAACTCAGGTAATACTTTAGCAATTTTAAGAGGTAACTCTGGTAGTTCAACACCAAATAAAAAGTTAAGTAGAGGAACGTTAGATACAAGAACTTCATTAACTGGTAATGATGAATCTGATGGAGAAATGGATTTCATGGAATTTTTAAAGAAAGGTCCACCATAACCTTAAGCATTTTTTATATTCAATTCATCCTTAATATTTTGTATAATTACAAAAAAATTCATTAATACAATATATAATTTTTAAACTTGTAGCCTCTCATAGAGTGCGGCTCTGATTTCCGCAACATTAAGTCATCTCCTTAAGATATCACCTATGTCTCAAGATAATACTGAAGTAGAGAAGGAAAAGTATTTTGAAAGTAATGCTGGAGATGGGTCCCATGCAACTGACCAACATCTTCATGGTATACAATTATTCATCACATTAGTTAGTTTATTATTAGCATTATTCGCCTCGGCTTTAGATCAAACTATCGTATCAGCAATTCTTACAGAGATAGCTACTGATTTCAATTCTTTTGATAAAGTTGGATGGCTTACAACGGCTTATATGTTACCTATGGCATGTTTAACCCCATCATATGGGAAAATATCAATAGCTCTTGGTAGAAAGTATACAATGTTAGCAGGTTTAGGATTCTTCATTGTGGGGTCATTAATAGCAGCTTTAGCTAAGAATATGGATATGTTCATTGGTGGAAGAATCATTCAAGGTATTGGAGGGGGTGCCATTTCATCAATGAACGTTGTTATTATAAGTGAAATCACTCCAATATCCATCAGAGCATTGGCAATGGCATTAATCGGAGTTGTTTTCAGTATTGCGTCGGCTGCTGGACCTTTTATTTCCGGTTCTTTGGCTACTAAAGTTACTTGGAGGTGGTGTTTCTGGATCAATTTACCTATAGCTGGGGTGGGATTCGTTGCTCTTTTGGTGGTGTTTAGACCCCCTAGACCTCAAGGGAATATTAGAGAAAAATTACAAAAAATCGATTACACAGGTACATTTTTGATTAGTTCAGGTTTGGTTTTGGTTTTATTGGCTTTGACCTTTGGTGGTAATGAATTCTCTTGGAATTCGGCAGCTGTCATCTCATGTTTTGTTTTAGGTGGGATTTTATTGATTTTATTCACTTGCTATAATTTTGGCATTTCCAAACATCCTTTGATTTTGAAAGAAATTATCGTTGTTCCACAAATAGTTATTGCATGTGTAGCAGGATTTTTATCCTTTGGTCAATTCATGATCAATAATGTTTATATTGCTATTTACTTCCAAGTTATTCATAATGATTCAGCATGGCAATCGGGTCTCAATTTATTACCATTCATTGTAACAGTTTCACTTGCAGCCGTATTCAATGGGGTATTCATCAAATTCACAAGGACTGTTAAGATAACTTTCATGCTTTGTGCTATAACAGCCTTAGTGGGTAGTGGATTATTACTTCTTTTCGGTTTAGAATTATCCAGAGGTACTCATTATGGAGTGTTAATAGTTAATGGTATATCAGCAGGATTATCATTCCAATGTAGTTTATTATCAGCACAATTAAGAGCTCCAAATACTGTCACTGGATCTTTAATTGTTACTACAGCTTTCAATTATTTTGCCAAATCCATTGGTGGTGTGTTAGCAGTTTCAATATCTCAAGTTATTCTTCAAGTATCTTTCACTGCATACATTAAAGATCTTATAGCTTCATTGGATGTTAATTCTAGAGATTACACAATCTTAACATCCATACCAACCAAAGCCCTCGTTTCCAATCCAAGTGTCATAAATAAATTTCCTGATTCCTTGAAGAAACTGACGTTAACAGCATTTTTACATGCATTGAAGAACATTTTCTATTTCTCCATTGCAATTTCAGCACTTTTAGTCATTACCACAGCTTTCACCACCAATAAAAGAATACCCAAAGATGAAGATGTTTTAAAATCCAAGGATGTTGAAGAGAAAGAGAAGGAAACCCCCGAATCAGAAGAAACTCGTGAATCCGAGGAAACTCCTGAATCAGAGAAGAGTCCCGAATCAGAGAAAAGTCCCGAGTTGGAGGAAACTTCCACAACTTCTGATAAATAATTTTTATAATATTTACATACTAAAAATACAATTAATATACATAATTCCCAACCTTTTAAATTTTACTATTCATTTCAGACAAATGAGCTCTAATTCCGTCATTTAACTTGGCCATCATAAATTCATGTTCTCTCATGTCTCTTTTGAAATCTTCTTTCGTTTTTAAGATTTCGTTTTCAATAGCTTCAACTTCTTGTCTTGTATGAATCAGTTGGACATCAATTCTATGAACTTCTTTCATGTTTTCTTCGTATCTGACATTTAGAGCTGAAACCACTTGAATATGATTTTGATTGGCTTCTTCGGCTTCTTCATTTAATTTTTTAATCTTTTGTTCATTTAAACTTATTTGAATCTTAAATTGTTCAATATCTCTATCTAAATCATTGGATTTCGAAGCGAGTTCATTAAGAATTTCTTGATATTTAGTCAAATCATTGTTTAATCTTTCAATCTCTCCAATATCGTGTATGATATCATTCAATACTCGTATGGAAGAATTTAAATCACTATCAACTTTCTGCAACGATTCAATACCAATGAAGATATTCTTTTGTTTCAATTCTAAATTATTGAGGAAGTCTTGTTCTTCAAGATATTTTGATTTCAATTCTTCGATTTCAATATTAAGCGAATTCATATCCACTTGATCACATTCTTTTAATTTCTCAATATCTTCAGTTAATTCATCAAGTAAATATTGTTGTTCTGATATTCTTTGAACCAATCGCTGTTTCTCTGATTTGTATTGTGCATGTTGATTACCAAAATTATCTTGAGATTTTTTCAATTTTTTGAATTCTACTTCAATCTTCGAATTATAAAGGTTGACTTGTTTAACACTTGGACTTCTATGCAATATATTGGTTATTTCTTCTATTTTGTTTTGTATTGTTGTGTTTTCATCATCAATTGCTTTGACTTTCTCTAGAATGGATTCTCCTGATAATAACTTTTCATCTACATCAACAGAATTTGTCTCTCTAAATCTAGCGAAATTAACTACTGCACTTAATATTCTCCTTATTCTTACTGGTTCAGGTTTCATTAAATCCATTAAATTGAAATCATCAATTCCACATATTTGAAATAATTTATTGGCAGCTCTAAAGAGAACAATGGTTGATAACGCTGAAGTAGTATCATTATCTTCATTTATTTCATTTTCTTTATTTTCCTCATCATTGTTATTCTCCACACCTTCCATATCATCATTACCATTTGGATGTTGATCAGCTTTACCTGATATCTGAGAAGCTTTCTTTTCAAGATCTTTAACTGATATGGCCATGAATGTATCTAAGAATTGTTCTGTCAATGATTTAAAGTATTGACTTGTGGGTTTGGAAACTAATTCTTCAGTTGCCACAAAATTACAATCTTGAAGACAAACACTTATTTCTTTGAAGTCCAATATAGGAAAGGGATCATGTTGTATATTGAAGGATCTACGCCTATGGATGGTAGAATTCCTTGGTCTATACATTGAACTACGACGAGACATGTTTGTTTATTTTATCGCGCATCCGCACTTTTTGCGATCTCATCCTGCTAGGAATCAATCAACAGTAGTGCGATACTTTCGTACAATATACTGCCAATTAGTTAGTACCATCGCGGGGCCATCAATGGTACGAAGAAAAAAAATATACGAGAGGACCTTGCACATAAAAATCATTATATTCTTTCAGCAGTATATACAGCACCTTTAACTATTAATTTGATAGCTTCGGTTAATAAAATATAAGGAACAGCTTTTTCAGCGTCATGTTCAATGGCAGTATCTAAATGTTCCAATTCTTCGTCTCTGAATTCACTAACAATCTTCATCAAATCTGCTAGCTCAGGTGAAACTTTATATTCATCTAATTGTTCGACCGGTATTTTATCACCAGTGACTTTATCATAAACTGGTATATCGAATTGGTTAGCTAACACTCTTAATTGTTGATTATAATGGTTACCGATGACTGTTTCAACAGCTACTGTACATGCCATAGCAGCTTCCTTACTTAACATTGCGGTTGCAGCTCCAAGACCTAAAGCCCCAACTTTCCATAATGGTGTTAACAATGATGGCCTGACTCTTCTTCTGGTTTGTAAATCGTTGAAAGTATTCTGATGGTGAACTTCTTGATCCCACATATGTTGTAACACAGGCTTTAAATGAGGGAACTTATTTGCTAATACTAAATATTGGCCATTATAAATTAAATTGGCTCCCAATTCTCCTGCTTGGTCAACTCTTATTAGCCTATCTAAATATGCTTGTTGAGCCTTGGATAAAGCACCATATTCAATATCCTTTAGTTTTAATGGTTTAGTGGTTTTACTTAAACTTCTTCTGAACATTGAGAGATGGTTCGATTGTGCGGATCTCAAATACATTTAGGCTAAAAACGAAGATACATGTTTAAAAGTACTAAAAATCTTTAACATGGAGATACCAATGTCATAAGGGATTTCTTGAGTATCTCTTGAATTGGTTACTGACTTGTTTTCGTTAATTGCAATTTTGAATTGTTGGAAATATTTATTGGGGATATCTTTAATAAGTAACCATTCAACATTGAAGGCACCTTTCCATTTTGATTCTTCTGACCAAATATCACAATGATTATCAAAATCTATATCACTGGTCATTTTAGCAACTCCACAAAATTTACCACTACCATTAACCAGAAACAAAAGATAAACTTCATTTTTTGACTTGAAAGCTTTAGATAATCGTTTATTACCCAATTCAGTAGAGGACCACACATTATTGATGAACGATGCATTAATATCAACTAAATCATATGATTTGATAACGAAGAAAAGTGATCTTACTGAAATATCGAAATAGTTACCAAGGTAATTTTTGAAAAGATGGGTCTTTTCACCTAATTTGGGTAACTGTTGAACTTCTACCGATGGTACTGGATACATGAAGGTTTGTATTGGAGTTTTGATTACCGGACGTTTGACGACAGGTGGGTGGTCCAAATGAAGAATAGGTGGTGCTTTTCTGATAACAGAGTCTAAATTGAAATTATATGAATAATTACCCTGATGAAGTGGTTCATGTCCTTCGTCTTGATAATTCCTATTCAAATAACCATTCTCAGGATAATCATAAGTTTCAGAAATGGTATGTTTAGTATCATAATTGAAATTATCATAATTAATGTTAGAAATCTCAGTAAACATGGTATCGTTCAACGACTCATCTACCAGGGAATCATTAGCTGACACTTGACTGCCATGGACATTGTTTGACCCCAAATGGCATTGTTGAAATAAATTGATACCGCCAGGAGGATAGGTATCACATAATGATTTATTTTCAGTTTTGAAATCTTTTGACCAGATTGATTGTCTAACAGGAACTTCTAAATTACCTAATATTGACTCCATTGTAGTCTGAGATCTTGGAGCTCTAAATTCAGGTCTAATAAGATAATTTGATGAGTATAATGATAATGATGTATTAGCAGAATAGCTTTCATCTTGAAACATTTCATCATCCAAATTCATTTCAAACATTCAATTGACTTTTAAACTTACTTGATACGTAATCGGACTCTATGAACTATCTTTAAGCTTTTTTAAACCACTTGTTCTAAAAAAAAACCTATGTTTCAAGTGGTTTCAAAAATGTGTTACTTTTTTTTGCAACCCTCACTGTTTTAACTAAAAAGTGATCTATCATTGTGAGATGCTGTCCAAACCGAAGTATCCCAAGAGTTTCAAGAGCTCTGTGGATATACGAAGTGTTAACATGAAAGTGATAAAAAAGTGGTTCAGTACTAAATTAGATGAAATAATACCCGATGATGATATACTTGTTGATTATTTAGAAGAGCTATTGATAAAAGATCATCTGCCAGATATAAAGGATATTTATGAACAATTGAAAACATTCATCGGCGATGATGGTCAAACAATGAATTTCTGTAAAGATCTTTGGGCTTTATTGCTTGAAGCTCAAGACGATAAAGATGGCTTACCAAAATCACTAATTGAAGACCATATGAAAGCTTCAAAGGAAAGAGATGAGAATGATAATAAGAAATCTGAATCAGTAAGTAAGCCAAATGAAGAAGTTACGAACAAAGAGGATCAATTCAAAGAAACCAAATCAAAAGTTCTTCCACCCCACCATTCACGGCATAAAGGGCAACCTCACAAAATTAGTAAACCAAGGCCGATGAAAACAGATAGATATATTCCCACCAAACCAAAGTCAACATCTTCAACATACAATGCATCCAAGAGACTTAAAAGTTTCGATAAAGAAGACAATGTAGATTTAAATAGATTTTAATATAATGTATAATAGGTCGTGTCTAGGAGTAATAGATGAAAAAGAGTGAGCATTGAGGAGGGTGAACAACAGGTTTTTTTCATAGTTTATAAATAGTATGAGTGATAAAGAACATCATCATCACCATCAACACGGTGATCATGAGCACCACCACCATCACCATCGTCATAGTCATGGTCAAAATCACGGACAAAGTCAAGGACAAAATCAAACAATTCCAATTGATCCCAATGCTAATCCAGCCAACAGAATTGGTAGATATCAAGTAATTAAAACTTTAGGTGAAGGGTCATTTGGTAAAGTTAAATTGGCCCAACATATCAACACTGGTCAAAGAGTTGCGTTAAAAATCATCAATCGTAAAACTTTAGCTAAATCCGATATGCAAGGTAGAATCGAAAGAGAAATTTCATACTTAAGATTATTAAGACACCCCCATATTATCAAATTATACGATGTTATCAAATCCAAGGATGAAATCATTATGGTTATTGAATATGCCGGGAATGAATTATTTGATTATATTGTGCAAAGAGGTAAAATGCCAGAAGATGAAGGTAGAAGATTCTTCCAACAAATTATTGCAGCTGTTGAATATTGTCATAGACACAAAATTGTTCATAGAGATTTAAAACCAGAAAATTTATTATTGGATGAAAAATTGAATGTTAAAATTGCTGATTTCGGTTTATCAAATATTATGACTGATGGGAATTTCTTAAAGACAAGTTGTGGATCACCAAATTATGCCGCACCAGAAGTTATTAGTGGGAAATTATATGCTGGACCAGAAGTTGATGTTTGGTCATCAGGAGTTATTTTATATGTTATGTTATGTGGTAGATTACCTTTTGATGATGAATTTATACCTGCGTTATTTAAGAAAATTAGTAATGGTGTTTATACATTACCAAACTACTTATCATCAGGTGCGAAGAATTTATTAACTAGAATGTTAGTTGTTAATCCATTAAATAGAATTACAATTCATGAAATCATGGAAGATGAATGGTTTAAAGTTAATATTGAAGAATATTTATTACCACAAGAAACTAATTCTAAACATAAAAAGATTGAAATTAATGATGATGTTATAAATGCTTTAGGTCAAACTATGGGATATGAAAGAGATGAAATTTTACAAGCATTAAACAGATACAATAATAATCCAAATCCATCTAATAATATGAGTAATGAAATCTTGGATGCTTATATTTTAATGAAAGATAATCATGCATTAGTTAAAGATATTAAGAAGAATAAATCCGATCAAATGGATGGTTTCTTATCGTCATCTCCACCATCATGGGATAATAATATGAAAACTAATAATTCATCAGATACTAATAGTATACCAAATACTAATGTTGGTATAAGTCATCGTACACCAGGAGTTCAACAATCATTAACTTATCAAACATTAGCTCAAGTGCCAGATTTATCAACATTACCAAATAGTACAATTGCTATATTACCAACATCATTACCATCAATTCATAGAGCTTATATGTTGGAAAAGACCAATAATAATATCAACCAAAGTAAATTAGCTCCAGTTAACAGTAAAAAACTGAAAACTAGATGGCATTTTGGTATAAGATCAAGATCTTATCCATTAGATGTTATGGGAGAAATTTATAGAGCACTTAAAAATTTGGGTGCTGAATGGGCTAAACCAACAGAAGAAGAATTATGGACTATAAGAGTAAGATGGAAATATGGACCAACTAATGATTCAGGTAATTCAATTGAAGAATTATCTGATATGATGAAAATGCAAATTCAATTATTTCAATTAGAACCTAATAATTATTTAGTAGATTTCAAATTTGATGGTTGGGAAAATAATGGTAGTTTGAAAGATGTTGATGAAATGAGTTCATTCTCAGCTTATCCTTTCTTACATTTAGCTACAAGATTGATAATGGAATTAGCTGTTAATAGTCAAAGTCAATAAATATAAATGTCGTAACACCAATCTATGTCGTCAGGGTTCATTCTACCTTAAGCATATTTTAATGTCGCTAAGGAGTACTAATTCGTGGTAGTCAAAAAAAAATGTCTAAAACGGTACAAAATCTCACAAATTTTTTATATTTACATAACTACTTAAAGAAGCAATTATATTCTAATTAAATTATATTGGGAAAAGACAAGGTACAAATTGGAAATAAAAAAAGATAATTTCCAACAACCTTAAACAACTGAAATGAAAGTAATAGATTTATCAAACGAAGATCCCAATAAATCTGTTCATAATTTACCTTCTGATGTCAGTATAAAATTAACAGAAATATCTAAAATTATATTCAAACTGAGAAGATCAACCGTTTTAACAGGAGCAGGTATAAGTTGTAATGCTGGGATTCCTGATTTTAGATCAAGTGATGGATTATATAATTTAGTTAAGCTGAAATATCCTAATTGTGTCGTTAAGGGACAAGATTTATTCGATATTTCATTATTCAGAGATGAAATCACTTTACAATTATTTTGTACATTCATGGAATCATTATATTCATCAAGTTTAAAAGCTACACCTACTGAAACCCATAAATTCATCAAAACTTTGAAAGAAAAGAATAAGTTATTGAGATGTTATACCCAAAATATTGATGGTTTAGAAGGTAAAATTAACTTAAAAACTGGTATCAATTTAAATGATTTTAATATTGAAGCTTCAAACAAAAGACAAGTCAACTCCAGTTTCAATAAAATATGGAAAGATTTAGATGTTATTCAATTACATGGTAGTTTAAATGAATTATCATGTACTCATTGCTTTGCCAATTTTGAATGGACAGAAAATTATAAAGATATGTTATCCAATGGAAGTAATCCAGAATGTGAAAACTGTTGTTTAAATTATGAAAAAAGATTATTTGAAGGTAAAAGAATTACTGGTAATATTGGAATTTTAAGACCAGGGATTGTTTTATATGGAGAAAATCATCCTCAACTGGAAATCTTAGCTCAAGGTTTAAACAATGATTTAAAACTGAAACCTGATTTATTGATTATAATGGGAACAAGTTTAAAAGTTGATGGAGTTAAAAAATTAGTTAAATCATTAGCTAAAAGCATTCATGAAAGAGGGGGTAAAGTTATATTCGTCAATAAGACCCCTGTTAATAATTCATGGGAAAATTATATTGATTATTCAATTTTAAGTGATTGTGATAATTTTATCAAATTCTTAAAACAAGAGATTCCTGATTTGTTCTTAACTCAACAAGAATTAGATCTTAAGAAATTACATAAACAACAACTCCGTGAAAAGATAAAGGCTGAAAGGGAAAAGGTGAAGATAGAAAAACAAATTAAGAAGGAAATAAAGCAAGAGAAATTAGATCAAATACCGAGTGATGATTTAACTGATGTTGATTTAACACCTCCAACATCTCCAACGAAAAGAGTTGCTTTAAAAAGAAGAGATACCAATATAACTCATTCAAATAAGAAGATAAAATTTGAATTACCCACACCTTTATCAAGTTTTAACGAAGTAACTGTTGTTAAACAAGAAATCTAATGAATCTTAATGAATAATGAAACCTGTAATCCATGTCTAACTCTATAGTTATCTCTTAAGTTGTAGGTCAATTGTTGGGTATCTCGCGATGGCATCAACAAAAGCATGATGGTAAAACCCAGTGCGAAAGTTCATTTGCATCCAAATGGAACAAGTTTCAAGTTTCTTAGAAAACATACTTGCAGTGGAACATGATGAAGATGGCAAGAAGAAAGTAGATAAAAAGACAAATTCATTATTAATTGACAAAATCGTTGAACGATTGATCTCAATTATCATTCCTGTTAATAACTTAGATCAACAAACCATCATAAATGAAAGACTTCAAATACAAAAGACAAGACCTTCATTATCAATGAATATCATGTCGTCCAATGCTATCATGTTAAATTCTAGACTTACCAATGTGTTTGTGTTTATAGATAGTGTGATAAATTTCTTGAATTGGACAAATCCATACCTAACCGTGGGAATTTTATTAATAATAACTCATATCATTTTGAATCCTTATTTGATAACTATTTTACCCATAGTTCTTATCATCAACAACGTTTTAGTTCCACATTATTTACTAGTTCATCCTCCTGATAAGTCAATCATAGATCATAATCCAATTCCTGATGATGAAGCTTTAAATGATGCAACTTTACCAGGACCGGTTCCACAATTTAGTCAGGAATTTTTATTAAATTTTACTGATTTACAAAATCATATGGTACTTTACATCTGTACATACGATTTCTTGATTTGGTTAACAAAAGATTATTTCTACTTCAAGAATGAAGATTTGAGTTCATTAGTTTATTTAGGTTTATTGGCATTAATGGGATCAAATCTATTCATTTTGCCTAAATTAATTCCTTTTGTATTTTCAAATTTATTCTTAGTTAAAATGATTTTCATAATAATGACATGGATCTTTGCTATTATTATTTATCCTAGTAATAGAGATATTTTACTCAATTTCTTGTATGATGAAAATACAAGAATAGGATTTTTATCAAGATTGAATAATTTGGAAAATAAATTGGTTGAAAAGTTAGTTCATGAAGAAAGTTTTGAAAAACTGTGTAAAATCATCGAAATTTATGAATTACAAAAATTTAACAGATTTTTAAAGAGTTGGGAATTTATTGGATTTACTAATGATTTTTATTCAATTAATAACCCATTGAGGAAATTAAATTCTAATCTTTTTAAAGATGTTGAAGATGAAGGATTAATTGAAGAAGAAGACAATATCAAAATAAATAGAGTTGCAAATATCAATAATATTATTTGTCCTAAAGGATGGAAATTCTTCGGTAATTGGAATATAGATTTAAAACCTAGCGAATGGGTAGAAAATAATTTAATCAAAGATATTGTTAATATTGATGATGATGAAAAATGGGTTTATGATTTTTACGATGGAGACTCAGAAATCTTCAGAAGGAGGAGATGGACTAGATATTGTGTTAGAGATAGTAACAAAAAGTCTAATGCCTAATATATATATATATGAAAAATTAATGTACAAAGATGCTTAATTCATGAATTCCATCAAATTAAGAGTATCAGTCGGTTTTTTCTTTTGTTGAAGGAGATTATGTAATGATTGATTTCTCTTCTTTTTGCGATCTTTGGCTTTATTTTTAGTGATGGATTTTTCAATTGTAGGTTTTAATTCCATTGGTTCGGATATGGGGAATTTTGTCTCATAATCACAACGTGAACAGTGGTAAATTATATCTTTATTATGAGAAATTTTTACATTCAAACCGGGGATGAATAATATTCCACAATTCACACAAATTCTTGACCCATCCTCCCAGGATTCTGGATATTTAATAGATTTTTCATGATTGAATTTTGATAATTTGATTGAAATATTCGATCGTAAATAATTTGGAGATGTATGTAAAAGGTTAAATAAGTAATGACTCTTTAATTGATTATTATTCATATCATGGTGATTTACTTGATGATTATTTGTTTCATGATTATTCGTATCATGATGTTTCATATTAGCATATTTCAAACCTTTAACCCTTCAAATTTTTAGGCCTATCAAAATCTCGTAAATGTATATGCCGATTTAGTACCCTTAAGCCTTATCGAATTAACTACTATTGTCCAATAAAAAAATATAGTAATAAGATGCGAATGCGGATTGGAATTTGGCTGCGAAATCATCATCCAATAAAAACACCATCATTAATAATTTTCATTGTTGCAAAAAATTGTCGCAGTCAAACCCGATCAGGATTTATCTTATCATTTTTATCAGCCAATAATTACCCAGATTATTCTAATAAATAATTAAATCAAACAATTAATAAAAACTCGGGGTTTGACGAAATTTCGATTTTGACTAAAAATTGAAAACTATGATTTATAAAATGGATAAGAAGAAAATATTAAAATCTTGTACAAGGTGTAGGAAGCATAAGACTAAATGTGATGCTAGTAAAAGACATCCTTTACCGTGTAGTCATTGTAGTAAAAGAGATTTAGAATGTAGTTTAGATATTGTTAATGCCGTACCTAATAGAATAGATAGTCAAATAATTGAAAGTTTAAATGATGAAGTTAATTCTTTGAAACTAACTGTTGATAATTTAATAACAAAGAAGAATAAATTAATCAATACTATAATAATGAAAAACCCGTCGATATCGGAAATTCAAAAATGTATTGAATACCCTATTGACGAATATGATGAAATTAATGATAATGATAATGATAATAATGATGATGACTTTACAATAACTTATAATAATAAAACCATTTCCATTTCTTTGAATGATAGTGAAATGTATTTCATGAATTATAAGAATAATTATCATCATTTCTTACCTATATTCCCAGATAACTTTTTTGAGTTACCTATAAATGAAATTTTCAAAGAAAGTGAATTATTATTTTGGTGTATAATATTAACTTCCAGTATTAATTTGAATAATAAATTATATAAAAGATTAAGCAAATATGTCAAACAAAAAGTCGTTGATACTTGTTGGTTCAAAACTCCTAGATCAGTTTATGTTTTATCATCATTATTGATTTTAACTACTTGGCCCATAATAAATAATAATAATAGAAAGATAAATGATGATTTATCGATTAAGTATTTATCCTTGATGAAAAATTTATCATTACAACTTGGTTTACATAGATTAGAATTCATCAATGAATTTAGTCATAAGACTAATCTTATCATCTCGAAAGAATCCGATTTAAATAATTTGATCAGAGAAAGAATTTATAAATTCATTACTATAAATTTGAACTATTGGTTGATAAATTTAGGCTTACTTTACTTAAATTTCAATGGGAACCAAGAAGATTATATAATCAACAAATCAAATAATTTCAATTTCAGTACTTTGGAAAATGACGATAAGTATATTAATTCGTTATTAAAAATCAGTTTGATCCAACAAAGATTGAATGAAAATTTAAACGATAGTGATATTACCACTAAATCCATTAATCTCAATATGTTTGAAGTGATTTTGAGTGATTTCAAGAAGAACATCGCTACCATCAATTTTGATGAAAAAACTGATTCAATCACCAATAAAGATTTCATTAACTTATCGATTGAATTCTCCAAAGTTCAATTATTTAGTTATTCTTTTGATAAACAATTAAATCTTAATTTGAATGATTATAAGAAGAATATTTATAAGACTTTGAATAGTTGTTTTTTGATCGTTTCCATATTACAAAAAGTCAATTTCAAATTAATCAATATTAATTCTTTACCAGTTCATTATAAATTCATGATTGAATTTGTATCATTGATTTTATTAAGAATTTATTATTCACCATTATTAAATATTGAAGATTATGAAAAGATCAAAACTAACTTCAGTCAATTATATCAAATATTGAAAACCAACATCGATGCAAATTATAAAATCATCAAAATAATCGAAAAGTTCAATACTTTGTTTAGTAAGAATTTACTTAGTCTTATGAATTTCAATAAAAATTATTACTTAATCAACAAATTCAATAACTATCAAAACTCAAATATAATTTATGAAATTATTTGGTTGATTTATATCTTTGAAAATAATAAATCCGATGATACCAACTTGAACTGGCAACAAATTGGATTAAAAGATGAAAATTTAATTAATTATTTAGATAATTTAGATATCTTAGCATTTTAGCATTTATATACATATATATATTATAATGAATAAACCCAATTATTATTCAATTTTTTCTTTGTTAACAATGGCTTGGTAAATAAGTGCATTGCTATAACTATGACAATAGTTATGATTAATTTAGATTTATCAAAAGTTTCATTCAACTTGTCAAAACTTAATGATGGTTGTAAATAATTACAAAATATTTGATCATTGTTTATACTACAAATGATAATGGTACTCTCTAAATTAGTGTTTTTAAGTAAAATCTTACTTTGTCCTTGTAATTTGAATTGATGATTCAAAACTTGGTAGTTGTTCTTATAGATGATTGGTTCATAAGGCATCATTTTGAAATCATCTTTAGCATCATCGGCATTCATTACATGATCATCTATTCTTCTACTGTTCAAAATGAATTTAGGGATTTCAATCAAATTTCCATTTATAGTGTTGATAATTATAGATTTAATGGTGATTGAATGACTAGTTGATGTTGAAGTTAATGAAGTGATTTTCTCAGGATAAATGAATGATTTGCTTGAAACAGTTAATCCTTCTTCTTCAAACAAATCAATGACCATTAATCTTTGTTCATATGGCTCTGATACGAAATATGAATAAATGATCCAATTATCATCCATAATCAAATTAATAGTTGATACATCTACTTTCTCATCATGGATATGGCTGTACAAGATTTCACCCTCTTTATTCAAAAGATAAAATTTGATTTTTTCATCTTCTTCGGTAATTACTGAAACAGTATCATTCAAGTATTTATGTAATACTGATTTATCATGAAGTGGGATACCAACAATAGATGTATGAGAATTGAAAGGTTTAGTTTGAGTTTGAATTATTTTACCTCTGCTGAATTCCCAAGTTTTAGATAACTGGTTGTCTTCAACTTTATAATTGATGATAGAATCACCTTCAAATTCAACGAGATTTTGATTGAGTTTGACAGATTCTTCTAAGAATTCTAATTGTGAACCTTTTTTAATAACGACCAATTCTTCTCCTTCGTGGAATATTTTGAATATCTTATCGAAGTTTGATAATTCCACAAACCCAACAATTTCACCATCCCTTTTACTTATCTTGATTATCTTGTGATCATAAATCAATAAAATTTCTTCTTTATAATCGATAAGTTCGATTATCCCTGGTTCAACAAATTGTTTCCAAACGGTTTCACCAGTTAAAGTATCTAAAGTACGGATTTTATCATCATCAAGAAACACTAAGTACTTTTCCAATCCAAACACGTTAGAAAATTCAACTTTCTTGTCATCAAGTTTAACAAACTTCGATACTACGAATCTTCCTAATTCCGTTAAATGTCTTTGGATTCTTTTATACCATCTGATTATCACATTATAATTATTAATTTCTTCAATCAAATGTTCCATTGATTCAAGAACTTGTTCTGATTGTGGTTTGTCAATTAAAATGGATAAATTCTTGTACTTATAGTTTTCAAGTTCATATGAGGTTTTACCTACTTTATCACCAACGAAATCATATTCAATCTTTTCGATGGTTTCTTCATAAACTCCGATTGATACCAACTTACCATTGATAAGATATTCCTTGGTATTAACGTTTTCAAAGGGATAGGTTTCTAATATTATATCATTTTCATCTAAAGATTGCCAGAACTTTGAAAAATTCAATACCTTTCTTTCAGCTTGTGAGCTGACAATGAATTGATTATCAAGATATTTAACAGTTGAATGATCAAATTCATCATTCAATACCTCTTTCCCATCTTTGAAAACTTTGAACTTGCCATCGTGGAAACTGTAAGTGAAATTTGAGTTGATGATTTCTACATTCTTGGATTTATGAATATATTCATTGTTGACATTATAAATAGAATCATCCACTTTGACTAATCCGTGTTTGAAATCCTGGATTTTATTGAAATTTAAAGCTGATTTGGATTCTTCAATTTCCAATGTTGAATTCAATGTCAATAATTTATCTTTAGTCAAGATATAAACGATTTCGTCACCAGAAGAAATCTTGATATCAGAAATTGAATTAGTCAAAATAACCCTCACACTGTTGATGAAACTTAAATCTCCGGTATCATCCAATACCAAAATTCCATCAAAGGCTCTATAATATTGAACGGGTTTAACATTGAAAATTTTAAGTAATTCTCCTGACTTTTTATCCCATACATTGACAGAATCACCAAAAGTAAATATGGAATCCTCACCAATAATAAAATCATCCACCGAGACCTCGATCTTCCATGATATCGATAAATCATTATCAATATTGAATTTAATAATATTATCGTCACTTATGGCTAACAACTGATTCTCATTAATCAATTCCCACAGTTTTAAATCTCCATGGTTATAATGAACCCAATTCTTGGTGAATGCTTCATTTAGAAACACACATTGAACTGAACAGATCAATGAAATCCAATATATAAACTGCATCGAACTTGTTGAATTCGCAGTTAATCTTTTCTTCAAAAAGATCTTGGAGAACTCCCGTACACCAAATAATGGCACACCGGTTAAATGCTTAAGGTTGCGAAATCCCTGTCTGTCATTTATTCCCTTTAATAATTATTTGAAAATTTTTACTTCCCTTTAGAATATCAATTCCTCGGTGATTTCAAGCAGTTAACATCAATACAATTAAAATGCATGCTCAAGATTGGTTTATGGTATTCATTGGATTTTTCCTCCCCCCAATTCCTGTCCTTGTTAAAAGAGGGTTCTTTTCAGCTGATTTCTTGATTAATGTGGTTCTTTGTATTTTAGGTTTTTTCCCTGGTTTATTACATTGTTACTACATCATCCTGTGTTATCCTTATAGAGAGACTCATTCAAGATTAGGTGGTGATGGTCATAACCATAGAACTAATGATTATGGTACTATGTAAGGTATATTGTTTAAATGAAAGCTATTAATGTCATACTTCGAGGATTAGTAATTCATACTATGAACTACTTCGGAAAGTTCTTGTCTTCTCTATAATCTTTAAAGTTTCTCTTAGTTGATACTGTTAGTACCAATACTTCAAAGGAGTTACCCGCACTTGAATATGAGTAGAAAAATTCTCAATACATTACAAAATTTATCATTGAATATACGTAGAATTCACTTTCCACTTTCCCTAACGAATACCGCATAACTTAAGTTGTCCGATACGGTTTTCACCATCCTTTTCACAAAGGATCCATCGGTTCAATGTGTCTATATGCGAATAATAATCCAAATACTTAAAACTCAAAAATTTAAAGATGATGATATGTTTTTTCTAATAGTTTTTATTAGAAATTTTTGTATTGGATTCTTATCCTTTTATCCCGTGTAACGTTTTGTTACATGGATCTCGAAAGGATTTTTTTTGTTAGTTGTTTCATCGGTATAGAGAAATATCTACCTTTATACCTAATTATTATTTACATTTTCTATATACTTTACATGAGTTTGGAGATTTCATCATCCTCGTCATATTCTGGCTTACCTCCACCTTGTTTCCATAACCATAAAGCTTCAATAGCATAATTTCTAACTGACAAATTCTTTGTCTTTTCATCAGCAGCTTCTTGAATATTTTCAATAATTCTTAAATTTTCAACCACTTCCCACATCATTTTTTCAAACTCTTTAACAACTACTTTAATACTTTGATTGAAGGTTTCGTCATCATTTTCAATGGGCAAGATGTTATATTTATGGAGTCCTAATTTATGTAAGATTCTACCAAGCATTTGAATACTTAAACATCTTTGTCCTGGTACTGTGGATCTAGATAAATGGCTCAATTCTTTCAAAGTATAACCTGGTAAATGAGGATTTTCTGAATGATGGTGTAATCCCAAGTATGAAGGTACATCATCATCAGTTTTCAATTCTATTAAATTACCCTGGAAATCGAATCTCATGTCCGTTATTGAATCATAAGTAGTGGATCTTTGTTGAGGCATTGGTTGTGTCATCCATGCTAACTTTGAAGTTTCTTTGGGTAAATCAGGATAATACTTTTCATGTAATTTATCATAAAACTTGGGGTCGTTCAAATCTAAATCTTTGAATTCTTCAGTTTTGGTTTTGGGTTTGGGGAAATGAACTTCATCATTTTCTTCCTCATCGTCTTCATTAACTAATTGATAATCAGCAGGAGCAATTTCATTGGCATTAGAGTTTGTCATTAACTGTTGTACATCTTCAACATCTTCCCATTCTTTTTCATTGATTTCTGCATCTTCAGGTAACTCTTCATAGTTCACCGTGGCTACATTATTGAAAGTGACTTTCTTCTTTGGTTTATTAGATTCTTCAATTCCTAAAGCTTTAGTTATTTCTTTTTCATTCAAATGAGATAAGTCTTTAATTCCTTCTGCCGTCTTCATACCTCCTATCCATCCATCATATCCTTCAGCGTGTTGATGATCATGATGATCGTCGTGATCATGAGTATGATGAGATTTATCTGCTTTCTCTTTCTTCTCGGCTCTTTTCATTAAACTTTCGATTAATTTGGGGTTTAATGTTGACAAAAGTTCCTGCTGTTCTTGGGTAATCTCTGCTTCACTCATCTTAGCTAATTTATCGACGTTTTCTTTATGAATCTTTTCTGATTCACTCAAACTACTATTATCTACCACTGTTGCTTTTGCGGGCACTGCTTTCGTTTCGGGTCTTTTACTCCTCATGGCAAATCTTGATTTCTTGAATGATTTGGGATCAGGTTGTGGTACCGGTTGTGGTACCTTTGGAGGTTCAATCTCCTTTTCAATAATTTCTCCAATTAAGTCCATAAGAGATGAGAAATCAACTTTCGCATTTGACTGCAAAAATAGATTATGGTCATATGTATTAAAAGCTATTCCCTAGGTTCTTTTTGTGACACATACAGTGGGAGGTAACATCTTTTGTTGTTGATCTTCTCTTCGATATGTTGTTGAAATTTGGGGCTCAATGCAGGGTAAAAGTTATCATTCTTTGGCCGTCTAAAGAAAATGTCCAAAAATGGAATAAAACAGATAGCTATAGACAAAATGAACTTTTGAGTGGTATACTTATCTTCGGAATATAATTGTGTGGTATTATCATAAAGGAAAACGTTGATAAAATTATGCTTGAAACCAAAATTATAGAGTCTATCAAAGACTGAACATTGAATTACTAAACGTAAATTTTCGTGTTTGACATTAAGGAAAACATTGTTATCGACATGGGATTCAGAATTTTTTGATCTATTCTTTCTCTTTGCTGCTTTCTCTGCTAGATCATCAATTGTTGTCATATTATACATCAAGTAAAGAATGTTGGAACCGATTAATAACAGAATCATTAGTATCCAGAAACCACATTGAACGTAAAGAACTATGAAGTTATGATTTATCTCACCTCTTTGGTAATTTGAAGGGGTATAAACAGCCAAATAGCAAAGTATGGTAATGAAATAACTGTCGAACCAAAGCAAGTATTTGAGAAAGAACCGATAATTGTTCTGCCCCAATGAATCACCAACCCAAAGACAAAAATGATCAGCTTTAGGAACACAACGATTGGATCTTGATAAATGTTTACTTCTAGGTATCTTAATCGATTGACAATTACTACACCAAATAGGAAATCCTGAATCATCGCAAATAAAATAATCAGGTACCGGCCCACCTTCACCTGTGCCATATAGATCATAAGGATTCTCTCGAGGATACCTTCCTGGACCAGCCAAGATAATAGCTCCCCAATATATGAATGTGAGTACTTGGAATATGCTGATTAATACCCATAAAGAAATAGCTATTCCTTTACCATGATATCGATAAATCTCTTGGTATCCTAATGAATAGTATGCCACAAAATCCAAATACCCTAATCCCAATATTACGAGGATTGGGGTGACCAATCTGATAATGGGGTTTTTGGAAGTTGGTAGACTAGTCATTAGATGCGAAAAAACCCAAATCTCAAAAGCTATCATGGTAGTAATAGAAGGTATGTTTGGGAGTCCTAAATCGATTAATATGACGATACTAACTATGACAGATGATCGGTCGAAGGATATGTGTCCTATTTGTAGGACAGATAGGTACCTTTCACCTAATATGACATTCCTTATTAATCCTGAATGTTACCATAAAATATGTGAATCATGTGTGGATAGAATATTCTCTTTAGGTCCAGCTCCATGCCCATATCCAAACTGTGGAAAGATATTAAGAAAAAATAGGTTTAAGAAGCAAGTGTTTGATGATATAACTATTGAAAGAGAAGTGGATATACGAAAAAGAGTGACAGGTATATATAATAAAACAGAAGACGATTTTAATGATTTGAAACAATATAATGAATATCTAGAGAACATAGAGAACATAGTCTTCAATCTATCTAATAATATTGATAGTGAAGAGACCGAAAAGAATCTAGTTGAATATGAAAATGAACACAAATTAGAAATCTTAGAAAAGAATATGAGAGAAAGTGAAAAGAATGCTGATTTAGTTAAATACCAAGAAGATATGGCCAAATTGAAACAAGAGAAATTGAAATTACAACAGAAGATGGAACAAGAAGATATAGAATTCCAAAAACAACAAAAACAAGATTTGTTAGACAAATTATCACATTCCTCAGGTAATTCTGAAGATATTATTGCTCAAGCCAATAAGAAGATGTTAAAGAGATCATCAGCAAGAAAGAGACAATTACAACAATTGAATGGTCAATTGGAGAAACAGTTTGGTTCAGGAGGCACTGGGGTTGTTGAAGAAAGTGGAAATATGACACCTTTCACACCATTTAAAGGTGATAGAGATCTTGAAAAAAGATATACCTTATTATCAATATCAGACAATTTTGACATGGATAAGTCTGATGGTAAACATACCTATTATGATCCATTCGTCAATAATTTGGCCAAGAACAAAGAATATTTAGCTGGAGGTTGGAGATTAGAAAACGTTTTCGAAAGAGCTCTTGATGAAGCTTTTATGGGATTAGAGTGTTTTATAGACAAGGAGAAACTTACAGTGTAAGTCAAAATTATATATGTTTATAATATTAATAAATCATTAACTTTTTCTTTTGTGGGTTCTTTTCTATCGTCATGATCTTCGTTATGGTCTTCCAAATTGATTAGTGGGGTTGGCTCGTTCATCTTCATAAGAGTGTGAACTTTAATAGTCTTTTCGGTTGGTTGAGGTGGGGGAGAACTTGTGAATTCGGCAAAATCATCGAAGTCATCGTCTTCTTCGTTATTAACTGATTCAGGATCGTTGGGCATTTGAAACATTAGATCCAAATCATTTCCTTTGATATGTACAGGGCTTTCCTTTGGTTGAGATGTTCCAATTGGACTTTTTGTGGGTGTAGGGGGCGCTTCGAATTCAACAACCACTTCATGTTCATTTCTAGGGGGTGTGGATGGCATAGGTTTGGGTGAATTCCTACTAGCATTGGTGGAACTTGAAAACAAATTGTTTGGTAAGAATGAAAATCGTTTTTTCAGATCAACTGTTGCATTAATCGAACTATTATCATCAATTGATCCACTAATACTATTGCTAGGACTATGATGATTATCACTATTGAAATTAAATATTCCTCCTAGAAATCCTAATCCTTTATCCTTCTTATCATCTAAAGCCATTTTCAATTCTCTTTCATATTCTTCTTCCTTCTGCTTTAATCTTTGCAAATGAATTTCATGGTCTTTTCTCTTTCTTTCACTTATCATTTCATTGATTTTCTGACTGTGATGTTGTTTGATTATTTGTATTCTTTCATGAATGAATTGACTGGATTCGTTATCCACAACTTGAGATAATTGCACCATAATCTTATTGTTAGGTGGATTTATTCCTAATTTATGAATACTATTCAAATCTTCAGTGGTATCGGGATCCTCTTCCTTTTTGACCATTTCTTTGTCATCGCCATTGATCTTTTTCCCCTTCAAACGTAATTCTCGTTTTCTTCTTTCAATGTATTCATCGGTAGAAGACCAACTAAATAATGCACTTGATGTTGGTCTGACATAATTTTTCTTCTCTTTAGAAATTTTGGCTGAACGGCCACTGGATCCTAGAAACAATTGTTCAACTATTGTGCTATTAATGTTTTCAATTGATGAATTCTTCCATCGTACAATTCTATCATTACTCTCGTTATTTATAAATTGTCTACTATGACTTTGATATGCTGTATAATATTTAGTACCTTTTTCACTACTTTGTAGTATGATTTCAGGATATTTGGGTACAGAAGTGTCAATTATATCATCCTGATCAATACCGATATCTCCAAAGATCTCATCGACCTTCAGTAGTTCAATATCAATAGTATTCATTTGATCCAAAGATCCTAACTTCGCGAAGTTTTAAAAGTAATGGCATTTTTATCAACCAAGTTCCCACTGTTTGATAAAACGATATTCATCTCGTTGCTTGTGGATGTTGACCAACATACACTTGAAGAGGTTAAAACAAAACTTATAGAAGGAAATAAAGATTATGATTTTGCATTTTTCAATACTAATTACATAATCTCCAAAGAGCATCTACTCAATGGCATTCATAGAGCTATGATAAATTATAAAAACGGTTCAGCCAAATCAAAGACTTTAAATACTGAAATTATCTTAAATATGAGTCCTGTGAGTAATATAATGGAAGCGTTGAAAAGATTTGGTATTGATAGTTCCAAAGAATCAGCAAATTTATTATGTGTGAAAGTTATCGATGATGATGAATCATTAGAGGATATAAACAATACTTTAATAACAAATTTGGGAGTTTCAAAGGATCAGAATGTAGAGTTGACCGATGACTTCTTATTAAAATCAGTTGATGTGGCAAAATTCAAGAAACTTTATAAATTGAACGACGCCAAATATAATGACAAGAAACCTTTACAAAATCAATTGACAAGATTAGCTATAGGAGCTTGTTTGTTAAGAGGAACATAACACTTATGTAATCATGTATATTTAATGCAACAATTTAACGTTTTAATTTCGTATATGAACCCTATCCATTAAATGCAAATCTGGCCAATGTACTACTTCTGATTGAAGTATTGATGTCAACTTTGGATGGGGGTTGACTGATGTCGTTTTCTATGGTAGCTATGTCATCTGACTTCAAATCCAATGACGAAGTTGAACTTAAACTTGAATTACTTTCATTCACATCTGATTGGTGTTTGAAAATCGATGGCATTTCAAATTTACTATTAGTAGTAGAATTATACAGGAAAGTATCCCTTAAGATCTTTCTAAGCTGGCTCTGATCACCCATGAAATGTCTATTGTCGATTTTTATTGGTGATCTATGCAATTTTCCTTTTACAGGTGATTCGGCAATTTCTTCATCTTCTTCATTTAACCCAAAGTCAGATGAATTTTGAATGGTTTGTTTCTTCTTTTGTGATGAGATATTACTCATAGAATCATTTATATCTTCATCATCGTCAGTGAGATCATCTAAAAGATTCTTGGTGTCTATTTTAGTTTCTTTAAATGGTGAAGAACCTTCAGGAATATCGGAATCTTCAGTGATATCTTGATTATTGGTGGTAACCGGTGTTGGAGCCAATGACACTGAAGAATCAAAAAATTTACTAGTGTTTAATTTCGGAGTTTCAATGGGCATTTCATAAGTTTTAACTCTTTTCGCTTGGGGAGATAATTTAATTTTTGGTGAAGTAGGTTCTCTTGATAATTCTGTAACTTCAACTTTTTTCATGACAATGGTTTCAACTTTATTGACGGCTGTCGTCTTCTGAACGGATGTGGCTCTAACATTAAAGAAGTTGTCAATAGTATTCCGTGGTTTAGGGAAACTATTGGATTTATTCATTGATGAGGATTTTACTGCAATACCATTAGTAACAGATTTACTTTTTAAACTGGTCAAATCTTGTTCTCTAGAAACTAATTGCTCATGAGTATTTGGATGAATAATTCCCCTAGCTATCTTAGTTTGAGTTTCATTATCTAATGTATATCCACAACAACTTTCAACCAACTCCATATCAATATCAAAATCATTAGGATATTCGAATAAAGTTTCTAATGTTTTGGTCTTAGGATTATAAACTTTTTGGTATTGGAAGGCCAAATCAGCTTTCAACATTTCATCATTGAAAGTTGCTGGTGGGGTTTTCCCATCTGCTCTTAAAGCCATTAAAACTCGATTTATATCATTATATTTCTTTACAAGATTGAATGCAGTCTTTATCCCAATACCAGGGATACCTTTAGTATAATCACATCCTGATAACATTGCAACTAAACGTAATTGTTGCTGAGTGAAATTTTCTAAACCTGTGATGGTTTTGACTTTATGGAAATCATCTTTACATATCTCAATACATTCACCAAAATCATTCAATTTACTGATTAATCTCCTGCAACCGAAAATAAGTAAATCAGAATCTTCAGACAAAATTCCATCAACTACTCCAATCTTCTCTAAATAAACCATTTGAGGGTCTGCTTCAAAAGGTGCAACGACATACTTAACATTCAATCTATCCATTTCAATCATTACAGATTTAGCCATTTGAGAAGTGACTCCGGCAGCTTTCATGAATTCTTTCCAAGCTAACTTACTATTACCTGACTTCATTAATTCATTGGCTTTCTTTTGTGCTTCTTCTCTTTTCAACCTTCTTTCCAAATTGGTGGCAGCTTTAGTGGGTAAACTTGCGCCGTCAAACACCAAATAAGGCTCCACACCAAAATATCGTAACATTTCAACCTTCTTAGTTACAGAGGTAATATATTTCTTAGTTGGTTGATTTAAGCATAATTCTTGGGAACAACTAACTATAGCTTTGTGTAACCAACCGTAAGTATCCACAGCTAACGTTTGTCCCTTATATTTCAGTAGCTGAGTCTTAACTTGTATCTCCTTCAACTGAGGATGAAGACCAGTTACACCCATAATACAATAATCAAACGCGTCAAAATATTACACAAAAGTCCCTTCATGTTACACAAAAAAAAAATACTCAGATATTTTATGCGGCTTTTCCGTTTTAATCGTACATGAAATGCTAAATATTCTATACAGAAGACTTTTTCCATTATAACCAGTATAACTCATAGACAATAAATGTCGGTGAACATCTGTTATTCGAAGGCAAATGTTGTTTTGAAACCTCTTAATGAGAAGTTTTTCTTTTAGGTGGTTTATAATTACTTAATTGAATGTTTGGCATATGAATAACTCCCATCATTGGTTCATTAGATTTCTTCTCTCTGACTTTGGAATTTGAATCTTTTGATTTTGAAGGATTGTAAGCTAACATAGGGCCAAATTTTATAGATTTTGGATTTTCTTTAGGTTGTTTCTTTGATTGGTTGAAACCAAATGTGGTTTGTGAAGCTGGTGCTGAATTGAGAGTATGGTATTGATTCATAGGGATATTTTGTAAGGGTCTGTTACCTTGGTTCATCATTTGACCCATTGGCATTTGTGATTGCATTGATTGTTGATAATACATCATTCTCTGTTGTTGTTGCTGCTGCTGCTGCTGCTGCTGCTGCTGCTGCTGTTGCTGTTGTTGTTGTTGTTGTTGTTGCTGATGCTGTTGCAATTGAAATTGTTTCTGCACATCAATATACTTTTCTTGAAGAGTGGGGGGTAATGAATTGAAAGGAACATAACCCGTTCCTAAATTGACCATTAATTGTGGTTGTTGAGTTCCTTGATTGGATTGCATCATAACTGATGGATTCATAGGTGTCATATTCATTGAATTCATTGTATTAATCTGATTGTCTGAAGTTTTTGCAGGAGTTGATGTTACTATAGATGAAGCAGGAGTATTGGCTGAAAATGAATATGACTTAGTGGCCATAGCTTCATATTGAAATGAATTGTATGGAGAAATGACTTCAGGTGTTGATGATAATTTATCAGACCCATAACTCGATCGATTGAAATTGGGCAAATTACTAGTAGACTGTGAATGATTAGCAAGTTGAGGATTTTGAAATGATTGTTGAGTTTGTGAACTGACTAGACTTGAATTGAAGATTGGTGCTGTTGCAGGGCCATTGTGGGTAAACGGGAAATTTCTAGCTAAACTTAAATCAATTTTGAATGGTCTTTTAGGACTATCCATACTTCTTATTGGTGATGAATCAGCAATGACAGTAGCATTGTCATCTTCTTCTTCTTCTTCTTCCTCCTCTTCTTTGATTGGACTTGAAACTTCATTACTAGTGGCATTATCATCGGTATCATCAAGTTTATCAATTCGTTCTTCGTTTTCCTCTAAGATTGCCCTCAAATCGTCACCGAATAAATCGGCAGATTTAATCAATTGGAAGTTAGATGAACCAACTTCTTCTGATGAATTAAATTCATGTATTAAACATAATTCAGGATCCATATCATCACTTATGATTTGAACTATTTTGATTTCATTACCTAAATTTGGATCGTTACCATTAATCAACAATGATAAAAAACCTTTGAAGAAATTCTTGAGTAAAGGAACTGTAGCTTCGATACTATTTGAATCATTATTTAACATCCCAAAAACAGTATCGTCGGCTTCAAAAATCAATGTATCATTCTTAAAGATTCTTGAATTACAATTCCAATTGATTGTAGTTCTATTAAAACCCATATTGTTGATTGAGATTTGAACATATGAAGAAATATCACCATTATTATAATCTAAAGGGTTGATATTGGATATTATTGAATCTAATGACGAAAAATCTTGATTTCCTTGTATTTTCAAATTGAAAGTATTTCTTACTTGGAAAATTGGGATGGAATTATTCTCGAATCTTGATAACAATGTTTGGTGAAGTTTGGAATTGCTAAGACTCATTTCTTTAGTTAATATATGACTTGATTTTAATTCAGCTTTGTTATTAACATCTTTTAATTTGATAAAATCATGTTTATAAGAATTTGATTTATAACTTAATTCATAATCATTAACATTTATTTTAAAACTTGAAATATTGGATTCAAAATCTGGTGTGAAGATTAAATCCAACTCTTTATCGATTTGGGCATTAATTTCAGCACTATTAATAGTATCAGATTTGGAATAAGTACTACCACTTATCAATGCTTCCAAGGGAGTTTGAATTAATTCATCAATTTCATCATTCAAAGGACTATTAAATTCAAGTTTATCTCTTGTTAATTTGAATAATCTTGATGCAATTTGTTTAGTGGTTTTCAAAGTCTTGGTCTTATTGAATACCATTCTTGAAATAACTTTGTTTTGTGAAACATTCTTCAATATGCTTGATTGGTTGTTCTTCTTAAATGCTTTGTATTTTAAATATGAAGATAATAACACATCATCTAATTCTGGTGACCAAGATTTATCATCATCGAATTTTGATATTGAGGTGATTGATGAAGAACGAAGTGATTTGGGAGGTGATGCAATAGTTTCGATTTTTGATGCCATAGTAGTATTAGGTGATTCTATAATCGATATCCTTCTCTTTTTATTCTGATCAAGTTTATTTAAAAATAATTTATTAGGAGTTAAAAATTCACTGTCACTAATTGATCTTGTCCTTGTTCTTTTTGGTGTAGCTTGATCATAAACAGTTAAATTACTCATATTTTGGGAGTCATTAACTGAAAATAATCCTGATTCTTCTGTTGTAGTATCTTCATCATTCTTTGATTTGGATTTCTTTTCTGGTGACAAAGAATCACCTCTTGAATCAAGATTGGAATTTATTGATGATAATGAATTCAAAAATTTGTTATTTGGTGTATTATTTTCAAATCTTGAAGGAGTATTGGTAAATATATTCTTTTCATGATTTCTATTAACAACTTTATTCAAATTATTAGATACTTGGAAAAATCTTTGGGGTGATAATGAATTCAATAGGTTCAAATTTCTAGGAGAATTGAAGTGAAATGAAGGCAGAAATCCTAATCCGAAACTATATGACGGCGTAAGATTAGTTTTCATTATTGATGAAACATTGCTATTTCCTTCACGTTTATTTTCAAACGGTCTAGGTGTCTGTGGAGGTCCTTGTGATTGTGAAGGTGCTTGTGAAGGTGCTTGTGAAGGTGCTTGTGTGATATTTATGCTAGGATTGGTCATATTTATTTTCATATCACCTTCAAACTAAAAAAATCTGTTAAATCAAAAGATAACACGATAAAAAAAATTGGAAAATTGGGAACTTATAAAAATCTATTTGAACTTTTGAAGTAAATGAATTAAAATGAATGTTACTCTGTTAAAACGAATGAATCTGAACTCTTGAAAAGATAACAGTGGAAATGAAGGTGATGATTTAACTTTTTTTTTTGTTGTTTTGCCAAATTGGTGTAGGTTTTTTTTTGGAACCACCAAACGCGAACTGTAAAATACCCTTTGTTTGAGAAATCCGAAATCAGAATAATTTCCCCAATAAGTATAAATAGAGAAAATCTCATTAAAACAGCTGGGAACTTAAGCTGATGGTGGGGGGGTGACTGTTTAAGTATGGTAGGCTACTTTCAATAGCATAAGGACAAGAATGTTTACTTTGATCTCATGCATGGCGGGTGTTTGATATTTTCGTGCGGCAGGTGATGGGTTCGCAATTCCTACCAGAAGCGCGTACAGGAGTTAATATTTTATGGGGGAAATAGTGACGGGTTGTTTATTGCGCTATGACAAATTATAAGTTAATCATAGAGGTAGAACATGGTTACCGTTGAAGTAAATGATCGAGCTTTAAAATTTCTTCAATTATAGCTTCACTTAAACCTGGTTGATCTAATTCATACTGATGGATATTATTCATCAAATTGTTCACTGTGATTCTGGTTTCAACGGATTTTGCTCTCAATTTAACTCTTTCTAAACAATATTTGAACACTTCATTGTAGTTAACATTATTGGGTAATGGTGAGGAGATGGGAGTTTTGGATGTTGGAGTAACTGCAGAATTGTTGATTGAATTTGAAGATGAAGAGTTGGAGTCGGCATCCATTTCCTCATCAACTTTATGTGATTGATAAGGACGATGTAGATTATTTAAATCTTCAATCAATGTTTGCTGCATTGGTGATAATTTCCTAGTGGAATCAAAATTCCAATGGACTTTTTCACTGGTACTTTCTTCAAAATTCAACTCATGTTTGGGTTTTTTGGTAATATGATACTTCTTATACCATTTATCCTTTTGTTCAATCAATTGGATCAAGTTCACATGTCTCTTGATGTTAGTAACGTACTTGTGATGTAATAATGATGATGAACTTGGTCTTTTCGTAGGATCTTTAATCAAACAATATTTAACAAAATCTTTAATATTTTCACTGAATTGAATTCCTGTTAAAACAGGAGGTTTTTTCTTAGGAATTTCGAATAATATCTTTAAAGGATTATGTTCAGATAAAGGAGGTGACCCAGTTACTAATTCAATGGTTGTAATTCCTGTTGACCAGATATCTGCTTTTTCATTATACCCTGATTTTTGTCTAGTAATAACTTCAGGTGCCATCCAAAATGGTGTTCCTACGAATGTATTACGTTTCAATTGAGTCATAGTGATTTCTCCACTAACTCCGAAATCAGCTAACTTGATCTTCCCATCTATAGTTAATAAAATATTGGCCAGTTTAATGTCTCTATGAACTTTCTTCTGCCCATGTAAATATACTAATCCTCTTAAAACATCTCTAATAATATAAGCAGTGACTTCTTCATTCAACTTTTTGTGACACTTAAGCAAATCCCCACATGATCCTCCTCCACAATATTCCATAACTATCCACATTGACATCCCGTTTATGAACGTTTCCAAGTATTTGGTAATATAAGATGATCTCAATCCTGATAAGAATTGAATCTCTTGTATCAATACGTTTATATCTTCCGTAGTGTCGTCCAAATGTATAACTTTTATAGCAACAATTGAATTATCTTTGATGGAATTTGCCTTGTAAACATCTCCAAATGTCCCTTTACCCACACATCCATGGATTTCATAATCTTGGACCCCCATTGATTTGTGGATAAAGCTGCTTTTGAGAAATTAATCGATTTTTTTTTTTTGCAGCCACAGATTATATTGCGCCTACCCAAAAATATACATTTGATCTATAAGAATTTATTGAACTTTTCTTCCCAGTATTTAAATGCTTCAGGTGTAAGATCCAAGTCTTTGTCGACTTTTGTGATTTTTATACCATTTAGTAGGAGGAATTCTGAAATGATGAAATATTTCTTGTCCTTGTTTTCGATCTCGATATATTTTCTTAGAGAATATTCAAACAAGGAAATGTTTTGATGGTCTGTTTTGTTCTTCAAGATTTGTAAATTCAAATTACAATCTGCTCCGCAAGAAACGGTTTGTATGACTTCGTTAATGTCGATTTTTTGAACGGATTTTATTAATACAACATTCAAATCATTACTTTTAACGATAAATTCCTTGTGAATATATTTATCTTTAATATATGCTAGTCTTTGCTCGTGGGTATTTAATTTGGATTTATCTACAGATGATGTTTCTTCGAGGTATTGATTGTGTAATTTGTTATTGACATAGTTTAATAATACTTCAGATTCATTCTCAAAATTGTCAAGTCTTAATGATTTGACCTTTGAAACATGGCTTCCCATGTTTCTATGACAAGATGAACAGTTGATACATAAAATGTTCAAAAAGTTCATTGAGATCCACTCTACTTCTTCTGTCGAATTACAATCGGCACAAATATGATTATCACTTTCAGGTATTAATCTCACTTGTTTGAGGTAATCCTTGGTAATTAGATTAAATGATTTGACTGAAGTGGGTGACAAAACCCCTGAATTGGAACTGTTAGGTACAGTGTGTCTGTCTAACTTCAAATGCAATTTTTTTGACTTAGTAACTTTCGATGTGTCTTCCAAATTACTGGTATTGGTCATATGTCTAGCATTCAGAAGAACTTTAATCCAATTGTTTTTTTCTAATTCATTCATTGCTTGGAACACAAACTTTTGATTAGGGGTTATAATTTCAAAACAATGTTGTCTTTTTTCATTCAAAAGAGGTTTAATACTGGTCAATGCAATAGGAATTGGTTTGTTGATTGGTGCATTTCCTGTCCTCCAATCAGAATACTCTCTCAATTCACCATCTTTTACAACCACCCATTCCTTATGCCATCCTTGTTTTCCTTTCCCCCCAAGGGCATATAAAATACCCGACTTTTCGTATGTGGAATTAGCTTCATTAAATTCAGGTGAGGTGGGTGCTTCAATAGGTGAAAATATCAAATTGACATTATCTGTGGTTACAACTTTATCATCGTTCACATCGAAATTTGGTTTTATAGTTAAATTGTTATCTTTTATAATGTTCGTTAATTCATCATTGGTTTTACAAGCTTCGATCATTTGACGTAATTTGAATTTTTCAGCATTAAACTTTAGTAATACTGTCAAGTAAATCTTGTAATGACTGTTAAACTCATCGTCATCATTACCAATAAATTTGAAAAGGTTTTCGAACAATTCATTCATATACTGATTGTTCAAAAAATTACTTAAATAATTCAAATAATCAAATTTGCTTAATTCAAAGTTCTTTCTTTTGGTTAAAAGTTTCAGTTCTGGTTTTTCTTTATCATTAGACAAAAATTTCTTCATCCAATTATAATAATCTTTTGATTGATTTTCAAAATTCTTCTTTATAGTAGTTAACTCGTTATTATGCTCGTCATCAAAAGTTGATACCGATTTGATTTTATCTAGGGTTTTTTTGTTAAAAGTGTTCGAGAGTACATACTTTAATTCAACTTCAAAAGATTTGTAAATATCTTCGAACTTCTCCAGGAACTCTTTTCTGAAATTAAATTTTGGTAAAATCGGATTCAATTTCGATAGATTATTGATAATTTCAATAATCTTTGATCGAGAACTTTGTAATCTTTTCAAAGAATTCTCTGTTGTTTTCAATTCATCTATCAATATTGCTATATTTTTTTGAACTGACGGTATCCTTTGTTCATATTTACTTAAAGCTTGTCTAAACTCTGGTCCATCATCTAAAATAAAATTAAAAGCATTTCTATAATCGGATATTTGTAGGTCGACTAATTGATCAACCAACGGTTTGTCTTCCATTTGGGTATTAATTTGAAGTTTCTCTGCAGTTTCTAGCTTATCGATCCATACTTTGAAATCAAACAAATGTGTATACCTTGTCCCATCAGTTTGAAGAAGAAACACATTTAAAATGTCGTCGTTTATTACCTGACTATCGAAACCATCATTTACAATTATTCTTTGAAAGTCCGAAACATTGGCTTCTAGGGGTAGATCGGAGTAGTTTATTTGAGATACTTCGATTTCGGGTTTGTTATATTCTTTGGATAGCAAATATTGGTTAATTGACGACAAATTTTGGTCTTTCCCTTTGGTCTTCACAATAACTAATGATTTGTTTCCAGTCAGATACTTGACTAAAAGACTCAATTTTAATTTCTTAAATTTAGGATCACATTTCACTAACAATGGAGTGGTTTTGACATTTGAAGTATTATCTATATAGCAGACGGGTGTCTTGATCACATCTTGGCTCTTGGTATTGGTGAAATTGATCTTAGTACATTTTCGTTTATAATTAACTACATCAACATGAATATTCAATCTCTCTAAATCATTATCATCTGTCAAAATTACCTTATTCAAGTAGATTTTGTCACTCTCACCTTCGTTCAACGGAAAACTCAAACTCCCTACTATGTCCATGATTATATCTCCTAGTCAATTACTTAATTTCAAACTCCGAATCAGAATTTAATCTAAAAAAAAATTGAACTTAAAACTATGCTGCGTTTAGATCAATGCGCACAGGCGATACTTCAAACTTTCGCAGTATCGTCTAATTGTTGCAAAAATAAATTTGAGAAACGAAGGAAACAATTCAGGCAGTGGAAATGCTTAATTGTAACAACCTATTCTATTGAAAGATAAAAATAGAAAATGCGAGTTCTGTGGATCGAACACAGGACCTTTAGATCTTCAGTCTAACGCTCTCCCAACTGAGCTAAACCCGCAAAAGAACCCATGCCGGGACTCGAACCCGGAATCTTTTGATTAGAAGTCAAATGCGCTAACCATTACGCCACACAGGCGGTTCTTGTTGGATTTCAATGCAGGATAATTAAGTATAATAATTTCAAAGAAAAGTGGCTTTTTGGTCTTGATTTGGCTCTTTATGACCACAATAGGCATAAATGAGTTGTATTCAAAGATAAAAAGTGGGTTTTATCAGTAAAAATTACTTAATTTTTCACTAATTTTTAACAAGTAGAAACAATTTTGTAGAAATTGCCATTTTTCTGCTTAAAATAGAAAATTAATTAAAAAAAAAATATTTTCGATTCAGAAATATCTTCAAAAGCTGTACAGTGGCCATCAGTCAATTCTTCTTCCATTTGTTTCCACTGAGTTGTATAAAACTCAAGGTAAAGCTTTTTAGTTGCAAAAGTTGAAAATCTCAATGAGAAAAATTTAATGTTTAAAATTGTTAGTCTCAGTACATTCAATAATATAAAAATCAATATAAGTCGGAGATTATCAATGGTGCCAAGGGTAATTAACACAACAATTAAACTTAATGAGACCGAAAGTCAAATCAGGGATTTGTTGATGGAATTTTGTGATTACCATAATCAAAAGAATGAGTCAAGTCAATTAGTGTTAAGGATCACTGGTGGTTGGGTAAGGGATAAATTACTTGGGGATGAGAGTAATGACTTGGATATTGCCATAAACACTTTATCAGGGGAGGATTTTGTCACAAAATTAACTGATTACCTTAATGAAAACCATCCAAATTTATCTTTAAAAGCAATTCATACCATTAAGAAGAATCCTGCTAAATCGAAACATCTTGAAACTTGTACAGCCAAGATATATGGATTAGACATAGATTTTGTTAATTTGAGAAGTGAAAAATATACCGTTGACAGTAGAATACCAATAATCGAGTATGGTACTGCTGAAGAAGATGCTTTGAGAAGAGATGCAACTTTAAATGCATTATTTTATAATTTGAATGAAAAAAAAATTGAAGATTTTACTGGCAAGGGGATTAACGATTTAAAAGAAGGTATCTTAAGAACTCCTTTAACTCCTTTACAAACCTTTCTCGATGATCCATTGAGAGTTCTTAGGTTAATAAGATTTGCCAGTCGTTATAATTTTACCATAGATAATAATACTTTGAATGCCATGAAAAATTCCGAAATCAAATCAAGCCTTTTACATAAGATTAGTAGAGAAAGAATTGGTGTTGAACTTGAAAAAATTTTGAAAAGTAATAACCCAGAATATGGTTTAAAACTTTTGAATTATGTTTCCATATCTGAAAGTGTATTCAATTTAGATACTGTAAAGCAAGAGATCATGAAATTGGACAATTCCATAAATTTCCAATATGAAAACTTATTATCACCCAAAATTAGTACATCTACCACTATATTCCCTACTTTAAGAAATATTGTTAAATCATCTAATTTACTGATGAGTAAGATATTTTCCAATGTATCGCCCAAAGTGTTCTGGTTATCGATCATATTATCACCATTCCAAACTTTTCCTATAGAAAATGCTCAACCTAAAATACTCAACGATTATTATGTCCCCCGATTCGTAGTGAGAGAAGGATTAAGATTCGGTAAAAATGATTACGATCAAATTTCCAAAGTTTTAATGGAATTGTCCAGATCAAAGGAAATTTTGCTTAAAGTTTTGAATGATGATATTAAAAGATCACAGTTTGGCTTATATTTGAGGGAATTTGGTGATTTTGTTGATGTCAATTTGGCAGTAAATTGTTTTGATGACATTTTAACTGAATTGAACTTACAATTTCCTGTGGAACAACCTACTCCTGATGAAGATCTAATTACCAATTCAAATATGATCCAAACAGTCGAATCAAATATTCAAAAATATAACACAATTTGTGATAAAATTCATCAATTCGATTTAAGTGAAGTTAATAAATTGAAACCTATAATTGATGGTAAAACCATTTCTAAAAGTTTAAATAAAAAACCGGGTCCTTGGATTGCTCAAATCACTCAAGAGGTATTAATCTGGCAATTAGATAATCCTCATGGTACTCAAGAAGAATGTCTTGAATTCATCAAAACCCTCATATAATTTTCATAGAATCTTGTACATATTCTCACAGAATTTTTTTTTTCTCTTAACTTGACTCATAAAGCGCTCGTTTTTTTTTTCACCTTTCAAACAGAAATTGAAATATGGCTACAGTTGAAAAGGTTTCGATTCTAGGATCTGAAACCATTCACGTTGGTTATGGTATTCAGGAACATATAGTTGAAGAGATTCTCAAGACTCAAAACTCATCAACTTATGTTATCATTACTGATGCTAATATGGCTAAGACTACTCCATATATTAAATTAAAATCAAAATTCGAACAAGAATTAAATGCAAAGAAGCCTGATTCAAGATTATTATCTTATATTGTACCACCTGGCGAGGATAACAAGAATCGTGAAACCAAAGCTGCTGTTGAAGATTATTTATTACAAAAAGGTTGTACTAGAGATACGGTGATTTTAGCTGTTGGTGGTGGGGTTATTGGTGATATGATTGGTTTCGTTGCGGCCACTTTTATGAGAGGTGTTAGATTCATTCAAATTCCTACTAGTTTATTAGCAATGGTTGACTCCTCAATTGGTGGTAAAACTGCTATTGACACACCCTTAGGTAAAAATTTTATTGGTGCTTTCCACCAACCTCAATATGTTTTCATTGATGTTTCATTTTTAGAAACTTTACCAACCAGACAATTTATTAATGGAATGGCTGAAGTTGTTAAAACTGCTGCTATTTGGAATGAAGAAGAATTTACTAGATTGGAAAATTTTGCGAAAACTTTCATTGATGTTGTAACTGCCAAAGACATCAACTTATCAACAATTAAAGATGACGTCGTTAAAACTGTTTTAGAATCTGCCAGAGTGAAAGCTGATGTTGTTTCCAGTGATGAAAAAGAATTAGGTTTAAGAAACTTACTTAATTTTGGTCATACTATTGGTCATGCTATTGAAGCTGTTTTAACTCCAGAAGCTTTACACGGTGAATGTGTCTCTATCGGTATGATCAAAGAAGCAGAATTGGCCAGATATTTGGGTGTCTTATCACCTGTTGCTGTTGCCAGATTATCAAAATGTCTCGCTGCTTATAAATTACCTATTTCAATTGATGAAAAATCTTTCTTAAAGAAAGTTGGTAACAAACGTTTAAATATCAATTTAGATATCTTATTGAAGAAGATGTCTATTGATAAGAAAAATGACGGTAGTAAGATCAGATGTGTTTTATTAGAAAGTATCGGTAAATGTTATCAATTGAAGGCTCATCAAATTTCAAAACAAGATTTAGGTTTTGTCTTAACTGACGAAACCATCGTTCATCATTTCCATGAATCCTCGGTTCCTTCATCAAATGTTGTCATCCCACCAGGTTCTAAATCTATTTCTAATAGAGCTTTGGTTTTGGCTGCTTTAGGTTCCGGCACTGTTAAAATCAAAAACTTGTTACATTCCGATGATACTAAACATATGTTAGCTGCTGTTTCATCATTGAAGGGAGCTGAAATTTCTACCGAAGAGAATGGGGAAGTATTAGTTGTGAAAGGTAATGGTGGTGAAATGGTAACTTCAAATGAAGAATTATATTTAGGTAATGCCGGTACTGCTTCAAGATTCTTGACTACCGTAGCTTCTTTAGTTGGTATCAATAAAGATTTAAACGAAAAGTCAGTCATTTTAACTGGTAACGCAAGAATGCAAGAAAGACCAATTGGTCCCTTAGTCGATGCATTAAGAGATAATGGTTCAAGCATCGAATACTTGAACAAGGAAGGTTCTTTACCATTGAAAATTGAAGCTGGGAAAGGTCTTAAAGGTGGAAGAATTGAATTAGCTGCCACTATTTCCTCACAGTATGTTTCATCGATTTTAATGTGTGCTCCTTATGCTCAAGAGCCTGTCACTTTATCTTTGGTTGGTGGTAAACCAATTTCTCAACTTTACATTGATATGACTGTTTCAATGATGAAATCCTTTGGTATCGAAGTAACTAAATCTACTACCGAAGACTATACCTACCATATTCCAAAAGGCTCATACAAGAATCCTGAGGAATATGTTATTGAATCTGATGCTTCTTCTGCTACTTATCCTTTAGCTTTTGCAGCTTTAACTGGTACTTCTTGTACTATTCCGAATATCGGTTCTTCATCATTACAAGGAGATGCTAGATTCGCCGTCGATGTGTTGAAGCCAATGGGTTGTAAAGTTGAGCAAACCACTCATTCAACCACTGTTACTGGTCCTCCTGTTGGTTCATTAAAACCTTTACCACACGTTGATATGGAACCAATGACCGATGCCTTCTTGACTGCTTCTGTTGTTGCTGCTGTTGCTGTTGATGGTGACAAATTCACTTCAATTACCGGTATCGCCAACCAAAGGGTTAAAGAGTGTAATAGAATCGAAGCCATGATGTCCCAATTGGCTAAATTTGGTGTCAAAACCAAAGAATTGTCAGATGGTCTCGAAATTCATGGTATCGATTATAAGAAATTGAAATCTCCAACTGCTGAACTTGGTGGTGTACATACTTACGACGATCATAGAGTTGCCATGTCATTCTCCTTATTGGCAGGTTTATGTCCCGAGCCAGTTTTAATCTTAGAAAGGTCATGTACCGGAAAAACATGGCCAGGTTGGTGGGATATCTTACATACCAAATTCAATATTGAACTTGACGGTTTTGAACCTAAAGAATCTCACGCTTCAGCTTCTAAGAAATTAGATAACAAGAGTATCGTCATAATCGGTATGAGAGCTGCTGGTAAGACTACCCTTTCCAAATGGATTGCCAACCATTTAGGTTACGATTTCATCGACCTTGATGATGTTTTCGTTAGCAGACATAAGGATATTAGAGAATATATCAAAGAACATGGTTGGGAACAATTCCGTAAAGAAGAAGCCATCATCGCCAAAGAATTTATTAACGTCAATAACAAAAGACATGTCATTTCAACTGGTGGAGGGATAGTAGAAGACGAAGAATCAAGAAATTCTTTAAAGAAATATATCGAAAATGAGGGACTTGTCTTACATTTACATCGTGACATCGAGGAGACAGTCACATTTTTATCAGCAGATACCTCAAGACCTGCTTATGTTTCTGAAATCAAAGAAGTCTGGAAGAGAAGAGAGAAATGGTACTTCGAATGTTCTAACTATCATTATTTCTCACCCCATTGTGATTCAAAAACTGAATTCGAAAGTTTGAGAAAAGTTTTCCTCAACTTCATCAACACTATAACTGGTTCATCAGCTAAGAAATTACCTAAGAAGAAAAGTTATGCTTTAGATTTGAAAGTTTCTTCTGTTTTGTCATTGAAGTGTAAATTCGAAGAGACTTCAGTTGGTACATCAGCTGTAAACTTCAACATTGACTGCTTAGAAAACTATGATTCTGCCTCAATTTGCTCCGAAATTGCTCATCTTAGAATGTATACCACATTGCCAATAATTTTCAGTGTGAAAACTCAATCTCAAGGAGGCAAATTCAAGAATGAAGATTTAGAAAAACTTGAAGACTTATACAATTTAGCTTTCAAGTTAGGTGTTGAATATGTTGATATTCAATTGGATTTACCTAACGAGCTTATTTCCAAAATATCCGGAAACAAAGGTCATACAGGTTTAATAACTTCTTACTATAGTAAGAATGGGTGGGATTCTGTTGAATGGAACAATAAGTATACTTTAGCTGTTTCATTAGGTGCTAATGCGGTGAAATTAGTGAGTATTGCTAATAGTTTCAAGGACAATGTTATGTTGGAACAGTTCAAGCTTTCCCACGATACCATTCCTATGGTTGCTTACAATGAAGGAGAATCAGGAAAACTTTCCAAAATTACTAACACTTTGTTCACACCTGTTAGTCACGAATCCTTAACTGCTGGTGTCACCAATGATCTTTTAACAGTTCAAAGCTGTAACAAGCTTTTTGCAGAAATCGGTGGTTATAAGGAATTGAAATTTTGGATCACAGGTGAACCTGTCTCCCACTCAAGATCACCTCCATTACATTCTGCAGGTTATCAAAAATTAGGATTACCTTATAAATTTGATAGATTCGAAACTTCTGATCCGGCAAAAGTTTTCAAAACTTTAGTTGAAAATGTTGAAGACTTTGGAGGTTTAGCTATTACAATGCCATTGAAGATTGATATGATGAAATATGCTGATGAATTGTCCATCTCAGCCAAAACAATCGGTGCCATAAACACTATGATCCCTCTCGAAGGTAAACCTGGCAAATACTTCGGTGATAACACCGATTGGTTAGGTATCAAGAACTCTTTCGTCAGAGACGGTGTTCCTAATATTACTAACATGCCTGTCAATGGTCTTGTTATCGGTGGTGGTGGTACCTCAAGAGCTGCACTTTTCGCTTTACACGATATGGGATGTAAGAAAATTTATATGATTAATCGTACAATTTCCAAAATCGTCGACATTAAAGATTCTTTCCCATCAGACTTTAACATTGAAATCTTAGAGTCAATCGAAGATGCTGAAAAGTCTGATCCTGTTTCCTTGGTAGTATCATGTATCCCAGCTGATAAACCACTTGATGATTCTTTGAGTGAAAAGATTTCTGTCGTATTGAAGAGAGGTATTGAAACTAAGGTAGGTGATTTCACTCCATCTTTAGTGGATGCAGCTTATAAACCAAGAGTCACCCCAATGATGAAACTTGCTAATGAAAAATATCATTGGAATGTAATTCGTGGGGTTGAAATGTTGGTCAATCAAGGTGAAGAACAATTTGAAATCTTTACTGGTATCAAACCTCCTTATTCTGCTATTCATGATGCAGTTTTAGCCTTAGATTAATCAATTCTGTATATCTATAATAGAAATCCAGTCTCCAAATTTTGTTTCGGAAAAATCAGGAAAAACTCTGCCTTCTCATCTCGCCTTTTTTTTTTTCGCAGCTAAATCAAAAGAAAAAGAAAAGCTAAAATCCGAAAGAGGAGTTGTACAAAAGGGCAGCAATATTTTTCTTTTAGAAGTATTTTAACCCAACTAGTTTGGCTATCTTGAAGAATAAGTGGCATTTATTGAAGCATTCTCTGAAATACAACAGTGGAAGTTACTTAGCTCAAGTTAATAGAGGATAGTCGAAGATGTTGCAAAGAATTACGATAGGTGCTTCACTATTCAAATCGAGTAACAGATTATTAATAAGGCAGTTTTCTTTACTAAATGGTGCACGTAATTACTTCTTGTCGAAACACGTTCAAGAAGAAGAAGAAGACTTCGAATTAGAGAATCCTTATATCCAGTATCCTGTGATAACCAAAGATCAAATGAAGAAGATAGCTATAGATAAATTCAAATTTGAATTTTCTTATTCTTCTTACAGTTTCCATTCTACAAGAGCTCATTCATCCATCCATTCATTATCAGATTTGACTGACCCAACGCAGTTGAATTCATTATTACCAAGAAGAAGACCTCAGGGATCACCTGCAGACACATTGTCAATAAAAGCAGGAGATGATGCGATGCTAGTATCACCTACCGTTATTGGTATAGCTGATGGTGTTAGTGGTTGGGAGAGTAAAGGTCAACACGGGAATTCAGGTGTATGGTCAAGATCAATGTTAGAAACTTTGAGTCGTCTTTTAACGGAATATAAAATTTCACACTACCCACATCATTTAAATAAAAGGGATATCGATCAGATCATTGACGATTCATATTTACATACATCTCATTTGATGGACTTGCAAGATTTAAATGGTTCTTCGACTTTAATTTTATGTATGATGAGTGGTGAAGTGTTGAAAATGATCAGTATCGGCGACTCCAAAATTTTCGTTATTAGGGACAACAAGATTGTCAAAACTAATGAAGAACAGATGTTATCTGAGTTATGCCCAAAACAAATAGGAACTCAAACTTTAACTCAGTTACCTTCAGAAATAGCATGGGTTGATTCAATCCAATTAAAAGAGAATGATATCATTTTTATGTGTTCTGATGGTGTTAGTGATAATCTATATGAAAGCGAAATCGTAGATTATTTAGATGAAGCTTTAAATGAGAAACAATTAGGATTAAAGGGAACTGCTAATTATCTCATCGCCAAAGCAAAGGAAGTAGCTTTTGATGATTATGCATTCACTCCCTATAATGAGAAAGTGAATGCATTACCAAAGGAGAAGTATGGCAATAAAATTAGCACAGGTGGTAAGCTTGATGACATGTCTGTCTGTTTAGCTAAGGTTGTAATAAACAAAAGCATATTAAAAAAAACTCAAGTTTGAAAATTTTGTATAAATAATTGAAAAAATAAAGGATTTAGCATATGGTAAGGGAAATTTGTAATTTATAGAAGTTCATGTAATACATATAACGTAAATTAAGTTAAACTATTTATAAATTTTCTATCGTTTATAAGAAATGCTTCTATCAAGCATTAACTGATGCAATTTCCGTGAAGTACTGTCTTAAAATAATTGAAAGCATTTCAGGAAGTTCGTTGATATTATTCACAACAACATAGAATTCGAATGGGAAACTGTCAAGATATTTGTCGACCTTCAATACACTGTTTCCATTGTCATCAAATTCATATTTAACTTGAGACATGTCCATTATAGATTCATTGGAATTAATACCGTCAATTACAACGAAAACAAGCATGATTCTTGATTCTCTTGCTTTTCTTACCAATGCTTGTATGGTAGAATGGTCCTCGCATACTCCATCCGATAAGATAATTTGCAATTGCCATAAATCATTGTTACTGCTGATTTTAGCATTTTCGAAAATTTTCAAAGATTTATTGACAAGATTCTTGATATCAGTCTTAGTTTGTTGGAAATCAAAATACTGGAAAATCTTTGCACCGGTTTCTTGGTTGTTGAAAGGTTTATCGAACCCATGTACAACCTTGACATCCTCTCCAAATCTGACAATAGATAACCCACCACTTTCCAACTGTGTCAAGGCTTTGGTTACCAAAGCAATACTATTGAAAGCTAATTCAGTAGATTTACTTTCACTCATAGATTTAGAGTCGTCCACAGCAATCATAATTTGATACTGTCTCTTTGAAGGTTTCGTTCTTCTCAACCAAATTTTATCTTTACGGAATTCGGAAGCAATATATGGGATGATTCTCTTCATGTTCAATCTCTTACCAGTCTTGTAGTCACCTTTCAATTTGGTAGCTAAAGTTGGTTCAAGAATCAACCTCAATTGTTCTGATAAACCAGAAGCAAGTTCTTGTGTTGCCAATTCACTTTGACGCCAGAGGTCACGAGCCACATCCAAAGACATTCCCACTTCATCATTTGAAGTTATGTTGACATCAGCTATATCAGCATTAAATTCCTCTATCATATCAAAATCTTCGAATTCATTAAACATAGCACCACTTTCTTCTTCTTTGACCTTCGACCTATCATTGATGAACCCACCTTTTGTCTTTCCTTCAAAATCGGCTTCAGGGTCATTTTCATTTGATTCTTGAACGTTCTCGTCGACGTCCATTGCATCCTTAACAACTTCAGCCTCCTGTTTGATCTCGGGATCTCCCTTCTCTTGAATGTCTTCCATTTCATCGTCAATAGCTTTATCTTCATCAATGGATTGCATTTGTTCTTTGTCTGCAGAACCCAAGGCTTGTGTTTCTGAATTGGTATTTGCACCATTAACGTGTTCGAACTCGTCTGGTCTTTCATTAGCCTTTTGGTCCACTTCTTCTTCAGTCTCGTTGGAAGCTTGCTGAATTTCTTGATGACGACGATGGAATTCTTTCAATGAATCACCTAATTCTTTGATCGATTCTCTTGCCATTTCGTTGGATTCGTCATTTTTGGGTGCTTCGTCTTGGTTTTCCTGATCTTGGGCTTGGGTAGTTGAAGATGCACCTGTAGCTCCCAAATCATCTTGTTCTTCTATTACTTGATTATCAGCACCTTCACCCTTTTCACCCGATTCTTGTTTGACAGCTGATTCGATATCTACATCATCTTGGGCTTCTTCGGTTTGAGCACCTTCGACTCCTTCTGCGGTTTCTTTCTCATCTTGATCACCTCCACTTTCTTTCTCTTCTTGATCTTTGTTGTCGACCGCTTCATCTTCAGATTCTATAGCATCTTCACCCGCTTCATTGTCTTGCCCACCTTCTTCTTGCTCTTCTCCATCGTCATCTTCGTCCATATCACCTCCTTCATTTTCAATATCTGCCGACTCATCTTCTTCATCGCCGTCTTTCATTTCAATGTCCTCGTGATTTGCTTCGTTTTCATTTTCTGGTCCTTCATCTTCTTGTTCTTCGTTGGGCTTTTTTTCTTCTTCTAGATCAAACTGGTTGTCATCTCCATCATCATCATCATTTTTTTGATCGTCTTCTTCGTCATCCAAATTCATGTCTTCTGGTAAATCCAATGCTTCAGCATCAGGAACATGATCATCCATTTTGTTATTTTCATCTTCGTGTTTGATGTCATCTTCTTGTTCACCAACGTCCTTTTCATCTTCACCGTCATTCTCATCATTTTCGTCATTGTCATTCTCTTCGTTTGTATCATTTTTATTATCCTCTGTATTATTGTCTTTCTTATTTTCATCATCTTCATTTGCAACCATATCATCTTGATTGTTAGAATTTGGCATTTGGTCAGAATCCTTTTCTTTGTCATTCTCTTTGGCCTCTTCATCCCACATCTTTTCATCTATTTCGTTGGGATCCAAGTCATCAATATCTTCGATTTGTTCGTCCATATCTTCTCCTTCATCCTCATTTTCATCGTCACTATCATCTTGGTCTGATGCATCTTCTAAATCTCCCGCCATATCACCCTCCATGTCGACAGCATCGTCGTTTTCATCTTCGTCTCCATCTTTATCTTTCTCTTTGTTATCGGTTTGGGCTTGTTCACTGAGATCTTCATCTTCTTCAACGTCCTTAGAATTGTTCGTGGCACCTTCACCATCACCTAATCCTGTACCATCTTGTAAATTGTCATCTGTCTTCTCCTCTGAAGGAGCTTCAGGTGAACAAAATCCTTTAGTTGATAAATTGTAAAGAATTGAAATGAGGATATATGCACCATGTGAATTATCAATGTAGTTCTGTCTGGCATTCGAGAACACAGAATTCATTAATTGGAGATAATGTTTAATTATTGGGATGGAAAATGCGGTCAATGCTGAAACGATTCTGGAAGTTTCAGAATTATATTCAATCTTTTGTATCATATCGATCAAAGAAGCAATTCTTGCCTCAATATTTCTATGGTGGGTAGATTTTATATAACTCGAAATCCTTTTCTGGATAACTTGGAACCAGTCATCATCATTTTCGATGAATTCTTCTTTTTGAATGTCCACCACTTTTTGCATAACAATAATTATACTATTTGTCAAGTTTCTTAATGATAATTCGATGTCCTCCACTACCTTAATTTCAACAATCGAAGTTGAGGAGTCTACAAACAAATCGATATTTTCATGTTCAAGCCAATCTAAAATCACTTGAGTAAAGAATCCAAAGTTTTCGTTTCCGATTTTAAAATCATATAATTGGCGTTTGAAGTCCAAAATGAAATTCTGGAAATTCGTGATAAAGCCAGTAGTTACATCGGTGGATACCTCATTTGAATTTTTGTATTCGGCTTCCAATGATGACAATTTACTTTGCAAACTTGAGAATTGATTGCTAGTGATTGTATTGGTGAACGTCTTCGATAATTCCAAACTTTCGATAGAAAAATTCATGAGCCTTGGTAACCAATTCAATATATTCCCAATGACCTTGAGATTTGAATTAATCGATCCATTGACAGAAACTCTACTAAGTTTGTCGTTAGAATCATATAAAGACGATACTAATTCCAAAGATTCTACTGAGCCAGTAATTTTTTCCATGGACTTTGACAAGTTGAGTAATGGTTTACGGCCAATGATCAATGCATGTATGATATTTTCAGCAACAGCAAAACCTCTTTCCAAGTCCGGTTGAGGTACATCTTCTGGTAATTGAGTCATGGAAGATTTCAATCTGGGTAAAATATCAACCATTCTGAAGAAATAGCCATCTGCCCCTTCCATCAAGGTGTCAGTAAAAGAAACACTGTTAGCCAAAACATGATTACTGCTTGTCTGTACTGCTTTGATTTCAGCTTTAGCAGTGGTTTTCAATCCTATTCTTCTGAACTCTTTTAATGAGCTACTCAAAAGTTTCGCCTTTTGGTTTTTCAATGAGGCGATGAGTTTTTTGGTTTCTTCTTTATGAACGGTAGGAGTCTCCTTTCTGAGCTTCTCAGAATCTTCTAAAATTTCTTTGGCAAATTCATACAAAGAAGGTAACTCCTCTTCTGTAATATTTTTGACATAGATACTCATATTATTATCAATGATGGAGATATCCTGCAAACGCTTTGGTCTTTCATTCCAAGTGGATACTCGACAACAAATTTCCTTCACTTCTTTCATATCTGAAGTCGATCCTACTACCTGTTTCAAGTTGACTACTTCAATAGAAGAGGATCCTTCAGGGACCCCTTGTTCAATAAGTGAAGAAACAGGTGTAGCAAGTAAGCTTCTGTATTTTCTGACAATCTTGTAAAGACTATTATGGGACTTTCTGGCACTTTGCTTAAGAGCGTCAATATTCACGTCCTTCCAGCTTGCCAAAAGTATGACTTCATTGATATCCTTCTCTAATTTTTTCCTTTCGTTTCTTATTTTTTCATCAATGTTGTCCACAAACTGTTTATAGTAAGTTATGAAATTCGAAATAGCATGGAAAGTCTCACCTTTTCCTTCAATAATAACCACATGTTCTCTAAAAGCCCTGAGGAGCGACAACCTCAACTTAAATTCACCGAAGCTTGTTTGGGTCATAAAAATGTGAAGAGCGCTCAATAAGCTACCCAAATTGAGGTCTTGTTCCTCGGAGCCTAAAGGAAGTACGATGGTTTCAAATAAATGAAACCACCATGATCCAATATTGATTTCCAATGCGTGATCTTCATGATTGAACAATTCTTTCCATGTTGACAATTCTAATCTCCTCCATGACACAATGAGGTCTGTCAATTGGTCAAAGTAGGTTTTCAATGATATTTTGGAATGTGCATATTTCTCCCATTCTGAGATGAAAGTATAAATCTGTTCAATTTTTTGAAGCTGTCTGGCTATAGGCATATTTAATGGGTAATCCAAGAACTCATTACAAACTCTGACAATATCTCTCAAGGTAGCGTGTTCTGGCCACTCTATCAATAGTTTATTAGTGAAACTTATAATATTATCCAAGATATCGATAGCCCTTCTGGTTTCTCTTGGGGAGGACTCCCTGTAGAAATCAAATGTGCTTTCTTGAACCTGAGAGAACTTTCCGTAAGCTTCCCCAAAAGCATGAATTGAGGCCACCAAATTCGAAACACTATTGTACTCTCCTTTGAATTTGTCACCATGCTCCGATAAATCCTCAACCAATTGACTTCCTTCAGTAATCAACTCATTCATGTCTATTTGTTCCTTATCTCCCATAGCAGATATGTAAGATTTAGCTAGGTTGTAATAAATTTCACTAAAGGATTGATTATTCTTAACTCCTGAAATATCAGCATCTATGACATCTTCGAAATCTGGGAATAATAACTTAAAGTCTCCCTCAATATCAGCATCTGGATCGTTGAATTTATATAAACTGTCCTTCTGCATATGATATTCCGTCTCTTTCAATTTACGTAATGTCCATCTGTAATAAATTGACTGTAAAGATTGATTGATCATCTCGCCAGAAATATCAACACCATGTGCAAGGAAGATTTTCATGAAATATATCATGACCTTTTCATTTATAGTAGATTCTATACCTTGTTTCTTGGAGAAGTCTTTGAAATCATCGAACATTTTTTCGACCTTAGCAAAAGAAGCTAGCTTGGAGGGGTTATTCACGGATAACAAATCAGTTTCATATCTATTTGATTCGTCATTTTCTACTGAAATCAAGTCGAAACCGATTTTCAAAGCAAAAATGTAACCCTTCAAGATATCATTTAAATCAGCAAAAAGGCTGAAGTTTTTGTCCATTCTGTAGACAAATTGGGAAGAATTATTTTGGAACATAAGTAATAATTGCTCTGATTCTTCATTCAATACTTCGGCGGACTTCATCAAACCTTCTACCTGTTCGGCGCTAATGGTGGAGTCCATGAAAGCTTTCCATTCTTCGAAAAGGCCATCCACAGGACTATCCCTGAAAACTCTAGGCTTTTCTGGCAACTCTGGCACTTCTTCCTCATTCAATAACCTTAGGGCCAATGTATCCTCATCACCGTTGAGTACGATGTTTATATCCTTCCAGGTATCTATCAATTCTTTGGAAAGTTCTATTTGAGTCAAATATTTATTGTAAAGGACGTGCTCCTTGATTGCAGGATCAAAAGCTGAACTTGGTAAATATAATTGTATAGCACCACAAGCAAATAAGATGTAAGCCTTACCCAAATTTCCCTTGGAACAGGAGTTGACAATAATTTTCAAGGAAGGTACAAAAAATTTCCTGAAACAATCAGCTGCTGGACCCGAAAATTCTTCAATTAGTTCTTCTAGGGTGTTCATATTCTCTGAGTGATCTAATATGTCTTGGGACGATAATTTGGACATGAATTCAATATAATCTTTATTTTCTTGACTGGATTTTACGATCTCTAAAATCCATGAGATTAATAAATGAGCAAAATTAGATTTGACATTGGAAGAAACATTCTCTGAATTGTTCAACAATGACTTGACGAAATACTTCATGTCGTCCAATTTCATTTGCAAAAATTTTCCAGAAGTTTGATTGAATTTGCTGGATTTTTTTGAAATCATCTTTGCAAAGCTGTCATCAAATAACTGAGGGATCAAAGAGTGATGTCCATTATCGAATTTGCAGATATTGTCTAAAATTGGAGGGTAGGGAATGAACAACCTATCATGTCTTGATTTAATGAATTGTGATGTAGGCCTTCCCGATAATGAAGACAATTTGATCAAATCTTCATTGGTCCCTCTGTTCAAGACTGAATCATTTAATTGATTGAACATTGACATCAACTCAAATTCTCCAATGAAATCATTTCTTCTTTCAACAGTGAAATTCTGAACTATAAGTTTCAATTTCTCTATGCCGCTTTTCAAATCTTCAATAATTACTTCAAATTCATCACTTGACACACTTCCCTCTAAAACAGTATCGTAAAGTTGTATCAAGGATCTTTGGAAGGTACACACTTGGTCCAAAGAACCGAGACTTTGCTTTTGTGCAACACAATCGAATTCATCGAATACTTTCATTAATTCAATAGCCTTTTCCCAATTTTCTAAACTGTTAGGATATTTTGATCTAAAATTCTCCCAGATTGTTTCCATGAAGAAACCAGTAGAAAGGTCGAAGGAAATCGAAAAATGCTCAACGGCAGCAGTTAGTGAAGCTATAGAATCGTGAATTGGTCGGATTCCGGAGTTTTCTTGACACCAAGATGACACAAGATCTCTGTAGACTCTTAACTGGGACTCATTTTGTTTATGAGATGACTCTGTTAAACTATTCCATATAACAAGAAGTTGATACAATGAGTGATAGACCTTATCATCTTTGTAAATATTGTTTCCGGATATGTTGATGAATACTTCACGTACGTAGTTCGCAATTGCTAGTGAAAATGCATAAACGTTCAATCTTGGTTTATTTTTGATTGCTCTTCCCAATGACATAGCAGCAGACCTCTCAATGTATGACAAGTCACTCAAGTTACCGCTCATAGCCTTCTGTTCAACTCGTTGAATGACGGTTTGACAGTTCAAAATACCAGATGAAACCTGGAACATATAAATCGGTTCAGTAGTTTCTCTGTTCATCAAAGTTGAATTCAACAAAATATTCAAACTCTGGAAAGAAAGGAATTCCTCTTTGACTTCTCCCAACCTTTGGGTTACTTCCCCAAAAATTCTAGTCAAAGACCCTAAAACCCCGGTTTCCTCTAAAAATTCGATTCTAGATTGGATTTGGCTTGCATACTCAGCCTGAACTGACGAATATTCCTTGGAAGCGGTTACGAAAGCAGTCCATTTGCTGAATTCACTCAATGAATTGAATTGAACTAATCCGCTCAAATTATCAGCTTTAACACTCGAATATTTGTCATTCTGGATGTCTGTTAAGTTGACAAAACACCTTTCAAATGAAAAGATAGGAGAAAAAAATCCTGCAAGAGGATAATCATGAACATTGTCTTCGACCCTTAAATCAGAAAATCGATCAACCACATCAGTCTCAGTTTTGATTTCAAAAATTCCGAGCTGTCTTTTATCAAATGCTGTTGATCGGGTATGCAAGGAATCCATATACAACTCAATACCCCTGTTACGCATAGCACGAGATAACTCTCCATATTTCGGATCAACGGTTAAGAACAATCTGAAGTTAGGATGAGGCTTCAAAATCCTGGGCTGTCCGTCTTTTGAACTACACTCATTTATTATTAAGGATCCGTTGACTTCTAATAATGAGTTCAATCTATCCAACACTGAAGGGCTACAAAGGTTAGCATTGTCCAAGATCAACCAGTAACCCTGCTCGACAGCTTGGACTAACAAACCATCAAACCATTCAAACTTAACAGAAGAATCTTCATCCATCTTTTCTAACAATTTGGCACAGTCTTGGTTCAAACTTTTCAATTCTTCATTGGAATATATGGACAAGAATGATTTCAAAAACTGGTGTACCTCGTGAAAATTATTCAAGTTGATATCATTGTTTTCAATGTAACCGAATAATTCCAAGGCTTGCTTCAAAATCATGGGCTCGCTAGTAGAAATCTTTAAGTTCAAAAGTAATAGCTCTTGCAAAATCGATTTTAACTTGGAAGTAATAACGGAAATTCCTCTGGTCAAATCAACTTGTTCGTAACCACCTAAAATATCCATACTATCAACATCACTATTCATAGCAAACTCATTCAATTTAGCTCCAACTGTTTTAGCTAAAAATCTTACTAATTCAGTTTTACCTGAATTGGATGGACCTGTTAAAATTAAAGGCAAATTGTGATTCACACAGTGAATAGCTGCCTCTAAAAATTTGAAGTTACATTGTAATGGAATAGAATTGGTACCTTGATTGAATTTCACTAATTCTGACTTGTTGATTACAGCAGCACCAGCTTGAACATATCTGTCTGTGATGTTAAAATAATTGTCTCTTCTGTTCAATTTTCCAAAGATTGTTTCAAAAAGCAAGATGGCATTTTTTTGATCTTCTGGGCTTCTGAATCTGTAACGAATAATCATTCCAAAGAAATCCGAAGCAGTTAAATTTTCAAAGATCGAGTTTGAATTAAATAATTCCAACCATCTTAGAGTATCACGTAAATTGAACTCCCAAGGGCCACCTGAAGATCCCCATTTTTTCTGCACGATTACTTCCTTTTCTAATTCACTCATGAAATCTATCATCTTTTTTCCAATTTCTTGATCAACATTCGGGTATAAGTGTTGAGAGATCAAACTTAAATCTTCCTTTTTCAAAATGTCCACGTAAACGACTGTAAATCTGTTAACAAAAGATTTTGGTAATCCTTTTCTGCCTCCACCTTGATATTGGGGATTTTGAGCAGCGAAGACAGTGAAATCAGGATGACAAGTGAATGCTTTGTCTAGTTCAGGTATGTATGCTTCACCTCTATGATCAAGACAAGCATTCAACCCTTCTAAAACTGATTGAGAAGCCAAGTTCATTTCATCTAACAATACCCATTCCCCTTTTTGCATTGCCCTCAAAAAGGGAGCATCTCTCCATACGAATTCACCAGTCTTTCCGCCCTCAGCAGGTGAATCTGAACCAAACAAATCCACCAAATCTGTCTGTTCTGACAAATTGATACGTATTAATGTATTACCGGTAGCTTTGGCTATCGCTGAAATTAAACTGGTTTTACCGACTCCAGGACTCCCTTCCAAAAGAATTGGTTTGTGAACCTGCATGGCCCTAATCACCCTCATTGCGTTGGCTGAAGTGGTAGGAGCGCTCAACAAGAAATCATCTACCGGATCTTTACATATTCTTGGTATTGAAAACAGCCCTGCATTCAACAGGTCGCCGAATAAAGATACCTTAAACTCCGATTTATATAATAAGGACAAATCCTTATTCACAAGTTCACCGAGCTTTTTAACACAAGAAAACTTTTCTTTGTTCAAGTTGACTTCGTTCTCAGCTAAATAAGCCGTATTGTTAGTTCCTAGCGAGTCGATAAACACCATCGCAGCTCCATGTAAAAATGCTGTATCCACATCGATGTTCGACTTTTCAACACAAGCATTGATGAATTGAACCCACGCGAGGATGTCACGTAAAGAAATTATACCGGAGGTGATGTTTCCTGCACCAAACTTCTTTCCGTAATATTCGGAAAATTCAACCAAAGGTTGACACAATTGAGAAACCGAATCATGCAATTTGTTTTGAACAATTTGAGTAACATCGTCAAAATCTTCCATAGAAGGGACCCAAATTTCCGTAAAACGATTTCTCAAGGCCGGTGAAAGTTCTTTCTTACCGTAATCACCACCTGGATTCATAGTAGCCAAGAATTGAAAATCTTTGTGACCAACTATGAAAGCATCATCGGTACCTTTTTCAGCCAACAACAAACTTCTTTCTGGTTCCAATACAGAATTCAATCTTTCCAACACAGAGTCGTCAGCAAGAGAGATTTCATCCAATAAGAAAAATTGACCTTCCTTCATCGAATGTACCAATGGCCCATCACTCCATTCAAACAAGATTTTACAATTGACTTTGTCGGCTTCAATAGCCTCCAAAATTTCTTTGTCTACAGGACTGTAGTCTTCCACTTGATCGAATCTGGCAATCAAATTATCAAGCTTGAGTTCACCCAACAGGAGAACGATATCCAATTGTCCAAAAGCCATGGAAAGGTTGTTGTATAATCTACTTCTGATTTCAAATCTGTTACGCACTGGCCTTTGAGCACCTAGTATATCACTGGTCTCTGTATTCTGGTGGGCATTTACTGTGACTAATTTTTTGCCTGAGAACTCAGCTATGGTTTGACATACAGTAGTCTTACCACATCCTGTTTCACCCACTAATAACAAAGGTTCATTATACTTGATGGATATAGATACCAAAACTGCTAGTCTTCTCATGGCTTTAGTCCAAACAATGGAATTACCTGTATTAAATTCAAGTAAAGCTTTGTCCTCTAAACTCTCATAGTATTTGTCCATATCCAATTTGACCTTCATTACTTTCTCGATGGTCTGTTTGACGATTAATTTTTCATCAGGCTTTCTGACTCTCTCAGCCAACAACATATAACCATTGGCTGCCAACTCTTCGTATCCAACAGCCTCTCTCAATGCCCATCTGAATAAATCTCTTAATGTAGCAAAAGAATTTTTCTGTTCAAACAATCTTGTTGACTGTCTTTGAATGGTCAATTGTTTATAGACTTCAACAATTCGTTTACCATAAGAAGGGGCGATTTTACATCTTTCTTTTAAAATGATTTCTAGTTCGTCTTGAGGAATGTCATCAAAATGTAATTCCAAGAATCTGTTTCGGAAAGCTCTCGAAAGCATTTTTCTACCACCGTATATACCAGGAGGATTCTGTGTAGCGAAAAGCATGAAATCTGGATGAGGGTGAACAACCTCTTGAGTTTCTGGTATAAATAATTCCCTATTATCATCTAACAAACGATTCAAAGCTTCCAAAATATCTGTAGGGGCCAAATTCAATTCATCCAATACAATCCAGTAACCGTTTCTGATAGCTTCCACCAATATACCTTCTCTGAAAACTAATTTACCGGTGGAATCGGAAACATAAGTACCAAGATATTCCTGTAAGTCGGTGTGTTCATGATTGTTGATACGTACGAACTTGTGACCGGTAATGTTGGCTAAGTATTGAATCATTGAAGTCTTACCAGCAGACGTGGGACCTTGAATCAAAACTGGAAACCTTCTTCCAGCAGTAGCTCTAACAAGATTCAACATATTCTTTTCCACAAATGGAGTTATAATGTAATGTGGTTGTGGAATTGATTTTTCGGGACCATGTTTCATCCAGTAGTGTCTGAATTGTACATATTCCTCCGTATTCTTGCTGGGACACGGAGGCAATTGTTTCATCACTGACTTTTGATTTTTCAATTTACCAATAGTATATTTCTCTATCACGGGTTTCAACAAGCTTTCGGACTTCAAGTCTAACAAAGTCAAAAAGGACATACAAAAACCTTCATATAAAGACCTTCTGAGTCCATAGATCGACACAATATCGACAACGTATAGTAAGGTTCTTGTTAATGTACGAATACTGAAATGAGGTTTTTGATTTGCACCATCCACTATTCTATTGGATTCAGATAAGTTTTTGGCTTCCAAATATAATTCAGCAATATCTTGTCCTATCCACTCATCTGAGATGGCATACTTACCGATATATTTATCAATGATTGACAATAAGTCATTGATATCCCTATCGGGACTATGGACATATATTTCAGTGAATCTGGACCTTATACTCAAGGGTAAGTCCTTCTTACCTACGTCAGTGGAAGGATTCATACAACCGAATATTCTGAAATCAGGATGGGCTTTAATGGGGTCTATGTCACCTTTTTCACTTAATAATATAGATCTTTGATCTACGGACTCATCCAAAAGATCAGCAATACTTTCTAAAGTGTCAGAAGATGCTAAATTAATTTCATCGAGTAATAACCAATCACCTTTCCTTATAGCTTGCACTAATGAACCCTCAACGAAATTGAAAACAAAGCTGTTGTCCAAAGAATTTGACTGTATTTCAAACTCCTTGACTTTGTGCTCAAACTCAACCCATTTGTCCAAAAGAATTTTACGTTCGTGTGATCTCAATCTACGTTTCTTTTTTGGCTGGTCTCCGTTACCTGTAAATTCATCATTATCAGATTCGATTTCTTTGTTTAACAATTCTTTGGACATTTTGACAGCTTCTTTCCATAATTTGATCACATTCTTCCATTGACCTCTATTGAAAACCTTGGTTAAAATGGAAGAAAATTTTTCATTCTTCCTTTTAGAAAATGTAGTGATGAACAAGTTTTCGAATATTTCTTGAAGCGGGATTGCAATGATTTTAGTGTTTACTGGTTTGTATCCACCAAGTAAATCTCCTGATTCGGTCTGCTGTGAAACGTTGATGACTGTCAATTTCTTGTTCATGAGTTTGGCGATTTGTTGCACCACTGTGGTTTTACCCGTACCAGTTTCTCCCACTAACAAAACAGGCTCTGTCATTTCTACAGAAACTGAAATTTGTTCCATCAATCTCAATGAATGATTTGTTCTTGCAAAGGCAGTGATGTTACTCGACTTCTTGAATTTGTTCAACGTATTGTCAATGTTGGACTTATTTAAAACTGCTCTTCCAACTTTCAAACTTTCATCGTCGTCAAAAAATTGTGGAACATGCTTTGTGAGGAAAAGGTTGATTCTGGATGGAGCTACTTCGAGATGTTCTCCGATGATATTGCTTAAAGGTATTAATGCGTTGTAATCTGTGAGAGAAGAACCGAAACAGTCGATAGCCTCTTGGAAAAACTGGTCGAAAACAGATGTTTCCATTAATTCGTCAGCACTCGTGATACTATTGTTATTCAAGATCTTGTCACAACGAGAGCAAAATTTGATCAAGTCTCTCACAGAAACAGTTCTTGGGTGGCTACCTTTGTTCAAACTGATGAATTGGTTTGAGGAATAAATCTTCAGAATTCCTTCGAAACAGGCAAGGAATTTTTTGACCAAATTCTTCAACAATGGAAACTTTGCTGATAATATGGATACTAGCTCATATTGATTAGGGACATCAACTTGTATTAAAGACCACAATCTAAGACCTATTAAATCAGGTAATTGATCTTTATCACTCATTCTTATTGTGGAAACGATTTGAAAATTATTATGAGCTTTGATTACTTCCCCTCTGGAAGGTATGATTAATTGTCTCTTTTCCAAAAGGGTTAACAAAATAGATAAAACTTCGGTTGGTGCTTTGTCGATGTCTTCGACCAAGACCCATTTCCCTTCTTTAACAGCTGTTGTCAAAACCCCTGATCGCCATTTGAATGTACCTGGTTTGTCACCTGAAGAGTATGTACCCAATAATAGTTTTGCATCTGTTTGTTCACCCAAATGAATTTTAATTATTGAATTTTCGTTTCCCATCAATCTTGATAACTGATTAAATAAGAATGTTTTTCCACTACCCGCAGGACCATGGAGCATAGTAGGAAGATTTCTCTGAATATTAGAGGCAAGGTTTCTCAAAACTCCAATCGATTTTTTTGTCGGAACGAATTCAGGCAAGTCTAATGGAACGTGCTTAGTGAGGTTAGGTACCAAGACTCCAAAGACAGAAGTGACTAATGGTGATAAGTCCCCTGGTTGCAAAATTATGGACTTTGATTCTTCCACGGTAGAAGTGCCTTCCACTCTGGATAAATTGTGGAAGTTTTGTAATCTTTTAGCTTCGGATAAGCTTAAAAACTTGTAATCTAAATCATAACCTTCATACAGACCATGTAAATCGGTGGTAGTATGCTGGTCGATCATTTCTTGTAATACCGCCTCTGAAGACTGCAAGCAAATTGAAAGGACCAAGATACTCAAGTATTTAGCAACGTTTGAGGTTTGTGACGATAATATAGTATAAAGTATTCTAGGATTGATGAACTTACCGAATTTGAAAAAATCGTGATTTGCTAATCTATAGAATGACAAAAGAATCGACTCCAATTCTTTATGATCAATGGAATTAATATTCTTTTCAACATCTTCTAAAATATTGACATTCGATAAAAAATATTCAATCAAATTCACAGACTCATTGGAGATTCCTATTAATTTTGATAACGACAGTAAAACGATAGATCCCTCGACTAAATGATTAACCTTAAAAATTTTCAGAAACTCTGATTCAAATCCTTTGTGATTTTCAATCCACCTAGCTATTAAATCAAGGAATATTGGCTTGAATGCATAAAATGTTGGTATAGTTTGGGATAAACCAAATAGTGATAATTGATTCAAATTTTCACCGATTGAAAGCTCTTGTTTGAAATTATAAATCTCTGGTAGAGAATAATCTACCATATGTTCGTAAAATTCATACAATCTCTGAGCCTCTCTCAAATTAATAATGATTTGGTTCATCTTTACACTAATTTGAAAAATTTGAGATGAGATGCGTAAGATCGAAAATGTTATCAAGGGTAGAGATCGCGGGAGTGTCACAAAAAAGCTACCAAAATGATGAAAAGGTTCGGGAAGCAATTGGCTGACTTTGTAGATTCAAAAGATACATTCAAATTGGTATTTCAAACCAGAGCACCACATTCTTCAATTCACATCCTTGATTCTTCCTTCAATCCTCCCCATCATGGACACCTTCAACTAATCAAATCTTCCAAAAACTTATCCCATGTTGTACTATTGCTATCGATTAACAATGCTGACAAGCTTCCAAAACCTGCCGCTTTTGATGAGAGACTAGATATGATTTTTGAGTTCGGAGAATGTCTCAAAACGGACAACGTAGATTATTCAATATGTTTACTGAAATCTCCTAAATTTGTTGATAAGTCCGCTCAATTAGATAAACAATTCCAGAAAAAGAAGTATTTTCTATTGGGATTTGATACCTTAGTTAGAATTTTTGATCAAAAGTATTACATTGAGCCAATAGAGGTTGCTTTAAAAGAGTTTATGGAGGGTAATGAGTTCATTTGCGTTACAAGATCACGAGACTATGAACATCAAATAAATTATTTGAAGGATTTACTGAGCGGAAACTCCCTGTTACCAAGTATATGGGCTGAAAAAATCAACTTGTTTCCAAATGGGGAATCTTCAAACGAAATCAGCTCCAGTCAGATTAGAGATAGAGTGAAAGAAGGCGAATCCATCAAAGGTTTAACCTTCGACACTATAGTGGATTATATTGACAATTTAGATTTATATAAAGATTGAATCAAGTCTTGGACCTTAATCTCAATACTCCGTAAGTCAAAAGTCTCATGAAGAAAGTTATCACTAGAATCATCCCCACCCAAAACCCGACATTTGACGTCGAGTATCCCAAGCTGCTCAAAACAGCTGCTCCTTCGATCCTGCATTGCAGTTGTAAGTCTGAAGAATACATACATTGACATTCTGATCCGCATGTATATATCGTATCAGAAAATTGGTTAAACATCATACCTTGGAAGACGTATCTTTGGTAATCTATCCAATAAAAGGTGTAGTACCAGAATACGTTCAAGATTTTCTCACTCACAAGAAACCCTCCCACAGACATCCATAGACCATTGGCGAAAGCTGTCAATGCTAAAGCCACTACAAAGAACGGGAAAACCGTACTTAATAATACCGTCAAACTTTCTGCTGCTATCAAATCAAGAAAAAGCCACATCACATAATACCAAAACCCTTTCGATGTTTGATGAAAATTTACTAAGAAGAACGTTATGATGCAGAATATTAAGTTGGTTACGAACAAAAAGGGTATTGAAATGAGAAAGTTCGACAAAATGAAAGGCAAAGGTCCGTATAGCCCATTCGAATTTTCACGTTTGAAACTGTTATAATCTTCAAGATAAGCTGGTATATATGCAACAGACATGAAGGACATGAAAGCACCGGAGAAAAAAATTGCATTGATGAATAGTTGAATTTCCGCTTGATTGTAGACAAGTCGTAACCATACAGTCCCCATCATAATCGCAAGGCCCATATACATCAACATTCTAACATGATATGCAAGAATGTCTCTGAATGCTTTAAGGAAGGACCTATGGCAAAGAACAACTATCTGGTATATGTTACTAGCTTTAAAGACATTGTTCCGCTTTATAAATATTGATTGCCCTGACTTATCTTCCTCGTCCTCCTCTAGAATTGAATTCCCTTTTTGATCTAGGTAGAACTCGTGTAGATCATTGATATTGCAAGCACCATTATTAAAATCTGTATTTATCATGTCGAGAACGAACTCTGAGATGTTCTGGTTTGGGTTGAAATGAATATCTTGAAGCTCAAAATAAGGTATTATGCTTTTAACTTTGTCATTATAAACGGTTTTACCTTGTGACAAAAACATTACCTTATCGAAAAGGTCGAAGGTTGTTGACGAAGGTTGATGTATTGACATTATCACTATTATATTCTCATTCTTGGCGATTTTCTTGATTGTAGAAATCACTTCGAAACTGGCCTTGGAATCAAGACCTGAAGTTGGTTCATCTAAGAACAATACGCTAGGTAGAGTGATCAATTCACAAGCAATGCTTACTCTTCTTTTCTGACCCCCACTGATACCTTTTCTGATTGGAGTACCAATTACTACATCCTTGACACTGACCAATCCCAAATCCTCCAAGAGTTGATTGACCTTCTCGTTTCTGGACAGTCGGTTTTGCATTCCACTTAATTTACCAGAAAAATGAATGGTTTCTTCGACTGTCAAAGAGCCTATCAAACAATCTTCCTGCTCGACATATCTACTTATTTGATTCAAATAAATGTCTGTAACCTTGGTACCATCGATCTTGATCGTACCTGTTCCTCCCAATTTATTTTTATTTGACAAATAATTCAATAGCGTCGTTTTCCCACTACCCGATGGTCCCATAATTGCTAATAATTTTCCAGATTCTATTGAACCAAAGTTGTTGTCAACAATACATTTGTCTTTGATATTGATACTGACATTTGACCAAGAAAGTTTTGAATTCATCTCTCAAAGTAATTAAAATATTTCAGAAACCTCGATAATTTATAGGCGCTCGTACAATTCACCAAAATAATATATACCCCTTTAAGTGGCAATGTTCAAGATTTTCCAACAAAATGTAATATATGACTATCGTTCTTTGGTGAAATTATGCACAAAGTTGATTATAAAGTCTTTTGGTGACAACAGTAGAAACATGCGTGACAATTTCTGACATTATCTGTGACAACTTATGACAATTCGAAAATTTTTGCAGCCAAATAAATTCGCGTTGGAACAATCGTTTTTGTTCGTTGGTGATATAATGTGTATGAAGGCAAACTGTAATTACTGTAAGAAGACATCTTGGATCGGTTGCGGAAGTCATGTACCAAGTGTGATGGATAAGGTCCCCAAAGATCAATGGTGCACTTGCAAAGGAGGAGATACCTATCCTCCGAAAGCTGGTACTGGTGAGTTCTAGGGTATGTAGTGCAGTCCAAGATTGATTGAATATATTAACTTTACTTACCTATACTCTATAATCCTCCAGCAAAAGTTGAAACACTTCTCATCAATTGCATGATAATTGGGGTTAATCTATTACCATTGGATATCTGTGTTGCGTTATATCCAAAATTGTTATTGACATCTTCGAGATCGTTTAAACCATCAATGGACCTATAATTATTGCTTGGGTCTATCGACTCACAAGTAATCTTCCCCCCTCTCAACGCCAAACTCAATTTTTCTCGGATGATTTTATTGCAATTGAACTTTTTATTGGTAGATTTGATTTTAACCGAACCTTTAATTAACTTCAATTCAGGAAAATCCAAATATTCTAAATTACCACTGACTTCTAGACCACCGTCTATCACTCGGAGTTTTTTCAAAAAGTCAACTTGTGAGATGTCAGTGTTGTTAATAATCATTAGCCCTCCTCTTACTTCTTTCAAATTTTTCAAATCAATATCCGACAATCTTGTATTATCTGAAATTGAAAGCGTGCCACCAATACTTGTGAGATTTTCTAACAATAATTTCTGGAAATGGTTGTTTATCAAACTAATGGATGAATTAATCTCCTTCAATCCTGATAAATTTAACTCTTCAACATCATTTATACTAACAGTATCAACTGATTTCAAATCTGGGAGAGACAATTTCAAGTTTGATGCATTTGAAACAATTTTAAGTTTGCCGGTTATACTTTCAACATTCGAGTTTATGGTTTCCAAAAATCTATTATTATTGATATCCAAGTTTCTTAAAACTTTCGTTTGGAATCCTGAGAAACCTGTTAATGATGTGTCACTGATTACTATGTTCTCGATATCCTTCACATCCGAAGAAAACCTAATGTTGGATAAAATCGGAATCACTTGCCAGTTCAAAGAATTAACGTTTCTAAGATTCGGAAAACTTACTAAAGACAAAGAAGTCAATTGGCTCAATTTCAATTCATTCAAGCTTGTTAACTTGGGTGCCTCAACTCTCACCAACTCAGCAGACTCCTTGATTATCAAGTTCCCGTTGATTTTCTCCAAATTAGTCAATTCAATCAACGGGTCTTTAAATTTTTGAATCACCAAATCACCATTTACAATTTGGCAGCTTTGAATCAGGGATAACTGGCTGTTATCTTCTATGGGAGTCGGTTTATCACACCCAATCCCTAAGGATTGATCCAAATTGAAGAATAAAAGGAAAATACCAAACCAATATAATACAAACATGTTTGTGGTTGCAAAAAAATATATTGTACCTTATTTTGTGATATTGGCAAAAATTATGAATAAAAAGATAAAAATACAAAAATTTTTTTACAGCGTCTTGGAGATCCGTAAAAATCGTCAAAAAATCAGATTATGTGGAACAGAAACATCACTTTCCTTCTATCTACATATTGGACCAATAATCTTAGAAGGACGGCTCAAAATTCGATATTTTACTCTTCGATTACATAATCATCGATTTTTGGGAAATGATCACATGATTAAAGAAATTTGAGAGAGTGCCTTATTCAGGAGTAGAGAAAAGAAGTAATTAATTCGTACATCAACTATAATTCGTCTTTATCAACACCTGCAATTTCTACCAATTCGGTTTCGAAAATCAAAACCGCATTACCTGGAATTGGGCCGATACCTCTGGACCCATAGCCTAATTCTGGAGGGATAGTCAACTTTCTCTTGTCACCTGGACACATATCAAGCAAACCTTGTTCCCATCCTTGAATAACTCTTCCAGCACCTAATGGAAAGGAAAGAGGGGAGTTTCTGTCATATGAGGAGTCGAACTTAGTTCCATCCTCCAAACTACCAGTATAGTGAACACTTATCATGTCACCGTTTCTTGTGGGTCTGGAACAACTGTTGGATTCAATTTTTTCTTGAAGGTTAGTAATTTTTCATAAGCAACCTTAATGAAATAACAAGTCACGTACCAATTTGAACTTCAGCAGCTGTGGTAGCTGCTAATAAAGAGAATAAGTAAACCAATTTCATTGTTGGAGAATGAGAAAGTGAGAAAATGTTTGACACGTCGAAGGTGTGAGGAGCTGGAAGAGGATCGGAGAGTAAGAATCATAAAACACCTCATCTATTATACACCCTAATTTACAAAATAACGACCATTTTCTAATTCATCAATAGTTGATTCGATAACTTCATCATCATCATCGTCTTCAACTAACTCAATTGTTGAGTACTTTATTAAATCCCATTTATTCCAGAAATTTGTAATATCCTCAAAGTTTTCACTGTCAACTAAATCTTGCAAGAAATATTTGGACTTTGTTAATCTGTCCTTCAAGATTTTGAATTGATTGCCTTCGTTGGAATTAGAATTAATGGAATTGATACGGTTTCTGTGTCTCTTTAACGATTTAGCAAAGTTATCCGAATAATCAGTGTTGTCAGTTGAATTGATTGAATAATTATCAATTAAACTTTTATCATCATCACTGCCTTTTTTAGAATAATGATCATCATCATCATCATAAACTTCATTATCTTTGAATGAAACTTTTTTCAAGTAACAATTTCTATTATTTAAAATGATATTATTAGAATTATTCTTGACATTATCATTTTCATCACTATAGAATACTTCATCTTCAACAATTGATGTAGCGTCGCAGTATCTTGCCCATGCTTCATCAATGGCACCTATTAAGTATTCAAAACATCTTGATCTTGCTAATTTATCAGATTTTGGAACTTGGATAATCTTAAAGTCATCCTTGATTGAGCTCCTTCTGTTACAATTATTATTGACAGATTCGAAATCTTTTTCATCAGTATTATCAAGATGTTTGTAAGTAAATTCACTATTGAATTTAGAATCACTATAAATCTCATCTTCATCATCACTATATTTGGAAATAAGTTTAGACAATTCCAAATTAGGATTTGAACTGAAAGAAATTCTTGATGAAGCTCTTCTTTTAGCTTTGATTTGATTCAATTTGTAACATAATTGTTCATCTTCGGAGTTTTCATCATCAAATTCATCACTTGAATCAAAAAGTTTATTACAGCTTTTACCAGATTGATTGATGGAATCAGCAGATGTTGGGAATCTGTAGTTAGATAAACAAACTCTTTTAGTGTTTGGATTACTATTCGAATTACATTGTCTTTTAACAGACTTATTAAAAATAACTGAACATAAAGCCATGCTAGGATTATGTAATTATTATGTAAACCAAATATGTAAAGTCGCACAAAAGTCGCGTGTCTTCAAAAATGTACCAATACAAACGTTTAGTACCGGTATAACTCTCGAGTAAAGTGTGTAAAAACCAGTTCCTTACACTAAACCTTTCAATTATAGGTATATACCAATAATATAACTAGTTATTTGGATGGATTAACGACGAAAGAATCAGACCAATAAAGGAGTCCTTTCTATGTAGCACTTAAATTAATGGATTTAAACTAAGGGTGAAAAAAAGTATATACAAAATTACCACTTAGTAGGATAAGTTCCTTTTCCTTTTAAAAATTTCCTTGAAAAATTTCTAAATTCGTGACGGGAGAATTTTTGGTTTTGTGGAATTTTAAATTGTTTTTATAATTGTCTTTCGCAATGTCGCCTATCATTTAGTAGTAGTCGTGGAGACTTCAAATATTCTACCATGTTCTATGCGACATTTGGCCGTTTAATTTTTACTAACTGTTAAAAACAACTTAAAACCTATGGTACCAAATACTTATTGCAAGCTGTTCATAAATGACCAGTTCTAGAGTAGTAGCTCGAATGTTCACTTCAGAGATTTTTTGAGTAAGTTGAAAAATTACACGAATTATTTTTAGACGAAAAAATGCTGCAAATCTGAGAATTTCGACAAAACCCCTTATTGTTTCAGGATTGATATCTCCTAACAAAATACAATCCTGTTTGTTCACACTAACAAATCTATTGTCAGAAATGAAGGTCCGTGTATTTTTCAACTGAACCCCTATTTCAAAATGAATAGAAATTTCTCAAATTCTGGGTAAAGGCTCTCTATTTGCTTTTTATAGTTTATGTGTTTGCTTCTGTTTTTTGAGATTTATTTTTCCCAAAAGGGTTAGATAATTGATTTTTTCAGCTTTGGAGAACAATAAATGGAATTATAATTATGGAAAAGAAATACGCTACGCTAAATGTCTTATTGTTCTTATCTAGAGTATAGAGAAAAAGTGTTCATTACAAACCTAACCATAATTTACTTCTCTTGATGGTGAATATGTCAACTAATTGAATATTTTCACTGGATTTTCCAATTAGAACTTTATAATCTCCCTCTTCCATGTGCCATTTATCGAAACATTCATCGAAAAATGAAGTTGAATCCTTTAATGATAGAGTGAATTCGATATTCTTAGATTTTCCCACAAGCAAATGGATTTTTTGATAACCTTTTAATTCTTTCACTGGACGAATAGTTGACGAATCATGGGAAATATATAATTGAATTACTTCAGACCCATCTAAATTCCCAACATTCTTTATATCAACATTCACTTTCAATAAGTCCTTATTTTCATCGATCGAAATTTCAAGATTGTTATGTTCGAAAGAAGTATATGATAATCCATGCCCAAAAGGGAAAGCCACCTCTTTTTCCATCTTTTCGTAATATCTATATCCCATGAAGATGTCTTCTCCATACAAGACTCTACCTCTTTCCGTTTTGAAATTAAGATAGGTAGGGTTATCTTTCAACTTTTTGGGGAACGTTAAAGGTAGTCTTCCACTTGGATTATAATCTCCAAATAATACATCAGCAATAGCATTACCTGCTTCATTACCGCCATACCATGCTTGGACTAAACACTTAGAATCTTCCAACCATGGAAATTCAACAGGAGTGCCTGATTGATTAACAATGACTGTATTAGAATTAGCTTTCAAGACAGAACTGACCAATTTGTTAGTTAATAAGGGTAACTCCATATTAGGACGATCACTTCCCTCAGTTTCCCATTCATGAGTCAAGCCGATGGACAAGACAACTTTATCATTGTTTTTTGCAATTTTAACAGCCTTTTCGATTTCTTCGTCAGGATCTATTTTCTTTATGGCCCCGAAATTGATTCCCCCTCCACCACCGAAATCTACCACTGTAGCATCAGGAGCTGAAAATGTTGGACGTGAGCCGAATTCTAATCTAATTTTGTATTTAGCGTCTTTTTCTAAATATATGGTATTTGAAACTTCAACACTCCCTGAATTAAAAAACGAAGTACCTTTCTTCTGATGTGTTTTATTGTCTACCAATAATTTGTTATCAACATACAACAAAGCAGTTCCTAATACCGTACACCCAAATATATATTCTCCTGTTTCGTCTGGAACGAATATCCCTTCAATATCGATAAAATATAAATCATTTTTGATTTTTGGGTGACGATAATCTTGTAAAAAAATATAAAACTGATCCAAATTCAATTCATCAAACTGTTCTCTAGTTTCCACAGGTCCATATTCGGCAGGATGTAAAAAAAATTTCATGTTATATCCTTTTTTACCGGTAACTGGATTGATCAATTGGGTAGCTAAAGATGGTAATGTTTTGAAGCCATAACAGCCAACTGAGTAGTCAGGTACATATGAAAGTTTTGAAACAATTGATTCATAGGGAGAAGTAACGTAATAGGGCCTCAAAAATGCTGATCCACCACCACTAAAGGTGCAAATTTTTGCATTTGGCCCAATTATGGCAATTTTCTCTTCCCTTTTCAATGGTAAAATGTTATCTTCATTCTTCAATAAGACAATTGATTCGGAAGCAATTCTTCGGAGAGTTTCTGAGGTTTTCTCGGTATTATTGAGTTCATCTTCTAATTTGTCTTCAGGGATTCCTGCAGACTTACTGTACTCTATCAAGTTGATAATGTTTCTAGCCCGATCATCCAAGTCCTGAACATTGAGTTCTCTCGAGTCAACCATATGTTTGATTGATTTCACCTGTCTGTAATAAGTCGGACCCGGCATCTCTAAGTCTAAACCGTTTTCAAGAGCCGTTTTAGCTGTATATAGTCCATGCCAATCACTCATAACAACCCCATCCCAGCCCCACTCGTCTCGTAAGATATCTTTCAAAAGTTTTTTACTCTGTGATGCCCTGTCACCATTCACTTTAGTATAGGATGTCATAAAACATTTGGGGTTGGAGTATTTCACTGCTAACCTGAATGGTTCCAAATAAATTTCCCTCAAATTTCTTTCTGTTAATATAGAATCTGAAGCTTTACGTTCGTGTTCCAAATCATTGCAAACGAAATGCTTGATAGTAGCAGCAATATTTTCTTGTTGCATTCCTCGAATAATCGAACTCGAAGATAAACCGGATAAGTAGGGGTCTTCGGAAAAACTTTCGAATCCTCTGCCACCCAAAGGACCTCTTTGCATATTACATGTTGGTCCCAAGATCACATGAGCACCTTTATGTTTCGATTCAATAGCCATCAATTGACCCGCTTCTATTAACAACGTCTTATTAAATGTTGAACCCATTGCCGTACCACAAGGAAAACAGGCCGCTGAACTTCCATTGAAAGCCTTAGTACCTCTAACACCATTTGGACCATCCGTGAACCTAACTTTAGGTAAATCAAATCTATCGATGGGGTAAGTATGCCAGTTATCGTATCCACACAAAAGAGAGATTTTCTCTTCAGTGGTCAATTGCCTCAAGATCTCTTCGGAATCCATATCGAAGTTTTTGAGATGTAACCCCAATTATATCATTTAATCACAGTATATCGTGGGGGAAGGATCAATATACCCAAAACGTTTAACCACAAAAGCGAATCGTGGAGGAATAGTGGGGGATCAATCTCCGTTTTTCCAAATTGGGTTCCAAAGTTTACGAGTAATTTTGAGAGCTGAATCACGTGACAAAAACGTGATCACGGGGAGTGTAGCCCATAATAATCGAATTTAATTCCTATTGGATGTCAGAAATTGGATGTTAGAAATTGGAGTGATTACTTGAGTAGACGTTTTTTGGGACAAAGTTTCAAGTTGAGTAGTTGGGTCGCAGCCAAATTTTTAACTTGTTTGGGTAAAATAAATTCGCACCTATTACGCCAAACTATTCTTTTGCAACTTTTCGAGATCAGCTTTAACACAATCATTATGCATAGTATTTCTCAATCTCAAGGGGTCGAGACTAATGCCGTTTCATCTATCAATGTTGCAGGTGTCCCAACCACTTTCCAAAGTCGCTCCTCAAGTTACTTCCTCTCACTATAACTCAACTACACCTGAAGCGACATTAGCTGAAGGTTCTGCGTCCAAGTATTCAATTCCGGTATTTGTTTCATTGGGTTCATTTGTGGCAATATTGATGTGAGTCAAATAATGGATTAAGGATTATGGGATAAGCGCTTGCTTTATAGTTCAATAAATGAGGGATATTGAGAGAAACTAAATTACAATGTAGAAATTTACCATTCAGATGGTGTTCGTTTCACGTTTGTTGAATATCTAGAGTGAAAATGAGAAGCATTTCATTTACAATTCAATACTGGCTGAGAGAACCTGTAATACAGACACCTGATCTAAATACCACCTACTCCAGCAATGTAAGCCAAAGACCAAGTCCGGGACATTCCATTATCAATTTGAGCATCGTTCCAATCTTCTCTTGAAAACCATTTCCACGATTTTTTGGGGTCAAACAAGGCCAAATTCAACATCAATATCCCTTTCCAGCCATCCGGGATTTGGTCAACTATTGGTTCCAAGATTTGGTTCCATTCTTCCTTAACGAACTTCTCAAGTCTAATATAAGAGGAAATAGGAGTTATTGGTAACATATGAATACCATGAATCCACTCGTTACCAATAGTACCTCTCCCAAAATACGTTGCAAAATCGAGTTTATTTTCGAATGAAATTCCTGCAACCTTGTTACGGATGAAGTTTTTTGGTTGCACAGTGTTATCATCACTGAATAACATATACATATTCATGGACCTCTTCATTATGGCAAGCATCAAATTAGATCTAGCCTCCATATCTTTATCCCCAATAATATGAGCATAAAGTTTCATACCGTATGCGAAATGGTAGTCTTCAGAAGATGATTCTTCGTCCTTCCCATCCCCTGAAGCAAAGATTCCATGAGCAAACGAATGGCCATGGAACCAATCAAAGGACCTAGATTGCGGAAAAAATCTATCTTTGGTTGATGGATTAGCAACATCTCTTATCAAAGTAGTAACATAGTCACGAACATTCGAATGTTTGAACCACTCCCCATTGTTGTAGGATTTGTCCACTTGTGCGACCAAAGCCACTGCATGTATGTGATAGCCATAATGGAAGTGATGATCATTATAGTTGGCATTCCCAAAATCAGCTCCTGGCTCAGCCGAGGAAATCAAACCTTTCCACGAAGTGTCATAAATCAAAGGGAACTTTTGCTTGTTGGAAGAGAAGATTTCAATAGCCTTGGTAATCTGTGGAAAGATTTTAGCTGTTAGTTCGTCATCTTTTAATATGAAATGGCACACATAAGCAATGTAGGCGAATTTATCTAAAACCTTACCAGAAGTGTACATGGAATCTATATTTGACATTCCATAAACATCTTGTTGAACTTCGGCTTCGGCGACCTTTTGGATCAAATCTAGGGCTTCATTATTGTATTTAGGAGATCCTTTGTAAGTTGATACTGTTGACCAGGGTTCCCACATGATTTCAGTTGGTAAATCAAACTCTTCCATTACGAGTTTGTTAGTTGCATAGGCTCTCATAATACCTTTAGTGGTGGAATCTAGCTGAAGACCGGTATCTGACTTCTTAACCTCATCCACCAATACCTCTTGATGATGAGGTAAGCACCACACAATTGTTGAACCACTTTTTGAATTACCTTGTATATCATAATTAAACGAATATTGGCATCTCTTCCCATCCTGTGAAGTGATCCTTCCCGATAATTTACAGGAAACAGGGAAACAGCCAGATGAGTCATCATAGTGTTTAGAATCACCACGGCAGAATTGAACGATAACGTTGTTACAAACAGTATTAGCAACAATCTTATTATCCTTAAATGAAAAGTCAGCATTGCCAGTCACAAACATGGACCACAAAACCTGATTGAACAATTGGACTTTATACTTGATGGTGCCTCCTGTTCCAACTTGTCCTACTCTCTCGAAATGTTGCACTCCAACTTGAGAGGAGATTTCAGCTTTGATATTATTATACACTGCTGTAATAAAACCCATACCATGCGTCAAGGGAATAGTAACGTTGGAATTTGGATCATCATTAAAAATCATTCTGGAGGTAACAGAAAGCTTTTCATGATTATCCAAAGTTAACCTAACATTATTCTCATTGAAATTTTCCCCACCAAGGACAAATGATTTGATCCTAGGTGGATTGAAATAAAATTGGGCGGGATTTGCATCCGCTTCTGGGCCAAATACCCTTTGTGAAGCTTCAGTATGATTAAAAGCAAATCCGACTTCTTGTCCTGGGTCCTTGCTTAGCCAAAGCGAATATGGTTGAGTCCATACTGGGAATGTTTGATCTTCCAAGGTAAGGTTGTTATAGAAATTATTGGTATGAATTGCCTCTTCGTTCCCCCCAAATTTACACCCAACAGGAGGCTGGTGATGTGCTGATCTCTTGAAAATTGATGGAGGTTCATCAGTGGAAATGGGAGTTTCGAATATTCCACCATCAATATTGAAATTTGTTTGTACCGACTTTTTTTGAGCAGGTATCTCGGCTCTTGGTCTATCGTAACTCTTTGGTTGCGATTGAGTTTTTGAATCTCTATTATCCTTCAAAGACTGATCGATTTTCTTAATTGCCTTCTTCAAATCCAAAAAGCCCATTTTGCTATCAAATTTCAGATTGAGAATTCCTGGAAAATCGAAGCATTCGCTTTTGTATAGTATAGAAAAATGAGTTCTCGAACAAAAAGCTCACTAGAGATAGACTAATGATCCATACTAACAATAGTCGATTGATATCGTTTTGAGTTTCTGTTTTAGGCTGCTCATTCTCAGAGCAGTTTTACGGCCTAGTGTTAAATATTTTGCAGTCAGTTTGGAGAACGGAATTAATTTTGCGCATTAAGCAAATTCCGCTTTGGTTTAAATAGCGATAACAGCCAGAAGATATCCGTTTACCTCAAATAAAGACAAAAAGGATAACATGAGACTTAATGCTTTATTATCCATAGCGCTCACATCAGAATTGGCTCAAGGTAGATTTCATTCAGATCCAAACAATGAAAATGAAATTCAATATGATAAAATGGATTCTCCTAGTTTAAAAGAGATTTGGGATGGAGATTGGCCCTTCCAAGGTGTTAATACTTTTGCACACCTTGATTATGAAAAATGCTTGCTCAACAGAGATTTGGATTTTGATATTGGAATCATTGGAGTTCCATTCGACACTGCTACTTCATACAGACCAGGTGCTAGATTTGGCCCAAGAGCCATAAGATCTGCCTCACAAAGACAAACCACTTTAAGAGGTTTTAATCAAAAAGCTATGATGAATCCTTATAAGAATTGGGCAAAAGTCATGGATTGTGGTGATATCCCAGTTACTCCTGTAGATAACAACTTAGCTTTCAAGCAAATGAATTTAGCATTCGAAGAGTTAATCTTACGTCGTAATTCTACCATTTCGTCTAGAACACCACCAAGATTGATTGCATTAGGAGGTGATCATTCCGTTTTGTTACCTCATTTAAGATCCTTGTATAAGGTTTATGGTCCGATTAATATCATTCATTTCGATGCTCATTTAGATACTTGGGCTCCAGACAAATATCCTTCCTTTTGGCATTCTGATCAATCTGAATTGAATCACGGTTCAATGTTATGGAAGGCTCACCAAGAAGGATTGACTTCAACTCATAATATTCATGCTGGATTAAGAACAAAGTTGTCAGGAATCGAAGATTACATCGATGACGATAAACAAAACTTCGAAAGAATTTACGCTGATGATATTTGGGTAGATGGAGTCAAAGCCGTAGTGAAGAAGATCTTAGATACTATTCCAGCTGATTCGCCAACCTATTTATCTGTCGATATAGATGTTTTGGATCCAGGTTTCGGTAGTGGTACTGGTACCCAAGAACCAGGTGGTTGGTTACCAAGAGAACTCATCTATGTATTGAGAGCCATAGATAATTTAAATATTGTCGGTGCTGACGTTGTCGAAGTTGCACCTGCTTTCGATAATGCTGAAATCACTGCTACCAATGGAGCTCAAGTTGTTTTCGAAATTATTACTAGTATGGTGAAGAAGGGAAATACATCGAAATTAGTGAAAGATGAAATTTCTGATGCTTCAATGGAGGTGAAAAGTCTTGGTGGGAAATTAGGGAAAGTTGGACAAAATATACTTCAAGTATTCAAGCAAAATTAGAGCTAATATATATATATTAGGATGCAGAGGTTATAACTATATAAAAAATAATAGCCGTACTTTAAAAGTACACTATTAAGGATATGTATGACATAATAAAATAATAATATAAGTATAAGAATCAAATCACCTATAATGATTTAAAAATCTAACATATCTAAGGCTAATTGAATTAAAATTAATTTGAATAAACCAAATATGTAAGTCATAAAATAATAAAGATTGGAGGAAAGGTATTTTTGGTACTATGTACCATTGAGTATAATTAAAAGTTGAAATTTTGTTGTTGAGTTTCGTTCATACCGAAACCAAAAGCTTCACCATAATTTTGAGGAGCCAACATACTATCATCGACTTGTTCATCGTCATCGGAGAAATATTTCTCGATGATGCTGAAAGCTTTTTCGTAAATTTTTTCATTTTCGTTACTTTGACATTCGAAAATCTTTTCCATACCACCAGCTTCTTCGATGTATAAAGCGTATTCGTTAATTTGAGCTCCTTTTGCTTCTTTATCCATTTCTCCCATCTTTAAGATATTCTCTAAAGAATCCAAGGTAACTTCAATAATTTTTGGATCAGCCACAGCCAATAAATCACATAAAGGCTTGATACAGCCTTGGCTTACTAAGTATCTGATTTGTTCTGGTTTAGTCAAAGCACCTGAAGAAGCATTCGAAATAGCCCAACAAGCTTCCTTTTTAGTTTTATAATCACCACTAGTTAATAATCTTAAAACTTGTGGTATTAAGTTGGCATCAATAACTGCTTGAATTTGTTCAGTATTACCAGCAGTGATGTTTGAAATAGTCCAACAGGCTTCCTTTCTTATAGTTTCTTTAGGAGAATTCAATAAAGGACTTAATGCTTGTAAAGCACCAGCATTAATAACAACTTGAGTTTGTAAATCGTTACCAGTAACTATGTTACCAATAGATCTTAAAGCAGGAGTTTGGACTAAAGTAGAATCGTGGCCCAATAATTCAACTAATCTTAAAGGAATTCTAGCATCAACTACTGCTTGGATAGCCTCGGTAGTACCATCACTTAAGTAAGATACTGCCCAACAAGCATCAATTAAAGTTTCGGTATCAGTTGAATAGATTAATTTGGATAAAGTTGGGATTGCAAATGAAACAATTGACCAATCCGGTTGAGGATTTCTACCTCTACACAAATTTGATAAAGTCCAAGTAGCAGTTCTAACAAGTGACATTTTTGTGGAATTGAATAAACTTAAAACAGGTTCCATAGCACCGCATCCTAAGACATAATCTCTATAATGAGTAGAATCACCCGCAACGTTACCCAAAGCCCAGATGGCTTGCTCTTTAACTTCTACACTTTGAGAACTTAATAATTCAACAAATAATGGAACAGCTCCAGATTCAACAACAACTTTAGTTTGTTCAGAACTACCTGAAGCAATGTTTGTTAAAGCCCATGCAGCTTCTAATTGCAACATATCAGTATGATTTCTATTCATGAATTCCACTAAAGTTGGAATAACACCACATTGAATAACAGCATTAATTGGTGGATTGTGTTCTCTTGATAAAATTTGACGGAATTTTACAGTGGCATTAATTTGATCATCAACATCAGGGGACTTGATTAATTCAACCATCTTAGGTAAATCTTGTAATAAACTGCTGTAAAATTGAGAATCATCATTACCTTGTAAGCCGTAATCTTCTTCATCTTCGGAATCATTTGCTGGAGTTTCGGTATTAAAATTTCTTCTTTTTGATAAAACTTCTTCTCTCTTTTGTTTTCTTAAATCAACTTGATGAGTTTCTCTTCTTCTTCTTAATTCATCACTTTGGAATCTTCCTTTATTCTTGAAAGTTGTACGACGGTATTCTGGAACGAATCTACTAGTTGCGTCAGAATCCATATTTTATTTTATTGATTTAGCAATTGAATTAGGAGATATTTAATTAAAAATTGAGATTTAAAAAAATTAAATTGAACGTGACTTTTATGATATAAGCTTTAAAAAATGAATCAATTTGATAAATTCCAATCAAAGTTTTAATTTTTGAAATTCTTTTTAAATCCCTGTATTATAAAATTGATAAGGGTTAAAATCAAATAAAAAATTTTCGATAACTTTCAAATGATGAGGATTGAGAACGGTAACAACACGTCCTTCTTGATTTCTGCGAAGTTCTAAGATTTAGAAAAAATATCTAAGAATGAATTCCCACTCTATTAGAAGATTAGGAATACTAAGTGCTAGAAATCTTCATTGTGGATCCATATTGAAGAAATCTCACAAGGGTACATTTAAGTCAGGGGATACCAAAATTGATACTGATGAAATTACCACTGAAAATAATCCTTGGTCTCCTACAATCTTGGATGATATAGTTAAGGTAAGAAAGCCAAGATCTTTAGTATCAGAAAAATTACCGTCAAATTATAGACTTGCATATCAACCGATGTATGAGGCCCCTAGTACAAAATATGTATCATTATTAAAAAGAATCACTATGGGTTTTAGTGTATTGGGTATTTATGGAGCTAAATTATTACATGATTCAAATGTTGAAGATATTTACTTATTAACCACTATACTTACGTTTTCATTACCATATTTGGGAGTTCACTATAAAACTAAAGATTACATTACCAGAATTTTCAGATTATATGATAAAACCAAACCGCAAACTTTAGAGAATTTGGTTAATGATGAAAATTTAATAATGGAAAAGTTGTCCTTCACTGGAACTAAAACTTACAACAATTTGTTAAAGATTTCAGACAATGAATCATTAACAATAATCCCAGAATCCAAAGGATTGATGAATCTATTATCACCATATGAAAATTGGATTTCCACCGATAAGGAAACTGGTGAGAAGCAAAAATTTTACGTGGTAGACGATATTGGTGGAATGAAGATGGATAGAATATGGGGTATTATAGAGAAGAACTCCAACATAGATAATGGTCGTTATATAGAAAGTAAACAATAGTTAAAATAGGTAAAACTGTATATAGAAATCCTGCAAAATACAAAAATTCGCATCGAAACAATTTAAGGCTTGTAATGGGGTTATTCTCTGCTCCCAAAGGTAATGCCCTTTATTATTCCAATTCAGAAATGAGATCACACCCTGAACTCCATAGGAGGAATCTGAATGAAAAAGAAAGGCTGAGAAGTAAGTCTCCAGTCAAAGAAGAGAAAAAATCAGAAGAAGGGGCTGAAACAGACAAATCTAATGAGATACCCAACGAAGAGATCACCGAAGACGGAGAAATTACACAAGAAGCTGAACAAGAGAAGAAATTCAAGAAGTTAAGGAATAGAGATCAATTTGATCCTGAAACCAGTAAGAACACCAAACTCAATTCATTGATTTATCATACTAGTGATGACACAGTGGACTTATATACAAGGGAAAATGATTCTAGTGATCTAATTGGTAGAATATATTATGATGACTTTGATTCTGATTCAGTGACTTCACCATTAGTTTCAGTTACTAACACCCCATTATTATCACCAAAATTTTCTGCTTTAAGTGGAAGTAGTCATGTTGATTACTTCAGTTTAAGTAGTAGTAGATTGCCGTCATCAACAAATTTACACACCATAGGCTCAGCTACTAATCTTAAAGCTTCAATGTCACAAACTTCAATCGATGATAAATTCAAAAATGGGATTTCATTCGATATAACAGGAGCAAGTGATAAAAAATCGTTGACGTTGAAAGTCAAACATCCAAAATTCAAATTCAGAAGGAATAACAAGACATTTTTATGTGGTTATAACGATGACTTAGAAAGTTTGAAAGCGATAAAATGGTTGTTTGATGAAATGATTATACACGGTGATACTATTGTAATTTTACAAGTTTTAGATGAGAAGTTACATAACAAGATCGATAAGAAAGTGGTTAATAAGAATTTATTCAAGATTGAAGAATTGAATATTCATAACAAGAAGATATCCATTGTTTTTGAGGTTGATATTGGTAAACCTCAAAAGTTATTACAAAGAGCCATAGATGAATACAAGCCTCAGATGATGTGCATTGGTAGTCATCATGAAGATGAACAACAACATCATAAATCCATTTTTTCTAAAACGACATTGGGAAGTTACTTCCTCCAATATGCTTTGGTCCCAGTTGTTATAGTAAAACCCAAATATAATCACATCACTATTTTGAATAATGAAATCGATTCGATTGATTATTTCAAGAATTGGTTAAATAATATTGATATAAGTGAAACCTATTCCAAAAAGAAGAAAAGACCATCCTTTAATAGAACAAACTCAGTTGAAGATAGAGGTAGAACTTTGGATAAGGAAGGTAGATTTAAATTTCTGATTTCGGCTTCAAGATCTAGATCGACTTCAGAATCAAGACATTCCGATGGATCAAATGACAAATTGATAGAACCTATCCATGAAAGATCCACTTCGAAGGGAAGAACCAGATTATCCAGACTTTTCCATATAGATGATTAAATGATATTTTTATTTCTTAATCTCTGATAAAACGCGGTAAGCGGAAAGCAAATCGAAGACAGCAACCGGTGGAAGAAAAACTATAATACATTTTCAGAGGTAAAAGTAAAAAATTGTTAACTCAATTGATTCACATAAATGGTTAAACGATTAGTTATCAAAGCATCTAATAGTTACGATGGAGATTTTCAAATAGTTCCAATAAACACCTTAATACCTATCAAAATTGATAGTGATATTGGTACTTTCGAGTTAATTATTAATATAAAAAATTTTGATGGTTCGGAATTTCATAAAGATAATAGTTTATACAATGTAGGAGACGATAAATATTTGAACGGCGAAAAGTTTAATAAACAAAGTGATGAAACAGAACAATCCAATTTATCATTTGAAGTAAATTTTAAACCAAACATGTCACTCAATGGTAAAGAATTTGCCTTTGGTAATGATTTTTCAACTCCGATAAAAGATTATGTTCCCACTACATTATTATCAGCTGGTTTGAAATTTTTTAATTGGTTCATAAACAGTACCGTAAGAGGTGATATTTATAGTGAAAAACCTTATTTATACGGTCCAATATTGAATAGTTGTACTTATATGTCGATTGATGATCCAATACCCTTCAAGTATAGTAATTCAGACACAAGTAGTAATAAATTACCAGAAAATTTGAATGACAATATTGATAATACTTTGAAAATTCCATCTTTATCATTAGAAAGAAAGAGATTCTTCAATAAATTATCCAATTGTGAAAACTTCATATTCTTGGATTCAAATACTTATAAATTAAAATTTGATACTAACTTTATCAAAATGGCAGATTCCAAATATTCGGTCAGTTTACCAACTTATAATAACAACACATTTGATATCAATGTTTCTAATTATGCCAATGATAAATTAGATAATTTTAATTGGATTATAAAAAATGGTGGATATGAAGGTGTTGGAACAGGACAAATAGGCTTAGTAGTTAACTTTGCTCTACTTGATGAAGATTAATTTTAGAATAATTTATAGCTTCTTTATATATATGCTCATATCTAAGTTTTTTTAGCAGCCAAAAGTCGTGCGACAATCAATTAAAAATCTTTCAGGTCAAAAAAAGTGCGAACCAATCAGACAAAATCCAATAACGATGTCAACTTCAATTATAAGAACTATAAAGAATATATATTCTTCAGGTCTTAAGAGAGCTGCATGGCAAATAGCTTTCCTCAATGATACCAAGAGAGGTAAATTAGTAGGAACCGATGATTGGGGCAACAAATATTACGAAACTGATGTGCCAGAAGAAATTCATTTAAGAACTAGATGGGTTGAATATAATGCCAACTTTTTAGGAATTGATATTTCAAATGTTGAACCAGGATGGCATTATTGGTTAGGTTATGGTACCAACACCCCTCCTCATAAATTACCAGAAGATCAAAAATCAGTAAGAGCTTATCCATTACCTGAAAAACATAAAGCAAATTTGACCGCAACCAGAGGTGCATATGTTCCATATAATACTGCTAAACCAAAATTTGAATCTTGGGAACCTGTGGTGAGTGAACGTTTGTAAAGTTTTGGTTTGTAGAGGTTAACTTCCCTGGAGATGGATCTAGATTAGCATTTTAAAAGATAATTTCTTTAGGCATTAAATAAATATTTTGATAATATTTTAATAACTCTTTGGTGACTCTATTACACTTGCAGATGGAGTTGTTTTTATTAATCCGATTGTTTCTTTCATCGTAGTTTGTGAGCTGGAAACTTGACACTAGTTTTGCTACAGCACCTGGTCTTAATACAATAAAGCCCTTATTACCGGATAATCCCCAAGAACCTAATATACGTAGTTTATTTTTTTACGCAAATTTTCTTATGTAATTACCAGGAAACAAAACCAATTGGCGAACAAATAAAGTTATATTGTTTAATATTGCCTTGTTTCTATCTTGAATTAGGAGGCTTAGATTTGTTGGCTGAACCGATTGTTAAAATCGTAAATATCCTTACTATTGTTAACTTACTATGAAATCTTATTATCATTCAAACCTCAAAATTCTTGGAAATATTTCACGTGTACTATTAACCTCCGCCGCAGAAAATAAATCCCTTTAAAATAAAAAGAAATAGACAAAGGGGGATTCTAAGTGAGACTCAAGAAATAACGATGATGAAAGGGATATTTTAACACCCTTAACCTTAAATTCATGTAATAAGAAAAAATAACCATCTTATTTTTCAATCAAATGGTTAGATACTTAAGATTTCAAAGATGAATCAATTTTAAAAGGGTTTATTGGATTTGGTTATTCTTCTTTGAAATTTTACTACTCAACAATTATAACAATAGAATTAGTAGAACTTTTAGATTCTAACAATAGAATTTTATATTAAAATAAATTTTACGTGAATTTAAACGACACCCTAAAAATTTAAAAATAAATTCTATTGGCTAAAAAATAACCTTAAAATTGAAGTTTCATGTACTCTTACGGTAATTCTTCAAGATCCCTAATGCGAAATTCTTAAATAAATAAATGGTTAACAATAAACGATCATCAGTCTCTCTAAACCGAAATGGGTCGTGCTATTGACTCTATTGTTGCGAAAAAATAGTTTACGAAATGGAATAAGACCCTTATAATTTAGGGTTGAATCATGTTAAACCCGAAATGATCATGAAATGTTAATATATTCATTAACATGAAACTTGGTGTTGATAACCAAGAAGGAGTTTAACGATTATATCCTTTTGAAATTTGCAGATGATGGAATTTCTCATACGGAAATATTTGGAACGCACCTAAGGCAAAAACGGAGATTTCCTTGTACACCCTTGATCCGCATTAGCAGGAGGGAGAAAAAAAATATCGGGGTTTATGGATGTTATGGACATTATTCGACAGAATAAGCAACTTCCCTGCAATGTTAACCTTGAAGGCTGGATAATTGATGCTATGAAGCATAAACACGAATTTAAGAGTGATAATAACCTGGTGTATACTATAATAATTTAATAATTGATCTTCATTGACTCCTCTGAATCTCGGTTAGGTTGAATTTAAACTTTTCTAGATACTAAATCCTCTAATGTTTACTTCCTAGTGGAGAAGTTAAAATCTTAAAATATTATTACGACTAATCAAAATTTGAGACGAACAATCTTGGGGAGGGCCATTTACTGGATTCGTAAAATCTCGAAAATGGTTTGGTGATTATGCGCCAGTGAAATTAGAATGATGGTTATTTTGTTGCCAGCCAGCGGACATAACCTAAAAAATAAAATACGAAAGAGGCAAACAATGGTTTAGGGAATGATATTTTTTTAAAATAATCCTAATTTCCTTATTCAACATAGTTCTAGTTTCTGGCTAATCTTTGCTTTCCTCTAGGTATTGTACTAATATGGTAACTGCAATACCATACTTGTAATTTCATTTGAGTTATGGTTTGTTTCTTTGATAATCCCCGTATTATTTCCTTGTTTTTCTCATTACCCACTCATGGCTATTTTTATTTACAATCACAAGTAATTTGAACTTTCTCTTCATTATTTAAATAACTGAAAGCCTTGTAATTTTGCTTTCATCAATTGAATAATTCTTCAAACTATGAAACCTTCAATTTTCAATTTCGCAGCCATGGTTGGTTTAGCAGCCAATGTGGTTGCAAGAGATATCACTGAAGATACTATTCAACGTGGTACCATTAGTTTGGCTATTGAAAACTATCACATCTATCCTGATGCTTACTGGTCCATTATTGATAACACCTTAACAACTATAGCAGGTAACGTCAATAATGAAGGTCAATTTTTCATTTCTGCCGATGATAATTTCTTGTTTGGTTTGGATGTTAATATTATTCAGCTTTTGGGTAGCTTCCAAAACAGTGGTGATGTTGCTTTCAACTCGAGTAGAACAGTCTTCGCTCCTGATTATGATATCAATGTGGGTACTTTCACTAACACTGGTAATATGTGGTTTGGTGCTGATGGTTCCGTTGGTACGCCAACAATGAGTGTAACTGCTGGAAATTGGGAAAATGATGGTTTAATGGTGTTTTCTTTAGCATCAAGAAGTCAAGGGGTTGTCCAATTGGGTGCCGTTATTGGTTCTGGTTTTGGTGATATTACTAATGATGGTACTATCTGTTTAATCAACCAAGCTTATCAACAATCAACAGCCATTCAAGGTAGTGGTTGTATCGATGTTGGTACCGATTCTAATGTTTATTTGTCAGGAGCTATTGGTAGTCTTACCAATGGTGTTAGTCAAGACCAAACTTTCTATTTAAGTTCATCAAGTTCATCCATCAGAGCAGATTCTCTCTCAACCAGTCAAACATTCCATGTTGCAGGTTTTGGTGGAGGAAATGTTATTGGGCTCAGTAGTACTATTTTGAGAGTTCAATATACCGGTGATACTTTAAGACTTTACACTTCCCTTCTTCCTGCAATTTATCAAAGTTTTGTTATCGGTACTGGTTACGATGCTGATGGTTTCACTACTATTTCCACCACTTATGGTTATATCGGTAGTTCTTTCCCACTCTTGAATGCAGTTAGGTACTCAGGTGCTATTCCTGCTTCAGCTGCCAAACCAGCCAAATGTTTGACTTGTCAAGCTTTCCCATTGGTGCCAGGTATTGATATTGATAATAGTTCAAGTATGAGTTCCAGTGAATCATCAGCTTCCAGTGAAGAATCATCCGCTTCTAGTGAATCATCTGCCTCAAGTGAAGAATCATCAGCTTCCAGCGAATCATCTGCCTCAAGTGAAAAATCATCAGCTTCTAGTGAAGAATCTTCTGCTTCTAGTGAAGAATCATCAGCCTCAAGTGAAGAATCTTCTGCTTCTAGTGAAGAATCATCAGCTTCTAGTGAAGAATCATCAGCCTCAAGTGAAGAATCATCAGCTTCAAGTGAAGAATCATCTGCTTCCAGCGAATCATCTGCCTCAAGTGAAGAATCATCAGCTTCTAGTGAAGAATCTTCTGCTTCTAGTGAAGAATCATCAGCTTCTAGTGAAGAATCTTCTGCTTCTAGTGAAGAATCATCAGCCTCAAGTGAAGAATCTTCTGCTTCT